GGGGGGGGGGGGGGGGGGGGGGGCCTCCCGCCCTGAGCCCTGGAACATATATAAAAGTATAGACTCAGAAGTATGGCCATGACTAGGCCGTTGGATAGACGCAACCACCGTCATTCATTTCGATGTACTAGTAGTTAATGCAAAGTGCAATATGGTCATCTCTATGTCATGTCATGGTGTGTGGATTTTTTTCACCTGGATATTTTTTTTTGACGTGCTACTCATAGGATAGCAGACGAGTCGGCTCGCCTACAGAGAGGTGAGCACTCGCGACTATGAATATCCCAGAGCTAAATGTGAATAGACCACCACTACATTCATATTAACAACAGTAAACGACCACCACTAAAAAACAACAACGCCTCGACAGTAAAGCCTCAATCACTCAATTTGACTCTTGTGACCATGTCAGCTGATCCCCTCCTGGCGAGCGCAAACGTAGGCCCACAAGCACAAGGAGTTCAGTTCCTTGTAATTCTTATCAAGTTGTTCAACACCAATAGACTATGGCCCGACCGCCAACTGTATTTTCATGGCTGCTCAGCATTCCTCTATTGAGGGGCACATAGTATTGGTATGGGTGATATACTATAAGTCAGACCACGAGGTCTCCTAGTAGGACTGGAAGTCTGGTGCACGTGCATGTCTATTGACGAACGACCAGAGGACCCTCAAGCACCATCAGTCCTCGGTCCCGGTCGAAAGAACCCTGCTCATCATAATAAGTACATTCAGGTACGACTCGAAACTTGCGAAAATAAATCACGATTATATTTCTACATCTTATAGTTACTAATTATTAGTAGTACAAGTAAAAAACACTTTCAAAACCGACATGAAAGAGATCACAAGTATATTTTTTTGTCATTGTCCAGACGAAGTGTTATAAAATCAAGCTGTATTCACTGCGACTCACATATCAAAGGAAAGTGTTCCATTCTCTGTTGAAATAGATGATGAAGTTATGAATCTTACTAGACGTCATTTGATGTTGATTTATATGTTATATTCTTACGACGTTATCTCCCGCGTTTCCACCCTGCTCCAGGACAAACATTCTTACCACGATTATCTCATTTACGATACTGATGCAGAAGAAATAGAGTGCCAATCTCACGTTGATGCCCGGTTGAAACTCCCAAAACGTGCTGGTTTCAGTAAGGAACTGACTACAACTACGACACTCATTCCCATTCCGCAGATTTGCCTTTGGTGTACTGTGGTAACTCGATCGAAAAATCACCATACTTTTTATGCGGAACATTGAGCTGCGCGTGCCAACATGTATCATTTCTTGGTAAGTAACGGAAACATCAACTACTATGGCGCTAAGTCAACTAAGAACTGCACAAAAACGGTCTTTATTGTCGCCTCCTCGTCCTGCAAGTGCTCCGCTTAGCGACTTCTGTAACTTGTTTTCTCTTGGTTTTTCTGTCGTTTGGTTTCGTTTCATGTGAGTCCCCGCGCCCCTCCAGAGTCCACCGCGCCAGCCTGCAAATGTATGCTGGGGGATTCTGGAGGGGCGCGGGGATTTGGAGGGCGCCCGAGGTTCTTGGCTCGCAATTGGGTGAGGGTTTTCCAGAAGGGAGCGCAGTAGGCGGCGAGTGTTCTGCGGATTCGTATCATGCCCGAGAAGATTGAATTTTGTCCGGATTTTTGCAGTCCTTAGTTGAATTTTCTCCATTCTAACTCCACTTGTCTGTGGTCGAATTTTTCGCCATAATCGGAAAGGTTTGAGACACTCCGCCCGAGGTTCTTCGTTCTTGGGTCTTTTCATGTTGTTAAGTGTTGGACTTTTGACCACCCGGCGCCCCGAAGCTCTCGCGCCGGGTGGGATTAGTTACAAAGAGAAGCGACGCGCTGCCGCCTTCAAATGGTCAGACCACTCACGCGCGCCGCCGTTTGTGCGCAGATTGTCGGGGGGGTTTGCTGGCGTTGTTCGCACTCTTTTGAAGTATTTCAGCGGGGAAGTTTGCGGGGGTTTCGCCAGAATTGAATAAACCTCTCTATTGTTTGCCGCTTTCCTGCTCGCTAGGCCATTTTTGATGAAAAAAGTGAAAAGATGTCTTCAGATTTTTTTCCAAAAATGGCCTTGCGAGCAGGAAAGCGGCAAACAATAGAGAGGTTTATTCAATTTCGTGGCATTTCTCAAGAAGGGCTGGACCGGTTGCCGCTTGAGTTCCAAAGGGCTCGCGCCTCCTCTTTTTGTTAAGTTTCGATGGTGTGGCGTGCTCGCTGTGCCTCTGGTGCTTCCGCAGATGGCTGATTAGAATGGCGCTAAGTCAACTAAGAACTGCACAAAAACGGTCACTATTGTCGCCTCCTCGTCCTGGAAGTGCTCCGCTTAGCGGCTTTTGCAACTTGCTTCCTCTTGGTTTTTCTGTCTTTTGGTTTCGTTTCATGTGATTCCCCGCGCCCCTCCAGAGTCCACCGCACCAGCCTGCAAATGTATGCTGGGGGATTCTGGAGGGGCGCGGGGATTTGGAGGGCGCCCGAGGTTCTTGGCTCGCAATTGGGTGAGGGTTTTCCAGAAGGGAGCGCAGTAGGCGGCGAGTGTTCTGCGGATTCGTATCATGCCCGAGAAGATTGAATTTTGTCCGGATTTTTGCAGTCCTTAGTTGAATTTTCTCCTATCTATAATTCTAAGTCCTGACTCTTGATAAGATATAATGAGGATGAGAATGAATCAGAATCTCCTAATTTCCTCTCATCCACCCGATTGATTTTCACCCTTTCTTTTTCAAAGTTGTACTAGAGAAACATCTTCATTAGATATAATCCCCACGACCACCGGCGAATTTCATCATAGTCTTAGTCATGATGTCCTATATAATATTTCTGCTCCAACCTAGTTTCATTTTCAATCATGGAACCTCTTTGAAAAAATCCTCTTAGTATATCCAGAACAGCTAGCGTCGATCTCCATCGGGGCTGCTTCGAGCGATCAGGTAGAGAAGTGGCGAATATTCGCTGTCACTGCCAAACAGCATCGTAGCGCGACAAGAGAAAAGCGCCTTCCTTAGAGGACCTTTTATTCGTATTCAGAATCCGTATGAATAAGTACTCTATTGCAAACATGGACGTGAACGCGCTGATGAAACCAGAAAGAGTAGAAGATCATGTTGTAGAATAAAGAAGTTAGAGTTAGACGAGTAGGTGAATTTTTCATTCTCTACCTAATACTAATTCTATTTCTAATACAAGTAGCCTTAACTTTCCGCCCAAGCTGTTTCCTGAAGGAAGTGGGATCTTCTCGTCGCTCTCCAATGCTCGATGCAGGGCGTATGGGTCCGTTGCGTGCATTCCCCCAAAGCTCTCTGCGTCGTAATATCGGATTTGCCACTGCACTCCGGTACTCATCGCGTTGTCGCTGTCCACGTCATTCACACTGTCCACACGGACCACGTAATGCGCCCACAGACCTGCAGCCTCATTTTGGAACAGCCACGAAGTCGTGTCGAACCCTCCTAACAAATCTTCGTAGATTTCAGTACGAGTTTCTGCCTCTCGACCCAAAGCCTTCCTTTCACTCGCGAGAGTCCATGGGAACGTCCCATAGCCGTCAACGGGGTCTCTAGAGGAACCGTCACTCCCATCTTCAGCTTCAACCTGCCTTGTTTCGTCTCGCCCTCCTCCCTGCGAGGACTTGTTCTCCTGCTTGGAGTTGGCAGGTGAGGACGATAGTGTACTTCTAGGCGTAGGTGCGAAAACGTGCCCCAGTTGCCCGGCGACGTATCCCATATCGAAGCAGCGATCTGGATCTGTGCTTTCAGTTTCTTTCATCGAAATCGACTTCTTTCGCAGTTTGTCCATATTCTCCTGTGCGAGGCGCCAAAACCGTCTCAGTTCGTTACCTGGGGATAGATGGTCAAGCTTTCTTTAAACGTCGACACTCATTGGTCACTGATTCCGAAAGAGAAGGGCCCTGCGCCTCTCCCCTTGTTTTCCCTTCATTTTCCCCTTCTCTAAGGGGGTCCCTTCTTCGATCTCACTGAAACTCAATGACCAATGAAAGTTGAGCCTTAATTCCTGCTACGTGGAAAGTGGTCGCCTTCTGCATCTTCAGGGTTAATACCTGATGAAGAAGCCGCATGCGAGCCGGCGAATAATGACCTACTGGAACCTCCTCGTGTCCGATTGCTCCGTGATGTGCCGTTGCTGCCGCGAGTGGTCGCATTAGTACCTCGAGTAGCATTGGTACCTCCTCGCAGCGTAGCAGTGGCTCTTGATGCTGTAGCATTCGAAAAGCGCGTCACATTTCCGCGGGCAGGGTATATGGGTCGCATTCTCGGAGTCGCTTTTGAGGGACTTCGCTCTGCTTCGCGTTGCCGTTGGTAGGGTTTTTCCATGACACGCAAGAACATCTGAAAATTCATTAATACATTTTCCCTGCTCCTGTGGTCCTCCTGCGGAACAACATCCGAAGCGTGAGCGTCTTGGTGGACAGCGTCTTGCACCACGCTACTCTTATTTACTGCCTCCATCAAAGCAGAGCGTATAATTTGCAAGAACCGTATCCACTCAGGAGCAGTGCTCAGAGGCCGCTGCCCGTCTTCTTGTTCGCCCTGTGTGGTAGTGCTGGACGGAGATGCGTACTTAAGGCTCCTCACAATATTAAGGAAGTCCAATTGTTCCTTCGCACTCCACGTCGGCTGGGCTTCTGGATCTTGATGACGCTGAATTTCCGACTCCATTTCGCCCTCTTGTTCTTCTTGAATATCCGGCGCATGACCGATCGTCATCTCTTGACTCTGTGCTACTGGAGGTTTTGATTGAATTAGCGGCTTCCGCAGACTGAGTTGACCAATGACCTGTCTCGCATAAGTATCCATGACTTTCCTAGTCCAGAGAGTCATAGATTTCGATAAGTACGCACAGAGACAGGACAGCCACTTGTTCCAACGGCAAGCCAAAGCCTTAAATGAAGATTATCTTGCGTGCTTCTTGTAAGTTCTGTACTAATATCTTCGTTCATCAGTACAGGACCAGGACGAGCCTCTCGGGTGCCGTTTCCTTGTGTGGTTTCTGATATGAAGTCAAAGACATTTTTAGAAAAACAATCCCTGTTAGGTGATGCGTGTCCCGAGTGATCTTGATCATTGCGTTCTGCGCACCCGCTAACATTAGAGGTAGGCCTAGGATTTTGCTGTTTTTAGTTTAACCTGGTCGCTTTGATGCTCTTCTCTCCTATGAGGTACATCAAAACGAACGGCAACAGATGTAGATTTAGAAGAGCTCCAAGGAAGTCCATGATCTTACTGCAAGTACAGAACAGCAAGAGAAATAACGACAAAAACTTTGTACTACGAATATCCTACTTAATGACTAGGGTACAAGAACTTCTCGCTTCATCTGAAGCAGGTGTTGACGGCACACTGGTATCAGAAGTCGTAACTCTCACGGCAAGGAAGTCGCCGGTTCTTCCAGGTCCAGCACATGGTACGCGGCCGCGGCCGCGGGCGGCTCCGGCTCCGCTGCTTGGTAATATAGAGATACGAGGAGCATGCGGCCACCACCTTGTCGCAGGAGGACAATCTTGTGCGGGATTGGAAGCTTCATTTTTATAGTATAATGGATGGCACTCGCCATATGAAGCCAGTGCTGGTTCTTGGATCGCGGTGCTGTGATTCTGGTCGTGACGTGTAATGGTGGTCGCTAGTATGTGGCCTCGTAATATATTTTCTTAGGAGGACCTCCTCTCTGTAAGTCATCTCGCAGCATCAACTGCATCCTTCATGTGATGAATTTATTCACGAGTTGTCGAGAACATTTTTTCACGGAGCGAGGGATGCAGCAGTCGGTGATGATTTATCTTTTATCTGTAAAGCCTTAATCTTCGGGTGTCATCAATCTTGGAGGCATCGGCATTTGTGGTGGCGCACCTCCCGGTCCCTCTTGCTGCGGTGACGCGGATAGAGTTGGATGTCCAAGAAATAGCTGAGCAGCTTGGAGTGACATCTGAGGTGCTCTCGCACTTGACGAAGCGGTGGACGAAGCGGTGGTAGGAACCTGCTGCTCCTCTAGGTCTAGGGTAGCAGGAGACTGCTCTTCTAGTATGGCTTTTTGTAATTGTTCTCGGAAATCTTGTTCTTGTTCGTCGGTCGCTGGGGTTACAGAACTATCCTCAGTCACGTTACAAAGAGGTTCTTGTAACTCATGCGCATAAGCAGGAGAATGGGTCGCCTGAACACAAGATGAAGATCCATTGGTTATCGTGGTCATCTCTACATCTGAACAAGAGGATGTCGACGAGGCCAAAGAGCAGCAACGCGAAGTACCATCTAGGTCTTGATCGCTCTCAACGTCCCGTGTCATAATCACCTGATCGAGATCGGAGTCGTATACCACCTCCACGCACTTCTGGTCGGGCATCCCAGCCCTTTCAAGAAAATCTACAAAATCGACCTCGGTCACCACACTAGCGGGCTCTTCCAGCTCTGTAGGCTTCCACCTCGCGTAGGATCTCGTAAGCGCACTCCCCAAGGTAAGCTTCTGATGTGCGTCTTTGAGGAACTGCCCTAGGTGCCTAGCCGCGGTCAAAGGGTCGCGAGTGTCCAGGATAGCCTGAAATGCGCTGTGGCCCGCAAAGAATTCACATAAATCTGGCTCCTTCTGCGATGACAACTTTTGAAACTGCTTCGACGTGAGTTGTTGGGAGCAGCATTCTGAAGTGGAATTATCTGGTCCACCACCTCCATCTGCTTGAAGATCAGCCTTCACCTGCTGACCCACGATTACATCGCCGGACGAGTCGAGAAAGGGGCCATGCAACTCTACAACTTTAGTATTGCTGTCTGCTAATAGGTGTTCCTCAACAACAAGCTGTTCTGTCTCTGCTTCCGCTTGCTTCTGGAGAAAGACTCCGGTGGTTTCCAACGCGCGTCTCAATTCCCTTGTGCCTCTGGGTAGGTCTGCAGTAGGCACGTCTTCATTTTTACTCTGGAGGGGGAAAGCTGTGCCATAAACCCAACTCCTACTGAACATCCGCCGCTGATACAAGGCACCTGAGATCCCTGGCATTTCCTGCGTTAGAAGTAAACCCTAAGACGACGACGACAATCCATTTTTTAGAAGGTTCATTTTCTCGTCTAGGTAAAGTAGTCGATTCTACTTTTTAGGCAAGTAAGAAATCAAAACCGTGTGTGAAATAATGACGACAGCCTAGTTTTACAGGGACTATAGTACGTACCGTGTTGTTGTTGATCATCAGCAGAATACGCGAAATAAATGGATTATAAAGCAGCCATAACTCTGGACGGAGGGCATCTGCTAGCGCGTTTTGAGGACGCAGGTGAGCAGGCGGTCTCAGCGAGCGCGAGGCTTGAACTTGATTTAGACATCTCCGCAACTCATCTTCTCCCACGTCAACTGCATCCTTGAAAAATATGGCGGAGTATTTCAATCCCTGTGATATCCCACACACAACCCTTCAACTTCAAGGATGCACACGCAGTCAGACCAAGATACTATTTATAAATTAGTGAGAGCCTTAATTGATCGAGCCCCCACGTTTCCTCGTTCTGACGCTTCTGCGTTCCTCGGTCCACTTTTCTGCCAGCCTTTTTGACCTTCCCTTTCCCACCGCGGTTAATATGAAGCACATCATGCCGCTCTTGCTTTTTCCCAACGACTCCCACTTGTTCGTGACGGATCGGCTGGCCAAGAACCCCTGCGGGAGCTGTACCAAAAGGCGGCGCAGTTCGTCCGCTTGAGGAGGTAGTAGTTGGCACCTTGCATCTGTTAGAGGTATAGGATATGGATATGCATGCTGCAGATCATCTGGGTCCCTTTTCCTTCTTTTATTTTCTTCGTCCAGATGACTCTGGAGGTCGTGCATTTCCTACACTCATAAATCTAGTGCCCCCTTCGAAGAAAGAAGTATCGCTAGAATCGTCATCGGACAATTCGTCGCCGTCGCCGTCCGTTGACGTCGTAGACCACTTATCGTCATCTTCTTCATTCTCGGAACATTCTTGTTGCCAGGAGTCGTACTTCCGGTTCTTAGAGAAGATAGAACTATAACTACTGCCAGCACTGCCAGTTGAACTGCAAATAAAAGGCACTAACTCCTCTCTCAACATCCTTAAAAGTCTAGTACTTCTACTGCTTGATGAAGATGATGCTAGTCGGTTCGGATTTGAGTGTGACCTGCGCCTACTTATTTAATGATCTACTGTACTTAAACTATCTAGTCGTGGACTGGAGCATCTTCTTTTAGTGCCCTTTTTTATCTCTTTTACTGGCCTATTTTCTGTTCTTTAAAAAGGACCCTTAAGTCCAAGAGATATATTTTTGAAACGAAACCGATAACGAATGATCTATTATCTAATTCTCCTAATTCTTCTCAGTAATTACTCTTCTAAATTAAGCCTTAGCACTAGCAGAAGCACGTCCTTCCTCTTGTTCACTGGCTGTGCGAATGGTGCTTCTGCACCTGCGTTCGCGTGCTTTTTGTTCACATCGCTTCCTCGCAGAACATGAAGATCTGAAACTTGTTCCGCGACCGCGGCAACACTTCTGAATGCCAGGAGTAGAGCTAACATTAGAGGTAGGGTTTTGGCGTTTCTGTATCCTCCCGTTTGTTATGCCTGTCTCCCCATAACAAGGGAGTGTCATAACAAACGGTAACAGGGACACCTTATATAATAAACACCTACCACTTAATGAAAAGGCGATCTACGTTGGTATTTGCATGCACCATGTCGGATTGTAGGCAGTCACGATATTCCCGACGTGATGCAAAACGCACATAATTCCGATCCGGACGATGCACTTCTACCACGAAAGCCGCCACGGGACCCAAGGACCCCCAGGCTGCAAGTTCGCGCTCGATGTTCTTAGACCTCGCACCCTGATCCATCTTGAAAACGCAGCATCCTGAGACAACTTTTTCCTCATGAGAGAGTAGGTAGCTCCTCTCCAGATAGCTTTTCAGATAGGAATAGGATCATTTCAGATCAGGGTAAGCCTTAATTTTCGGGTTTGATCGTGGCCACCACTGCGCGACACCTTGAAGAAGACTGGACAAGCTTCGAGGCCTCCATAGGCTTGGTAGTACCGGAAGACTACGACCTGGTCGTTTCATCCTTGACGCAGTATTAGACCTCTTGCCTAGACGAGCAATGTGGTAGTAGTTGCAGTGTTCCCCGACGTGATGTCTTCATTGGGATGAAAGTAAATATATATTCCTGGGAGTTCCTTGTACAATAACAGTATGCAGCACTACTTGAGGTATTAAAGCCGTAAACTGCAACTAAAAACAGAGAGCTGCAGCTGTTCCTTTTGACAATTAAAAGTTGTACAACAAGAACGAACTCTGAGGGTTCAACTATCCACTTGCCTTAAAAGCACTAGAGCTAGCCGATGAAGAGGGTGTGGTACTAATCCAACTCCCTTCCACAGTAGAACTGTGCCTCGGGGGCATCGCGGCCACTGTAGGTGAGCCAGGGTGTCGATGGTGAGCAGCTGCATCTTCCTGATGAATACTCGTACTCCCAAATGAAGGGTCGGCCGCTCTCTCTTGCGAAGGCTCTGACTTTCGCTTGTCAGTCGAAGCTGTTGTGATTTAGAGGTTTGTACAAAATTCAATTCCATCTTTTGTCAACATGATTGGTGGCCTGTTTATGTTTCCTTCTCCCCACTTCCAAGCAAGGCCAGCAAGGAACAAGTATACTCTTGTCTTCTTCTGCATTTTTGACGTGAAGTGCCACACACGCGACTGCTATTTTTTCTTTGATCAATACAGAACAAGCCTAAGCCTTTGCCGTAAAAAGAGACGCCGGCGTCCTCCGAGTTCAGAATGTTCGTGTCAGGCAGTAGGAAAAACAAAGCTCCAAGGCGTTCCAAGATCCGATAGCGAATCCGACTGCCCTCCTGATCTTAGACCTCTCCCGAGTTTATCCTGGTGGAAATCCCTCAAGCGTATGCGTCACTAACACTCTTGTTCCCCTTGTATTGGGACGCCTTAACGATTGGGAGGGATCTCCATAGAGATGGATTAGGGCAAGCCTTAACGATCCCTTCGAATGGCTGCAATCTTTACTCCCTCCACATCCTCCCTGCCGTCGTCTGTGTAATGAAAGTTGGCAAGACCGACAAGAATGTAGATCTGCAAGGAGAGCGACAAGAATGAAGTTGACCATAATTGTTATGAAGTCAAATCGTGATGTTGCTGTCTGCAAAGATGCTCTGCTCGCAGCCCTTGCAATAAATGCAACAGTAGTATTATACGTATTAACGGGTTAAGCGTGAGATAAGTGCCAGAACGGTTAAGGGATGAAGGAGCAGAGAGTAGTATACGAGAGAACTCCGCTTTTTCCGGATTTCTAAAATTCATGGTATGGATTGCATGCATGACAATGGATGGCACTATCTAAGACTAAGACGCTTTTTCGTATACGTATTACTATTAATTTTGTTCTAAGATAATAAAGGAGCCAAAAACTCATAGAAGACCGGAGGTGAAGCGAACGAAATAAAGTGCCGGGGGCTTGAACAATAACAAGGCGTGACGTTCTTGAGGGTGATAGTAAGAAATAGTAACAAGCTGAAGCTCCAAAATAAATCGTAAAGAGCATCGTCCGGGAAAGCAGTCACGAGCGGCAAAATAGCGGTGCGAAAGTCTTGGAGAAACTCCCCTTGCGTTGCGTAGTGAAGCGGCTCAGGAGTATGCAACACTTGCGTACTATCTCCCGTTCGTTCAGCTTCCATCAACCGCTGGTGCGGTTTTGATGTAAAAACTAATGTACTTAAGTAGTCGCGGACTAAAAAAATGTATGACTATGAATTAGGATTGGACTACTCTACTATTGCACGTTTCGTGAACTAAGAAAATAATCTTCTTGCTTTTCTAAAAAATATTCTTGTCCAAGAGAAAAGTCCTCTTCCTGCTTGCGGAGGAAACTTTTACAGGATTTCAAGGAAGGCAGCTGTAGACAATGAGAATGAGCTATCAGCAGGCCCTTTGCTGTAAAACATATAGTGTGGTTATGCTTATGGTTTCATCAACGCTAAAAATAAAATCACAGAAAAGAAGGAGCTATCACTCTATTAGAGTCTATATGAGCTGCACTCAGCTGCGCATGAGATTGAGATCCAGACTCAGCCTATGCCTAAGACGTACCTCTACTTATCCTCATAAATAGCAAACGGAATGAAGCTGTTTTTATGATTATCATAATTCACTTAGACTTATGTTATGATATTTATAGATGCGTAGAAGTACCAGTTCGTAGCGCATGAGATCCCTGAGAACGACCATCCGCTCTGTTCTTGCCAGGAGAAAATCTTCGACAGCTCTTGCCATCGCGATCCCACCTCTGCAGACTTCTGCCGACGTTGTCACCGCCTGCAATCGTAAAGTTTTTCGCTCCTCTGCGTCGAGTAGAGGCGCACGAAGATCCTGCTGCTTTTCCCACGGTAGTTAGAGCGTGCTTACATCGTCCATCTCGGTCCCTCCATATTGGTACCTCTATTTCCCATATGATCAATGGAAAGTAGGGTATACCGAGATCGATGCCGAGAAATAGAGATGGATTATTGGATATAAAGTAGGGATGCCATATAAAGTAGAGATGGATTATAGAAGCTGGCCATAAAGTAGGGATGCTAGAGTCGTGTGTCTTTCAGCAGGTTTTGTCTTGTATTTCCAGGAGCCGCTTGAGGTATGTGTTTCCGGGATCGAGTCCAACCGTGAACCACCTCCGAGTCCGACCTGGATCTGCTTTCGATGAAATTGATCGAGACGGGAGGAACCCGCGACGCTGAGATCCTCGACGAAAGCAACTGTCGCCTGTGGAATAAATTCGAACCGCAAGGCCGTCAAAAAATAATATTCCCACTGCAAGAAGGCGAGTTCAAACTCCATTTCCTGACTACTAGGGGATGCTCCTCCACGTCGTCGCCCATCTCCACCACGTGCTGTCTTGAACTCCTGGAGGTATGAAGGAGCAAAAGCAAACTTCTTATCATCCTCAGCGATTCTGAGCTTGTTAATCTTAAACTCACAACGTTCTACTTATTTCAATCAACTTGAAGATGACGATCATGGACAGGGAAGATAAGAGGACATTAATACTTTTTCGTAATTTATTGGGTTCACCAAGAAACTGTAATGTAACGTGAGGTCGTCGCGCGACCTTACTCCGCCAAAAATCGACGTCACAAGGAAGACTTCGCGTCTCCGTGAGAAGTCGCGGCGTTCGTGTACGAAGAGCTGGATGCGGGCTCTTCTTTTGATGTGCAACATGTTGTTGGTGGGCTGGGCCAAGGCCGCCAATTCGCTGCGCGTGCATTCCTCCACTTTCTCCTGGACGTCCAAGGCCAGCGTGGCCACTCATAGAAGCTTCTGCTGCTGCTGCTGCGGCTTCAGCATTTATTGAGTGACGTTCTCGTAGCTGCCCATCAACATCTTGCTCCTGCAGCTTTTTACAACTAGATGAACAAGGTATACCTATACCTTGAGGAGGCGGACTTTGCTGGCGTGCCCCCATCTTCAAAAGCTGCTTCTCATCGATATTTTCAATAAATCTGTTTTCATACTCGTCCCAAACATAAGTTGGCTCTCTGGTATCATCTCCCAGTTTCAATAGCTGCAGCAGGCCAACAGGAATGCGACCCAAATGGAGCGGACCAGTCGACAGATCACGCGCACCAGACCCGGCGCCACTTGCACTGGCCGCTCGAGTCCTTACTTCTTAGACCTCTTCAAGCCTATTCTTTGCTCACTATTGTTCACTTCTTGATCTGACCTGCATTTCTCCCAAGAATATTATATATTAAGAAGGAAACGATGAGAAATGACAGATTTGTAGACTGAGACTGACTGACATGAATTATTCTTGTACTATTGAGCCTTAACTTACACTACTATGATATCCAGCACCTCTTTCTGTAGGTAGTGCTTCTCGAGAACGAGAAGAACGGCTGCTCACGTCCTCCTCCCGCTCAACCTCTGCGTTTCGGAATAGGTTTTGACTAAACGTGATGAGAAATTTGTTGACGTTAGACCAGGAGCTTGTGGTATCGATGATGTTGAATTTCAACTCTTTTTTGGAATTTTTGTGTGGTCCAGTAATGAACGAATCAGAAGCCTATGGAAGTTGTTGCTGATGAGAAAGAGACTTGATCCTTCGATGATTCTCTGTTAGGACGTTGCCAATTCTCTACTTCTCAAGGCACATCATCGATCCACGTCGTTGAACCTCAACTACAAGGAGATGATCTTCACTAATCCATACTACATAACTGGATTTAGCTATAAATATACTGGACTTATACTGAACTACGCAGATAAGGAAAAACTACTAGCCTTAACTACATCCGTCCTGTTCTCATCTTCCGAGGCATTCGTCGCCTGCCCGTCCCCTTCCCTTGCTGATTGCCCACTCGCTGCAGGTAGATGAAGCCCAAGCCCTTCACCTCCACGCGGCCCCGCTCCGAGGAGCCGTTTTCTTACATCTTTCCTCTCCTCGACCGATTCAAGTTCCAGATAGCTTCCCAGAGAAAGCAGCCGGAAAGACCTTCCCGCTTCTGCCAGTTCCGTCTGCAGAATCCGTAGTATCTCGAAAAGAGCGTGCACCCTTTTCAGATGGCGTATAGTCGTCCTCCCTATGTTAGAGATAGAGAGGGCATTCCATTTTTGTTCACGATTGGGAAACGATCTGCTGAACCAGAAATACTAGTAATACTAGTGGGATATATAATAAAGATATTATCTTTAGTGGGATATTCAACTAAATAAAACAGATAGAAGTAGAAGGAAAATTTTAAAGACCATCATCTAGATCTAGTTGAGCTACTTGCATTTCGTCTAGGTAAATACTACGCGTAACTATGTCAAGATCAGCAGTCCAGAGAGGCTCGCCATGAAAAGCTCCCTCCACCGCTACTCGCAGTGCGCCAACGCCTCCACAGCCTTCACCCGCTTGATGAGAAGGACATCGACGCGCTGGGTCGCTCCACAGCGGAGACGAGGAGCGTGGAAAGGGAGAGTCCTGAGACGAAGAGGCCTTTATTAGAAGAAGGAGCGAAGATGAAATGAGATAGAGATACCAGAGTACAACAACTACTACTCCTGTACTTGAAGTACGCAAAAGAGAGGCAACAAGTCGAGAGCACGTCGAGAGAACGACTGTCACTAATCTCATTTCAACTTCGTAAGCTAGACTTAAACTTAATAGAGATAGTGGTGGAGATAGACCTACTTGTGCTAATATTCAGCTCCTGAAGTGGTTATATAAATATAAGACCATCTTCATCTAGCTCTATCTTTTATTGCCCTTAGGTTGTTTCCAGGATCACGATCTTTATAAGAAACATGAGTTTGTAGTGGAAAGCGCCTTAGTGGTATCGAAGAGCCGCCCGGCGGAGGCGCGCCGCCACCTGCTGCCGAGGGAGAAGATGGCGCTCCACCTGCCCCTGTTGATGACGTTGACGGCGCCGAAGATCGAGTGCATGTAGTAAATGCTCCGGTGCTGCATGGTGGGTTGTAGCAGGGGGTGCCACCTCCAACTACATAAGATCCCGATCCGTGTGCAGGTGCAGAACCGTGTGTCGCAGCTGACACTCGCAAGCATTCTGGTCCTGGCCTTCGCAGCACGTTGCCAGCCTTCGCTATTCGGTCGTTGATAGCGTCACGTTGTAGTTTCGCTGCATATTCACTGATATCCGAAATTCGGTAACGTGGAGCAGGGTGCGCGTCCTCGTTGATGTTCTCTTCTACTCCTTCCCACAAAATACTACCAGGCTCCACCGCAACAAGAGCGCTTCTGCGAGCATCTTCTCGGAGGTCGAGGTTCTGCAGTCGTGAAGCATCATCCTGTTCCTGCTGTGCCTCCTGTCCCTCCTGTGGCGCTAGAGCAGTACAATGGACGTTGCCAAATGCTGGTGGTCCTGCTAGTGCTTGTCCTCCATCTCGTCCACCATCTCCACCTCGGATCTCAAATTTATCGTCGTATTGCACGACTTTTGCCGGGTAGTCCTCTCTCGTGCTCAAGGCACTGAAACTGTCTGTTCGAGATAACGAGGAGAAAGGAAGTTTCTGTTGTAAGAAATCTTGATGAAGACAGTCGGTCGCTTTCCCTGAAGAAGATGCAATCTGTTCTACTACTTGTGGGGGATGCGTAGGCGATTTCGGTGGCCCTGATGGCGGGGTTGCTTCAGACGCAGTAGATGGAGATGGCATGCAGTGAGCAAAGTTGAATGGCACGTGCGGAACAGGAGTGCTAGTGGTTAGCTCGTCATCTGTCTTAGAATATAATGTGCTTCTCCATGAGCAGGCGGATTTAACACCGCCTACATCAAGTCCAGATGAGAAAGAACCAGATGGGAAAGAACCTGAGTCGCCCAAAGCGGGCTGTAGGGGGTTGTCACTAGCGTCGCGTGGGGTGTTCGCATGGTCCTCAGAGCGTGTGCATTCCACTCCGAGGAACGAGAACGGCTGAAGACACCCGGGTGTAGTCGGTCCGGTAGCAGATCCGCTCGGAAGCGACCCTGTCGTAAAAGAAGGCGTATCTTCTCTCCTTAAGCTCCCTGCAGAGACCACGGGCAGAACGTGTTGTTCTTCACGACCTATAGTCCCCCCCTGAGATTGGTTCTCCAGGCCACTTCCAGGACAACAACCTCTCTGCATTTCCACTTCCGGCGAGGCAGGTCCAGGTGTTGTTCCTGCTTCTGCACAAGAATCAGAAAGCCTTGCTCCTTGCCCTCCCCCGTCAGCGCACCTCGTGCCGCCAGCGAGCTCTCTCCATGCTGGCGGACAGGCCCTAGAAGCTGCTTCTCTCCAACTCCAGGGGGCAAGCTTTTCGTCATCCATCAATTGCGTCATATGCTGCCCGTCAGGGGGGTTTCCACAGATCGTGTTCGTGCATCCAGTACCACTCATGAACATGATGCCCTTTCCGTTGCATGATCCAGCGCCAGTCCGGTTAGTACAGCCTCTACTTCCACCTGTAGCAGTGCCAGCCTCTACTTCAACCCCCGTTATAGCCGCAGCTGTCAAGAATGGCGCTGACCCATTGTCGTCGCTAGTATTGGCCACAAATGCAGATGGTATTGGCTGCCCTGCTACTGGTACTGTCCCGGTCTTGCGAATATAATGCACCTGCTTGATGAGCATCTCAGGCTCATCAGAGCTCAAGCAGCCAATGTTAAAGCAAGCCAACCATGATCACTATGTGGCACAGTTGAATGGGTTCCCTGTCCTTCCCGTCATCCCTTGTCCTTCCTGCTATAAAATCCCACTGACTTCAATAATAACTCAAGGGGAACTCACTCAGCATAGCCCACAGCAGCTAGTGACCAGTGGCTGGCCTTAATGCTCGCATCAGGGGAACTGTCACGGCGCAAGGAGTCACTGCAGGTGGGCGATGACGAACGCACCGTGGACGAGCAAGCAGCCGCGCCATCCTCTATATCTATTAGCGGGAAAGCTAGTACTAGTTCATCCTTGTAGTCAAGAATCACTGGGACTTAAGCGTGAGAAGAGATCCGAGAAAGACGAGCATGAATCTACCATTCTATTTCTACTAATCCCAAGAGAAAGAGTGAAGACGAGAAATGAAACAATACTTGTCAGTCTTTGGCACTTGTATGCCTCCACGGCTCGCTTGAGGACTTGGCCAGTAGTTATCAATCAAGTCATGCGTTAACGTTTGGCCCTTCTTGACCATCGTTCTTCACCGCCACAGTTCTAGTAGAGATAGTAAACGTAACTCCGAAGAGGATGTGACCCCTCGTGTTGTCGAGGAGAGACCACGCGAGGAAGCTGCGGAGGTGCGTTTCTGGTTCCTTTGTCTGAGTAACGGAGCCTCAAGGTATCGAGGGAGACCCGCCCCGAAGCCGGCATCGTAAGATGAGGGTGGTAGGCACAGAGTAATTTGACGGGAGGCGTTAGGCGTTGATCCTGCGTGTGGTAGATACGGCACCATTCCGCTCGTCCCATTAATTTTTGCTTCGCCGTGGCGACTTCTGCTGGTGCGGTTAATCTTAGTAGGATGATGCTGCTGGTGAACTTCTCTTCGAGTAGTTGAAGGAGACACTGTCGGTGTACTAGCCGAAGACACAGTTGTTCGATTTGCTAGAAAGGTTGATGATGTTGTATCCTTCACAGGTTGACCGCAGAGCATAACCGGAGAAACGGTGAGAGCACAGGAGACTGGCGTACTTTTGGCAGCACGGCCCCAAGCGGGTGCGTCAGGGCCTGCAGCGAGTTGCTCCACCTGATGCTGTTCTTCACGTAAGCGACATGTTCTCAGCATTTTCGTGCAGCGTCGGCTTTCTGTCTGCATGGGTGCCCTGGTTCTCGAGGTCGTGGGCGCGCAATCTGGTGGTGCAGTAAACCTCCAGTGCTCTCCACCTCCCCCTGGTCCTGTTCCAGCGGCTCCTGTCAAATCATAACGAGGACGTTCTACTTGTGTATTCTTGGAAATATCTACTTCGGTTATTGATGTACCGCAACGACCGGTCTCTCTTGCGAAGGACGCCTTTGTTGCAGCCCATCGCGGACCGTCCTCCTGCTGCTGTGCCATGGGGGCCATGGAAGCACAGCGAAGGCCGCAAGGTGGAGAAAGTCCGCCACAACTCAGACATTGCGTTTCATTATGGTGCGATCCACCACCAGAAGCAACTCCGTATTGAAGAGGCGTTTGAGGTATAGGAGACGGAGGCGGACCATTATAGAAGGGACAACGGTTTTCAGAAAGGGATGCCGGATCAGCGAAAATATTTTGCGCCTTGGTGGGTCGTGGAAGATGAGGATCAAGAACACTAGCTCCTCGTGCACCAGAAGTAGAACAGTTTTCCCCGCCTCGAGGTGGGGTTTCCTTACTACTTTGACTTCCGGCACAACTTCTTTGATCCACAAAACTTCCTGTTTCCCCGTGAGAAGCACAAGCATCCTTTTTCGAGGGAAATAAGAAGTGCGACGGGAATCCGTTTCGGGCTCCACCTACCAGTGAAGAATCGTCGCTTCTGTTTCCAGTACCTGGTGACACCCAGTGGTGAAGAGATAGAGCGTCCGTTGACGAAAGCCCTCCAAGGCCCGACTCAAAGCCGGAATTCATTTGGAGATCCTCCTGTTTGGATACCTGCTGCATCGGGGGCGAAGGCAACTCGCGGCCATAATGATGCCGCCGTCCACCTCCTGCACCAAGGTCCACCGGCACCGCACCATTGGTACTGATCGCGCCGGAATAAGCTGCCCATGGTGGTGGTGCTCGGAGGAAGCTTCGCGAGCGCCGGTCCTCGACTGCCCAGTGGTTTGGTGTTCCGGATGAACGCCCACGATGATGAAAACTCGTCTCGAAGACATCGACCGGCATCCTCGCGTCGGGAGTACCCCCCGACCGGGCCGAGCCCAGACTGCTCGTACGTGTTGCAATCGTCGCGTCGCTGACCGTCGTTGTGCTGGGAGGTCGGCTCTGTATTGAAGATGAGGCCACTTCAGAGGTAGTGTTGTTTAACCAGTAATCCGAGGAGGTGTTCCGGCTACTCACACTATCGGTGCTTCTCGGGCCTCGACCGGACGACGAGTTGCCTGCCCCTGCGGTTCCTTGATGCCCACCGTGTAGGTGGACGAGGTTCACGCACTCACCCGCTTCGTGCCGAACTCCGATACAACTACTACTCAGACAACCTCCCAATTCGAATTCCTCCCGCTCATGAGAATCTTCATTGAAGGCGTCCTGGTGCTCCAAAAAGCTTCTAAAAGTGCTTGCGTTGTGTGCCGCCGCATCAAAATTTTGCGGATCTTCATCATTTGGATAGTGAAGGCGTCCTTCCACGACCTCACGTTCAGGGTCGCCTCCAGCACTACAATCCTGTGGCTCCGCTGGCAACTGCGACGCATTCGCTCCAACACCGCTTGCCTGTCCTCGGCTGCTCGACGTCCTGCTGCCTTCGCGTGAACAATGATAATCTCGTCTACCCGCTTTCCGATCCTTTTGCTGATCATGAAGGCGTACAGGTTGCGGTCCCCGCCACTCGCGAACGCTACTCCTGGTCGCACAGGCAGCTCCCGCCGTCATAGCGCGTCGGCCGCGGCGTTCGAGATCTTGTCGGACCGCAAAGTCAATACGATCGGCACCCATCCAGCTCTGAGCAGGAGCGGAGAACCCTTTATTACCAACGACCACTGGCTCTGATGAAGAAGCTTCATGCGACAGTGAAGATGGTCCTTCACTAATCCTTTCTCCATCGTCTCCTTCAGAAGGTTGTTGTTCCATCGAAAATAGCGTAGAAGATTGCTCTCGTTCGGGTTCGTGCGAACATCTTCCTACAATGGCAGCAACAACAAGTCGCGAGGGCATTGGCGAACTAAGAAGTGCGGCTGCTTGATGTTGCTGGTGCAGCCTTCGTGGCCTCGCGACGTCATCTGCCGCAGGGGACCCTTGATGGAGCTCTCTTGCTTGAGCTGGCTCTTCAGATGAGCTCCAAGGCTCACATATGGACCCTGCTGGTCTACTTGCTGTGGTCGTGGCCTCAGTGGTCGACGCAAAAAACTTGCACTGCTCGAGCTCAACGCTTTCTTCTTCTTCTTCTTCTTGTATAACTGCACTACGTTCTTCTACTTGATGATGACCTGCACGTGAACGTTGTACCGTGATGGTGGTTGTTGCCGCGTTCTCCGTCAGCACGAAATGAAGGTCCGATACTTGTTCTGGGCTCGCAGGAGTCTCCTCACTTGTGGAGAAGCCATCACAACTTGGTTCTCCAAATGGTTCTGCTTGTGAGAGTGACACTCGATTCGTGTTTTCCTGATCTGAAGAGCAATTAGACGAATTCCTCGTCCTCCACACATAATGGTCTGGTGAAGAAAAGGGAATCGGTACTGCTTGTCCTCGAGGAGGTGACGCTCGCGCTGAAGGTCGTGCAACTTGATGTGACGGAAGTTGTAGTGACGCAGACACTGACACTGGGGCTGCAACTATTTTTAGAGTAAACTACAGCTACGAGGCACTATTCTCATGATCCTCAAGCGTCATTGGTCGTCGACCTATCCGGCGCCTTGGCTACAACTTGCATGTACTAGGCGTACTACTTGTTCAACTACAACTACTAGTTCTTGTTCATAATTTTGGATTAATTATCGAAATAATATACCCACAAGTAGCGAAAAACAAGGATCAAGTGCAGCAGAAGCGTTACTGCTCTTTCTCTTTATTGTTTTGGTACGAGTCATAAAAATCTTGAAGAACTTAATAGAACCTCTTCCTCGTCCGGTCGAGAAATGCGGTCGCCCATTGGAAATCCATCCTGTCCCTCCAACGCTCCTTCCATACTAGCGTAAAAGGCCTTGTCCTGTTCCGTAGGCGCCGGAATCTTATAGCCTGAGCCACGAAGTATTTCTTTCAGTGACGTTGCAGAGCTTTCTAGTGCGGCACGTGGAGGAGGTTCTCTTGCTGTTCCCCTTCCCCAAAAATCTTTATCTCGTTGTGGTCGTTGTTGTTGTTGTCGTTGTTGGATTGACCTCGGTTGAAGATGAACTTCTACACCAGTGGACGACGTCGACCTTTCACCTGGTTCGACTAGACCAGTTGACTCGGCCGACCAGAAGTCTGCTCTAGATGCACTATAATGTTGTTGTAGGAGGCGAATGGCATCGATGTCGACTCGATCATGATAAGGTTCATGATAAGTCGTGCCTCCAATTTGTTGACCGTTGTACAACGGATGAGCACATTCAACATCTTCTTGCTCGACAACATCTGGAGCACTAGCAAGACCAGCCACGCCGTGCTCTGTTCCCGCAGTCACTGCTAGCGCCATACACGACGTAGTCGTTCCCCAGTAACAAGTAGTGCAAGAGCAAAAGAAGAACAAATAAACTAGCACCACAAAAAGCATCTTTGAATCGCAATCATGCAAATTAGAGGTAGTTTCCAATTGAAGCTGGACCTCTAGTACTCTACCTCGCATATCTATGTCTTTTCTACTTGCGAAAGTCATAGATATGCTCGGCATACTCGAAAGATCAAGGCCAACTTGGTGCAGCCCTTAAGAAGCAGTCGGTTCTTGCGGTCTACTTTTTTACGTTGTAGTGCCAGCGAAGACCGAAACCACTGGGCAGAGGTTCTACCAGTTCTCTCCTCCAGGATGTTGCAGTGTTCCGAGCTAGTACCAACAGCTGTACTAGACGAAGACGTGATCACCATTGAAGGCTGGTGTTCCTTTGTTCGCCACGGTGGTCCTCCGCAAATCATGATGTCGTGTTGGTCGTCGTCGTGTCTTCCCACAAGATCAGCACTGCAGACGCGGGAGACCCGCCGCGACTGCCACCACCGTGAAAAAGAAGCATGTCCTCTAGTCAAAGAAAACAACATGATTATCGATCCGGGTAGCTTCGTCTCGACTCACCCAGCTGGGCATTATTAGGAATTGTGCTTCCTCGACAAGTCGCTCAAAAATGCGAAACCTCCAGGTCCTGGCCCTCGCGAAAAAGTTCTTTCTTGTTCTTGTTCCTGCTCATCGAGTATTAATTTCTACTAATTACACTTTCTTCATAAAGATGCGCTAGTAGTTCTTGCAGAAAAATATACATACTCTTCGCAGAGAAATACATACGTCTACGTGTACAGCAACAGATGATGACTAATTATGCTTAGATACTTCTACTTCTAGCACAAGTACCCGTGATGAAAATTTGACTTCTTAGAGATCTGATCTTTCTTGTGTGTTGAAATTCACCTTGCACCGGGTCCTGACGAAGATTTATCAAAATTGTGAACGCGTTCCAAACTTCTATGCTGGAGAGGTTGTACGGTACAGTACTACAAGAAAAAGAACCTCGTCCTATACTACTCTTTAGCTGATTAGAAGTTACGTTTTCATCTTCTTCTTCAATTAGTCCGGCTATACTACAAATAAATGATAAGCAAGTTAGTTCTGGTTAATGTAGTTGAAGAAGACCGTGTAGTGAGGCGACGAAGCCAGAGAGATCTAACTCCTGCTCTTGTAGTTCTGAGTACGTGGGTGTTACATCTTGCTCGGAGTGTGAGTACTAGATTTTTTGTTTTATATATAAAGTAGAGCTTCTCGCTCAAGTACAAATAGCAGCATGATGAAAATTTGAGGTATCACAACATCAAAACCGATGACACAGGCAAATCCCAATCGTCGAGAGACACTCCTGATTGTTGCTTCTACTACTCCGAAAAGCCTCGCTCGGCAGTCGTCAAGCGTACAATTCTCTGCGCCTCCCTACAACAGCATCAAGAGGAGCCCCAACGAGCCCCTTCTTCTTCCTATAGGTATAGGTATACGTTGTAAGTCCTGCTCGTGTTGTTCATTTTTCCAGATCAAAAATCATACTTATTCGAGTTTCGTCAACAATATCGTGGTCGCGCGAAGATGTTATAAGTATAAATTGTACAACTCCAAGTCATTATATATTTATAATTCAAATTCTCAATAAACAGATGGCTCTTGATGTTATACCATCTTATCAGACCGACACTAAGGCAGTTCGCTAATTGCCTAGAAGGTGGTAGACATTCTTGGTCTATTTGGTGGCCTTGTGATGTTGTACGACAGAGAACTCGACCAAGATCATCTAATACTCTTCTAAGAACATAGTCTTAAAAATTGTAATTCTAATTGATTCATCAAGAACATACGACATCGTCAACAAGTACAAGTAAAACTGGCCTTGCTGGTACATGTACAACTACTTTTGTTACAATCTCGAAATTCTCAGCGTTGAAGATGTAGGTGTACAACTTTTATCGGATTGTCTAAATGCATTGAAGCACCGTCAAAACAACCATTGAAGAAGACACATATAAACTTACTATCCGACATTTTCGTAAGCATAATTTTTCCAAGACTCACTACATCAACACTCATTCATTCTCGAAAGAGGAAAAATGAAATCAGACACAGATACAGACTGATGAACTTCACATGAGGTGGATGAAGGAAGAAATATTCTTTTTGACAAGAACTTCTGTAGCTCCAGTAACGAGCTCACATCCTGTAGATGATCGAAGATTCGGATCACCTTTTCTGATGGTTCATGCTGTAGCAACATCAGCATACTATTGAATATACTTGCTGAATCTTCTTCACAAAACGCAGAAACAGACCACGAACAAGAAAAACTTCTACAACAGCGACATGATGGCCGGTTTCATGAACTGTTTTTACACAACGGATTCGAAAGCCAAGAAAAATGAAATGAGCAACAACTCAAATAAGTTGTCAGAAGGAACTACAACTAGTACTAGCACGGATCAGGTGGATTGATGAAAACTACATAACTACTACGTGTCATGTCATGTCAGGATGCCTCGTAGTAATTGGTCTATATCCCAAAGGAGACGTGACGAACCAACTTGGCGACCAAGCACCATGTCACGCCTACGACCGGCAAAGATTCACGCCACTACGACTAGCAGATGCGAGCGGCGCATTTGCTTCTGCTAGAGTCTCCTCCTGACCACTGAGTAGTGCTGTTATAGTTACGTCACCAGGAACAAGATCCTTTTCCTTGTCATCTTTGGTTCTTGTAACAGGAGCAGTCAGTGCTGCCACAGTCATATGCCACGAGCAAAAAGAGAAAACACACACAACATCAGACTGCAACATGATGCCCGCGTATCGTCAACACATTATACATGCTGCATGGATGTTGAGCTTGAGGATGGACATGGATCTCGATCTCCTGCTTATATTGTAAAAAGTCTGTTGCTTGCAAGAACCGACGGCACACGAGCGATGCCTCTCCGAAAAAGATGATTTGAGTCCAAGTGAGAGCGTTGTTCTGTTTGAAACTACCACGACACAAAGTGGCAGCGCTAGCGCAGAACTCAAATCTAGCATTGGTTTCAGAAGTGTTGTTGTTGACCTTCTTGCGGCATGTACGTGAAATTCGAAGCCGAACACATGATACAACAATCCAAATGCTGAGAGCGAGAGCGCCTTGAATGCTCTACCTTCAACGCGTGGACACTTTTGATACAATGCCGGACTCGGGCAACAACCCAAAACCGAAAAAGGGAGAAAGGCGTATGGGCCGCAGTTGAGGTGGTTGCATCACAACATATTTACCACGGCGTCTCGTCAACGGGAAACTGATTTTGCATCACGTCGAGTTAGATAGTTTCACGAGTTGTTTTTTTGAAACACACTTCCTCCACAGCAGAAAAACGTCAATGATGGAACAAAAGCCAATCCCAAAGAACTTCCACAAACGGCGCTCCTTAATGTTCCTCCACTACAACCAGAACCAGCGACTTCGCTAGCAGCTGCATCTGCATCGTTGCACGTACGACCACTCGTCTCTACAGGAAGCAAGCGCAGCTCTGGCCTTAGATGGACGCTGTGGTCAAATTTCTGGAATCTCGGAGGTTGATCTCCTTTAGGTTCTTGTCTACGTCTACTTCGTTGCACTATTTCTACGTCCGATCGCAGCGTCTCCAAGGCCTGGGCCAACGTTATCGAACCTTTTTGTGAATGCTGTCTGGGTCCGGGAGAAGATCTTTCGCTTGCCGAAGATGATGAACAGGTACTGTCATCTGCGCCTGCTTGTCCTTGGGTACAACAACTCCACACTCTCACCACGTTCGATACCGGATCACAGCACACAACTGCTCGACGCGAGGACATGATGGAGCTCCTGCATGACAACGTCGCCACATCGTGTTTTATTCGTCTAGTAGAATGATCTTCTGCAGGATTCTTGACTGTCGTGCTGTCGTCCACCTCGTCTTTCTCCTCATAGTACCACCGTACAGAAGAAGCTGGTGGTGGTCCTAAACTACCACCCTTCTTGTTCTTGGTGACTACATCGTAGAGTTGCGGTCGCACTTGCACTCCGACTTGACAGGGCTCGCCTGGGGAGCCGCGACCGCAAAAGGGACAACAACCAGCCTTAGTGTCGTCGTAGTTCAAGTGAAAAAGTGAGTTTTCCAATCCCGAGAACAAAGGTAGAGGCATCAGTCTGCTGAGGAAGTGTTGCTTGTTAAAGAGGTACTCGTCTCGGGCCATGTAATCTGCCGCTGCCACTGCGCTAAGCTGGTTCCTCTTCATGCATAATGAATCCGAAGATTTGCTGTCGAGGCGGTTGTTGAGCAAGTTTCCAAAGTACGGAGGTAGTCCTCGTGCTTCATGATCGTTTTCATCATGCTCCTCTGGATCTCCTCGTGCTGGCGGAATATCGATAAGTGGGATCAAAAAGTTTTCGTGTACAATACAATTTCCAGAAACACTTGAAGGAGAAAAGGCGTTCCTCGTTATATCGCAGTTCATCTGAGCTCTCGCCTCCTGGCAATCAACATTCGAGTTTGACCGTGTCGAGTCCGTAGAGACCGTACTTGAGGCGTCTTCAACTCCACTGTCACCTCCACCGTGGTCAGTTTCTACCCGCTGAATACCGAGTACTTGGCTGAGGTCGGTTCGCAACTCTTCAGCCACGGATCCAGTTGGACGACCGGCACCGACCCATGCCCTAACCTTTTGCTGCACAGAGGCTATTTCTTCACAGCTGGCTTTTAGTTCTTGGCTTTTCAATCGAGTGATAAAGGTCCGCATCATATCTGACAGGCAGTCAAATTCACAGCCGCGGCCATCGGAATTCTCGTGACTCGGTTTCGTTTTGTTCTTCTTGACTGCTTTTTTTACTACGTCACTCGCTGGCTGTGCTGTAGTGTCAAGAACCTTCGATTGAAGATTTTCGTGTCGGACCCCTGGATGCCAGAATCGTATTAGAAGCACTACACGCCGTTCCTCAGTGTCGTTGCGCACTTCGTGCTCGAAAGAATCGTCGAACAGCATCACTTCCCCCTCTCTCCATGCGCGCCATTCACTACCCACTCTAATCGCACACTTCGGACGCAGTCTTTCACCTCCTTCTTTTTGGACATGTGATGAATCTACTACTCGATCTCCACAACGAACAAAAAGTTCGTCAGGCGTAAATCTAAATGCATTTTTCTGTCTACTTGGAATTGTTTCCTCTGCCCGTCGTGGAATATCCACCCCTAAGTGTGCAGTGAGACGTAGATTGTTCGGTGCACAATGTGGTTTGATGTGTGACCCTGGGGATAGTTGACTGATGATGATCTCGCCTTCTCCTCGTTCTGCCATTTCCACATAACCAGGAATCAACTCGCGAAGTAACTTTCTTGTTTCCAAAAACGGGCCTGGAAGCTCCTTTACTTCCTCGCAGGATCTGGATCTGCTCTGTTGTTCACGATCGTCTTTTTTACGACCTTTTGATGTATCTCCTCCGGCGTATTTCGTATTCTCAGAATCGCGATTTTCACTTCTACTTTCTTGTCCTCTTGTTCTTGATACGGCCACAAGTTTGCTGCAGCCCGCCTTGCTCTCTAGAAGTTCCTTCTTGTACTGTTCGCCCGTTGCACTCGTAAACAAAACGCACTCGTGCCATGAGCCCTTGCCGACCACCTCTCCATCATGCTTTCCCCCTTCACGATGGTTGCCGCCTACTGGCTCCATCTGAAAAGACGCACCATGATCACTAGGATGTCCAACATGTCGTGCATGTAGTCCTCGATCCATTGCCTCTAGCTCGGATTTGACAACCGGAAAGACACGACTTTCAAGCGCTTCTATCCATGAAAACGGTGATCCCGATGATTGAGGATTTCTACTATCACAAGAAGAAGAAATTTCTCTGTCATTATCCGACTCGTTCAAGCTTTCCAACATCGTTCGTGTCCAAAAGGGTCTAGCCAGCAGTTCTGGAAAAAGTATTCCTGGCCGCTGAAAACCAGCCTCTTGTGCACAGGAGATAACCGCATTCGCATTACCGGAGTTATGTCTACTACTATTCGTATTTTTTACTAGGAAAGGCAAAATCCCATGCGCTCTAAACCCTGCTTGTCCGATCAGAAACGCTGTGGAGCTAGCACCCACTGCTTCGAACATTCCCGCAAGTTGAAAGTAAACGCCGAGACCGCATGTCTTAGCGCCTGCGACAGCAATCGCATCTGAGAGCAGCTCGATTTGCGCCACAGCATGTTCAGAAAAGACTGAGCACAGGTCTTTGGAGCAACAGGAGTCACCGGCTTGTGCGGGTAAAACTCCAAGTTGGAGAGCCTGTGGTGGCCAGGAGGAGGCTTCGTCTCTGTTTGCTCCTTCAGACGCGGTTCTTGACGCACTTGTAGTTCTTCGTCTTTTGCTCCAGAGCTGTTTCCGATATAAACGCACTGCACGCGCAGCCTCTTCGATTTCCTCGGGATTATCGGAATCTTCACTCAGAAGACCGACCAGAGACGCGAGCCAAAGGCACTTACGGGAAAGTTGACCACACCGAACGAAATCGTCCTCCTCCAACAATGCAAAGACTTTGCGAATGACGACCAGCTTAGGCTGCCATGGGCTCACACAAGCGATCTGAGCGCCCTCCCCGTTGATCAGTGCCTCACCCCAGATAGACGAAAACCTCTGTTGCCGACCAACATCTCCGTCTCGCTCATATTCCGATACAGACATATTCCCAGCCGCGGCCTCGTGCGCGGGAAAAAACAGAGATGCATAGGTGGGTTGTCGTAGTGTTGTCGCTAAAAAACTTATAGCTTTTTCGCTTATGCGGCCAGCATTGTCTAGGGCGAGCAACGGCCGCCCGACTCCTTGCGGAGCGTTTGAGTTCCTATTCGAATTCGTGCCGACCATTGTTTTCTGCCCGTAAAAAACCTACAAAACTACACTGCTGTCGCGTTACTCATCATCATGACAGAAAAGCGGCGAGCTCAAGCATTTCTTTAGTTTTTCATTTTCTTAGCCCGTACGGGAAATCTCTCCTGTAACAATGAATTAAGTATCACCACCCCACCTGGACAAGAATTACTCTTTTGTTTTGATCGTGTTAAAAAGCATTTCACCTCTGAGTAGGTGTGGTTACACAGCCTAACGACATTTTGGATTTCCTTGTCCTAATGTGCTTTTGCTCAAGAAGTCCTCAGATCGCACTCACAAATCCTTCTATTTTTGACACGTCTTTTGCATTGGTCTTGAAGCATCAAGATGATCGATTACGAGGTGGAGTGAGCTACTTACGGTGGGGTGAGCTACTTTCTCGTTCTCCTAGTACAGTGTTCTGCTCTGTTCTTGTAGAGATCTTGGAAGAAATTGATGATCTGCATCTTGCTTTTTCACAAGAATGATAGGCGGGTCGCACTTTCACTTCCTCTTGAGTGCATAGCAAATCACGCTGAAAGCTCTCGTTGTTCTCCGTTCGCTGAAGCTATGATCTGTTCTTCCAGCGAGTGGCCCTCATGGAGGAAGAGGTTTTGGTTATGGTTTTTAGTTTCTTCAATTAAGTACTTCCTACAACATGAGGATGAATGAATGTTGGAAAAAACAATCCAGTGGCAATCACAGGAAAAAACATCGTTCCGTCCGTGCATTTTTTAGTCCGATATTGACGATAAGTAGTAGTTGTTTTTTGTAAGAGAACATGAGAAGATCTTCTCTAGTCTAGAGCTCACGCCTCGCCTCCCGCAGTCTCGCCCTCAAGAATTTCGATCGCGTTCTTCAGCCCATCCATCTCATCCTGCCTGCGCCTCTGCCGTTCCTCGAACGTGGATGCCTTTGTTTCGCACTCCTCTTTAATCTTGTCCACGTAACCGTGGGCGGCTGTTGTTAGATGACAAGAAAGTAAAGTAAGTACCTCGAAGACAATAACGTGAGTTTCTGGTAGTCCTCCTCTGATCCCAAACCCAAATATCAGTCATCACGCGATAGAAAATCTACCTATCTTCTGTCATTTTCTCTTCTCCTCTCAAGTAGGTGGATCTTGAAAATCGATTGGTTGCGATCGACACCGAAATGAAACATCCAGGACTAAGCATAACTCTTCTTCCTGCAAGGCATTCGTCTCGTCCGTCTCAGTATCACCAATGGACTTTTCGAGAGTCACGACTTGCTGCGCTAGACCCTTAATCGTTTGCTTCGTGACCGCTATCTCCTCTTTGTAGTCCTGCATTTTCTCCTTGTAGGCAGCTACCAACCCTTGCTCCAAATTCGTCACATCAATCGCAGTATGAAGGGGCAAAAAGAATTTTCTAGTTGGATTTGGATAGGCAATTTCACCAGGTTAACAAGACTTCATGCTGATAATCTGCAGACGTTGAACTAAAAGTAGTTATATTGGGTGGAATTCTAGTCGCACCAGCTAAATACTTCTAGGACTAGCAGAGAAGATATAATTAGGTGGAATCTAATGGTTTTAGTACTACGGTACTCTTGGCATAAGTAAGTCTCGGGTAAGTAGTCTTCATTCTTGTTCTTCAAGATCAAGAATTAGAATCATGGGTTTCCATAATTACTTTTAGCGTAATCCGCTTCAGCTGTTTCTAGGAGTGATATCACTTGGTCCGCAACTCCCGACCCAGAAGCGCCGCCGGAATCCGATCCGGCAAAGTACTCCTGTAGTGCCTCAACAGCTTTTCCACACGCTTCTTCGTTTGCTTGTGCGGTTGAAATCTCTTCTTCGTTCTGCTTCTTGTTAACTTGCCTCAGTTTCGTGATGCGTTTGATGTCGTCATTGAGCTCTTTGAGACGCTGTTCTAACTGTGCACTCTTCTTCTGCAGTTTCTGCTTTTCTGCGCTCGCTCTCTCTTTTCTCGCCGATAATTTTTCTGCCTCCGCGCGCTTGACCTTAAGGTCTTTTGCGCCGCGCAGTTTTTCTTTCTTGCAGTACGCATTCTTATCGTTCTCGCCCGCCATTTCCTTCTCCAACTTCGAAATCATGGAGGATCGGACATGAAACAGAGTGGGGATCATGATTAGTGTACAGCGATAATATAGCCACTAGAGTGAAGAAAATCTTCGGTTTTATTTTTTGGCTCACCTCAGCCAGTTGCATTAAGAGTAACTGGCAACATTCATTCATTCATTTACCTGTTCTAGAGGTATCCAATCGTGCGAGAGGGCACAGGAGAGGTCGTTCTGCTTGGGATTTATTCGTTTTTAGTACTGGTGGCACCGATTTTGCCATAGAGCATCTGTTTGACTTTTCCGAATGGACCTTCCGCTACTCGGATTGACACTTGCGCCAGCGAATCTAGCCGCCCGCCCAGCCTGCTTGCCAACTTCTGTAGATAGATGCTAGCTTCCGTCTGACGTTGCAGGTTGCGCTCCAATCGCATGCTTGACGCTGCTCGTGTCGACGCCTGCATCTGCAGAAACGACGTGGTCATCGGTGGCGTCGAAATCGAATGCGTCGTCGAGTCCGCGATCTGCAAGAAGTCGGGAGCCTTTTGTAGGATGCCCATCGCGGTTGTTAGCGCTTTGATTTCAGCCGCAAAGTCGGCCTGTTCTTCGTCGAACTTCATAGTAGCGATCCGACACTTGGTTGCGCTGTCCTTCAGTGTCTTCTGGCTTTTGGCGCCAAATTAGAAGGGCGGAAAGCGAGAAGCATGCTTCATCGGGGGCAGTCACAGGATTCAGAAACAGATGTTGCTTGGCCAAAAACAATTTCATAAATAGGTATTTTCGAAGAATCACTGAAATACGTGGTCACATTACGACTGTGAACAACGCTATCGACATCTTCGAGCAAAACTCAAATACAACAAACCCCCGCATAAATCTCTTCATTTAGAGTCGCTATCGCACCTTCCGCCTTAGCCAGTTTTTCTTCTGCAGCTGCTTGCTTCGTCTTCTCTCTAGCGATGAGATTCACAGTATTTTCCAGTTTGTTGGAGAGTTGTTGGATCAGCAATTGCTTCCTCATCTGATTTTCGCTCCACTCCTGTTGCCTCTGATTTCGACTCGCGATCTCATCCTGCATGAATTTCTCAAACAACTCGATCACACCATCCATGGAGGACCCATCGTCACTGAAGGTTAGAGAAGAAGGGGTAGTAGCAAAGAAACTACAGGTTAGTTGGGGTCGTGGAGTTGGCGTGAAGTAGAAGCAAGTGCAGGATGGTGCACACCACTCACACTCATATTTAAGTAAGTAACTTACAGCCCACGAAGGCCCTCATAAATCCATCTGCTTTTGCTGTAGCTGCAGTAGGCTTTCCTTATTCGCGATGGATACGAAAGACGCGCGCGTCAACGCCGCTAGTGCTTGTTGCACTGCGTCCACCGACTGGGTTTGCAACAGCTGCGCTCCCTTTCCCTCAGCCTCTGCTGCCTCAGCCTGTCGCTTCTTCACTGATAGTGCTCGAATTGCACGCCGCAGAATATCCACTGTTTCTCCGCTTTCCTTGTCGAACGCAGCAAACTCAGCCTTCTCCTCTTTGAATAGCTTCTTCTCTTCGGCCAGGTCCTTTCGGACTTCCTGCTCACGCTCACTACCTTGCGAGAGCGCGTCGGCTGCTTTCGTCGTCAACGCGGCGGCTTCCTCCTTGTTGGCCTGCTCACTTGTCAGCGAAATACCTGAATTCTTGGCTCCTCCACGACTATTTGTTCTTCTGTGAGCAAATCGAGGACAAATTCGATTTCGAAGATCGACATTCGGTAGAAAGCATTCATCAGTAGAAAGACGAATCATGATAGACGAGCGGCAGGAAATAAGATTCTCTTTTGACCTTAAGAACGATTTGTACCCAACACTGCAAGCTCTTTTTCCTCTTGGATTTTGGTCGTTTCACAGTCCTGCTCCAACTGGTCCTGTTCTTCCCGGGCCTTCGCAGCTTCGGATTCGCTCTGCTGCCGCATTCCTTCTAGCATTTTGACCACCGATCCGATGCTCGGGGTCCCTGATTTCGTCCCACTGACGCCAGAAGAAATGCACGATGCCGCTGCCAGTACGCACGACAGAAGTCCACGCCGAGAACGGGCTCCCAGCGGCAAGGCGGAGCGAGACCGCTCATGAATCATTTTTCTTGCAGAGTGAAAAACGCTACGAGTAGTCAATCAAAATTTTGTTTGTTTTTCCATCTCATTTCTTGTGGATTGCGAGTGGAAGAAGTTGACACAATGGTATTGTAAATGAGTGAGCAGTTACAGCTTCCTTCCAGGGCCGCTTCTCGTCGCACCAAAATTGACAGAAAAGCTTTCCCTCAAATACAATTCATCAGCAACTAAACCATCTCTGCGCCGCGACTCGGAAAAGGCAGCTCTCTCTTGAGGGTTTGCTTATTCACATAGTCAACACACATTTCCTTTTCTCCGTCCTCTTCAATGACCTATGGGCCTGGGCAGCGGAAATGCTCCCAAGTTGTCGCGTGAGCATCTCGATGAACACTCACTTCCGTATCCAAATGCCATGTGCAGAGGTGGCGATTTTCGCGCAATCGCCACCAGCATTCGAGTTCTTATCATGCAAATATAGGTCGCCACTCTAGCAAAAGAGTGGGGGAGTCGTGCACGTACACGTACATTAGCGCTTTTGTCTACTTGGGGTGTCCTACAAGCACAATACAACAATTAACGCATCGGTTCGCATCTAGCTGCGATATTTTCTCCACTCCTCGTTTGATCTTTGCTGTGATGTCCCAATCGGAGACTGGTGGTCTCAAGATGTACAACTGCTAGCTGATATCGTTGTTGTTCTGTTACTGTCATGTGGTCAGATGTACTACCTGATCTCCCGACGTACTAGCTGAGTACTGTAATGTGTTCAGGCAGAAATCTCATGGTTTCGCTTGCTCAGTGACCCACGAGCGTGGAATTCACCGAAAAAGGTATGCTCATCATGCTAGTACGTTCCTCATCTTGATATATCGGCGGATGTGTAAGATCAATAACCAGAGAGCCTCAGATTGATCTTTTCAAATTCGTCAGAATGGCAGAATTCTCTAGTGTTTCTCTTCAACCGTGATCAGATGATACGATGAAGGTGTAGATTTCTCATCACAGTATTCACCCGGCTTGTTCTGGCGGCGATCGCGCTGATTGTGGCGGGCTATTGAAAGCAGAAGCGACGCGTATATCACGCCCCACCTATGCAGTCTGCTTGTCCTCATCATGTTGTCCGCCTGCCCGATTGTTGTTGTTGGGCGATGAGAATTCGAGTTTCGAGAAGTGGTCAGATATCTCATGTAGACATTGTTTTCCGGCACTCAACGCGGAAGGCTCATGCCTGAAGAGGTATTGCATCACGCTTCCCGTAGGCGATGAAGCAGCATCTGCTGCTGCTTGCATGTGACGTTTGCTTTTCGTGTAGACGTTGTTAGGGATGTTCATCAGTACTGAAGGAGTGGCGGATGATTGCGAAGGGCGCCCGCTAATAGCGGCTCCTGCGGAATCCACTCAGATGCCTGCTCGCGGAAAGTTCAAACACGAACGTGTTGCGCAATCCACTCGGATGCGGTAAGTAAGTTGAAGCAGGAAAGTCAGACTTCGCGTCTCTTCATGGGCATGGGCAACCCAGCCCAAGGACTCGGAGAAACCACAGCACAAAACACGAAGAACCAACTTGTCATCATGGACATATTCATTCAATTGAAGATCCAAGGTCATAAGACAATAAGTAGCGAAACTCCAACATGTGTACATTAAGTTGTGATGTTCGATGATGCGCGCGTTGTTGAAGTGAATACAGGTGGATTAAATACCACGAGTGGATACTTGTCGACAGCCGCCCTGTGCCACTACACCATTTAAGACAGGCAGTATCAGCTACACAATGGCCGGACATTGATCTAGCTCATATGAATCCCACCACCGCACAGGAAAATCAGAAGTGGGCTAGTAACAGAGCGGGCCTGAGATGTTGACTGACACATTGAAGACAACCGATTTCTGTGAGCATTCTGGAGATAACAGGTAGATCCTGCAAAATGAACCTGCGAAAGAACTCTCTTACCTGGCTCACAAGCGGGAGGGTCAGCCGGTCTTCGAGGCCCGGGCTGAAGCGGCAACCAACCGCTGCCGAACACATCCAGCAGATTCCGGCGGACCCTGAGTGTGCGCCTAATGAGGCTGCCGCCGTTGAGGGTTTGGTCCGATCGGCTGCCTGCTTTGCTGTTCTCATAATTCCGCGATCGCACGCCAACAACACCCATAACACAACGCACATTATTCGACGACTCCCTAAACACAACGAGAGCACATTTCCTTACACAGGCGCTAGGCATCCACTCAACATATGCGCGGAAAAATTTGTGAGGCACATCCCTCGCAAAGAGATTACACACCCAATCGCAGGCAAAACTAAAACTACAGGCATCGCGAATGCACCACGTGGCTGCCGATGTCATCATACTCGTTCCGCCAGACGCACATTTTCCCGAAATTCGGCATCTGTGCTAAGACAGCAGCGCCTTTCCATACAACCTGGATTGAAGGGAATTGCATGAAATTCTCCTTTATGAATACCTGTGCCTGAATTTTGTTCTCATTGTCTGAGAGAATGTAATAAGTGGCAAGAAGATTAAGAGCGCATCTGCAAGAAGAAAGTCAGAAGCTAATACTTGTTTTGTTGTTGTTCGTCAACCACCTTGGTGTCTGATTCTGACCTATAAACAATGCTTCATCATGGTGACATATCTAGAGGAAAGAACGAACAAGAGTGGTAAAAACCAGCAGTCAGACAATACTTGTGCAATTTTGGTAGTCACCAGCAGGCAGATGCCAATCTGATCCTCCTTCGAGAAGAGACATCACAACAGAGCTACGACAGTGCAAAAATGATTACGCTGCTGAGAAAACGAGGCAAGATGAAGCAAGCTCAGACAAGGCTGAAACTAATGAGTGTCTCATCATCTGATATCAGACAACGAGTGTACTAATGTTTTATCATCATGGATGAACAGGCGAGGGGATTGGAAAGCAGGGAGCTGAACACGAAAGTCGGTACCGTCGGATCAGACATGGAGGGCCAGGAGACCCAAAGGATTGCTTCTCCGCACGCAGTATCTCGGTGCGAATGGCTCAAATCCAGCAGTCATCAGGACACAGAGTTGAGGGGGCCAAAGCAGCAGTGGAAAACAATCCTCCGCAGGAAAAACATGAAGAATCAGAGACTAGTTGACTCCACTGTGTGCGTCGACTAAAACGCGTCAGCTCTAGTAGCTGTAAAAATGTCTCATCATGAGGATTAGGGAGGTGAAAGAAAAGCATGTCCTGGTTGATATTTGAGAAATCAGTAGGGGAATCCAGTTTTACATCAGCAACACATCAAGACAAAGCATTGCGATATAATGGATAGGTCATCACGTGAGAGGCACCCCTTGACAGCGAGACGCAGGAAGAGTTACGGAAGACTGGGAATGCACGTTTTGGAAGAGTCAGTGGCATGTCCCACAATATTTCATGTAACACGATTTGTAGCATGACGGGACAAGTCAGTAGGGGAATCCAGTTTTACATCAGCAATACATCAAGACAAAGCATTGCGATATAATGGATAAGTCATCATGGGAGGTGGCAGGGTGCGACAGCGAATTCCAGGTCGAGGGCCAGAAAAAGAGACGAGGCTAGAAGAGAGGAGAAAGAGCTCGCATAACGTGCGCCCACGACATGATCAAAGGTATGTCGTGCCGCAATACACGGCGATCTCTGGAATGCGGCAACTCAGTAGGGGAATCCAGTTTTACATCAGCAATACATCAAGACAAAGCATTGCGATATAATGGATAAGTCATCATGTGAATGCGATTCGCTTCTAACAGGGCTGAACTGTCAGGAGGCGGATCCCTTTTGATATTCCATTTGTGGTACTGAAATAGGTTGAGGTTTTGGTAAGATGCTGTCAGATCTGCAGACGACAAATTGTTCCGCACCGCTCGAAATGAGCTCGGTGGGAATCCGACGCACGAAGGCGAATCATCATGATAGATAGGCTCAAAGATTAGGATTTTGGCTGAGGAGTAAGAGAGTCGAATGATTATAACAAACCCACGCATTTCAAATAATACAAACAACTTACTTAATACATATCTGCGCGTTTCGGGCAACAGAACGCGAGGCTGGCATTTCGGTGGCGCCAGTCGCGTCAATTCGAACTGAAGCCGCTCTGGTAGACCAGGAAATAACGTTGTACCACCGGATAATACGACGTTGTAATACATATCCCGCCGCAAATCAATATCCACAATTTTGATACATCGCGAGACCTGCTCAGCCACGCCGGGAGCTTCTTTTCCTGTTAGAGCAAGATAATTATCTAATCTATTTTTGTTTCAGCTGTCAGTCCTATCGATTCTTCTGTAAAGTCCACACTTTGCATTCGGTTGCCAAGCGTTCAAAAAACATTCTCATCATTGTAGCTGAATCAAGAATATGCTACTGCTGATGGTATCCAGAGCCAACCGGTGCACTCTATGGAACGATGAACACGCTTGATCGTGGGAAGGGGCGAGAGTAGAGAACGGAGACAGTCGCTGCTTGAGCGCCCCGGTGAAGAGAGAAGTACGTTGACCACCTTGATCTCAATGACACTAATTCGTGGTACCATGCAGTAGGGTTTGCCAGTTCAGTCCTATCGATTCTTCGGTGAAGTCCACACTTAGCATTCGGTTGCCAAGCGTTCAAAAAGACACTCTCATCAGTTTGGCTGAGATATTATCTTTCATATCCGTCGCATCCACATGCAGGATGCGCATGTGATCGTGGAAACGACGAAGGGGAAGACGTAGGAGTGATTTTTGCTGATGAACGATCGTATTGCAAAAAACAAAAAGTGAATTAAGGTGATCTTGGCAATGCTTGGTGGTACGATGCAGTAGATCTCCTTGCTAGTTCAGTCCTATCGATTCTTCGGTTGAGTCTACACTTGGCATTCGGTTGCCAAGCGTTCAAAAACATTTCATCATGATTGACCTCCGGTTGTGGTGTGAGATCTTGATTTCGGATGAATGATCTTGCTCTGGCAGGTCAATAACTTGGGCGAAGACCTTGTGCAGATGGATGCAAAGGTGATAACATCCAAGCGTGTAAGTTTAAGTGGTTACCTATAAGCATCGGCTTGAACAGTGGCTCCGGTGTGAGGAATCGCTCTTCTGCTATGGTTACTAGTCGGCCGTCGGGTAATTCATAATCCAACTCCATTTCGCTATTCTTTTGCACTTTCTGCGTCTCAGCGTCGACGTCGAGTGCTACCTGGGAAGAGAAGGCCAAGCAGTGACTGCACTCCACTTGGAGAAGCTGCCCGAATGATCTGCGGGCAGCCTGCGTCGTCTGTGCGTAGACTGACCAGTCTAAGGTTCGTGCGCAAAGAGTCATGTTGCTGTCCGCAGTACATCGTACCGCGCACGTGAAACGGACAGCAACAAGAGCCCCTCATAACATAACATTATTTATCCGTTTCGGGCTACCGCGACGCCTTCTCGTGGTGTCATCTCCTATACAACAATTGGCTATCAAGATGAATGCTTGTCTTCCCTTGATAGTGATACGACTCCTAACAATCTTAGGGTAGTCGACCGTGGAGAGAGAAGATTGATCTGCGCGTCAAGCGGCACTTGAATCAAATATCCAGCCCCGAAAGAGCTTTGAAACAAGTGCTTGACAGTTGACGCGGAAACAAGAGCTGGACCACGATGTTCTTCAAGGAAGATCCCATCTTTGATGATCCATCAACGAGAACGACTGTAGTGAACAAGAGAAGTGTCATTCCCTGCGAAAGGTGCACCGCTAACGCGACACACCATGGCCAGCAGAAAACAGCATATTCTGCGCGCCACAATGCACTCTTTCCGGCGAAAAGCCGCCATCTGAAAAGAGTGCTTGACGGTGACGCGGCATCTTGCCATGATCCCTATGTGCTGTCGTGGGCGTTCGAAGGAGTTACGTAAGCGAGAGATCTTAGCTATATGCTTGTTGTTCGTGCACGAAAGTTCACGCCCTTTCAGATGTCTCCCAGAACTTTTGTTCACTTCATCGATCTGAATGTCCCGATGTCCACTCTATTGTCAAAAAAAACAATGAAAGACCATGTATAATTACGTAGCACAGCTGCTCTTTCATCTTCCCAAGCAAGTCTCTTTCCGAAGAAGTCTCGAAATTGAAGCCTCGTCGCTGCATCAACAATCGCATATTCTCGGTCAAGTCTCTACCTGCTAGGTCCAATCGCTGCACTGCATGCGGAAATGAAATGAGAGAGGACGGTGAAACGCTCAGCCTGAGGTAGCAGACGATAAGGAAGTATATTGTAAGACCCGGGGTTGTGACGCAGTCAGTCTGAAAGAAATTCGCTATCCAGTCATACCTAGGTCAAGCGATCGAGTAAGTACAGCCCCCGGGACTTGGGGTGCGTAACAAAACGTGAACGTGATATCCCACTCACCTACTTGCTTATACTGTGTAGCAACACATCACCTGTCAGCATACAAGCAAATCCCTCATATATCGGCACAACGTGCGTCACGCCGTCTCCTGCATCTACCACAACGCCCGTGGTGCGGCCCATGCTGTACAGCGACATCACTGCTTGAATTACAACGCAAACCGCTGGTGCTCCGAAAGAGTCAAAGAGAATCTCCAACATCCGTTCGCGGTTCTTGCGCGGATACCTGTTAGAGGCATGCCATATGCGACAGCCACTCAACGCGAGATCTTCCCGCGACTGGCCTTCCAGTGTCCACTAGCGAACACTGGCCATGCTGTTTAAAACATATTTACTTCCATCCCCATAATCAAAGGAGCCTCTGTGAGCAATACTGGGTGATCCTGCAGGTTTGCTCCGAGACGCAGCTCGGAGAGAAATAGATGGCGCCAGACGCGCTCCATGTCCTCCCAATCTGTAACTATACCATGGTGGATCGGATAACGGAAGTCGCTAAGTCCTCTTTTAGCAATAGCATCGGACCTCTGTTGTTGGACAAGGTTGACTAGGTGCTATCCCAATCAGTGCTGAGTAACCTCTAAGAGAGTGCGTAGGTGTGATGATTAGAACCCAAGTCGTGTTCTTCGCGAGCCCTACAAACCTTCACCATTATTCAACAGAGCAACACAAAAGCATATCACAGACATGGTCGTTTACCCGACGAAAATCTCCGGCTTGGCGCCACTTCTGTCTGCTCCGGAAGCACGCACATGCGACTTGAGTCTCGCCACAACGTTAGGCATGACGACTGTCGGCGCATCGGCACATGCTAGACCAGCTTTGATATGACCAGTCCCGTTGTCCAACACAAGCACTGCATCTCCAAATTCTGAATCATCGTCGCCGTGTTGTTGCTTCCCCTCTCTACGGGAGGGGCTCGCAAGAGAACTGGAACGGGACTCCGGCATGATGGCTCACGTCTGAGCCTGGCGGGACTTGGTTTCTTACCGAGCAAAGTTGAGTGATCTTTTTCGGAAAGAAACACAACTCGCTTTTCAACTTCCTCGCGATTAACATTAACTAACCGTCGGCGTTGCGCAGTGAGCACCATATGATCTTCCACACGGATCTTACGAGTTTCAAATCAATGATCAGATGAGATTGAGAGCGTCTTATTACTTTTCTTTGCTAGTTTTGATCGTGGAGCCGTTCATCTATCACTCTTGGCGTCGGAACCGGTCTTATTATGTTCCTGTCACCATTTTGAACGTGTTGCAAGTAGGGCAATGCTCATGGGGATCGGGGACGAGATTTTCATTGAAGCAATAGGAAACGGAAGGGTGGTGATGAGCTCTCTCCTTTAGCATACTCTGATCCCTCTCCTTGGGTCTCAGCGCAAGCAGCTCCCTCGGGAGTCGCACCTCTTCCGCACCACCGTTTTCTTCGCAGCTGTCAGTAAGGTCCACGCTCGGATATCACCTACCCTGCGAAACTTTCTCGCGTCATCGAACGAAGCATGGACACGACCCGACTACGATCGCGCTCCAACATGTCAAAGCGCGCGCAATCTAGTACGCGAGGCGTTTGCGCGCGTTGGGGCCTCGACCAGGTCTTTGCGTGTGTCTGGCGGCTCTCTTATGGCTTTTCGGTTGGACTTCCGTGGGTCTTGCAAGTTCTGCGCGACCGCTCGGCAACCCAATAGAAAAACCGAAAGCGGCTCATGAGTCGACGGCTCGCGCCAATTCCCTGCCCATGAGTCGACGGATCTGAGTCGGCCAGCGCCGGCACTCAGCTCGCGGCGTAGTCAATTCGTAGAGTACAACAGCCCACCCGCGGGCTGTCTCTACTCTCGCGGCTGTTACCCGCGGAAAAAAATTTGTTTTCAAGCGAACGATGGTTATGAGCTTGTAACTATTGCCGTTACCGCAGCTGCGTCCACACCACAATTCTCAAATTAATTTAAGATACTTCTAGTCTTTGAAATTATATTTAAAAGTAGTATCCGTTGGTATTACTAGCTAAGCGGCCTGAGGTGAAGATCAGAGTTCTTTACTACCCGATGAAGATTGAGTAGGAGTGTCGAAATCACGAAAAACCAGATCAATTAACAACAGCTTCAAGACTAACCAAGAATGAGACGAACAGCAATCAAAACAGCCCCATTGATACTATCTAAATAAAAATAAAACGAAGTGTTATTGTTCACACAATCGAGTAAAACACGATTGAAATTCCTATAGTTAAGGATAAGAGCCTGGAACTGGAAGTTAGGAAGTAGATAAAACCAGCGAATAATACGGGTGGAGCCAAGCTAACTAGGATAAAAGGTAAGGTTAGGTAAAGGGTATATAAGTACAGAATTATAGTAATGGCCAAGCTAAGTAGGATCCGTCTATTCTAGGCGCCGCGTGTCGTCCAACCAGTGAATAATTTCAAAATCATCAAGAACAACAGGAGAGAAAAGGGATGACTTCAAACTTAAATCCTGTGTACAATTTTCAGGTGTACTTTGTTCCCACCCTTGAGCCCATACGCTTACCTCTACATTTTTCCAAACCGACACGCATTCCCACACCACCAGGAATTATGATCCTAAGTTAAATTCTTTATAGGAGCCACCGTCGCGTCACCTTCCCCGGCGCAACAGGTCTTCCAGGCGAAGAAGCCGCCCACCAGGACACCGACCGTGGCGCTAATGCAAACCAGCACCATCGTTAGCGACGAATCGGACTTCGAGTCGTCTTTCTTTTTCGGCGCCGCCTTTCCTCCGGCATTTCCACCTCCGGCAGCTGCTGTATTCGTGGTAGTCGGGACCGCCAACGCGGCGACCTGAGCGTCGAAGCTGTGCGACGCGAGCGACATTCCGGCCTCGGCAGTCGTGATGCCATCGCTTACCGCAGTTGCGATGGAAGCTGTGGTGAGCGAAGGAGATCGGCCCGCGAGGCAGCGACCATATCGTTCTTGGCAGATGCGATGGCTGTGCTGCCGCTAGACGAGATCTCGAACGTCGCGTCTTTTGAGAGGGATTACTCTAATCTCTGCTAAGTGTAAGTTTGACTGTAAGATATTAACTAAGCGAAAGTCGTCAACCGGCATTTCAACCAGGTCACGGCGCTGTGGTCACGGCGCTGTCGTCGGGCGAGGATACCGGACCAGGACATCGCGATTGAGGTGGTCACACCGTTCTCGCCAGTCGGGGACTTGCAGTTAGCCAACGTGGAGAACGGCCTACCAGCGCCGACAACCGGACCGCAACAAGCCTCGTGCACCGACGTGAAGATAGCTGCCTTCACCGTGGTCTTCTCGGATGCGGTCATGCTCGTCGGAAGATCTAAGGCCAATTCGAGAGTTGTGGTGTACTTCATGACTGTGTGTGCTGCGGAATTAGCGGTAGAAGCTGGCGCAGACGTGCTGCTGTCGCAGCCAGCATCGTCGGCGCGAGCGGAGTCGCTCAACCAGGTGCTGCTGCCGTCGCGGCAACCCCCCAGTCACCTGCGTTCGCACGCTTCGAGAGTTGCGATAGTCCAACTGCGCCAGAAACGCCCTTGACGTTCCCCACGTAGTGTTGCGTCAGGTCCCAACCGCTTGGCTGAGCCTCAGATGACGGAGTCATCGAAGCCGCTGAAGTAGTGTCTGATGACGTTGGCAGTGCAGCTGTCTCTGTCGATGACGTTCTCAAGCCAGTTCTGCAGGTAGTCTGTTCGAACGGTTTGATTCCAACCCGGAAAGTACGTAGAAGCGGCGAAAACGATGGCGCTATGAACCAACTCCAACGGGTCACGATCGTTCAGAATGAGCTTGTCCGAGTTTTTGATGTACCACGTCGCTGCCCCAGTATCGCCGCCGCAATCGAAGGATATTGCACAATACGAGCTGCCGGACTGCGCTTTGCTTGCGGTGTAGTGTGCCGATGTGGTCTTATCCATGCAGCGGATCTTCACGGTTGCATCATTCGGGTTCCTTGGCGTGCAGGCAATGCCTTCATGTTCGAGCCATGCGAATTTGACGCGTAAGCAGAGGCTGTAGTGTTCCAAACCGCGGTTGCATCGGGAAGCCAGTCGCAGTTCGGCCACACCTTTCGTTGGAGGCTGGCAGAGACGGACGGCGGAAATGTCGCACGGCTGAAAGTCCAGTTGCCCCGCCGAACCGGCCTCGGAGCACGCTTGCCACCAACCTGGTAAGCCGGGAATGCGCGGTCATCCTCGCTCTCGCCGTAGCCCCAAAAGGTACCTGGTAGTACTTCCGTAATCACCTTGCTCTCGAACTTTCCCCACGCGTTCCCTGCGATCTTGCCGTGTCGTGCCTTCCCGCTACCGGGAGCAGAAGTCGTGCACTCGTCCAGAAATACCACCGCCGCATCCATGTGGTGGTCCAATCCCATCGTGCCGGCAGCGGATACTTGGCCAGTTATGGAGTTGGCGTAGTTGAAATCCGCGGAAATCACCTCGAAGCCCTTATTTAGCGCTCACCCCAATCCATCCTGGGATCCCTCTCGGGTCTATTTTCCCCTTATGAGACAGCTTCGACATGCTTCTGGGGAAGGATCAGGGGGAGCCTTAACTTATGAATGAAGACCTTGTAAATCCCCTGTCGTGCCAAGGATATTCCTGGTGCAAGTTCCGTTCTCGAGGGCGAGGCAAGGATTAGAGGTAGCACTTATTGTTAGTCGCATTATACCTGTTTCACTTCAGTTGAAAGTGAATGAGAATGTCCATATAATTTTCAGCGTCCCTTACACAATCGAAGTCCCTTTCTTTGACAAGAGATGGTTCTTATTCAAGATCAAGATGGGTCACACCAAAAGAAGATCACCAAGACGAACAATTTACCTTAGGGTAGGGAATTCGCTGACCGAGTCCGCCTCGCGAGTTCGCAACATTCAGCGTGCCGGTTGACGCCTTCTCGGATCCCTCCTGGGAGCAGCGTCCTGCAGTCAGGAAGACACCCTCCGGAATGAGACCACCACTGCAGAACGAAGCAAGGACATCGTCGCTTCCCGCCAGGCAATCTCCGTACCGAGGAGTGACCTCTGACTCGTCCAGTCGCATCATAAAACCGACTGGGTAAGGAACTTCGGCTTTCGAGCCCATCACGACCGTCCCCTTGTGCACTGCCACGCAGTACGGGACGAGAAGCGAAACTGCGCAGGCAGATTTTCACATGGTCATGGTCGCGGGCGTGAGGAGCGCCATAATTGAAATTTAAAATCGAAATAACCAACAAGCAATCAGCTGGTTGCGCAAGATTCTGTGTACAAGTACAGGACCTTGCACAGCCTTCTGCGGGTGGCAGAAGGTCCTTCCTATAGTTTTCGTTTCATCACCAGGCGTTTCATTTTATTCAGGTACGAAAAAATAAATATTTGAACTGTACTTCAATTTTCGTTTTCACGATTCTGCCCTTCGAGTCACAACATCAAATAACTCTCGTTCCTCTCCACTTTCGTTATTGCCCTTCAAATATAATAGATGCACGCTCCGATAGTTTTTTCGCGAGAAAATCTTTCTTTTTCACCCCTTTGTTGTGGGTGCATCGACCTGCCACTGCCTTGTTCCGCTTCATGATAACGTGCAGCCGTAGGCAGTTTTTTGTCTTCTTATCAGGAACTACTCAGTACAGGCAAGTGCCAGCCCAGAGGTCGAAAGTGTGCAGTCTCTGAAAAACCCTGGATTGCAACTGGTTGTAAGTACAGCGCCAAGTGGAGGGAAGGAAGTTGAATCATGGCAGAAATTCAAGCCTAGTAGGAGGGGTAATCATGTTTGATTCTTGTTGGGTAGTTTGACTTTCGGTTTCGGTTTGAGACTACCGTCATATCGGAAAGACAGAGTTATGTGTGGACTCTCCACCCGAACTACTTCTCTGTCGGACCGTAAGTCGCTAGAAGCAAGCATATCTGCTGAACCATGTTGAGGATCTTAGTTGCCATGTTGAGGTCGTTTGCCGGTAGGTTGCTGTACATTTTCATTAGCTCCCGTCGCTTCTCGAGCAGCACGTCTGTTTCTGTCCGCGAGAACGTACTCAGATCGTTGCGTCGACGTAACGGGGAATTTACGTCCCCAACGCGATGTTGTCCTCCGAATCTATCTACCCCTTGAATTGAGGTTTCCGCCTCCGTGTCGATGCTCATCCTCGTCTTGCAACCAGCTGCAGCAGATTGTAAGCCGTGTAGTCGCTTTTCCTCAAACAATATTGCGTCCTCCTCTGCTTGCATTTCTGCCACTTTGTCTTTGTCGACGTCCATCTCGTCATCAGCATTCATGCCGTACAATGCTGCACTCTCCTCTGCAGTTAAAGTACGCACAACAGCGGAGCCCATCGCCTGTGCTCGTTGCACCTCCGACTCAACAGATCGAGTCACCACATCCACTAAGACGGGTCGCTCCTCTGGCGTTGATCGCTCTGACGGAGTCGTGGATGTCTCCTTCATCTTCAGCTGTCCTTCTGCATTTCCTCTGTTTGCTGAGGACGGTTGTGGTCTACTCTTCATTTGCTCTTGTCCTTCGTTTTTTTTTACAAAGACGGTGTCTGCTGCTGGGTCTGGGTACAGCCGGCAGACGGGACGACAAGAAACGCAAACTGTCTGTCCGTCTCGGGACCGTACGAGCGGGCACGAAGGACTCTCAGGACAAGTCTCGTTCAACATGCACCATCCCCGCAACAAGTAACTCGCGATGCTCGATGATTCCGTCATTTCTATCTAAGAACTCCTCGGAGTTGGAGGTCGCAACTACAACTACAGTCTCTACTTATAGGCTACTAGTACAACACGTCTCAACAACTTCTCTACCCTAGTAAGTACTACTTCTTGATATTAAGTATGACCCAGAAGTGATTCCAATATACGTGTTGAAGCGTTTGATTGATCCGATGATCAAAACCTTCAGTCGAGAAAAGTCGATTATGGTTCTATCTTTCAAAGACAACCAAGCAACTACAAACTGTAGTTCCTGTAGTACCTGTAAGAATCGGGAATATATGTGAATAAATAATCGGTCCAGTGTATCTGTGTTTCTCTTTCTTCTCTCCATTGCAAAGCACACTTACTTCATCTTTGTTTTTTCTCGAAAGAGCTTACTCAGATCCAATCGAGAAAAATTTTAGATCTAGCATGAAGACTCTTCTAAGATCCTGAGCAGAAGGTTCCAGAGACAAGCAATTTATCGTGTGTGTGAAGATCTTGATTTGACGGATGAAAGAATCTTACAACGGAAAAAAGTAAGTAGGCGGCATCTTGATCTTCTGAACAATTGTAATTGACTGTGTTGGTGGGATCACACGTCGTCGATGAATGACAGTTACTAGAAGTAGAGTGAAGTAGAACTTATGTGTATTGCTTGCCGTCGCTTTTCGACAAAAAGGCTGCTTCGTCGGTAACGGTCGTTGCACTGCTCCCTCACACTGCTTGATCTGGCGCTTCCGAATCAGTATCGAAACCTCTATCGAGCGCAGCCTCCGCTTCCTGTTCGTTGAGATTCGTGCTGGTCAAAGTTTCAGTGTTCACGCCAGCAGGCGCTAAAAGGCGAGCCTCCTCTTCGTGCATTACGCAGTATCCAACGCTCACGACATGCCCTGCCGCATTGACGCCGTACTGTACGAATTTCGCATAGGTCAGGTCGATGTTGTTGCTCACGCGAACGCCTGTCCCACCGCCTACAGAGCTACTCCCAGTAAGGCTCTTGGCCAGGTCAGCCCCAACTGCTTGCGCATCTACTACTTTCTCAGCCTGTCGTGGCGCGACTTGGGGAGACAGCTGCTCATCAAGCCTCCCAAGTATAGTACCAAGACTTGCCGTTCCGGATCCATCGACATCTTCGTGTTCTACTCGTCCACCTCCTGTTTCATTTGCTCCACCAGCAGAGCCAGTAGAGGATGCTGACCTATTGACCATTGAACCTGCTCCGCCTGCGCCTAACAAGTCTGCCTCGCCTGGGTCTCGTGTTAGAGCTACCGTGTTGCATCCCTGAGCCCTTCCTTGAGCCCCTTTTCCCCTGGAAAAATCGGATAGCGCAAGGAGTGAAGCGGCCCAATAGCACTACTCTACTTGAAATCGGATAGCGCTGAGGATGCTTCAGCTATAGCCTTAATAATGAAGCGAAGACGGGCTTCGCGCAATGAAAGAGAGGTACATCACCCCGTCCTGCGCTTCTAGCCAGTGGCACAGCCACGATTTCCGCATGCAGAGCGGATTTCAGTTCCAAGGTTGTACTTAATTTGGTCAAGCCACCCTCGTAACCAAGGCCGAAACGACCTGTAACCTTCATCAAAAGTAGATAAAGAATCAAGACGGATTGATGATTGCTAAAAAGATGAATCTTAATCGATGAAGATGAATCAATACAAGCAGGGCTGTTGTGGTAGAAGCAACCACCAAAACACGGACGACATTTCCTATTTTCTTGTTATGTCACTACAAGCCTTGACTCTTGACGAATGAATACTAGTGAATGAAACTGGAAAAAATGGTAGGAGTACGTAGCTGCATGATTAGTTGTATTACTTAGGTCGGTGTACTATTATAATTGTTCACCATATTAAATGGCATTAATGTAAAAACAAGTGTACTTTGAACGCCTGTGGTCTCGAGTGTGCTATCGCTTGAATTACGCCCTCAGGCGGTCGTCCGAATCCGAGTCTTTCGTAGAAGAAGAGCGTATCCACAGGACGCAATAGTAATCCTTCCGGAGCCGCAGACAAGGCGCAGATTTGTGGTCGAAAAAAGCTGAAACTGAGGTCCTGCACGCGCCAGCTCTCCGCGTACATGTGCTCTAAAAAATGCGCGGCGTCTTCATGACCGGGCATCGGGATTAGAAGCGTTGTTTCAGTTTCTCATGGTCACGGGGAAGTCGGAGTTGGAAATGACGGACGAAGAGGACAGTACGAATGCAATTTCAACTTTGGCTTTACTTCTGTTGAGCACATGCGATTACGTTTTTGGACGAGAAACACAAAAAATCTTGATGCAGTAAGGGCCATAGGAACAAGTCAATTATCGTGAGTAGTTCTCTTGCGTTTCTGTGTCGGACATCCAGAAGCGTGATCCCTGCATCGCATCGACCATTGGGGAAGATGTGGATCCACACTTGATAAAACTCCATTTCGACTATATTCGCGACCCGAATCAAGTTCTCCAGACTGCGAGGATCGGACCCCTGCGTTTTCGTGTAAAACTCCTTCCATTCCAAGTTGCCGACATAGGGAATCGCACGACTCTCGATCTCCACAGTAAATCCCTCAGGTGGTTCCTGGCCTTGTTCCTGCTCGGTTGCACTTGCAGCACTTGGAGTAACTGTAACTCCTCCTGTCGCGGAGACACTGCTGCCTCCGGTAGGTAAATCTAAATCTCCCGGTGAAGATTTTCGTTGGTTTGGAAATTTAGAGGAAGTTGTAGTAGGTGGCAGTTGCAGTGACATGATGTGCATAGTCATTGTATGATATAAATGCAAATGACGTAATTATATATAGGGATACCGCTTTTCCGAATTCTGGTCATTCTCCCGCCTCCAAGAGCGCCTCCCCGTGCTGGAAAAAGACAAAACAAGTTTCTTTCTACTTAATGCTATTCGTATCCGCAAAGGCAATAATTTCTGTCATCATCATCATCATCTTCAATTTCAACGAGCATCCTCAACGTCAACATAATGTAGTTTTTTTCGCCCACGTAAATGACATAACTGATGTCGTGGAAAAGGAGTGCGAACATTGTCGATATGAAGTCGAGCTGCACCCGTTCGAAGCCGAAAGCGTTCAAGCCACCAGTCGTATGTTCCAAAAAGTCTAGGGGATGCACTATCATCAGAGCCCTGCCATTCGAGTGCGCATGTGCTTTCCGCATCAGCTCTTGGAAGGAGGCACGCGTAAGCGAACCCGCAGGCATTCGTGCACCAACAGCAGAGACATCGTCAAGACGCTGCATTTTGCTATTTTTGACTGGTTGATATACTCAAGTGAATGGGGATGCAAGGGAAGGTCTTCGAAGATGCAGCTTGGAGGTATTTCAATTTTTTCACAATTAAATCTACCAAATTTATTTTGGTCCATTTACATTTTCTGCTTGTGGTGAGGAACAATTTAGTGGGAATATTGACCAATAAAGAAAGTGTCTTCACTGGTACGTACTGCGTCTCCGGAAGGAAGCACCTCTCCCCAACAGCCGATTTGTCTTAAACACAATTCTGCCTATGAGTGCACCTCCCGCAAACTCCAATAATATCCATGAAAACAGATGAAGCACAGCGACAGCGTGAGGCCCTTTAAAAATAATATATCAGGTTTTCTATCTCCTCCTCCTCTCCAAATTCGCTCCTCCATATTAAACTAAACCGATGGATGGTTGACGACATCAAATAGAAGGACAACCAAACTTTGTGGAAATGTTTCTATTGCTGTAGTTGCTGTAGCACACATCCTCATGATTGCGGAGGCTTCCTGAGGAATCATTCCTGTGGCTCTGCGTTTTTCATCTTTCTTGTACTATCACAATACAAATACTTGCTTACCAAAGGAATCATTTCATGAAGACAACTAATACGCTGTGGCATGTCAAAAATTATCGTTTCATTTTTCTCTCCGACGCCAGTGCTAAGCGAGACCAAGAAAAACGAGCAGGTTGAAACCATGTGGCATAGTCGCATCGACTGTCTGATTGGTATCGGTAAAACCCAATTCTTGCGTTCTGTGGGATTGCACTTCGATCGGCGCTGCATCTTTGTATTCGTCTGCGCGCAAGGTCGGCACGAATTCTTGACCGGTTATTTCGCTTTCCATGCCATTGCGGTTCACATTTGTGCCTTCCCCGTTCAGTCGCAGTTGCTTCTCTTCCTTGCGACCTGCTTCCGCCGCCACATCGTTGTAGTCCCGCTGCTCCAACGGCAGGCCAGTGTGCTGCGATAGCCTCTCCTTCTCGTGCCAGGCCGAGCCCGACCAGGGGACCAACGCCTCGTCACCTGGGTCGACTGCAGCTCCGCTTCCTAAGACATTCCCAGTGCCGTTACTAGTAAGGAGATTGTCTTTTGCGCTTTGATTCGCCGCTTCCAGGTAGTCCGCCGCCGTGCGCACGCTGCCTCCGCCAAGGGACGCGCGGCCACCAAGCGCGATCCTTCCTGAGCTGGCGGCCCCCGCATTGATGGCACCTAGCTGTCGCAAGGCCACATTCCCTAATGCAGCGGACTTTGCGGCCAGTTTCTTCGCGTATGTCGTTGCAATCAGAGCCCGTTGGACTGCGCCACCAGCTTGCGCATATGAAGGAGATGAGCTTCTCTCGTTGGGGAGATGCAATTGGAAATGAAGTTCTTACTTACAGGAAAATAAATATTCATACATAGGATTTGTTAATATTTTTTTGGACCACTCTAATATTCTTTCTTGTGGCTACGTTGTACCTCTAAACCGCCTCTCAATGAGCCAACCTAGCAGAAGATAATAAATACTGCATTCAATTCCATGAACGACATAGAAGTGATTTTTAGGCAAAGAAGAAATATATCTACACGATTCAAAACGTTGTACACATAAATCAACGAGGTCTTGATACCACTCGAAATGTGCAGGCGGGTAAACATCGTGTTCGGACTGCGCGCACCCTGGTGGACTTGCGCCCAAAGAAAATGGGTCGTTGCCGACATGAGGCGCGCCATGGACAAAATTTACTTCAGACAACATATTTTTCTTGTTTCTTGTCGATGATTTTGATTACGAACGAAGTATGTAGCAATTTAGGTTCTTGAGTTTTTCGTTGCTCTAAAAAATCTTAATAAGGAGACTGGAGCTGGACAATTGAAGTTGATATTATTTGCAATGATTTTACTGACGAGAGGAGGTGACATCATTTGCCTTCTTTTCAAGGGGGGGCACATGGGCTCAAGCTTCTGCTTCGCCTCTCACACCGAGCTCGACACAGAGTATCCAATAGAAGCGGACCGATTGGAACCGCATAGATTCGTTTTGCATCCAACTGTAGACCACGACTTGTAACTGAACCCGCAGGAGCACAGATTTTTGACTTAACGAATGATCAGATAGGATAGGATCATCATCTCTGAAACAACTCATTGAGTGACTTCCGATGAAGACTATGCAGGCAAACACGAGGTCAAATAACGCGAAGGACGAGAAGGATCCGCGGACTGCTTGTGCGACGGACCAGTGAAGAAGTGTGGTGTCTGAGTACTTCTTGTGTACAAATTCTACAGTAAAGAAAGGCAACGAGAAGGCTCTTCAATAAGACGTCTAGGTTGAGCCACGACTACTTCTTTTCCTGTGATTGTGTGTTTAGAAAAAGAAGCGTCGTATGGTACGAACGAATGGGGAGTAGATATCAATATATTCTATCATGGGATAATAAAATGGGACCGCAAATCTGGGACACAACCAAATGACATACGAAGAACTTACTACCACCCTATCACACAAGCGTGTTATCCTCTGACCCTGGAGGATGTTGAATCAATTGCTCGGTGTAGGTGCGGCGTACTGATGAAGATATATATATTCAGACAGAAAACCAAAACGAAAAAAAATCTGCGTGTCAAAGAAAAGTAAGTAAGTACTTTGAAAATCATCATCAAGAGTGCCAGGTCCTTGATTGGCATAGACATTGAGAAGTATTAAGTGTACTTATTACTTTGTTCATCCTAGAATTATCATTACCGCCGTCATTATTTCAGAATCCTATGGAAAAAATCAGCTACGTCTTAAACGCCTTCTGCAGTGGTGACGAAGGCTTTTCTTTCTTCTTCTTGCCACCTGCTTGCTTTGGTTTTGGCGCCTCGACTTCAGGGTCTTCGGTCCAGTTCTTGCCGTGTGACACGATGATATCTCCGAATGGTGTCGCCTGCTCAACGTCGATGACACTGTGCGTTTTCAGCACTAGCATCTCGAAAAAACATCCCGCTATTGCCTTTCTCTTCTCTTGCATGTGCTCGAAGCGTTCTTCACGGCACAAACTTCGGTACGACACCTGTGGCCCTTTCTTCTTTTTCGACGTCTTCTTGGTCGTAGTAGTTCTAGTTTCGCCTTCGCCCTCTGACGAGTTATCCAGCAAATTCGCCGTTGCTGCCGCGCTTTTCAGTTTCTGGCTGATATAGCAGTGCATCTTCTCTGTTCTCGCGGAGTAGCCTACAACCGCTTCGCCTTCCTCATCCGCCGCCTCAATCGCGACAACTGCATGCATCGTGGCTTTCTTCTGTAAAGCAGGTGGGGAGCGAGCGTCTCTGCCACCAGGCGAGAACCCGAAACCTCCTCCAAGGGAAGAGCCGGCTGCTGGACTAAAACCATCTGCACCTCCAAATGAAACCCGCGCCGCGGGTGACATGTCCTCGTTGTTGAAGTTATTGTTAGAAGAGAGGTAAAATAGACCGTCGTTGACGTTGCACTTGCAGTTGCTAAAAGTTTCTAGGTAGTAGCTTGCACAGTAAGAACTACATCTTCTAGAATCTAGAACTTTCATGAGTATAACTTCTAGGATTCACGTACCAAAGAATCTTCCATATGTTTTGGTGACGTTCCGCGCACACCTGCAAACTCCTCTTCTTGTTCGTCTTGTCGCGCTCGCTTCCGGTTAGCCGACTCCTGTTCCTCTGCAAGTGCTGCAGCTGGAATGAAAGGTTTCATGGCGAACCTTTGGGCTGCCACTGCTCCTACAGCCGCTCCTCTACCACCCGACGGCACAATACCGTTCTGCTGTTGCCAAAGCCGACGGGTCTGGTGGAAGATCATGTCTTCCGCAAGGTGATGGTGTATCAACAGCGAAAATTGAGACCGGCCGCCTTTCGGAAAGCCAAGATGGTGAAACTCGTTCAGGATAGAATCGTTAATGGGAAGCGTAAACTTCCGCCTTTTCTTGCTCCACCCCCTCATTTCCTCTCCGCTTAAAACGGTCCGCGCCGACTCACCTACAGTCGTGGACGTGATGGACGTGAATCATCGACATTAGAAAATCTACAGTCGTGGACGTGAATCATCGAAATTAGAAAATCTTGATCTTCTTTTTCAGCACAAAAATTATTATAAGTTGCCACAGTCAAACTCAAACGAGAAGGACGACAAAATGCGGGAGAGTGACACGACGACGTCTTCTCCAATTTACTTACATTTAAGTATACATTTTTGTACTCGTCGAAGTGCCGGGTTTATTTGCCCTGGTCGTGAGTTGGTCAGCGTAGATCCGCCGAATTCGGTCCTCTTGGTTCAGTGTCATGAAAGCGCGCTTTTTCGTAATCCGTTGGGGTTGCGGTACCGAAAGGTCGGATCCCAAAGCGCCACCGGGACCACCCGCTGCGAGTCTAGACATCAGTGCATTAGGGTCCGCTGGACCCGACGTTCCTGGTCCTGGAAAAACACTCGAAAGCCCCGCACTGAATGAGGATGCAGCTGCACCCAGCCCAGGCACACCACCTCCCACAAACTGCATGTTGCTTGCCTGACCAATGAAGCTAGCGTTTCCTACTCCCCCTTCTAAACCTGACGTGAGTAAGTGTTCGCCAAAACCAAGTTTGGACTCCGCGCCCGGTGCGCCCGGGACTTGCCCAGATGGTTGCTGCTCCTCCTTTCGCGGTGTCGCGGGTGGCAATAAGCGATCTGATTTGCCAGGAGGATCCTCTGCGAAGGGGTCCTCGCTAAGATGAAAGTCGCCGCCTCCTCCATCAAACGGGTCTGGGTCTAAGTCTCCTGCACCACCCGCTGCCCCCGCCTGATATGTTCCTTTCTATTAGATTCTAGGAAAGATGACTAAGCAGAAAAATTTTCACTGAGAACGATGATGATTTGAAAGTTACACTTAAAAATTTTCGCCAAGCAAAAGAATTTTTACCCCACGATCAGAGTTTCGAATCGGCGAGTCCGGTCTTGACATCTTAGCGCTTTGTTGATCGAGGTCACCACCTGCCTCGGGAAAGGAGTCCTCCTCCACCTCGAATGCTCCAAAGTCTAAATCATCTCCGGCTGCGCCCGCCATATCTGACAGGACCATCATCACATCGAGTCCCTCCTCACGACCAACTTCGTTCTCTAGCACGTCCAATTCGTTCTTTTTGCGACCGAGGGGCTGTTGTGAGGGGGTTGCAAGCATAGAGGGATACCTTTTTCCCGATCCCGCATCCGCGTTATTCTTCTCCAACGTCTACATATTTTTCTTTCTTTGTTCAACAACTACACGGCTCTATTGCTAGTTCTATCATCATGTACGAGTTACAGTTAGAGTATGATGTACTGAATATTTGTTGTAACACCAACATGATTTACATGATCATGAAGATGTACCACAATATCCGGAGCAAGAGTGATGTCGTTTATTTTTGCTTGGTTTCGCAGGTTGCTCCAGTCTAGAGTAACGGGTGCCGCATCGAGGATAGCGTCGTCCGGCACATCTTCGTCTAATTTTCGTTGTCCCCGAGTTGGTCCCTAAAAAGTTGAAATATTAGTGTCGTGATCCTCAAAAACAACAACCACGCCAAGAAGCTCTGATGAAGGTGATGATGAGGATATGGATATCTATCATATCTCTATCCGTATCCCTAATAATCCAATATATAAGCTGAAGAAAGTACGTCTTTTTTCTCTTTCGCTGCCGCTCCCCCGGATTGGAACTCGTAATTCTGTCGCATATTTTCGTAGTTGTCTTGAACGTTGCGATCGTTCACCTCCTGCTTTAAGTCGAGCACTCGTGTGGCTCCAACGATCAAAGTCGATTGGTCCCGCAACCACGAAGGGTGTGTCCTGTCCGTCCCCGCACCATCGTCGTCGTTCGCACGAGCACCCATTTGGTGCTCGATGAACTCCACCAAGGGAAAATCTGCCGCATTTTCTGGCTTCAACAACTTGTCGCTGTAAGCAGCGCGCGCAAGCTGTTTGGCGAGGATGGAAAGTTGTAGCCGTGTGTGACGTCCCGGTGAGGGTGGGGCGACGTCGTGGCGATAAAATATATTCCGAGGAACTGTCATTCTTCAATCCCTGGCACAACAAGTTGTGAGCGAACGAGCAGCTCGTCACATAAAAAAGATCTTCTTCTTTATCAATCTGGTTGTACAGGTAGAGGTAAAACAAGACACCTTCTTCCCAATCATTTTAGAAGACGTCAACGTGTCATGTGTGCAATCCAAATGACTATCCTCAATCATTAGTGAGATGAAACAGAAGTCCCTGAAGACGACAGCAGCATCACTGCAACAGGACAGGGATGGGGAGAAGTTTCAATTGATATTTCAGGAGAGGGAGAAGAACCGGATACCAACTTCGCGTGTTCGCCATCAAAGTTCGCGCCGGCAAGCGTCTCATCCTCGTTTAATTTCGCCAGATCCTTATCTCCGGCTGCAGGCGGCATCTTTCTCGTCGGCTAAAACCCCGGGTAATCCTCGAGAAAAGTAGTGGCCCTTTCGAGAACTCAGCTGGAGGTTTTGTACTACTGAGTGTACATCATTTTTTCAAACTTATTTTATCCAGATAGTACAAAGTGAGTCCATTGCTGCCCCGAGAAGAACATGAACATTTAATCCAAAATATAAAAAATCACAGTACTGCCACCTGCCTCAGTGTTTGAATTGCGAAGGGACCAGGAATGTTGTACCTGTGGAAGGCCCACAATAAAAAAATGCGCAGTTTTCATACATAGAGTGAGAAAGCAACGTAGTACTTATTGACTGATTTTTTAATCATTTTTTACGACCTGCTTTTCAGGTAAAATATTTTTGCGGCTGTCTCTTCGTTCATCAAACATAGAACATGCGTGGGCGTGTCACGTACTCTCGCAGTTGTCGGCTGAAAAATTTCATTTTTCTTTCGTGGCAATTCCAGAGGGCGAGGACACGTACTATTTCACCAATTTTTACTTGTGCGACGGCCCGTTTGGGATGCCTCTTACTTGCAGCGGTACTTTGAGACCAGCCCTTTCGCTGTATTCACGCAACAATCTCTATTTTTGCCAGAAGCCACGGCAGATGAAGATGAACAATGGCACAACTCGTCATAAGCAAGTATACGTCACACGAACAACAACACCGTTTTAGAAGTGTGCTCATGTTTACATGCTACAAGCTCCCTTTGTTTGGTGAAAAAATCCCACCATAGAAATCTGGTCTAGATCAATACTCACGCGTAGGATGCAGATCATAAAGGTCCTTATGCTCAAAACTATCGTGTTTAGAAGTCGTGATTTGCGAAAGATTCTCTTCTTCTACGGAATACACACTGGTCAAGATGATCCATGTAGTTGTGGTGCGAGAACAACAAAGTGGTTGAAAAAAAATAATCATTGGGTGAACAGCGTCGTACTAAGCAGCAGCTCCAAAAATACGAACAACAAGGTGTAGGTGACATTGGTGGTCGTGCTCATAGAAGTGAGGCCATGATCTAGACATGGGAGAACGGGATGGAAACGGTGATGGTGATGGTGTTCTGCCTTTCATGCCATCAAGAAGCCTAGATGCCAAGAAGCATATTGTGGTAGTCCATCATCTCGTCGTCCTCTTCTTCTTCCTTTTTGGCTTCTGCAGCTGCCTGGCTGCCTTCTCCTGCACCACCTCCTGTTGACAATGTGGTGCTATTGCTGGCAGGGGGAGGGGCAAGAACACCTTGAGAAGAAGATGTTGCTGCAGGAGCGGTGCTGTTTGGGGCAGATGAAGATACAGCGGCTGCGCCTGTGAGAGCTTGGGCTTCCTTTTGTTCTTGTAGCTGCTTCTGTGCCTGAAAGCGCTGTGCTAGCTGCAGGGCTTGCGGCTGGAGTGGCGCCAGTCCGTTGCTCTGCAGAAAGCGCTGGAAACTGCTGATAATGATCGGGTTCTGCAAGACCGACACCGCCGCGCCAGACCCGCTCGCCTGCAACGTGCGCAGCAGCAGTGTTACTGACTCGACTGTTACCGGTAGTTGCTCTGCCGGAGTAGACAAAGCTACTGCTCCAGAAGCAGAGGCCCCTCGACTGGATCTTCGCTGTTCTTGAGACGGCTCTGAACCACGACCAGCTACAGCATTTCGCTGTGCCGTGATCGCCGCATTATTTGGAGTTGCGCTGGAGACGTCGTTGTTTGAGAAAGTCCTACTAACCTCTGCGGTTGCGAGACCATTTAGTAGAAGGTGTCCCGCGTCTGGGCCTCCTGGTGCAAGGGAAGAAGATGTGAGTGTTAGATTTCCTGGGAGGTTTACTGAGGAGCTGGGATGAGCCCCCGCTTTGGGGGTACTTTCCGCCGGTTTTGTCTTTACGCCCGCGAGCAATTCAGATGCGCGTTCGTTCAGCATATGGTCCGGCTGCGTTACGTCGCCCTGTCCTGCTCCTCCTGCTAGCTGCATGTTTAGTAATGCGTTCTTGATCGCATCTGCCGCATGCGTTGGCGCAGCAGCGCTAGTTCCTCCCGGTGGCGACCCAACTGGTAATCCCCCTGCTGCCGAATTTTTCGTATTCGGACCATTGATTGCAGCTCCATCTGCTCCAGAAAGGATCGACAACGATGTAGTTGAGACCTGTGTAGCTGCGGCAGCTGCCCTGCTGCTGGGTGTCAAATGCGGCCCACCTACGACGTCGTATCTCGATGTGCCACGCTTCTCATCGCGTCTTGGATCTTTCATCAGGTCTTCGAATGTTAAGAGACCCCCTCCGCCTCCACCCTGTGGTGCTTGCGTAAGAATGTCTGGCATAGGCATACTTGCTCCAGAACTGGTGCCACCATTTGCCTGACTATCATCACCTAGTCTTCGAGCACCAGTAGTTCCTGCAGCTCCTGCGCCTATTGAATTCGCCGAAGTACTCGTTCCCGAAGCGTTCATCACTCCGCTAGAAGTTGTAACAGCAGATGAACCTGCACCACCAGCGCTGCCTATTCTTTGAAGATCTGTTGAAGCCATGCTGGTGACACCGTCAGCTCTAGGACTGGCCTGAGGTTGCTTTCTCCACGGCGCGGATTTCACTGCGTCCGTCTCTGGCTTAGACCGTTTCCAAGGTGCGGCAGCGTCTAGACCGTCGGCACCCTCTTGTGCTTCCTGCCTAGCTCGTTTTCGCTTCTTCCGTCGTTCCTGCTTCACTGCCGCATCAGCTTGCTGCTTCATCAATCCGTGCTCCGCAAGCATCTCCTCCCGCTTTAACTCCACCACACGCTTCGCAAATGAAAGCTAGCAAGAACAAAAAAACTGGTGGTCGTGAATGCAAGTACTACCTATGCCTATCTATCATGTATGAAAGTCATAGTCCCGTCACAAGGAAGATGAGATAGTTTGATGGAAGAACAACATCAGCTCGCTGTATTTATCATGTCAGTTGTTGTCCGCACCCCCCGTCGTGGGTTGTGTTTGCGATAAAAAGTGCTAAAACATCGAGTCTTCAGTCATGAGCTGACATGCCTCAAAATCATAAGTCCAGTTTTTTGTGATGTGCCTCCAATTGCTTGAGGCGATCAATGCACTTTTTGAAAGCGCTTCTCTGCTCTGCTCGCATGCCTAGCGTGCTTACGCCGCCGTACTCTTCGGCAATGATTTCCTCGACCTCGACTTCCTCAAACTGCGGTTTCGTCAGCAGGTTTCCTTCTAAAACCTTGCGGGCTCGGTCTTCGCGCCTCTTTTGAGCGAGTTCCTCCTCCAGCGCACTCTCTTGCAAATGCCCATCACTGGCGCGTGGTGCATCCTTACTAGCGGGTTTCTCGAGAGGGACTATGGTGCCACCGCTCGGCCGAAGCTCGCCGTTCAAATGCTCGACGTAGAAACCATAGAACGCTAGTGCACCTGATCATACTAGGACGAAATTATTATTTGATAACTTAGAGATTTTTCTAGACGAGATGATCTAGAACTAGAAGAAGGCCGAAATCTTAATGACCTAATTTTCAATGTTCCACATTATGACCTGAATAAACAAATAATTGTACTGCTTCTAAGCTCCTCTAAGTCTGCATATTGCACATGGAGATGGGCCTGTGGTCTCGCAGATTCACCACCTTCTGCGGCTACGTTGTCGCTTGGATTTAAGTGTATTTTTGCAGCGGTTACTGTTCCAAAACTCTTGAAAAGTTGCATCCACGGCGATCCCGGAAAAAGCGGCTTCGTTTTAAACGTCTTCTTCTTGCCTTCGAACACCTAAGATGATGTCGATGAGCGCCGTTGTAGGAGGTCTAGTAGTTACTTATACTCACAGGAGTCACAACATGTATCTTCGAATAAAGATTTCGCTCACGTTTGGTGTCAGCCTACCAAAGTACTTCGCGCTAGTGCTGAAGAAGTAGAAGAGTGGGAGTGGTTCTTTTTACTTACTCTATTTCGTGGGGATGAATTTGCATGCAATAAATGTGTTGTACTTCTACCGGCAGTAGTAGTTGTTGTTATTACCTTGTCTGGAATGAACCAGCTTCTTGGTAGTGGACCGACGCGTAAGGCCGGCTTGTGATCAGAGTGCTGTCTTATGAGCGCTGCGACCGCTTTTGCCCGGCCCGCCCGTTCCTTCGGACCTAGGGTATCTTTGACTTCCGTAACTTCCGTAGAAACTTTACCCTGGGGATCCGTATTGGAGGACGATGACGACGTAGCCGAATTTCCACCTAGCATTGAGAGTGACACACTTGTGGTTCCTGCTTCTGTAGTCTCTAACGCGAGTAGATCGAGGACGTTTTTGCTCCGCGGACTGCTCCCTCCTCTTGGAAATGTCAAGGATGATGACGTCGCGGATTGATCTTCTACTACGCTACATTTTGCGAATAATATTTTCTCTCGCATTTCTGGAGTTGATAAACGTTTTCTTATCTCCTCACTTGTGCTGACTACCGAGACGTCGTTATCCTTTTCATGCTGATGTTGTACCCTTTGCTGTGCGGCAAAGAACGAAACGAGTGATGGAATCTTGTCGGCGTCTCCACATCGCCACAGCCACGGTCGCCAAATTCGTGGCATGGTTCCCTTCTCTGCCGGAACCCATCGCGATGAGGACTCGGCTGCTGAAGATCCAGCAGCTCCGGGTCCATCGGGTGCCGTCGAGTCCCGCCTAGCTGGTGCGGACTGTGCTGGGGCAGCTGCCATTTTCGAAGCTGCTGCACGACCACGACTTTCACTTGCTTGGAAATACTAGGTTCCTGCTTCTCGCGCCAGCCTATCTTCAATCTGGTGAGTTATCTATTGGTGAAGATGAAGCTTTTTATTGAGCAGCCCGTCGAGTCGTGGGGCGTCCGTGGAATTTCGAAAACAAGCGCACAAGAGAGACCACTCCTTCGCCTTCCGGCCATTTTTCAACTTTCTGATGAGCCTACGTAGTCAAAACACCAAAATCGTTGCGAAAGAACTCAAAGTATAAAAAGTGTTTCTTGACTTATTGTGTCAGAGCAGATCATGCGCTGGTTGTAGGCAAAAAAAGTATCATTGATTTGCGTCTTTACACAGCATCATTCATTGCAGCAGGTCGCGTTAAAGATAATCATGATTGGACTCTTCAATTGTTGCTTCATTCAACGTCTTCTTCGTTGTTGCATCTAAATAATTAAATCGTTCATGCGCTACTGTTTTATTTGTGAGGGTAATGATTGGAATGCATGGTGTCAGACATTGTGACCACGTGAAGATACTAGCATCATAAACAATTGCAGAAAAATTGATACATCCTCACAGGCCCATACTTTCTTGTCATAGTTGGTATAAAATATGGAAGTCAAGCCGGATCAACTCTTGTTACACTTACTACCGCGGAAGTGGTAGTGAACCCCCAAAGGAGCTATGTATCTATAAATAATGGTCGTATCGTTTTTCTCATCATGAACCGAGGAGCCACAACAACATGAACCAGACGTCGAACGCTTCTTGTTCACTTTTATTATTCATGCATGAGCAGGCACTTCATCGGATTGATTTTGGATTCCGTTTCGCTCCGCAAGAATCAAGTTCAGTTTCAAGTATTTTTTGGGAACACGAAATTTCTCACTGGGAAAATGCGAACCAAAACCAAATTATGTTTTTTAATAGCGATGTTCCATGTTGGAACTACTGACCAGGAATTACTAGTCTTTTTTTTGATCACACGCCAATCGTTGTACACAATTCAACAGTTGATTTGTCTTTATATCAGTAAGTTAGGCTGCTGCCCGCTGGCCTAAAAATAGGGTTTCAGTTGCATTCATTTTTTCGAACATTCAAGGGTTGTGACTATCCATTCTGTTGGCAAGAACAAGAACAAGGGTTTTCTTGTTGTTAGACGAGTACTAGTCGAATTATCGTGAAAGTCAAAGTTTGAAAATATTTGCCTAAGCTTCATTCTTTCTTGTACCAAGGTGGAAATTAGAAAAGCGTGCTAGCCGACTCCTGCACTGTGCCGCTACAACACTCGCGGTGCCTGTTGCTGTTCATTTTTGAATTTGATATTCGACATAAACTGAAGAAGGCTTTCCAACTGTTGAGTAGACCTATGAAAACTAACGGAAAGAACATGAAGATAGAGGACGAAAAAATCATCTCGCCTCGGTTCGCGTGCTTCGGCGCGGACTCAACTCAATGTCATGTTTGTTCGTTGTTCCTCATGATGCGTAGGTAGGCGTATAAAAACAAGAAAAAAAAAAAAAGAACTGCGAATAAAACATACTGGCGGCGCTGCTCGTTACTATACTCTACATCATGATAAACTTAGCAGAGCTGAGAACTGTTCTGCGTCATCCTGTATTCATCGTGCGGAACCAGGGATCACCATGACAACTAAAAAAACCTGGGTGGCGATCAGAATTGTACTTGATCACCAGGATCGTTCCGTCGACACTCTACTGATATGTTGCAATTCCTACTCTGTTGTGTTGATGTTTTGAAGGCAATAGGAATAGCAGTAGCAGCACTGGTATTCGTTGTAAAGAAAATGACTCTGGTATTCCGGGTTACGACATCCACAGTTGGGCTCTACTGAGAACGAATTAGCAAACTGCAGTCGCTTTCCCTGAACAACATGATAGTCTCGTATCATACACGCTGGCTCTACAATTTCACGTTCACCGCTACCTAGTCGAGCCACTCGGCGGCACCAAGAACAATAAAGAAGTGTCAAGTAGGCCATTTCTGACAACAAGAATCTTTATCTTCATCACCCTCTGTTTCCTACTGATGTTAGCAGCGTTGAGTAGTACAGATGAAGTTTTTCAATGGGCCCACGACCGCTTTCATCTCTGCTGGTAGGGTCTGCCTTGAAATCGAGCAGAAGATTAGAACAGACTAGTCGTAGCAGGTATAGCACTTCGAGCTCTGAAAAGATGATAGACATTTGTTTTTGGGTGAAGAGGTTGTCATGGGAGTGCGCCCCTGATGTAACAAACTACTGTGCACAGTTGTTACCCGACGAGAGATGGTTTTACATCTACTTGGTTGAACTTCTTGAAGAAAACGAGAATTATCAGCACTAGGAGAAGCATAACCTCCGCAAGAACTTGTCAAGCCATAAGCAGTTGCGCGAACGAACCGTATCCACTGGCGCAGGCGATATGCAGGGGTCGAAGCTGCACCGGCAATACAGATCCGAAATTCGGATCGACCGCGTTGGACTCGAGGAGGACTCGAGCTAAGTCTAGGCGGTTTGCATGCGCAGCCGCGATGAAGGTTGCAACCACCGTTAGACCTTGCAGAAATCCATCTTCGTGATCATCTTTGTGCTCCTTTGTTTTCCCTTGAAAAATGGGCCTCAGATCGATGTCCATGTCGGGGAAGAAGATGGATTTTCTCAAGCCTTAACATCACTCGCTCTAGCAGTCCTGCGGGATAGATTTGCCGCTCTTCTACACCGGAAACGCTTATTTGGGCAGTCTTCTGCGTTCCGTCTCCTCGTAAGGTAGCTGACTTCCTAGTTCGTAAGGAAGAGCTGTTGCCTGCTGTCGTCGCCAGGGAGGTCGTCGCACCTCCAGGTAGCAGTCCTGGCGAAGATCCGGCTACTGTCTCCTGGTCCTCTGCTTTAACGCTAGTTTGTCACTATGACTATGCCTGGTTGAGTGAGTTCTTTCCCTCCTATTTCCTCCTTTGTTTTCCCTCTAATTCAAGGGGGACTTCACTCAGAATAGTCCATATGGGCTAGTGCAAAACCAGTCTTAACTGTTGTAAGAAGTTCGTCTTCGATGTCGGTTTCGTCGTTTCTTCCTGCTCTCGAAATTGGAACGACTTCGTAGGCTGACGCTGTCTGAATGAAGTTTCGCACAACACGGATGGCGAGGTTCTCACTCACCTGATTGAATTAGAAGAGCTCCTGTCTTCGCATCCACGGTGGCATCCCTGCTTTCGTTTTCCCTTCGGAAACTAGGCAAGGATGATGTTGGGGATGCTCGCTCGGTGACCATAATTGAATCGACTAGGCACAACCGGCGCGGGGAGGTCGCTACCCTCTCGGAGCGCCAGCCGTGTCTTCAAAAGCGTCAAGAAAACGTCCGCCCGCGGCTGTGTCGATCGATCCACCGTTCCGTTTGGAGTCGCTTGATCTGTATGAGGGAGTGAGAGAGTTAGAGAGTATGAGTGAGAGCGATGATTTTTGGAAGACTTTGATTCAGGAGGTTCAGCAAATCTTTAGGATTATAAAGTTCAACATGTTCATGTTAGTAGTAGTAGTAGTGTACCCATTCATGGGGTATGAAAGACCGTTTAATTAGATGTGCACTGTTTTGCAGGTACGGCTTCTTTCTCTCCTCCTCTTTCCTTTTTCCTTTGCATTTTTGAACGTGCGATTTGTAGAAGTCCACTCTCTTGGACTGCTGTCCCAGGGACAATGTTTTTTGACACAAGTCAATCTGCCATTTTGCGCACTTTTTGCAAGTTATTCTCGTCTTATGCACATCGTTCCACAGCTCATCTGGCACCCGTATCTCACACAGCAGTGCATCTGGTCCGGAGTGGTGTCTACCTGATTTCTCGTTGAATGCATGGCGTTCAGGTCTGTACTCGTTGCGGATTGCACCTAGTAGGCCACTATCTCGCGCACGTCTCTTTATCTTGGACGCCTTGATTATGTCGCCATTCAAGTGGGCATCCTCATGAGCCCGCATCGATCCTAATGATGTGACATAGGTTTTGGCACATGGGATGCATCTGTATCTTTCAGGGCGCTTTCTCCCTCCGGCTCGCTTCGGTCCCACTGAACGTAGGAGGCGAAAGAGAGCGCCAGGCCTGTCTACTTGTTTTCTGACGCTTTGCGCCATCCTTTCGTCCACTCGGGTTTGAGCTTCTTTCTGCATTCTATCGGCAAGCTTGATGGCAGGCGGCTCTGGTATCAGATGTCTCCAAGCTAAGGCCCTTTCTTTTTCCTGTCTCGGGCATCCTGTGAGTCCACACGCAGTTACACGGCGATGTCCTCCCTGATGTTCTGTTGCTTCAGCTATCTCCTCGCATGCTATGCAGTTTGATGGTTTAAGTGGTGTCCTCCAGGATGCGATTGTGTCTGCGTCCATTGTTCCTGGCTGTATCGGAGTAAGTAGAACGAACATGGATCGTGGGAGCATATGGAGACTCAGGGCTGAGCAACCACTTAATGCCAAAGCCTTGTAAACCACCGGCGTGGGAGAGCCGTCGGTAACTTCCACACTCAAGGTCCTATCTCTCCTCCATCTGAGCCCTGAGGTGGACGCCGGTGATCTTCCTCCTTTCCGTTGTGGTACATCTAGGTAAATCAGGTGCATCCACGCCGCCGAGTCAAATAGAAGCTCAACTCGCTTTCTGGATGCGTGCGGGCTGTAAGATCCCACCACACCAATCGCCACCGCATGACTTGATCCTATCTGATAGGGATCCACTGCCGCGCCACCCGCTCCTTGGAGCCGGACCATGCCGCCTTCTAAACTTTGTATCCATAAGCTGGCGCTAATTGGTGCTATGAGTCTCACTGCTGCCGGGTCATCCGATAGCCTCAGGTGCGTCACCTCGTCCGTCAGAAAGTTCACCTCCGTGGTGTGCTGTGTTGTTTTGCCCCATTCTTTCACCTCAAGTTCTGCATATAGTGCAGGAGCGTCCCCACCTCCTCGTTGCCAGCGGGCAATCGTCTGCCTTATCATCGTGTGTTTAATGGCAGCGTGGAAGAAAGTCTTCCGCCTGGCGTAGTCCTCTTGCTCCTTCCTTTGGTACTTCGTCACGTTCTTCCTTTCCTGACCTGACGGCTGCGCTTCCGTCGGAGGTGGCTGTAGCAGTCCTACTAATAGCTCGTCTTCCATTCCAACGTCCTTCCTCATGTAGCGCGGGAAGTCATCCACGAGGGAGGGAACTTTCCTGTCTTCGGGAGGTAACGCTCTATCGCCTGTTGTTGTTGCCAAGAACGCATCCCTGTCGTCTTCGTCTCGTATTCTTGGAGGCACTACCTGTCCTTGTAGCATCGCTTTGTCCACTGTCAGCTTTTTCGACCGGAGCGTGTGTGCAACATGGCGCGCCTGGTGATAGGCTATGAAGGCTCTTAGTGGGACCACTCTCATTCGCCGTAGAAGGACTGCATCCGAGGCGTCGCTATGGTTCCTTCTCCACAGAGGGACGCCAGCCATCATGGACAGCATCGAGAGCTCGGCGCTTTCCATGAGTCTGCAATGCTTTACCGCGACAGATTTCGTTTGGGTGGCATAAACAAATATCGACCTTGGCGTCGCAGTTACCAGATTGCCCCTCCTCGTGTTGTCCACTCCCCCCAGTCCACATACTTTTGCCCTCATGGCATGGAAAGATCGCCACGCCTTAAGGATCTTGCTCGCTATGTCACCTTCGGTGTCGGTTTGCACTCCAAGGTTTCTGGTAGCTATGGTGGCTGCGTCGCCTTGTATTCGTTTCTTCTTGTTCTCAGCCATTGCAGCGCCTTCTAGTACCCCTTCTAGAATCTTAACCTGTCGGGTGGGCCTCGGCTCCCTTTCCTCTTTCGTTGCTTGTTTCCTCTCCTCTCCTATCTGTTCCATCTCTTCTTCTGTCACTAGGCCAAGCAGGGCGGTGTCATCTGCAAAGAGTATCTGTGATAGCTCTAGCATCACGGGATCTGAAGGCGCTGTCGCAGCTCGGGAGGAGGCATCTGGGGTGCACATTCCGCGGTCGCCGTTGGATGCAAAAATCCATTGCTTCAACCTCTGTTCCCTTGTCCAGGTCCACGCGTCCTCAGATGTTAGGACCATTACACCCCCATCTCGTTCACGTCTCCCCAACCTTTTGGCATATACTCGCATTGCCATTGAGTATACGAGTACAAAAACCGTAGGGCTGGTCGGATCACCTTCTTTTGTCCCATGTGACAAGGATGTTATGAAACTGAATTCGAATGCGCGCTCTGCCGATTAACATTAACGCTCTTCATTCCAGGATAAATTAAAAGTTTATCAAAAATATCAACAATACTACAGTGTATCTACAACTACAAGTACAACTACCTAGAGAAAAAAACATCCTTGGTGGTACCCCAAACTGTGAATTTGTAGCCGTCTTTTCTTTGAGGATCTACTGTCATTAATTGTGCCGCAAGTGTAATAGGCGACCACCCCTCAGTGGTTTGAAAAAATAGCGGGTCTGCTCCATTGCTCTTTTCCTCCACTGGTTGCACGTGTGACCGCTTGCGTTGTCATGAGTTAGAAGTAAATGTGGTGGCGGAGACGAGGTCGATGCTATTGCCCATGTATGGCACAGATGATCATGTTAGTGTGGTGGATGTGGAAATCTGCACCACTGGTGGAAGGACGCATCTAATTTCCAGGCACGAGTCAAAAAAGAGTGTTGAGCAAACTACTTCTTGGAAATATTCATACGTTCTTGAAGACATTTGCAACTACATGTAGAAGTAGTTGAGGCGGAACGTCAGCAACATCATAATCATCAACGCTTCTCGGCCTATATTCGTGCTCGTCCGTTCCAAAGCGGATACGAGTCCTTTTGTTACTGCCGAAACTGGCTCCGCTATCGTACCGCCAAGACGCCCTGTCGACGACGTTGCTTCGCCGTTGCCGACAAGTATGCCTCCACCCTGCAGCGGATACATTGTGCCACCTACGGTTTTGCTCGACGCCGCTCCAGTGGTATTGAGTAGCGTCGCCTTGCTCTGATCGAATGCAGTTGTCGCATTGGAAACCGTCCGCGGTCCGCCTCCCGTTGCAGTCGTCGCAGTTGAGCCAGCGGATCGTGAGCGTGCTTTTTTCGACGAGAGTGCCATCTTCGACGCAGCAGCCCGATTCTGCGGAGCATACACAGCGCCGCCACGCGCAGAGCCAATGACAAGTGGCTGCGACTGCATTTGCGGCGTCAGAGGAACGCTAGACAGCCGTATTGGCGCAAAATGCGCCGTCCGGACAAGGGGAATCAAAGTCTGGAGCATCTCGAGATCGCCACGCAAGAAAATGAAGGCCAAATACGGGTGATTTTCTGTATCTTCTGTAATTATATCATGTGACAGACACAGACAGATAAGATTATCTATTAAGTAACTGATTTCATTCCTTGGATTGATTCCATTACCTTCGAGTTCAATTTCATCTATATCTAGACACAAGAATCATGCGAAAAAGAAGGCCTGTTCTGCGAATTAGTACGACTTCTCATTCATAAGGAGACAGCTTCCTTGGGCATAAAGACGGCAAGGTGTAGCAGCGAGACGCGATAGTCTGTGCTGGACCAGTCCTCAGAACCGGCATCCGTTGTATGCTGCGTGAAGTGCGCTCCCGGAAAGTCGTGCATCATCAGACGGACCTGGAATAAACATGGGACTTCATCTACGTGCAACAAGAGGAGGACTAGGTGGACTGATGATCAACATGAGAGGAAGATTTTATATGCTGAGGACCTCAACATGAAGAGAAGGATGATCACGACCGTTGTAGCATATTAGTGTCCATCTCCATTTTCTGAAAAAAGAAAAACGTAGCCATGGACTAACTCAGCACCAGTGGGTCTCCGCCATAGGCGACAAGAAGTTGCACCATCTCGATATCGCACCTCATCACTGCCAAAGCTAAAGGCGTCCATTGACCTGAATCAAAAGAAGAAGGAAAGCGATGAAGAATTCGGGTCTTGCCTAATTCGTGTCTTGTCTTTCTTCTTTCTGCTGGTGTTCTTTTATTACTGTAGTGGAGATCATATCCACCACGTGCTTCAGAAATTTAAATTAGTTGTTGAGTACTATCCGCTCGCCTGTCGGTGCAATTTATGAATCGTCGACCACCGTTTCGGCATATTTCCTTTACTATCGCATGCTGACCGGCCCACACAGCGAAGAACAAAGGCGTCCATCGATACCTCTTGGTCGTCGCGTTGAGATTTTGTCCTTGCTGCATCAAAAACTGCAATGTCCTTAGATGGCCACCCAGTGCGGCAAGGTGAATTGGCAGAAGCCCGCTATCTACTGTGTACTCGGGAATCTTGGACAGGAGCGACGACCCACAAACAGGAGGTGCGAAACCATCTACAATGGCGCTGTCTGATAAACCTGCAGGAGGGCGAGCTTCGTGATGAGTCTCTGAGTAGCGAAGAACCCTTCAGTCATAATGTCAAGATTGTCAGGTTAAGGATTTTGTGTTATGATTAGTTCAGAATATGAATATTAAGGAGAGCAATCTACTCAGTAGCAGAAAAGTGTATTCTTACCAGAATAAGCAACTATGTCTCCCTGCAGCAGCTTGTGTGCGCCTGGTAGATGCAGCGAGAAGTCGCCCGTGCGACAATGGAGGTCTGCTCCCGCTTTCAGCAAATGAATCATGCTCTTCATTTTTCCCCGTGCCGCGCACATGTGCAATGGCGTCCATTCCGAATAGCCTAACCGGTCGGTTTTCGCATCCACGGCCAATTGATGCCCGCTCGCCGGACTCAACACCCATTTCATCAAGTCCGCACCTCCTGCGGGCAAATTGCTGTTGATGGTTTCTGCTAGTACATGGAGTAAAGAGAACCCGTCAACACGCAGATTTTCGTGCAGCTCTGAGGCCTCCTGCAGCACGAGGCGCAGAATCGCTTCATGGCCGTGGTATGCCGCCGAATGCAGAGCAGTCCACCTATCTTTTTCGAGGTGCGAGAACAAGGATGCGCGCGCCTGCAGCAAGAGTCGCGTCAGTCGAACATTCCCATCTCGACAGGCGACTCGTAGCGCAGTGCGGCTATCAACGGGTTCGGTCGGATAGAACGCCTGAAAGAATTCTCTGACTATGCGTAGAACGAAACGAAAAGTGATTACATTCTGTACCTATTCCATAAGAAAGGATGAACATGAGAGGTAACAATAAACAACTGCAAACTCTAGTTGGTAGTGGCTACATATGGAGATTGCCGTGCGGTCGATGATGTCTCGATCGAGCTGAAACGTTCTTCTGTAGGGGACAACAACAAGCTGCAGGACCAGGCGTATGTACCTCATGATTTGCTCCTTCGTTGATATTTTGAGCGACTAGGACATGTTGATTGTGCTGCACCGCTTTGAAGAGCGTAAGCGCTTTTGTATTCGGGTCTCCGGAGTACTTTTTTCCGTATACCTGGCTGTCGTTTAACGGCTCAACTACGTCATCGTCGACATCATCCATGAAGATATCGCTACTTCCTAATGCGGCACGCCGCAGCGGCGTCTGTACTGACACCGACTGCACTACCATTTCTTTTATGGAAAGGTGGTAGTGGAGGACGGCTTTGTGTAAATTAACAAAGCAGCGTGTTTGTTGTTGTTTGTCCTATTTTGTTAGAGGTGGAATGTTTGTCCTACTTGTTGTTGTTTGTCACCTACTTATCAGTAAGATGCCTGAGCATCGTCCATCATACTACTAGCAGAGGATCAGAGAGAAGAGTATGATCGCGAAAAAATACCAAGGGACTCCGTCAAGAAAAAACACAGAGACGCGAGGAGGTCAGGAGCGGCCAACTAAGCACCCCTTGTGTGGCCGCCTCCCACTGGGTTTTCTCTCTCTCTAGCAGCCCGCGTCGCCCGACAACCGAACTGAACAGAAAACAGAAAGCCTTCTTCTCCTCCACAGGGAGTAGAACTCGTCATCTTATCCCTCCATTTACATCATTATCTTACCGGTTGTCAGACAAACATCAGTAGATCAGTCTAATGATCAAATTGATCAGATCCATAAGTGTGTTATGTAATTTTCACGAATTCCTTTTCATCTTTCTTGTTTAATATCCAGAGATACGAGGCTGGATTCATGTCGTTGTGGTACTGTTGCAGATCTTCTTGTTTAAGTACAACTTGTTGTTTCTCTACTTCTGCTTATTGATGTTGACCTTCCCCCTCCATGCAGCTGCTTGTTGAAATATGCTTCAGTTGCAAATCCCTGCCTTCTTCTCTAGAGCCGCGTTGTTTGATAGAGCCCCTAGAATTCTCGCTTTTGTCTTCGCAGCAGGATCTGTTGAAGTGCGGTAGCTTCTCGACAGTTTTCTTTCAGCTTCTGCACTTATGACGTGGTTTTTCCATCTTTTGTGGTAGTCTTTAAGCTGCACTATTTCTCCCTTAAACTTTGCTTCTGAGAACCTGTGAGTGTCGCAACAGGCGTAGATCACCTCACCATCTACTACATCAGTCACTTGCCTTACTTTATAGAAGCGCCGGGCGCGATTGACGAAGACACTACAAGCCTCCTCAATTTTCTCTTCCTCAAATCCCTGACTCCCCGACTTGAGGGATTTCAGTACGCTTTCCTGTATGACTCGGTCTGCCGCCTGCTCATCTACTTCCAGCCGCCTAGGATGAGCGGTGTTGCCTTTCTGCTGTGTAGTGTGCTCTGCAGCCGAATCTACCGTTTCCGCAGACTGGTGGGGCAGATCCCGTCGAGCCTGTTCGCGCTCCCTCGCCTCCTCTTGTCTTGTCACGTGTTCTAGTTGTCCCTGCTGCCTCTGAGCTTCCTGTTCTGCTTTCGCGGCATCTCGCCTGGCTTGAGCGTCCTGAGTAGCCTGGCGCTTTGCCCCAATGTCATTTTTGAGCTGCGTGATCGCTCCTTCCGTCTCCGTCACCTGCTCTTTCATCTTGTTCACGAGTGCTGCGTTCAACATCGCCTCTCCATCGTCTCTCGTGCTCTTTTGGAGCTGTCGTGGAGACGCAAGCCTTTCCTTCCGTGCGGCCTCCAGCTGGCTTGTCATCCGCTTGTGCTGCGCCGTGAGGCCGGCTCTAACTTCGCGCTTGTGTTCCATGTCCGCGTCCGAATCTGATCCAGGGCAGCCTTCCTCCAGAACACTGCACCCCTCCTGCTCACGTCTGCCTGTCTTCGACTCTTTTCGTTCAACTTGACTTTTTGCTACGGAAGAAGCACTAGAAGAACCTGCTTGCGGCTCTTCGCCAGGCACTGTTGGATGTGTGTCATCGTAGTTTTGGCGATAAGAGACAAGTAGATCATCAGCGTCGGTTGAAAGCCACCCGTGCCGAAGATGAGGAGTCGGGCTAGAATATCGAAGATCTCCACGTTGGCTTGCTCCCGACGTTCTCCCATGAGAGCGTGCTGCTGCTGATCTTCTCCGCTTGCCGCTGTATAAATCCATCAGAAGTTGGGCATCTGCAGAAAGCAAGTCCCAGAACCAATACAGCAGGATAAAGTCTGCTATCACCACAATTGCTGCCACAGAGAGGAGCAGCGGTCTTCTAATAGCTACTTTGTTCATCTCTTTCGGTCGAACAAGAAGAAGTGAAGGTATGACGCCAGTGGTCGTGGCAGAGGCACTTGAAAGAAACGAAGATGATGCTTTGCTTTTGAAGATTGTTGAAAATCATGCATGAGAGGCAGTCTTTGTTTTTCTCTCCCTGTGCCTGTCCCTGGAAGAGTGTTCTATATATTATAATTTGTCCAGGAACAGCTGTACCACGTGCACGACGTGTGAGGTTATCACCACGGACATGCATCAATACCTTGTACTAGTTCCGAGTGCATTTTTTGAGCGCTTACTTTGTGTTTTTGCTTTTCATTTCTTGAGGTCATTAGAGTTTAGCTCTCAGTGCACAATCCTCTGAGCAATCGCTCCTTCATCGCTGCTCGGCGTCTTCGATGTACCAAATAGTCATGATCATTTTGATGAAGAACCAAGTAGTAAGTAGACCTACACCCTCATGTTGTCGATAATCCAACAGAATGTTAATCATGTTTGACAGCGAGCGGATACACTCATTGTTTCTTTTCTCACAAATGAAAAACGGAGGACTTCCATTTGTCTGCTCTAAGAAACACAGTGGCAGCCACCAGTTCTTTGTTTCAAGATGTTTCCGTTTTCTTGAAGTAGAGAAGTACTACAACATTCATTGCTATGCAGGCATCAACACGTTTTTACTTTCAGACAGTCGCGGTACTATTATACGACGATCCCTTTTCCAAGTCCTAACGTACGCCGAGTTTTGTCGTAAACGGAACATAGATCAAGCAGTCGTTCCAAAAGAAGAAACAGATGAAGACGATAAAAAGAACAGACAGTACTGGGAGCGTTAGAACAAGTTGAAGTACTTTATATATAAGTTTAATATCATCTTTCATTGCGTTTGATGTGCGTCGTCGAGAATTCTTCATCCTTGTCGTTTTAGCGTCAAAAGTACATTGTCGTCCTCAGATCGGTCGGGAGTGTCTCTTCTTCTACGAACTTCCAGTACGTGTTCAAGAGGGTTGTTACAGGCGCTTTGTCCTGATTGTACCACCAGCATGACCACTCATTATACACAGCGCAGAAAAGAAAACTGTGCTATGATCGGATTCGAGACCGTCTCCAGTATAGCCACACACCTCAACGTGAACCACTCATGCGACGTCCGCCCAACCCGCGCCCATTGCCAGCTCTGGGTCTGCTGTTATCGATCGAGGGCAAGGGACGTTTGTAGTTTCCCTAACATCAAATTCAAACCATGATAGACGGAAGTACACCTAGATCCCTCACGGACATTCTTAGGGCGAACGCCGTCTTCCGCGAACAAAACTGTAAAAATTGCTGCTGCTTCTGATGCTTCGTGAAAAGGAGAAAGATGAAGTTGTGTCAAGACAGGTTACTTCTACGGGTTGTAGTTGTGAAAATGGGAGGTAGTACTTGGGTACTCATACTCATCTTCGGACTTCTGGAGATTGTTGTACTTGAACTCGTCGAAGTGTTCTAGTGGTCTGTAACAAGTATGATCTTCATCATGATATTAATCCGTTTTTAACGTGGTTAGAGCAGAGGACTGTTTCAGTCCAACTATCGTCCAAGTAGTCTGGGCCGTCTAGTCGACATCCATCCTCTTGCCGCCTCCTCCGCTGTCATCTCGATCACACATGGCGTTATCCATATTCATGTTATCTTGATTGGAGATCGGGCTAGTGGGTGTCTCGTCGTTCCGCGGGCTTCTGCCACCACCTCCACCTAGTCTGTCGATATTGTTCGGGGAATTGATGTCGTCGTTTGTCGCTGGTCCAGTCGTGGGTGGTGCCGCTGGGGTGTTTGTGTATTGAGTAGTGCCATTATTGATACCTCCATGATTGCCATTGAGTGTCTGTCCTTCGTTGCCGAAGCGACGGATGCCAGGGACGGAGTCGTCGCGCGCCTGATAGATCACGTTGTACTTGGTCTGCGGGTCGTCGCGCATCGCGTCTTGGAACTCCAAAACAAGCGCGTCAAGCTGCTCCAGGCCAGGGCCACAGACTTTGCGGAGTACTCGCTTGTAGCGCTCGCCTCCGTCGCTCGCATTGGCGTCGTAACCCCGACAATGCTCTAGGTACAGGCACTTCAGCTTCAGGTTCCACAAGCCCGCTATACCGGGACTATTTTCGTCTTCGAAGTCGATCCCGCAGGACGAGCACCACAGCTCTTCTATTAGAGCTGTCCGCAATTCATCTTTCAAGTGCATCCTTGAAAAGTATGGGAGAGTATTCCCTTAGGATACTCCTCCATACGTAGTTCCAAGGATACGTCCAAAGATGTATTAGGTACAGCCTTAATTCTAGATGGGCGAGTCGGAAATCACTGGGGATAGTCGTCAAGGGTTTGTTCTGTGAAAGATCGAGGATACGGAGCTGCGGTGTGTGCGCGAACGTCTCGCTGAACTCAAAATCCGCTAAGTTGTTTTCACCTGAGAGGTTTGGAATGTGGTTGCGGTAATGATTCTTTTCTGCTGAAGAAGAAGTTGCTTTTAAATCTACAGAAGTAAATCCGAACTACAGTAGAAGTAATCCTACATCAGCATTCATATATTCTACTTTTCATTTTTTCTGTTCTCCTGTGACGGAATGAGAAACAAAACAAAAGCAATAACGATTTACAAAATAAAACGCTGGATTATTCTAGAACGAAGTACTTAGATAAAGTTGCTGCAAATTCGGTGCATTCTGGAAAAAGTTGCTTTCCCATTTTTCCAGTCGGTTGCACTGGACACTGCAGATCTCCAGTTTCGGCATTCTCACGGACATGGCCATATTTCGTATCTTGTTTTTGCCCAGCCACAGCTCCCTCAGTTCTCGCAACTCGGACAGGTTGATTTCTCGAAGTCTGTTGGCTCCGAGTTCTAAAACCTCTAGATTGGGGAAGGCCGCAAGCGCGCCGTCAGGAATCTCCTCTATCTTGTTGGATGGAAGGTACCTGCATGACTTGGAGTTGGTGTACAAGTTTCAGGCTTTTGAGTTGTCATGAAAAGAATATTTTGATGGTTCATATCTTCAGCGGTACCGATTTAGTGTCAGCACCTTCAACTTCATCTACTTCTCAATAGTTCATCTTGCGTCTACTTCTACAAGTTGTTGTACAAATAGCACAAGCTGTGAGTAGAGAGATTTATGAGTAAGTAGAGAGATGAAAATAGCAAAGCCAAGTACAATTTCTTGAGCTTTTTCGCAAAGACACAGTTTGGCTGTGCAAGGTAACCTAATGTGCGGATGCGGTTGAAGGAAAGGTCCAAATGCTCCAATTCTGGACAGCACTCTAAATTCTCGATCTTCTTTATCGCGTTTTGGTAGAGCTCAAGGTGTCGCAGATTCGGACACGCTTCCAAGCCCTCAATTCGTTCGACGTTGTTCGCGATTAGTTTCAGCACTTGAAGTGATTTTCCCACTATATCCAGGTTGCATATCTGTCGAATGCGTGCGGTCGAAAGGCAGACTTCGGTCTGGCCGGGCGTTAGCGGGATGTCCTTGCCCAAGACCGTCCACTCACATGCCTCCTGCTCTGCCTGCTTCCCGGCTGTATTACCTCCGGCCTCAGGAGCGCCAGGGACGTTGTTCGGAGCGCCGACTCCCCGACCAAACGCTCCGGGATTCACCCACGCGCCGCGACCACTGCTGCTAGCACCATCACCGAGAAAGCTTTGTGGTGCAGTGTCTGCCACGTCGCAAGCAAGCAGATCGTCGTCTATATCTGGCATAAGCCCACTGCGGTCTACTCTAACAGACCCGAACGTCTCCACAACCGGTTTTTTTGGTCCCGCAGGCACCATGTCAACATCGTCCGCGGGAGGAGACATGATGTTCTGTTCTCTAATCACACAAGAAAAACAAAAGTTCGTAGCTCAACATGAAACTACTAACTCAAATGAATGACTACATCAAACGAGGCTTCTGTATCTAGTGCTTCGTTCTGCTCGGCATCAATAGAAGTTCCGACTGCTTATCGAAATAATAATAAATCTCCGCGCTGCGATAAGATGCTAGTATAAAAATAAAGTCAGAACATTCCCACCATTAAAGAAAAGACTCACGCGCAAAAAAACCAGTGGGGAATGAGGAATTTAATGTTAACCTTACGACCCATGCCTGTAAGAGTCAAACATCTATGTTCAGTCGAGAAGTCAGTCTTCGAACAGCTCAGCTTGGCCTTGGGGTCATGTGGGGATAAAAGTGCCTACACCTGCTTCTGAAGTGTATGCCAACATCACGACGATCACAGGAGCAGGTTGTAAAAAAATCATGTACTTAAATGATTCGTAGAGACTCTGATTGACTCGTCCGACTCTGATCACGTTTTCATGGAACCTCATTCAAAGATTGATTGATCTGTGATCTCCTAATTGAGGACACGCGAATGGAAATGGTAAAGGTAACGTGATCATGATGTTAATGATGGTAGTGATCATGATAGTGAATGATGATGATTTGCTCCTTCGTTCATCTGGTGTGAAAAGTCGTGTTGCGCATGATGAAATCAAGTTGCGCAGAATCATAATCAAGCTTCGTAAGCATAAACTTCTGAAAATTATCTGAACACAAGAGTCTCAAGCCACAGGAATCTGAAATCGTGCAACAAGGCAGAGTGGCAAGCTGCTCGCCTATTTGATTCGCTGTATAAATATATAACAGTACGAATTATATGAACGTGATCAATAAGAGGAGCAAGCTCGTCGTCGATGTCGTACTACTCGTAGTTGTTGGAATTCAAAAACAGTAGTTTAACTTTAACTTCTAGTATGTTCTTGATTCCCAACGAACTACGATTACGAACTTCTAGTTCTAGTAGGTACATCATAAATTTTCAAATATCATAGTCTTCATCACAGACCACTCTGTACAGGTAACTTTGCAAGCTCCTGTATCAGTATCTGTATGGTAGTGATTGCAGACCTGGTATTATCCAGACTGAGTATCTAAGAATGATTCATCTTGTTGTTTCGCGGACAACGATAGAGATCTCGTCATACCAAAACACTCGTGCGCAAAGTGATCTCTAAGTATATGCGTGACAAAATGAAAATGCGCGATGTGGAGGTGCTCCAAATCTAAATTTAGGATTAGTTCTAAATCCCAATATTCAAAAGAAGTCTTCTAGAATTTACAGTCTCCATGTGATGTTCCTGTTCCTCCGTTAGAATCTAAAAACAACAAATATCTGCATCGTGCGCAACTATCATCGGTGTGAAAGCTATATTCCCCTGTTGTTGATTGTTCTAGAGGTAGAAGATATTGGGACATACGCCAATCCTGAGTGAACAACGTTCATTCAGGCCTTCGAATCCCGATGCTCCAGCCTCCTCTCAACGCTTCTGGAATACGGGCGTCAACGAAGTTGAAGTCTGACACCTTCTCGATGAAGTCTAACACGCCCCTACTGCTACCTCGAAAAGATGTTTTCATAGGCCACTTTATCTCCTGTGATGTTGGGTCACAGCTTAGTGACATGAGAGTCATCACCTTCAACTTGAATCGATCATAATAACGTGAACTTCAATCTTCAATGCATATTATCTGCAATCATTCAATCTTAATGTACCTGTACGATAGATGAAAAACCCTCCTTGTATAAAAAGCATGTATCAACATCCGCTGCATCCGCGTACGCAAGAGGCTTGATTCTATCAAACGATATAGACACGCCGCCAGAAACGCGATATGTTTCCATCGCGATGCCGTTGGCGCTGCCTGTTCTCATAGAAGACATCATCACTGAGAACGATGTCTTTTATCAGAAAAGCGCCGCAGATTTCCACAACCGTTAGATGGCGACATCCCCCTTCAATGTGTTGATCAAACACGCTGCCCCACGACGCGTCTGCTTCTCTTCGATCGACATGCGATGCATCCCACCTGAGCTCGAATTTACGCAAACACATCGACTGTATGGAGGCGTCGATCTCATGATTACGGAATGTGATCGACGAAGGGCGAGTACATAATCTAAACGATCATAGATTCCACGATGGTTAAAGCTTTTCAATTATTCGCAAGCTAGGTTTCTTTTCAACAAACTACTTATAAAGTAGATTTAGATCAGATTTAGATGAACCGGGTGTGATCACGGCGCAAAAACATGATCAACACCTCCAGGGTGAAAGCCAAAAATGCAAAGACATTTACTTACTACAACAAGACGATGAAATGCCACGTCATAATCGATTCTAGTACTGCGTATGATCCTTGACAAGACCTTGACCGAAGAACCTCCCTCCTGTTCCCCGTCTTTATTCACAAGAAAAGATAGAATAAGTAGAAGCTACAATACAATCAAAAATACATCTCAACACATATTTGGTAGTTTCTTGACTCCTCAGATCATCGCCTGCAGGAAACGCAACCGCTTTAGGGTGTCTTATTTCGCGACCTGGAAATAAGAGGAGGGCAAGCAACTAGTACAGCCAAAATTTCAATACAACAGACACCACAATAAAAATCTTCCACACGACCACCAAGAGCAGTTGCTAAGAAAACCATGGGTTGTATCGATTAGTATCCTAGCGAAGAACAATAACTTTGCTTGAAGATGCAAATCATGATTACTAGGACAACAGCAACACAGCTCCCTTTGCTAGTCGCCTCCCGAAACTCTAATACCTAAAATGAATGATTTCTAAGACAAGATAACAACTACAAATCAATGAAAATGCGCTGCGCTGCGTGGTTATACTGATTATTCATTTTGCCAATTGTGATTGATTCTCTAGCATTTTCAAAATTAACTAAGGGTATTAACATTCGAACATTCGATTTTCGAAACTGGCAGTTCGTAGATGACAGACCATAGCCATAGCGACGTAAGTCAATAAATACAGATCATAGATAACTAAGCGATTTCACCTCGAGATATACTCGACTAGTAAATATCATGGGCTACCCTCCTGTCCCTGTGCAACTCCTCGATGAAGAACGTAGAGCGAGGTGACGAACTAATCATAATATTACCCTAAAAAAGAACTTCTTATGTCTACTTCTACTGAGTCGTGTAAGGCCGCGAGCAGGAGCCGACAGCCGTGGCACAAAAATACCCTAAATGGATTTCTTTTCGAATACCGCTTCTCGGACAAAATACTCGTCTGAGCCCTGTCCTCTAGCATAGCGACAACTGAGCGCAACCTCACTGATGGTACCTGGCCATGGCGCAGTCAAAGCAAACTTGAAAGATGGATAGTCGTTACTGTCCTCAGAAGGTTCATCTGACCGCTTGTCAGCTGAAGAAACTACTCCCCCTCGACGTGTTTCGCCTGGTGATTTGAATCGTCCTTGTTGAACATGATCTAGTTCCTCGTCCTGCTGCGCTAGTAGAAGATGACGTAGTCTCTTCTTTTCTTCGACCTTCTGCTTTGACCTGCTAGTCCTTTCAACTACAGTCGACGTTGTTGTATCTAGTCTACCTCCTGCTGCTGCTGCTGCTGCTGTTGCGGAAGTAGTTTGATGATGCAGATTTCGCTGAATGACAAGTTCGACTTCGCGATTGCTCCACAGGTGTTGGCCGTCATAGCTCCAGAGCCCTTTTGGGGTGAAAACGCCTTGAGTGTCCTTCTCGAAGATTACATGCCAGCCGACGCGGAGACTTTTGCTCTGGTTCTTCGGACGGACCCATTTTCCGACCGAGGCGAAGGATTCAGTGATGATCGCGCCGACGCCGGAACGCCAACCGTCCTTAAAAAAGCCGACAAAAAATCCAGCGTCTCCAATCTGAAGGACGCCGTAACCGTGCGGTTGCATCTCCTTGTTCAATTTACCACGATAACGGACTGGTTGCGAACCCAAAAGGAGAAAATCATTATTTATTTCTCCACCCGCGACATGATGTCCTGGAATATATTTTCATTCTACATAGCACCATGATCGCGGAATTCCTTTTCCAGTCAGTTGTGGTGGAAAATATTCATCACGTCTTCATGTCACTTAGCCTAGGATTATCAGCATCGACATCGTGGTTGGGTTGAGTCAGAAAGGTTAATATGATGAGAAGACTAGATTTTCGCGATCAATTAAGGACAAGGAATAGCCTTGGCAGTAGAATGATAGCCAAAACCAAGTAAGTAACGAAAGGTTAATTTGAATTACCTGGGTTCCGCATGATGAAGCGATATGCGTCATTGTTGGGCTTCAACAGCACATCGGTTTTCTCTTTTAATACTTTTATTTTTCTCCCGTACGCGTTCGCGTATTCTTCATGTCTGGTCACCGCTCTTGTCTTCTGTATGCTAGCGACGGCGATTACATCCCGTGCACAGTTGAGGATGTAAGAGGAAGAGTCCGTGCCCCCCGCTAGATGGAAGCTCTTGGCCAAACGAATGCGCAGGTGGTGGATGTCAGCAGGCTCGATGTTGATGTTCACAGGATGATCGCGACTCACCTGCTCCACCAAATCCGCTGCGCCAGGCATATGCTTACTATGCGCGCCCTGTAGGACAAATACCGGCATTGGAAACTTTAGATAACTCAGTCGCAAAAGTTCGTCACGAATTTCTGCACTTTCCTTTCGCAAAAGAGAGGCAGTCGTAGTAGAAGCAGGTGATGGGGATGGCATTGGTTTGGACACGCTACTAGGACTACTAGCTGCAACTGCGGTTGAAGTGGCTCGTCGTTGTATTTCCACCATTTTTCTAGCATGTGTTTTCGCCTCTTCCCTCCTCCGATTCATCTCTGACTCCAGTTCGTGTACTCGCTCCGCCAGAAACCACCACTCAGACGATCGCCACTCAGGGTCTGCGACTTCTGATCGAGAAGGCGAAGGAGAACCAACTCCACTTTTACCTATGATACCGGTGTCTTCCAAAACGGCAATGAAACCTCGCCAATCGTTTTTTCGATCTTCTAGCACCGGCGGAAGTAGTCGCGAAAGATCATGACCAGTCTTAGAGATGCGAGATGACTTTGACTACATGTTGTACCTGCTTCATAACAATGCTGTTACTGATGGATCCACGACGAACATGCACTCTATAAATATTAATATGTCCTAGGGGTCCTAGTGGTTAGCATGCCAGGGCACACGACACACACAGTACAAGTACTACCGTTGAAAGTTTTTCCTATAATATAAGCGCGACCTCCACCGGAACAAGTATATGGAAAATGCAGAGTTCAAAAAATATCTGGTAGATATACTTCTAAACAAAGTAAGCCAGACTGGTTGTACAACAAGTACAACAACTTTTTCACATAACCTTTGCAGCCAGTGGCAGCCGCACGAGGTCACGCCATCGTGCGGCCAAGTAGGCATTCTCGGCATCGATCTCAGCCTGTCGCCATTCGAAAGCCTTTTCGTCCTGCAAGGATCTGATGTCTTCCGCTCCTTGGAACCAGCTTCGCACCACAAAGTAATTCTTATGTCGCAAGGGTATGTCTACGCGAATAGTGGTCTTCTCATTCACTAAAGCTTCTACTTCGTTCTTAGTCGCATCCGCAAGATCCTCAAGAATCTGAGTCCACTGAGAGCCGCTGCGAGGTTCGTGCTGCTGAGAATGCTTGTTGTTGTTGCGCATCTCTTTCAGATCAACATCCCAGAGGAAATCGTTTAGCTCGGTTTCCTCAACATAATTGTTAGCACTTTTATGCTGCTCTTCATGTTGTGTTGCTCCCTGCTCCGGCTGTTCGCGCTCTGCCCCTTCGGTCTCGCCGTCGTCTCTTGCACTTGTAGTTGTCACGTCCGTTCCCATCAAAGTGTACAGGCGGTCCCCTGTTAAACTTTTTTCTGAAAAACGAAAATTGGTTAGCTTTCGCCGGTAGAGATCGAGTCGAATGCCCTGTGTTGGCGAAACCGCGAAAGCCTTGGACTCTAGAAGCTGATGCGCTGCGTACCATGGCATAATCTGCTGTGGGTGGCGCGTTCCCACGGTAACAGTACCCTCATAGTAAGCCTCCGATGCAGCTGCGGATACACGCGCTGTAGATCCCTGCAGTGAGGAGACGGAGCTTGTCGGAGACGCCGCACCACGAAGCCGCAAAAAATCAACGCCTCTGGAATCGGCGAGGTGGTCCGTCGGCATGTCGGAGTAAGCCCTGCGTAAAAAAATGAAAATTTTGAGTAAAAAAATAGAGGAGGCTCGACGAGGAAATCCGCAGGGCGGAAGTATTCATCCTGATGATCCTATTCGTGATTAGTAGTGAAGATACAACTCGAAGTACAAAAACACTGAAACTATAGTACTTAGATACTTAATCACACATATCCTTCCTTCTTTGCGATGAGAAAAAATAGTCTTGCTTCATCAAGACAGTTCATCTTCAATCAATGAATATGAAATCGAAGCCTATGTATTCTTCAACCAAAATGTGCTGGTTGTTAACGAATATGCGAATTAAGTATGGGAAGATCCTCCAACATCATGATAGTGATACGCGTCTTCGCCCAGCACGGGTGGCCGAGGGGAGCCGATGAGGTGGCCGCGAGAGTCCTTATCCTCCTCGCCGGGCGGCAGCTCGAAGAAACTAGACCCGCAGCCTGCTCCATCGTGTCCTCGCAGTCGATAACCATGGAAAGAAACCGCGAGTCCGCCGCTCCTTGTGTCTGCCTTTACGGAGATCGGGGCCGAAAAACCCCTCGGGTAACTGACACGGGAAGACTGCACAGCTTCGTCTGAGCTCACTACAACTGGTTCCCCTCGGAGACCACGTAACACTTTCTGTCCATGTGGTCTGCCACTAATATCGAAATGCTGCGGCACTCTGTCCATCGTATACCGAGGTGGCGACGCCAACGCGGGAGTATTACCTCCCGTTCGCGGAGTTGCCAGCAGCAGAGGCTGATGCACTCGAGTCAGTAGAGTTCCGGTTTCTACTCCAGTTTCGGTACTTCTCGTTGCAGATTCCACCTGTTGTTTTTCTGCGACTACTGCGTGAACAGCATGGGAAAGTGCGCTAGCAAGTAGCCCACTCACTCGGTACTCAGTAGCAGATGCTCCCGCTCCGGGGGCGGCCGCACCACGTGATTCCAGTTCCAGGGCAGAGGCTGCGGCCGCAGAATCGAGGTCAATGTCGAGGTCATCCAACAGCTGTCCAGGGCTACACTCCTGCTCTTCTTCCTCACTGATCCCTTGCGGTCCTAAATCGGTGCAAGCAGGAGAACTGGTATAAGAGCAATAAGAGCTACCACTTTGCAAACCTCCTCCTACCGCTAGTGGCCCGCCTGCTCCTGGTGCTCCTCCAGTTCCCTCATCCTCACAACTACAAGGCTGCCCTATATGACAGGAATATGAACTGCACCCTGGACAACAGCTGCGGTTTTCTATGCAGTGTGGCGTAGGTCCGAGCTTGGGAGACGCAAACGAAGAGGGTACTGGAGAAGTGAGCAGACTCGAAAATCCGCCGGATGAGCAACTAGTAACTCCACCTCCATAAGTACCGGATAAGTACTTCCTCTTTAAAGGACTCATGGCAGCATCCCAACTTCGGAGAAGTTCGTGATCGATCAATGTTGGCGCCTCTTTCTCTATATGCAAGTCCTTTCGAAAGTCCTTCATTACTCTATTGCTCTGAGCTCCGAGCCACAGGAGAAGTTCACGCGCCAATTCTTGTTTAGGAGCAGAAACTAAAGGAGAAACTCCAGCAGCTGCTTCTGGTCGTGGGCTGTGGTCGTGGTAAAAATCAGCGTCGACATCTTTAATAGAAGACCTCGCCGTTGGTGGCATTGGATTCGTCGGAGCACAACTAGGAACACTAGCCTCTACAGGCGAACTTTTAGCCTCCACATCGATATCCGAACTGCCCCTCGTAGGAGCTTCAACCGTCCCTTGTTGCGTGTCCGCTGCAGTCTCTAATGGCGCCGGACTACCAGAAGCTTGCCCGTGTTGCGTGTCCGCTGCAGTCTCTAATGGCGCCGGACTACCAGAAGCTTGCCCGTGTTGCGTGTCCGCTGCAGTCTCTAATGGCGCCGGACTACCAGAAGCTTGCCCGTGTTGCGTGTCCGCTGCAGTCTCTGATGGCGCCGGACTACCGGAAGCTTGCCCGTGTTGCGTCTCCGCTGCAGTCTCTGATGGCACCGGACTACCAGAAGCTTGCCTTGACAGCTCCAGGCTGGCGTGCGCTCCCTTCCCTGTAGTGGGGCAACCGGTGCTGCTTGACATACTGACATCACTATCATCCCCAGGAGAGTCGCGGCGTCTGTGCTGATCTTTCAAGTTCAAACGCGTACGATGAGACTCCTGAGTAGTCGACTTTTCTGCTGCTGTGTCTCCCGATGATGACAACATCGCTGAGCGAGCGCCGCCATTGTTGATGATCCCATCTGCCTCTAGTACACTTCGGTCCTCCTCCAAAGGCGATTCCGTACTCGGTCTGCTAGATGCTGAATCCGAAGTAGATGTCGATCGTAGAGCGCGTTCCCTTTGGCTCCGCTGTCCACGAACTTGTTCTTGACTCCGACTACGTCCAATAATATTAACTATGCCGTCTATGATCATTGGCGAGTGTGGTCGAGACAGGGAGCCGCCTGCTGAAGATGGACCGCGTATGGAGCCTGCTCTACCTTGTCCTTCGTCCGCTGAGGTGGTGCCCCCAGACGAGTACATGCCCTTCGTCCTTTTGCGCAATGATGTTAGACCTTGCGGAAATCCATCTTCTTGAGAGTCAAATCTTGGACCCGATAATTGCCCCCTACACAGACGAGGTCTAATATGATTCTCAAAATATTAATGGGACATCATTTCCGGAAGTAGTCTTAATGTTGATAGCTCTCCCGTCATCTTCTGGCCAGGAAAAGTAGCACTACCTCCGGATGTAGTGGTCCGCGACGATAATGCCGCTTCTAGTGTTCCAGTTCCTGGGCTCCATCCCTTTGGAGGGTACTCCACCACATACAACGTAGCTTTGTTCGTCCCGAGTTTTTGATCAGTATAAGGAGGAGCCAATAACGGTGGAAGATACGCTTTGCTAGCATTGGTCGTACCGCCACCTCCTTGATGTTGATGTTCCTCAGCAGTGTCGGGTGCTCTTGACATAAGTCTTGCAGCAGTTGACGTCGGAGGTCCGTCAAATGCCTTTGTGCTACGCCTAGTCTGACCTCCGACGGGGGCAGCTGTGGTGAAAGGATTGCTGATTTCATCCTCGGTTTTTTCAGTGGCACTTGCATGACGACCACCTTGTAAAAAAATAGAAACTTCTTTTCTACTATAATTGCTAGAAGAAGCCTGCTCAACATCTTCAGGTACGCCAGACGCACTCGCAGGAGGTCTTGGATATAGCATCTCGTTGCTGAGACCCTCATCAGTCGCTGTAACCGAGAAACTAAAGAGCCCATCTCCAGCTGGTCGTTCTGGCCCTTTGTTGGCAGAAATCGAATCAGAATTATGGATTGATGGAGGAACACCCGAGAGCACGCCATATGTATCCTCAAGTCGTTGAGAATGTCCGCCACCAGAGAGAGTGAACGCTTTGTAGGACCTGGGGGTTAGTGGCGTCGGGGTCGGGCTGCTCGCTATAATCGGGCCGCCAGCTACCCCTCTCCTGGTGGCAGCTCGTTCAGTTACTGAGGAGAAATTTACCCTCGAGGCAGGAGACGAAGTAGGCGCTTGCAAGGTCGCATTGAAAGACAACGTCGAAGAATTGAGTGCGATTCTTGACCCGCTTCCAGCACCACCTTGATGTTGCTGTTGTCCACCTTGATGTTGCACTAGAAGTGCAGCTGGTCCCACTCCTTCGTCTTCCTGTGATGTAGCAGGACCACGACCTTGTAGTTCTATTTGCCCTGGTGGCAGGCTCTTTCGATCCTCAAAGCTTGTGTCACGTGAGAAGCCATTGCGTGAAGACAAGGGGGCAGCAATAAACGACCACGAGTCATCGTCCATGCCTCCTGATGATGAAGTCGCATATACATAATCCCCTTGATCAACATTTACACCAGCAATGGCTGTCTGAGCTGCCGCCGTCGCATCAGCGTCCACCTCAGACCTTCTAACTCTAAGGCTCACCGGATGAGCAGCACTACCAGTACCAAGCTGGTGATCTGCTAGCGGGTCCTCTTGCAGAAGTTCCCTTCCTGTTGTTATTGACGCGGACTCTCGTTTCCCTAGCTCTTGTTCGCGTTTTTGCTCTTGCTTGCGTTTCTCTTCTTGCGCCTCCTCCTGCGTATCTCTGTGGATTTTTAACTGACTTAGCCGCGCCATTAACAGGTCTACATCCATCGACGTCCTGTGGTGGTGGTCCTCACGACCCATTGAGTGCGGGTGCACCATCCCACGAGGACAAGTGGTGACCTCCTGGGTGGAGGTGCTTGAGGTCTGTCGTGCTGGTCCTCGTGCTGCTGCAGAGCTGCCACAGGTGGGAGCCCTCAAAGAACTTCCTCCTTCGGACGAATTGCAATTGGGTGAGGCGCCTGCACATGGTACCGCTACCAAAGAGGTCAAAAGAAGAGCAAGGGAGGACATCCTTCTCCTTCTGTTCTTGCAGTTCCGGTACAAGAATCGAGAAGTTCTTCTTGAGCAGGTACTACGAAGATCTAAAGCACTATGTGTCGTTGACGAGTCTGCAGTAGAGGCACTTGTTCCTGTAAACCCGATGCTTTTCGTAACCTGCGTCATCGTCAAGGAAACTGACACGAACGACGGCGCCAACGCCGTGTCGCAAGAAGAAGATAGAACTTCAACTTCTACTTCACCACACAAGCAGGAGTCCGAAGTAAGATGAGGTATTCGCAAAGGACGTACGAGAACTTCTTCGTTGCAGGGCTCGTATTCGTAGCCGCGACGAAGAAGTGAATGGTCCTCCTGGATGGTGAAAAAGTTTCTTGTGCTGGGTCGGCTGGTGTTAGTAATCTGTAAGAACACAAGAACGCAGCCTTCTTCTAGTCCTAGCTCGAGGCGACTTTTCTAGTCCGAGAAAGCTGCAGCAAGCGCCGATTTTTGGTCGTTTGATGCACTACGCAGACGAAGTAAACACGGGTCACCTGTTTCCAAAACAATATTCTTTTTAAGCAACAAAAGCCTAGGAAACCTTCTGCAAATGATTATAGAGAAACGCAAACTACAACTAGACTTTTACTCATACAAAGAAATAAGCACTCATTATCACCGTGCACAGATATCAATAAAACAGATTTTCAAAAAGAAAAATGCAACAACATCGATGAAGATCCTAAGATGGATAGCAGGTAGCGAGACCGCTGTCAATGAGTTAGCAGTACTTGGCTTTGGTAGTTCCAAAATCAAACCCTTTCAAAAACAGAACATCTTGAAGACCAGTTATACAACCAGGAAATGCTCTCTAGGAGCTACTCTTTACTTACTTATTTCGGTATATGCACGAGAAGTCACTAAACTTCTCAAACTCAAAACAATATGAAAAAGAATGCCAAGACATAACGTCTGGCAGCTTGACCACAATTACAGACGACCACAAATAGACCACACGTGGCTCTTCAGCTTTGTTCTGTTCTCCATGATCTCCATGATCGATTGTTCATTCATTTTCGTAGTAGTTCTTGTGATTGTGTTTGGCCGCAGTCAAGAGAGGGAATGAGAAACTGATCGCAGTTACTACCACGCAAGTTTTAAGAGCTCAACAAGAAAATCAGCCTGATTTTTCGCGCATAACGGACACGACAAAGAAGACATCGATGCCTTACACGGGATGTTACTCGATAAGTAGGCGTCGCAGAGTTCCAATACACTTTCAGATGAAGAACGGCCTAGTCCTTGTTCCATGGGCAGCGAATGCCAGCTTTCATATTCTTTTTTACATCCAGAGAAATCCACAAGATATTTTTGATATATTCATCTCAGTTAGGTGTAGGACCAACATCTGCTCGATATGATGAAATAAGTACCCTGTTGTTTGGAGATTTCTGACGCCATGGTACTTACATGAATGTGTTTTTTCCAAATTCACAGCACGTTTTCGCAGAAATAAAAGACTCCCATTCCCTAAAGGAATTCCCTCTCATTCTTCGATCGATGTTGTTATCTGCAGATCTTCGTCACGCGTGCAGCTCAGAAATATGATTAAGGATGATGACCAGCTGCAGCAAGTTGATGTTGAAGTTTATCTTTTCGTGGATATTATAGAAGACAGACGAGTCACAAAATAACCGACCATCGTGTGATTAGTGAAAAATAACGTTTTATTCTCGAGCTAAATTCGAATATGTTGCTGCATAAGTAAGATGATTTTGAGTGATCAATGACAGATAGCGAGAATAAGCATCCTCTCCAAGTGGTTAGCTGTGGCAAACGCTTGTCCATGACAATGACGTAGTGATGTGACATCACGTGCTATAGCAATATGGGTATTTAAGAACAATTCATGATGTAGGTATTGGCAACTGGTGTCTGCAACACCGATCAAATCTCATGAATAGTGGTTTACTCTTTAATAGTAAGACACAACAAATCCGTAAATCTAAAAAAAAATCACTGACTAGCTGAAAGAAACGATTAAGCCCCCCCGATCGCCTCCGCCGATCCTGCGGAGGGTGATGCTGCAGCAGTCCCTGCTCCGCTCGTCGCCGCGCTGCTCCCTGCAGTAGCAACTGGGTGTCCGATTCCACGAGTTACAGTACCAGCGCGAACGGTTGCCTGCCCAGCCACCGGTCGCTGTCTTACAGGAGCTGCAAGTGGCCGTCTTACAGGGGCGCTGTAGTTGTACATGTTGCTAGCGGAACTTCCAACTACGGGCTGCATCGGCGAAACGAGTCTTGGGCCTGGGCGTCGCAGGTAGACGTTGCGTGCCGCAGCTGCGCCCCCTGGATGTCCAGCTGCATAGGTGATACCCGACATCAGCGGTGCTGGCGTTCCTCTGCTGGTCGACGCTGGAGTAGAGATTTCAGCTCCTGGTGGAGGTGGCGTGACCACTCCACTCGAAGATGCTGGAAGCGTGATGAATGGATTGGGTCCGACGACCCCGACATCAACCGGAGCCGGATCGTAGTATCGTGGAGGTGTCCTGGTGGCTGCCAAACCTCCCACAAGTGGTGCAACTGTGCCCATATGCACTGACGCAGGCGGTCCTCGCGGAGCTGGGCTCGCAAAAGACGGAGCCTCTGTGGCGACACTGGGAGCTGCGGTAACGGTCGTGGACGATCCGATGGATGAGACTCCAGTAGTGCCCGCACCTGAAGAAGCCGGAGGCAGACGTAGTTGCGGCATCATCTGGCGCGGCGGTGGAGGCTGAGGGAGCAGAACCGTGCGCACGGTACTTCCCGGAGATGCAAAACCACCAACCGTTGTATAACCGGTTCGCGTGTAACTCAAAGCTCCAGAATGGGTCTGAAAATGAGGTCGTGAAGAAACAAAATTTTGTGAGGTGAAGAAACCATTTTCAGGTGTTGAGGACTCTTTATCAAGCCTCGACGAAAGATTGTCATTTACGAGCTGGTGCTAAAGCCGATAGAAGATGAAGATAATTTATTCTGAGAAATCTGCTAGTGTGATACCATCGGCGCGTCAGACAATGTGTTCGGATCTGGTTGCGCAGTCAATGTCGGAGACGGAGCATAGCTGCTCTGAATTTCTGGCGTTGGCATGGGAGGTTCGTTTCCGTCCAACGATCCTCCGTGATCGAAAAAGATGGTTTCCCATGGAGGTGCTTCCGTATTATTAGCATCGGCGTCCGTAGTTGCTCCCCCTTCACCGCCACCCATAGCCGGCGAAGCATCCTCCATCATAGCGTCTTCAGACGAGCCGGCTTCTACTGTACCGCCAGAGGTGGTTATGCTTTTTTCTGGACGTGGCGACAGCGCCAGGCGACGGATCATTGATTCGAACCGTTTTGTTAAGTTAGGAACGTCTCGCGGTGTAAGTTCAGCAGGGGAACTACCCGGACAAGGTTGTATTTCCGTTTGTGTGCGCATTACCCCATCAGGTCCGACTGAATTAGTCCAAAATCGGCGTAAAGGCTCACCTAACATCCGGAAAGAAGACCCTCCTCCAGAGGCAGATGAAGTCGGTGCTGGAGCTGCAGGTTGTTCAGCTGTCGACGCCCCCTCCATGGTAACATCTTCAGTCTCTACTTCGCCGTCTGGGGTAGAAGTAGTTTGGAACTCCTGCTCGCTTGTCGATTGTTCACCCTCGGACGGCGCAGCTCCTGGTGCCGATATTGCGTCTCCTGTCGAAGCTTCATCATGTTGCGTCGAAACTTCTGCCGCAGGCATCGATCCCACGATTCTACTGGACACAGCGCCAGAACACCCAGACGAATCTGAGGAATCGTGCGTGGAGGATCCACAGGCGCCTCCTACCGAACCTGAACTAAAAACCCCCAAATGCACAGCTGCTGCCCCGCTAGTACTGCTGAAGGCACAAGGCGGAAGCGGCAATGGTGGCGGTAGCGACACAACAGGGACTGCTGTTCCTGGAGCAGCAGGAGAAGATAGCTGTTGTTGATGCTGACTCGGCAATGACGCACCAGCAGAGCAGGTGCTCAGACCACGACGATGTGAAAATGTGCGGCTCGACGTACTTGGAGTTGGTGGAAAAGCCACGCTCTCTTCGTTGGTCGTTCTTGTACTGCCAGCTCCGTCAGTCCTCGTGGTCTCCCCAGTTGTCGTGGTACAACTAGGCTCAGCTGCTGCAGAAGTTGCATCTTCAGCACAGCAAGACCCTCCAGAACAACATCCCGATCCGGAAGATGCACCGGCTTCTGCGGCTCCTACATGTGGCTCATCTTCCTCCTCCGAGATGCCGTAGGTCATTGTAGGCTGAAACTCGGATAAGGATGTGCACTGCGAGTTTGGTGTCGCTATCGGCAACACAGAAGGACCAGGAGCTCCCGGAGGTCCACACATGTACTGCTGTCGAGATAGTCCCTCATAATCCTGAAAAGAGTTTGCAGTAATTTGAAGCAAGAAGTGCAACACAAGAAGACGAGGCTACAGACTGGTGATTATGCTTGATACGATATTTGCGAGGTCAAACTGCAAATACTGACTTACAACAGATGACTAACACCTTCTCACAACCTCATGTTAAATATTGAAGTACGTTGTCTCGGTTTCGTGGCGTGAGGCGTGTCTTTTTGCATCCATGGCAAGAATTTAGACACAGCAAGCCTGACATACAACCGCCGCAAGCTGCCATTTTAGTTGTCGTGCTCGCAAGGCTTCCCCGCGGAGATGAGCGGACACCCAATACAACAGGAGCATCCTCGCTCCACAGGGGAAACAGCTGCACGACCACGGAGCAAACGCGGAGAAACAGAACACGCATACGTCTATAGGATGAACGCTCCATCGTGATTCTTTTGTTTATTCCTCTCTGGCTTCTAGATGCTTCTAGGCGTATGACGTGATGTACGCTGTTTTGACAAAGAGGACTGCTGCAACAGAACTTCGTAAAAAAATTCGACTACACGACCAGTGGTGTGACTCAAAACTCCTATTAATGGGACTTCTCCTATCTTTTTGAATGTGTCACCAATGAACCATATGAGGAAGCCCGCCGTCCCATGTCTGTCGCTCGATCACACACAGTATCTCCTTCCCACTTCTCAGAAATCACCAGCTGCTTCAGAATAATCCATCTCTTTCTCCTTTAATCACTTACAAGTCCTGCTCTAGTTCACTCAGGAAAGGCAATCTAGCAAGTACTATTGCCCTTTCAAAATCATGATCACGTGGGTCTAAACGGAGAGCGCAGACCACATCTTTGAGTGAAGATGTTGAACAAATATGACACCACGAGAAGCGTGCTGACCTCACTCCTACTACAAAGTAAGAAGTGCAAGTGTTGAGCATCCGCAATCAGATATCCACAGGCACAGATCATCATCTTCGTTGTAGTGGTGGGTGTACATCCACGACATGGTGAATGTTGGAACAGGGAAACTTCCATGTGCGGCCTCTCTTGGAGTTGCGGAGGTGCGAGCGGTTCATCTTATATATCTTGTGTATGATCTTTTATCATCTCATTAGAAGCTATGTTATCTGGTTCTATCAAATAATTGCAAATTATGTTGCGATGCGATGTATTTGTATGCTGCGTGATATGTCAGAGGAGGTTCAAAGAACGTTTTTTACGGATCCGATAGTGGAGTAGAACGGGGATCGATGACTTTGTGCTATGCATGTGAGCACAGTGAATTTTAAGACGGCGAAAATCGTCACGAAGTAAATTGTATCCTCATTCATTCATCCTGGTCAGCGCGGCGGCACCCTACGGCGAACTGAACAGCGCGACCAAAGGCCTTGCCCACTTGACACCCGCGGGCGCCACTGTGGGGAAAGCCGGAGGATTAATCTTAATTGAGCAGATGAATCGTAAGAGTCGTGTGCGTGTGGATGTAGGTCAGCTCACATGATAGATTTATCCTTATCCAGATGCAGTTCGTTGTAAACATTAAAGATAACACAGTACGTTGTAAACAGCTTGTGACGGTCAACTTATATTTCATAAGACGACGATAATTATGAACTTATGCAGGTCAGCAGACATGATAGATCTTGGTATGTCCTTTTTATCCGGATGCAGTTCGTTGCAAAGATTAAAGATCTCTTTGCGTGTCGCAGGATGGGCGCGGGGACGATCTCAAAAGGCGGGAGTGATTTATGTCGAATTTAGTTTGCAATGCGTGTATCGAGCAGATGTGCGTGTGAAAGTGGATTTTTAGAAATCTGCTATTATATTAGATGTGTCAACATGGTGATAACGAATATGCATCATGCTATGAAAATGTCAATGTGGTCAATGTCAACACGAGCTAAACTTAATTTCATCCGAGGAAGTAACTATAGCTAATTTTCGTATGCAAATCATGCAAGAAGTCGGAAATTTGAATGATGCCCAGTATGTAATCGTATCGCCCAAATAGTACACGGGAAACAACTTCAAAGTAAGTAAGTAAAAGTGCTTAGACTTTGACACCCGCAAACTTTACAATTACATCCCATTCGCTCGAGCGGGGGTCGGCGTTGGATTGAGGTTCAACAGCGAGTCCATGTAGTCCCGCTCCGATCTGCCCGCCTGATACCAGGACCAATCGTGCACTGATCTTCGTCCGTATGGCTGACATGATTCCGAGAGACTAAAGCGGCACCACCATGGCGTAGTTTCCTCGACAATTTGCTTCACAAGTCCAGAAGCGGTAGAACTAGAAACTGGTGTACTACTAGTTGAAGAAGAAGTGGAGACGAGTTTGAGAACTTTCTGATTATCGCCGAAAACTGTTGCCATTTCTGCGCTGCCTTCGTCCAATCCAAACATAGCAAGAGGCCACGAATTATGATGCAAATGACCCGTCTGGACCGTGATCATGATACCGGGAAACAAAATCATAAACCCCCACCAGAGGACTGAGGTAACAAGGCAGAGAAGGTAAACACCATTTCGAGTCCGGAACGCGGTGCGCACACGCTGGAAGTTGAGAGCAATAGCAAGTGCAGGGGTAGGATTGAGTCCAGTCCAATAGTGACGAAACAAGAACAATGAATTGTGAATTATGGTAAACAAGAGGGACTAGAACCATCCAACAAGAAGCAAAAAATGATGGAATACGGTGCATTCGTGCATTCTGTTGAATGGTGGCGGTGATATCGCTGGATCGACGTTCCCTAACATTCCTGCGCGCCCTACGCCTTCCTCTACTTCGCCAGAGGTCGACTTGCTCAACGTGGACTTGTATTCTCTTCTTCTGTGCGGTCAGTGGTTAGAAGAAGGCGTAGTAGTAAAGTAAAGTAGGGTAAAAACTTTACGAGTTAGAACTACATGGAGCAGAATCAGAAAGCTGTACGAGCATCAGATAATGATGAGTACTAGGAAAAGTAAGATGACTTATTATGTCGGGCTCGGGGTAACTACTCTCCGAAGTGGAAGTGGCCACTTCTCATCTCAGGATTGTCTTCTTCCCTCAAAAGTCTCTTCATCTTCTTTCAATCTGGATGATAGAAGATTTCATATATATAATAATAAACGATTTGGGTAGTGAACGTGAAGTTACTTCTCACTCTTTGAGACTTTCAGAGTCAGATGCAATGGCAATCGCAGCACACTAGATCTCTTAATGTAGGCGGCGGCAAGCAGAACGTCGCGAAACCAGTTGAACCTCTTCGGTGTGATGTACAGTGGCACTGGACGCGGTATTACGAGGTCCGAGGCAACTGCATCATCTGTCCCGGCTATACCACAAGAGCCGTATCCCTTATCTGGTCCTTGGTCTTGGTGAACTTGGCGACCCTGCAGCTGGTGAGTGTGGTGGTCGATAGGAAAAGTGTTTTCTCCTCCTGCTCCAGCAGATGAGGCTAGTACATTGCCAGTCTTAGTACGAACATTAGCCTGTGATTGTGTTGGTAAGCCTGAGGCGGGACCTACTTTACCACTCCTGGCGCTACCAAATCCGCCTGCACGACTACTCGCAGGAGCTGCCTCTTGGTCAACACCTCCAGCATTTGAATGTACTTGAAGAGTCCTTGTTGTAGCGATGTCTTCTTGTTCCTGGTGCAACACCAATAGCGATTTTCTGTGATAGTCGAAGACCTGTTCAAGCCTTGCACGATTACTAGCGGCTAGCTCTGCCTGGTACTGCAGATCGTCTAAGGGATTGGATACTATCGTAAACGATGCCGTTTCGCAAGCGAGAGTGTAGGTCCCGAAGACTGCCCAGATGCAGCTAAACAGTATAAACAGACAGAAGGCCTTGTAGTTCACGGCGCCCACGCAATTTCCAATGAACGGACAGTGATGATCGAATCCTGTGTGTAGAATGATGATCGAATCCTGTGTGTAAAATGATAAACGAATCCTGTGTGTAAAGTGATGATCGAATCCTGTGTGTGAAATCCAAAAATAAAAGTCAGACTGCGGGTCGTGCTCGTCAGTTTGTTGTTCTACTTGTACTATGAAATGAGACGACCAAATGATACAAAAACGACACGCTAGGAGTAAATAAATTTAGATACACGCTATTAAAAAATAGTTAGGTACACGCTATAATTTGCATGCAACCTACAAAGATAAAGAGATTTTTAAAACTACGTCGACATCTTCATCTTCCTTAGATCTAGATGGACACCACACTGAAAGTAGTATGCTCAATGCTGTACTAGACTAGGCCTGTGTATTGAAGATGCTGGCAATACCTACAGTGCACCGCTGACATATCCTGCAGTGATGGATGTGTTTGTCAATGTGGACCTTCCAGGCTTTGCATGTCGGACAGAATTCCACAGTTGATGACACAAGCTTCGCGGATTCCGGATTCTCTACGCCGGACATCTTTGGAGGTTGCAGAATTACATTGGTTCCTCCGATGTTGAAATAAGTCCATGACTGGCTCCTTCATTTGCATTTCATCTACTTATATATAATAAGCTTTGGAGCGGAGAGAACAGTGCTTGAAATGAGACTGAAGACTACACTTAGAATAAATATGAAAAGAGCCAGGAGATATGGCCGTGCTGCGGGATGTAATTCGATAACGACCCTTAACATGTAAAGCCGCTCACTGTCGCTGAGACCCTTTTGCCAGTAGTCACGGATTATCGCCTCATATTTCAATCGAGAATCCGCGTCACCAAAATACAGATGGTATTGTCCCGAAACGTCCTCCCGGTCGGCGCCGTACCGATACGAAGTATCAGTAAAGGGGTCCACGTTCCACGGGTACGTGCGGAGCGGAACGTATCTGGTGAGAAGGAGGAAGAGATCACTGTATGTGTATGTCAGTGTATGACTCTAACCGAAGTAGTGCTGCTCTTCCTTTCTGTCTTGTGTGGTCCAGTGAAATGATAAAGATAAACGAACAACAGCTGATTATCATGAAACGACGAACGTACTATGAGTGTGCGTCTCGTAAACTATTGAGAGACGAAGTAGACAGTAGTTGTACGTAATGAAAATTGTAGTACAACAAGCTTATTGAACAAGGGTTGTATGTGTATCCAAGAAAGTCTAAAGTTCAGTACCCCGGATTGACGAAACTCGCACCGAATATTGCTGAAGCCAGCGTGAAGAAGATAATCGTTCCTATGAATATTCTTGCCGTTCCGTGAATGTTGAGGCAAAGGTCTACAAAGCTGGTGGGGCGTCGTCTCCCCTGATAGTCTACACGACTCATCTCCGTCAACGCTAGTTCATCTTCCAGCTCTTCTGGCGCACCATCTTAGAGCCCTGAAGACTGCACAATCGGCCTCCTGTTTGACATCATCTTCATCTTGTTTTCCCCTTTTTAGGAAAAGATGCCAAAAAGGCCAAGAAGAAGGATCATGCTGCACCTGCAGTGGGATCCTCTTTTGGTTCTACTTGCCTTAACTATCAGAGCGGGAAGGATGTACGCAAAGACTGCTTCCCGCAGCTCTTATCGGACGCCCAACAAGTGCGCCTGCTTCATTCTTGTTCCTAGGATCGTATTGAACATCATCTCGTCCATGATTCTTTGCGTTTCCTCCACCTGCACCACTCAATGTAGTTGTTGAAGCCCCTAACACAACTTTTCGTTTTCTTCTCGCCACTGCGAGCTGAACACGGAGCCTCCAATGATCGCATAGGCGCTGGCAGTCGAGTCCAGGAAAGTAGGCATCCAACATGCATTTGAGCCAGAAGAAGTAGGTGAGGAAGGAGAAAACGATGTAGTACATCGGCAGAAAGGACTGCAGCGGACCGAAAATTAACGGTAAGGCCTGCGACGCTATCGTCACGAACAGTACGTGGAAAAATCCTACCACTCCGAACCACAGGCCGTAGACGCTAATACCAGAGGTCTCCTCTAGAATTTTACATAGCGTCTTCGCGCTGTTCCAAGAGACGCCACAGATAGTCGCGGCCCAACCCATCAAAACCCTCTTACTGGGACTGTCCTGCTCGCGAAGCCACGACGAGACACCGCTGATGTAGCTTGCTTTTGCAAAACTTAGAAATGGAAGGAATCTCCTTCAGCGTGAGTGTGAAAACCATGATACTAGCTAGCTAGCATCACTTTCACTGCTCCTCCTGTACCTACTACTTTCTCTATTAAGCAAGACGATGGCTGCTGCAGCGGGTCTCATCATACATCTTTCTACATGATGATCATGATGTAGTTGACTGAGAATTTATAAGCGGCCATAATGCGTTCCCCTGCGTTACCGCTTTTGCTTGCTCCTGCTCTGCCAGAGGGATGACGGGAAGTTTTTCTGTTGGTTTCCATGCGTTCGGGACAACGAGGAAGAGCGGGAAGCAACAGCACGAGGCGCATACGAGTTGCTGTGCTAAATGGGTCTCCAGTATATCGTCCGGGTGCCTCTGATACGCCAAAAATCGCGAACGGTATCTCATCGCAGCCGCCTGAGCTTCTATGTCTTCAGGTGCACTGTTGATTGGTGCACTGTCGCTGGTAGTCGTGATCGTTGAAGAGATTACTGTACTACCTTTTACCACATTCCTTTGCTTGATGTCGTGGTGCTGTCCGCCAACAGATCTGCTGGAAGTAGGACATGATGTTGTAGAACCTGGCTGCATGGCATGAATTTGTCCTGGAACCTGGTCCCCCTCTGATGCAATGCGCGCCCCTAAATTACCTACTCTTTTTGATTGATGATCAAGAGGTGATTTGAATGATGCTTCGTCTCCGTCACAACCTTCGACAGCCTCCTCTAGATAAGCTGCCAAATCCGAATACCCTGGTTGAGCAATAGAAGTACCTCTGTACGACCTTTTATCATGAGTAGTGCAGCTTTCGCCTATTTTACAAGTCGCATCTCCAGCAGCACGCCTAGGAACTCCGAACCCTCCACCCTCGTTACCGCTACTCGAAGATAAGTCCTTGCTTGATATGCCCAAAGACACGCTTCTGCTACCGCCTCCAGCGCTTTTGCTCTGTGTTGCCGAGTAAAAGCCGTCGTCTTCGGGAGATGAGGTCACTTGGTGCATGGAAACCCCACCTGTGGGTGTGGCTCCGGAAACATAATATTCTTGTTCTTGATGAGGTGGGGAACTACAGTTGGAGTTGTTTTCTGTACAATCGAAGAAGTTGCGATGTCTCTCCCGAATCGTGCGAGGTGACGGCGACAATGAGGAAAGCGCTTCCGGACTCGCCAAATCGGTTGCATCTCCATTTCCTCTCACGTGAAAATGTTCAGCCAGTTGCGCTTGCGTTGTTGTTCCCGTCCCCAGCTCCTCAGCACCGACTCCACCAACATCTGCTTCTGCTAGTAGTGGATAAACAACAACTGGAGGAGCACCTTGACGCGGCGTCGTGTTTGAGCCCCAACCAGCATTTTCTTGCGATAAGAACTGGCTTTCAAACCGGTCGAGCTGGGGAGTCGCGTCAAACATCTTCTTCTTCGTTTTTATGCGTAAGCGTACTCTTCTTGGAATTTTCGGTGAAGATCATGGTCATTAATATCATTTTCGTCGGATTTCTTCATCTACGCAGCTGGTTATCTTCATCTATTACTTCTTGTTCTTCTTCAAGCACTATTCGATGTCAAGTACCTAACCACATCATTCTTGACGCCAGTCTGTCACCAGGAGTACAGCATGATTAATCTACATTAATTTACTGCCTGTACCTAGAAGCTCCACTTCCAACATCAGGGTAAATGTAAAAAGTCATTAGCCGTAAGAATAAGATTCGTTTTTCTCTAGCCTCCTGTTGCTTAGACCACTGAGAACGTCCAGGAAGTAACAAGAAATAAACATCTCAACATCACATTCACATTGACAAGCGAAAAAGAATCAAAACACGAAGGACCTATAGACACCAGTCAAGATGAAGAGGTGAGACACGTTCTAAATAATAGCGATAATCCTACTAGTGAAATTATAGAAGTTCTTGGAGGATTAGGATATCTCGTAAGAAGCAGGTAAATTGCAGGGTTCATACTTCCAACAAAGTGGTTTGAAATTGTCGATTCATCTCTCTCGTCTTTCATGTCACTACTAGTACACGACGTTAAACCGACTGTTGTACACTTGATACCGATGAGCAACACGCACAGACATAGCACGAGACTCACAATGAACCGGAACTCGGATTATATGAGTCTATAGTAGAACATAAAATCAAAATGTATGAACAAGATCATGATTACCGCTGCCCGATCTTGCTCTGTCTTCTTCAGACGCGATGAAAGCCAGTGGCCGAGGACGAGGAGAGTGAAAGACTTCAGACAAGAGTGGTGAACCACAACCAGGTGACAGAGAGACCACGCAAGGTCGACGTCGAGCAGGTCAACATCCTCGACATGTCTATTTCTTTTGTGCAAATAAGGGAACAGTTGTGCCTTCCGTTCAGATCCTCCGCCTTCTTTTTCATTTGAATTATTTTTAAGCAATTCAGCAGATAGGGTGGAGAAAAACTCAGTTGTTGTGGTTGTCAGGATGTTAAAAATCAGTTCGCTAGACAGCAAATTTCTTCTTGTTGCTTCCATGCAACGGAGGAGGTAGGGTTGCACTTAAATGATCACAGCCCACAGCAGAAGAAGTATGTTCACCTTCATGACCCTTGAATGAATTCTACAATTCTTTTTTTTTGCCCCTGTTTAATCTGAGTTGAACCTCCAACCTCGGTAGGAGCAATAGCGAGACACAAATATTGTGAGGACATTTATTCTTAAAAAACCAACTCCCATATACAATCCTTTACAGTTTGATGACGGATAGATCGATAGTTAAACTAGTACAACTTCTACATCTTGTTTTAGATCATGAAGTCTTTAATTAATAGCAACAAGAAGAACAGCTCGTCGAAATTTCACGTCTCTTATTGAACAGCAAATTATGTAGAGCTTGATAGAAGTTGCTGCTAGTTTCCCTTTCCTGCTCGTATTGACCTGCACCTGGTCCTCGCATCATTTCAAGCTGAACAACAAGATAGAAGTCGTCCTTTCTTAAGTCCACAAAGAGTTCTGTCATTGGACAACAACATCATCTGGAGACCCGGCAATTGAGACAAGGAAATGATAAAAATAAAAGATATAAGTCGTCGTGGATGAAGATCGTGACCAAACAAGAAAATAATACTGAAAGTGAAATCAAATAGTAGCTGTTAACAATAGTTGCCCAATACATAGGAATGATAGCTGGTTCGTTCTTGCTGGGTTGAGGGTCGTTACATCAAAACGCCACTTGTTGTACTAACTTGTAGATTGTCGTACTTGTAGCGTCCGCTATTGATGTTCCTAAATTGCTTCAAATTGTTCCGTTTGTTTCAGGAGACCTGATTTTGATAATTTCTATTTCTAATGTAAATTTCATACAAACGGTCCAAAACAGGTCCAAGAGCAGGGGCGTAAAAAGACTGGCGACGCTTTTATTCGGGCAGTAGGAGTCATCAAAGTCATCGTGTTGAAGAAATCTCCATCTGTTGATGTTGTTTTTCAAAGGTCTTTTACAAAGAACTTTGACTGAAGGTTCAGCCCATAACCCTGCTGCATGCCTAGATGAAGTTCGCGCCTGCTGCTCATTATGTTGAACGTGAACCTCTACATCTAAGAACTCTAGTACTTTTCAAGGAGAATAGCTGTGAGAAGAAACAATGCTTTCATCGAACAGGTAGTAAGTCCAACTCTTCAGTAAACTACTGCTTTACAGGAGGACGACATAGCTGGTACGTCAATTATAGCTGCTGAAGAAGAAGATGCTGCGAAACGTAAAAAAACATGTAGCGACTTTCATCTGTTGTTCTTCTTTCCAGTTCCAGGTATCGACGTATTTAATGTAATCGGCACCAGGTGAAGAGAAAATCGCAAAGATAGACCGAACTCAACGCTTAGCAGCAATCGAAGTTTTCTTGACACCTGTAGTTGGCAAGAAAAAGGTCGTCGTGAAGAAGAGGACGTTGACCGCGTTGAGAAACTTCCTCAGAATTAACATTCCTACTCCTGTGAAGATGACTTATTAAGCTGCTCCATGTTCGTAAGTATATCCATATTTATTCATGATTATATCCACGACAATTACCTTTCTTCTTCGAATCCTTCGTGCTGCTAGCCTTCTTCGCTCCGCCCTTGGACGCCAGTGAGGTCTTGGATTTTTTGTTCGACTTCCCACTTGAGGATACAGCCTTCTTCGCTCCTCCTTTTGCTGGCAGACCGGCGCGAAGTTGCAGCTCTCGCTTGTGGAGCCTCTCAGTGTCCTTGTCCGTGAATTTCTTCAGACCCTTCTGGAAGTCGGCCAAGAGCGGATCATTCAGGTTCAGTGTGTTCCAGCCACCTGACTTCGGCTTGTTCTTGGACTGTTTTACTACCTGGATTTCCTCGCGCACGCTCTTCGCCTTTGGCGGCTCACACATTAGCATGTCCACTGTGGCGTTTTTTCGCAAAAACGTTGGATGCTTGGAAGTCCAAACGTCGCATCTGTGTTTGAAGATCATCTTCATGTTACTCTTACTTTTGTATTTGTTGCAGAAAAATTAAGCATTCTCCACAACTCATCTTCTCAACTACATCTTCATTCAACATGAAGCCTTCTATTGTTCATCCTGCTCTGATGTTCTAAAATTTTAATCATAGATATTACCTGGTCAACCCTCGCTCCTCGAAGAAGCCAATCGTTTCTTTCTCGCTACCTGCGTACATCATATTCAGTTGATAGTTCTTTGGGACCGGTCGCACTGTACGGAACATCATGGCAGCATACTTCTCGACCCGCTTCTTGCCCTTACCCGGCATCGGTTCCATATGCAAATACGGATTAGCAAAAGCGATCGAAGTCTGTGATTGGTTAAGGACGAGCTGTAGGTCTCGATTGGTAGTGAGAAAGTTATCATAATATGGGAGAGTCGACGAGTTGAGTTGTCAGAAAGAGATGCTAAAAACCTGATCCCGAAGGTGATAAGAACGGTAAGCCTTTTATTAGTTTTACTTTTAGCTGCGGTTATAATAAAACAAATGTTCATGCTAGCACCAGCTTCTAAACAAGAGATCATAATAGTTCTTTTAGGATACCCTCTCATGCGGTCCCGGGCACTGCGAAAACTGAAGAATGGAGCCTTCATGCTTCACCGGGTTGATGTTCATACCATCATGAGTCTCGAAACCCCATTCGTCATCTTCCTGTGAGAGGTATTTGCGTTGTGTCTCAACATCATGAAGCATGAGGGTCATCGAAGATAATCAATTTTCAACAGAATGATTCATTTTCGATGATGTAGAACATCAAGTTCAAGAAGTACTAGTTTAGTAGGTATGCACCTCCACCAACTAGGCCAAATTACTGCCTCCATCTTCTCCAACTCCATTCTCCAAGCTATAATTGATAACAAACGACTAGATGATAGTTAGTAGTACATCAGGGATTTCTTCCTCGGTCTGCACGTCACCCCATAAAGCCATGAGATAATTCTCCGGTAATGCACGCTTCGCATACAGCATTCTACCTGTTATTAAGGACGTTAGTGATGAATTCAAGATTTATATTTTCGCTGATTTTTTAGAATTTGAGGTTTTTTTACAACTTCTTGTTCTACTACTCGCTTCTACTCGATGTCGATACTGCACTTAATGGTCACAAGAAACGCATCTAGAATCAATTTCTATGTACCAAATCTGGGATGAGCAGTGACGCCAAGGCTCGGGTCTCCCTTCTTGAGGCAGTTTTTGCAGTACGGAACATAGGCATGCGCGAAGGGTTCCATGCAAGGTGTCCCATCTAGATTTGTCGCGATACATTTGCCACTCTTGAAGGTGTGCTGCCCCGTTTTCCGCAAATTAGGATTAGCGGCAGGTTCAGCATTTGCAGCTGCCGGCATCTTTCCTTTCTTGATACCCGACGTTTTTGCCGTTTTTGTTGAAGAAGAAGATGTTTCCTTTCTACTTGTGTCTATTTTACTACCACTTCGAGAAGTTCGCTGATTCTCGGATGTGCGTGGTCGTCGTGAAGAAGTATTTGTCGATGAGATGGAGTTGCTTCTACTTTTTTTAGCAGCAGCGTTAGAAGTATTCGTTGACTTGCGAGGGTTCCCGGAAACAGGCACAGATTCGGCACGCGACTTGCGAGCGGATGGCGGCGGACGAAACGGAGGACTATCTTTTCTTGATGAAGCTACGCTAACTTGCTCTTCAACGCAATAGTCTACTTGTTTAGCACGACTTCCTACCTTGCCTATAATAGGGGCTACATCAAAGTGATCAACATCAGCGGTGCTTGTTATAGCCGAACTTCCTTGTACGCTTACACGTGAAGAAGAAGATTGACCAGATCGAACAACGCCTGAGCCTGACGTGGAACTGGGAGGTTTCAAAGCAGAACCTGAAGGACTACAACAAGCAGTGGCACTACCCGTAGGAGCTCTACTAGTACCATCGACTTCCAGTGTAATTTGCGGTCTTCTCTCCAAAACGTTATCAAGACTGGCCTGTGTCGCTGAGAAAACACTACCATCGAGAAACGTGCTGTCTTGGAGACCCGCTCTCATGCTCGTCCCAGGAGGACAGGCTAGGGCATCTTTGCTGGAAGGACTCTCAGAATTCTGGTGGAAGTCTAAAGCTTTCCTTACTGAGGCTAGATCCCTCAGCCCAGACTCTATTCTTTGCTGCGTCTCACTAAGTATATGCTGAGTTTCAGTCTGTAGCTTCAGATTTCCTGCGAGCCAGCTTCTGCTGCTAATGCTACAACGATCAAAAGACTGAGGTCTATCGTGAAGCAAAGACTTATCTCCAGTTTCCTCAGCATAGCCTAGTAATGGAGTTTGCTGCGTCACACGTCCCTCCTTGTCTTGTCCTCTCTTAACGGGTGGCGAGATTTTATCGGAGAGGCCAGAACTTTGTGCCTGATCTAAAATTGCTGCGATTAACGGCGATGGAGCTCTCCCACGCAACGATAGTGACAGGCCATTCGGCGGGAAGGCATGCATGCTCGTTCTTGCTCCTGTGTGACACATTCTGTCTGGCAATACTTTCTTCATGATGATGATCCCTTCATTCTTTATTTTCAATGAACTATCTATGCTAGGAGATAAAGCGCCAACACTCTGCTGCGAATTTTGATGAACTTGATGCACATGCAGCTTCTCATTCTGATTCTTGTCATCTGATCCTGATGTATAACTGTGATTTCTACAGTGCGAAAATAGGGAAAAATAGAGTCTACTAGGAAAATCGCGCGGCTCATGTCGGATCATACCGACTGATCGGGAACTACAACTATTCAGTAGCCTCAACATCGTCAGGGTGTGAAGGAATTAGGTTTCAAATTCACAAAAATTCAAATTAAGGGGTAGAAGTTGCATATAAGTATGTTACTTATGGGTAGAAATTGTAGATGAAGAGGTGAATATGTGATTGATATAAAAATTTCTACTTCTAGTACGTAAGGATGGGTAAGTAGAATACTGAGAAGTGGTGGAGAAAGTGTACTTACTATGTATAATATTCAAGAAGAACGCTGTTCAGTCCGAAGAGCATGAATAAGCCTGACGAGCAAATATTATACATTGACATTTATCATTTTACAGCAGGTTTCTAGCAAGACACAATCACAAATCATCTCACTCTAGATCTTACTCTAGATCATAGCTCCTCTCCTCGCGTTGGTCGTTGTAAATCCAGAAACAGACTCCAATGAGCTCATCTACTTTGCATTGGACGACTCAAAGTTACAGATTGGAGCCCTACAGCAACCATTTCCAGCTTCTTTCCTGCAATTTGCGTTTCTCTCATAACAGAGTCATTCCCTCTCTAAAAATTTACCAGCTTCGCAAGGACATTCACTTTGACAGACCACGGAGACGCATCGCTCATCACAGTTCGTATAGAAATTATCTGTCTAGTACGTCGCCACATAGGCATCTTGACATTCAGGTTGACAGAATCCGCTCTCTACAACTTGTTTAAGGACAGATGACGTCAATCAGAATTTTTATATTCACGAGTGCTTTGTGTAGAAAACTACTCGCCGGGGGAAGTAAGTACTACAGACTTGTTCAGCTTAGCTTAACATCATACATAAATCATCATAAGATGGAAGCGATCATGTTGCGTGCGTATATGTGTTTTTGATGCGTAGTTTTTAATTCTTAATCGGTTTGCTGGTGGATGGAGGACCTATGACAGTAACTCTTTCAGCTCCTCGAGGCTTAAGCGGAGTGCACCGCTTCCCGCACCGGCTTCGCCCAATGCACCTCCTATCAACGCCTTCTTCTTTTCGCCATTAGGGAAAAAGCGGTGACGCCACCGCCACCTGCTTGTGCTTGATCTTAATAATTTTACTTTAGTTCTAACGCATGTTCTTACTTTTTACAAGAACTAAAACTTGTTGTCGTAGTGGTACGTAGGATGATCCTGATCCGATCCGATCAATGTAAGTTTTAATGTTAAATGCTTTTATCTTCTCAGTACAAAAAGTTCATAACTTGCAGCGCCAAAATGCGGCCATCGACTGTGTCTTGCGCTACGAATTTTATGCAGTGAACCTCATGGATTTGTCCAATTCGATGAATTCGTTGAAACGCTTGTTCCTCTACCGCCGGATTCCACCACAAATCCAATAGGTAGGCCCGCGTCGCTGCCACCAAGTTCAAACCCACTCCGCCAGCTTTTAAGCTTATTAACAGGCACTTTCCTCTTGTTGTGGCCGTTGCCTTCGTCTTTGACCCAGGAGCTCCTTCTAATATGTTGTGCTTGTTCCCTGTAGCTGTAGTCGTCGTGTCTTTCTCTTTGCGCTGTCTTTTCTGCATGATCACTTCTTTTTGTTCTACGAGTGGACGTGGAGCACACTCGTCACCAAGGTTCTGATCATCTTCTGCATTGAGCCAATCCACACATGCTTGCCTTTGCTGAATACTTAACGATCCGTCTAGGGTACGAATTTGATCACCCGTACAATTCATTTTTGCCTTGAAATAGACATTCAATAGCTGTAAAAAGCAAGTCCACTGTGAAAACACGAGGACCTTGCGACCCTCTCTAAAGTCCTCAGAAATGCGTTGAGCTAAGGATGCCATTTTAGCCGAAGGAAACTCGCATGCCCGCTGGTAGCTTTCGGCTGTGGCGGCCTGCTGTTCACTCACAACTGCTGATCGAGGACGCTTTGACTGGCCAGCCCCTGCTGCAGCTCCACCCAGTCCTGAAGAAGCTGTAGCTCCACCCAGTCCCATGTGCTGGCCCTGCTGGTGTGCTGAACAAGAATTCGAATGTTGTGTTGAACCAGTGCTAACATTTTTCATCAACGCTACAGCTGAGAAGGTGGCATTAGCTTGTTTCGTAGTACCATTTGCTGCGCCTCCCTGCTTTCCACCAGCCGCGGTAGTGGATTTGTTCTTCCTTTCTTCATCGATGATTGCTGCGCTCGACAGAGGAAGCCTGCATACGCCACAGCGAGACACGTTTCCGGTGTCTCTAGCCTCCTCTTCCATCAACTGGAAACACTCTAGGCAGTAAACGTGGTCGCACTGCGCTCCTGTCACTGTCTCTCCTTCCGGAATCTCGTGACAAGATGAGCACGCTGCAATAGCTGGACTCGCGACACCATCTTTTTCTTTGTCCTCTAGCTGCTGAACAGACGATGAATCCTCTAGTACCAGGCCGTGTTGTACTCCTGTTCGTTCAACCTGCTGGAGGGGGGCTGCAGTAGATGCATCCACATCCTCCGCATTTCGTGCTCTCAGTGTCGGTTCCCATTCGGAGCGTTGCATCGCCAAACAGCTATGGGCTAGACACATGCGCAATTTTAACACCAAGGCCAGGATACTTGTAAAATGACTCCCCTTCATGGCAGGGACGACTTGGCCTCCCATGCCGCCATGACTTGTTCCACCTGTTTGAAGCTGTAGTAGAACGTCCATTCTACGTTTTGAAGCCTTAAAAAGACGGTCGTAGACTTTGCGTTCCTTAGGTTCTAACTCCACGCGCAAAACCAGTTCGTGTCTTTGTGGCAGTGTGATCAGATTGCGATACACAATACCGGGATGTTGCAGCTGATTTTTAGGATGACCATCGGGCTCATCTTCATCTTCAATACGGAATTTTGCCTGCGTCAGCTTAGTTCTCCGCAACACCAGCGGCTTGCAAATGGTCTTGATCAGGTCAAGCACCTTTTGTACTACTGCGCTATGCATAAGCGAATTCGCGGCTGTGAGAGATGAAGCAGACGAGCTCGCACCACCTGCCCCTGAGGTGGCTGCGAGGTTGCCGGACGACATTGTACTTCCTAGAGGACCGCGCCCTCCTAAGGGATCCGTGACCAGCTTTCGCCATACATGCTGCACACAATACGGCTCTACCTGGAGGAAACGCAACAGCGGGTAAAGCTCTTCCACCGAGTTCTGCATGGGCGTACCACTTACGGCCCATTTGAACTGGCCCTTGAGCTGTGCGCACTTTTTGCTCAGTTTCGTATGCTTTCCCTTGATGCACTGTGCTTCATCAAGGATGATGCGTCGCCACCGCGTCTGAAAGAGTGGCGAAGAGCGCAAATCCTCCACGTTGAGCACCCCATACGTCGTGAAAACCAAGTCATAGTGCGCGGGGTGCTGTCGAGAAGCTACAGCTTGTGTTGCTGGTGTAGTTGTCGTTGCATTTGCTGCTGCAGTTTCATTTTTACTCCCACAAAGCGCTCCTGCGTTGCTGGTTGAGCCCGTTTGTGTTGCGTTCGCACTTGCTCCTCCTCGCGCTGCAACAGCAAACAAAGATGATGTCTTCATACTGCTGGCTGCTCTCGCCGCGCCTTTGCCTTTTTTGGCTTTCGCTTTTGCTCCTCCCGCGGCACCACTGGTATTTTTCGCATCTGTTGATGCAGCACACGACTTAGCTAACATTCTACGGTTACGGTCTCCTCCGTAGTACTCGAAATACGTAAGCGGTCGGCGTGCTTTTGAGGACAGAAACCGCGAAACCTCTTTTATCCATTGTGGCATCAAGGATAGTGGCGTCACAATCAGCGTTGGAGCATCTTGCTGAATTTCTTGCTCGGACACCTCTGGTGGTGACGATCGTGGTCCTGCCCCTTGGTATGTTAGGGTGGCTCCTGCAACATCAGCTACTCCACCAGTACAAGATTCGCCAACATGATCTTCGCCCACGCATGCATTACCATTACCCCCAGCCGCATGCGCGACATGCTTTTGTAAAACTGGGTCAAAATCAGTGGCGACAAGACCTAAAATCTGTATTGTCTTACCCAGCCCCATCTCATCCGCGAGAATGCCACCTCTACACGAGCTCTCTGCTGCGTCTGGAAACGTAAGACGCAACTCGCCAGTGCCAGGTTGATAGTACAATCGCGTTACTTCCTGTGCCAACAAATCCTCGATGTTATTTTGTTCTCCACCATGCGGAGCAGCACTAGCACTAGTAGCTACTTGACCACCCACAGCACCTCTTCCCACCTTTATTCGATCGGGTCTGTTCAATGCTTGCCGCTCAGAAGGTGGTACATTGTGATGCTGCAACGACAACATCGTAAAGCGGCGGAGTATCCTATACTCCGACCACAACGGATTCAATATCTGCTCTTCCTCTTCTTCTACTGCATTAAGTGCTGCATCACAACTCTCTATAGCAGCCTTTTTGATTTTATTGTCTCCCATTTCTTTCACCGTCGTGCTTTGCATTGCATCGTCGTTTTGAGCAGGCGGCCCGTCAGAATCCGAAAGCAGGTCAATGACGCCGTCGTCAATAGCCTCTGCTATCCTTTTTGTGTTCGGCACAGCCTTATCGCTAACGTGATCGGCGATCTTCGCAGATTGCTTCTCCGACGTCTGAGCAGGCTGACGACGCGAAGATGACGCTGCCTGCAGGAGTGACGCTGAGTGTGGTACCTCTGTTTGAAATCGTTCGGGGCATAAACTCACTAATCTGCGTCCTAGCGTGGGGTTTTCACGCGCAAAGAGAAACGAGATTCCCTGGCGTTGGTAGTTCTGCAGCGTCCTCAAACCTGGAAAGAGCCGGTTATCCGGCATGAAATACGGTAAGTCGGGCTTCTCCAAAAAGTGAGCGCCCTTGCCAGCGGCAGCGTCATCGAGCAACGAATGCGAGGCATCGCCGGTCGTGTTAGCTACGATACCTCCTCCAGCTGGGTCGCTAGCGAGATTTGTTGAAAAAATTGCGCCATTTTGATCTCCATTCCCGACTTCTAGATCTGAGTCATCAGACGAAACCTCAGCTAAGTTCTCTTCGCGTCCTGCTCGTGCCTTATTTGCTGGGTCCGCAGCGGTTGCATCTCCAGTAACGACTTTAGCGGACGAGCTTTTCGGATGCTTAGCCTTGGTTGACACGGTCTTGTCCATACCACGTTTGTTCATAGACGTCGTGTTACTCGCAACACTAGCAATTTCCCCTGCAGTCTTCTTTTCCCCTTTCGCTATCTCAGCCAAACTCTGCTGCACGCGATTTTCGACCGTTTCCCCTTCGCGCAAAAGCTCGAGCTTGCCTTCGACGCTTTCTAACAAGCGGTTAAAACACAGCTTGCAGACTTCTTGCTTCTCCACAATATGCGCATCGTTACCTAGGCCACCCGCAGCAGAGCTACTTTTTAGAGCTGTTGGTTCATGATGGCGTCGACACTAAAGTCGAAGATAGAAGTATCATGTTATATATTTAACAGATGCAGTTTGTTGTAATGCAACATTGAAAAGTGTCACGATCTACAACCTCACCTAACGGGGTATGATTTCCAAAAAGAAGTACACGACAGCGTGCTGCTTGCTTATACTTATTCAACTTTCTCGATCATTCTTTCCTTTAGTACTGAGCAAACTGAAATCAAAAGAGAAGGACAAAATACAAATATTGATTTGGTACATCTACATGGCATTTGCATTATATATAGCCCTAAGCTCGCTGAGGATGTACTGGCTATCGCCGTTGGTGCTCCACCAAGGGAAGTGCTGGATGTTGAGTTATTGGTTGTAGCATCCCTTGCCCAAAATTGCCGGTCTACGAAGGCCTTGGGAGTAGCATGTACAAGCACAACGAGGGGCACCGGTGACCCTACGCGAAGCTCACTTCCGACAGCGCTCTGGCACACGAAGCAATGCGAAATCTCGATAAGACCCCAAAGCAACAACGGCAAAAGTGCTTGCGCAACGGAACCGGGGAAATTAGAGCATCCTAGGAAAGAGTTTGGACCTAGGTGAGACGGATAAGAGGTTACTAGCCTAGCAGAGAGCCTAGCAAGGGACTGTTGAGTATTGAGCTGCGCCATAAGGAACGACCCGATTTCGCCGACGCCATCGATGCTGAACCTTACACAGGCAAAGTCGTACAACCACCTCGGAGGTACAGCGAGTAGATTCTGACGGTACTTTTCCCTCCAATGTGCAAGGTCTTTCTTCTGCTGGATCCCGGTGAGCGAAAATTCCAGCTGCAACGGGATACTTAGAAGACCTTCTTCTTGTTCTACTAGTTCTACACACACCATGTCATAGGTGTTGAAGCGTTGAAATAAATGCTAGGATGACTCATTTCATGAACGTCTTACTTACTTAGTCATCAGCTCTGTGGAGGTTATGGAGAATTATCACGAAAGGCCTCTTTAGTTGTACTTGTATATCGAGAGAACCAAAAACATCAGATCACGGAGACGAAGAGGTAGAGGTTGGAATTGGTATTTAATAGATGACCCATAAGACATTCTTGCGCAATGCTGGCCCCATCTCACGATTAACGTAAAACTTCTCATGGCTCCCAATGCTTCGGAGTGAAGTGCCAACAAATTGCCAGTACCCTAATGGTAAGGTGCGAAACCCACGACTCAACAACAATTCCAATTTCTGCGCTTTTGCGATACAACTGGTACTTGAAGTACTACTTACTGCTGTGGTTGTTGTTGTTTTAAGCTTTTCCTTTTGCAGGTGATTATGCTGTGGCTTGCTGAGCGTCGCCTGGGCTGGCCTAGAAGACGACGATGCAGCCGATGCTGACCCGCCGCCGCCTTGAAGATGCAATCTCCCTTTGTTGCCATCGGCGTGTTGTCCAACCGCCAAAGCATTTTTCGTATCGTTGTCGTTCTTGGAAGTGGAACTGCAACTACTCCTTTCTTTGGGGACAGCGGTGCGCGGACGAGGCTTGAAAACGTCCAATTTTGGTTCCTGATGCACGAACGTTCCCTTCTTGGTCAACATTTTTCAACTTTCATATTTCTATTACGTCTACGACGACTCTACTGACCGGATCGCATCCAAAGCAGGACAAGACGATTCTTTACTCATCAAACAGACGCTAGTAGTAACTGCTTAAACATAGATACTGTTCGTGAGGTTCTAGAAGTTGTACTGCTTAACCGCTTACGTATACTATCTATAGTATACTCCTCCTGTTTGTTGTATTCATACCACCGATGTTGACCGTGTTCATCTCATTATGCTGCTCTTTGTTGTTCATCATGAAAAGTAGAATAATTTGGCCTTGCTCCTTCAATGTTGCAATCACGTCACATGTTCATCATATCGTCCATTTATGTATACAAAATGACAGAAACGGTGGTCTTCATCACAAGTTGTTAATATTTCTGAACACGGCAATTAGCAAATGCACATCTTCCATACTCAAGAGCGGGCTGACTTCCTAAAAGGATGAGATAATGATTGAAAAAAGTGGCGCGCGCGGTTCCTGTATTTGGATGAGCCATGTGATAAGTGTACAGGCCTCAACCGCTAAGCTAACTGCGCAGTTCTTGGCTTAGTGGTTTAGGCGTTGACCTGCACACTTATCAATCAAACTAGCTAGGATTCGAGTCCAACTCACAACCTTGCCTGTCCGATAGATTGATAGTCAAAGACTAGTTTCTACAAAAAAATAACTAAAAAACCATAAATCTTCACGTTAAGTACTTGAATTCAAGTAACAATCGAAAATAACATCAAACAAGAACGCTTCCTCGAGACGAAAATGAATAATATGAACAAGATGGAAAATAGCATGCTTTTACCCGAAAAGGAAAACTCAGATAGTACAGCAAAGAACTAGTTCTAGTAAATGATATCATGGAAAAATGATATGACCATGGTCGTGTTGGTGTTGTTGAGACTTAGCCATGTGTGTGTTCCTATTTTTTTTTTCTGGTATCCGAGTCCGAATGTCTACACGCCGGGAACGTTTAATCGTTCTTCTAGGTACTTCTTGGTTTTTCAACATGAAGAAAACAGGACTAAGAGTAACAATAAGAGGACTATGGTATTTAATAAGTAAATCATGGTTATCAATAAATTACGAGACATCGAGATAGAAAAGGAAGATGAGATATCGATCGTGATCGATAAGAGAAGACAATGAGTGGAAAATTTTGTATGACAGGGCCTCGTTGTAAATGCATAGTACACTCGACCACCAGTTGTTTACACGAGCTATAATTCATTAATTCATTCAATGCGCGCAAAAAAGTCTTTCTTTTTTGTTACCTGGGTTGTTAGGTCGTTAGGTGTGGGCCTACCAAAAAAAAGTTGGTAGACATACGCGGCTGCTGGGTCTACTATTCTCGCTATAATTCCATTTCTTAATTACCCAGCGAAAAATCTGCGTTGACTCCACGATGTGGGCTTCGGTGACGCTGAGTTTTTTCAAAACTGAAGAGCATAGGAAAACTGGAAGCAAAGAACAAGAAACGACGAGCCAAAGAACGATGTAGTAGTTAATAATAGCATGCTCAACTTGAGGCAACGATAGAACATCTCTAGGACAACCGATGTAATAGTAATATCATGTTGAAAATATTGAGGAGCACATTAGTGAAGCAGACTGCGTATTATATTAACCCGTAGCCTTAGTTATAAAGCAAGCGAAAATACACGACTATTGAACTCACTCATGCCCATCTAGTATCGCTGATGTCGCATTTACGCGACTGCGAGCGCGAGGATGGTGGTCGTGGACGACCAAGAGCAAGAGTTTATATTCTATTTTTACATGACGATCCTAACAAGAAGTAAGTAGTCGGACAAGAACTAGCGCCCCCAAGTGACAGCTTCTACACGGATATCTTGGTTTCTCTGTAACTTTTCATATTGTGGCGGATGCAGCGCAGGACGTCATGGATGACGAGTCGAAGCAAAGCTGTTTTTCCCTAGCAGACGATGATTCCTGCTCACTACTAGTCGTAGTCATACGATAATTCTCGCCGATCACTCACGAATAAAATCAGCACTACAATAAGAACTCGTGCTGCAGATGACGACTCATCAAAATAGACACATCCTTCAAGTAGAAAGATTGATGCTCGGACTAGGTGGTCGACTAGGTGCGGCAGCTTATCGGGGCTTTAATAAAAACTGACCAAACTAACTCCTGAGCACCTCGGGCAAACTAACTCCTATGCTGGAAGCACCTTACACTTCACATCGGGTAGAAGCACATTACACTTCATCTTTAGCATTTTGATTTGGAAAATGATTTCAACAGCCAGGAAAATAATCAGGAACATATTGATGACAATTTATATGGAAAAGGAACATATTATAAAAAAAACCGTTAGAAACCTTAATGATTACTAGCACTCGTTATTTTTTCGCATAAGTTATGGACCTGGACGATGCGTTGTGCGTCGATTTCGTTCATCGATAGTGTGGATTTAGAAGTGCTCCCTGGTTGTCTTTGATCAATTGATTCTTGAGGAGAAACAGCAAGTCGAGCAGGAAGAATGACTAGACTTCATCAATCTTAATGCCTCTACTATGCCTTTTCTTGATGGCCTATGATGTAAAATCGTTGTTTCCTCATCACAAAAATGTGATACATCGAACTGCCCGTCCACCCGCGGCACTAGTACAACTACATTCCCCTCTATTTATATCAGACTTTTTTTTTAATACAGAAACCAGATCCGAGCAAGCTCCCAGCACTTTCATCCCTTACCGGCAGATAAACGTGCTGACGTAGACAGTGACGCCAGGAGACTAGCACACCCCTCAGTAGAAGTTTGAGTTTTATGATTTTTTAAAACATGTAAGTAGTTGCAGGCTTTTCTTTTCTCACCTGAAATAATCCACTAGAAGCGTCCAACAGAAATGTCTCTTATTTTTCCCCCGGCTCGTCCACGAATAATTTTTACAACTACAACAACGTAGGCGTATGGACAGGTCAAATATTTTTAAGCGTTGCTTGCCTTTTATTCTTTCAACAAGGCAGAAGTTAGATTGTTGCTATCGTCAACGTCATGTTGAGGCTCCAGGTTTCGGTCCACTGGCTCGTGCTCACCCTCCTCCGGAATATTCGCCAACTGTGACAGGTTCGCGTACGAGTTACTGTGCGATGAGGGGCTACGTGATGGCGGGCTGTAAAATTAGAGCTCAACATAATTCATTCATCCCTCACCTCCATCTCCATGAAGATGTTCTCAATGTCAATAATATCCAAGAAGATACAAGAAAGACAAAGAATAACAGTAAGTATGCACTGCTTGGGGTAACAGAGTAGACTCTAACAATACAAGCAGAAAATCAATAATAAGTAATGCAGTTTTTCTATAGTATACGATAGTGGATTAATCAATATCAATGTCAATCTGTCTTAGATTGATTCCTAACTTAAAACTAATCAAATACACTATCTAATCAAATACACATTAAAAAAAAATAATAATGATGATGAAAGGACTAGACGTTGACAGTAATCCTGATTAGTATGAATGTGAACCAGAAGAACTACCCCTAAAAGGCGAAAAAAATTATTTGGGCAGATGTATTCTTTTGAGCCGTAATTGAAAGCGCTAGCACCAATTCCGAGAATGCTCTCAATATCGTCTCTTATATCATCTGATGCGATTCCTCCGACTTCGGTACTCCCTGCAGTACGATGCTGTGAACCCGTGCTCCCTGTTGATTGCTCGTCTAGGTTAGAACAAGTTCTTTGGGATAAGAAAAAGAACATCTACATCTAGACAGACGGGAAAACTCTAGTAGAAGAATCACCTTCAACCTTGGCGTACAAATAACCCTAGTAAAACCTTTTTTTTCTCTTGTTACAAGTGCTCGTGATCCTGTCGCACTCCTTTGCAATAATGCCGTGTGGTCTGCTGTTTGTACCTGACATCATCGATCCTTTGAGTGAGTGTTGCTGTAGTTGCCTCTTCATATTATTCATCAACATAACTATCATGTGTGCACTTCCACCTGGATCCGCTCTCATTCCAGTTGGAGTCATCTGGTCGCTCTGCGATGGGCGCGTAGACGAAAAGAGTTTTGACAATTGAATGACGAGCTGAAGTGTCGCGAAAAGCTTACCCTGCTGCATCTGGACCGTGGACGCTGCAGCAGCAGCAGCAGCGCTGTTCTTGTCACCAGAAATGCTGCTATCGACACCAGATGAAGTAGAAGACACAGGACCACGTCCCGCGATGATATCGAGTGTATCAGCTCCAAAGCTAGAGGGAGAAACTACGGATGACGGACTCTGGTCAGAGCACAATGTTGAAGCCGACATCCCAGCTCCTGTTCTGGACCCCAACATAGAGCGAGTTTTGTCAGTTTGATCAGCTGCGATTCCTTCGGCGCAGTTGTTTCCTCCAGCTTCTATAGTTCCTGTACTATATGATGTCACGACAACATCCTCCGCTCCGGGCGAGGAAGCAGGCAGAGGGATGTCGTGAAGATGCGGAAGCTCGCTCTGGGGGTATGGACAGCCAGTTACTTCTTGAAGAGAGGTTGAATGATGTTTCTGAGCGTACAACTCGTCGTCTTGTGCTATCTTCTGTTCATGATCGTCCTGCTCTCCCAACAGTACATGTGTGCCTTTTCGAGGTGTTGTTGCTGGTTGTACTGGTTGTACTTCGCATCCTTCACCACCTGGCGTCGTAGAAGTCGGCGTTGTAGTCGGGGGCGGCATTGAAATTGATGTCGTCGTGCCTATACTACTTAATATAACTGGTCGTGTGTTTCTTGGTGATGGCGTCAGAAGATGTTGAAAGTAGGCCTGACGGGGCGCGTCCCCCGCACTGCTACTGCTGTTGCTGCGTGTGCGGATTGTGGGCTCCTCCGCACCAAGTTCGCCGGACGACGGGGTATTCCTTGGGCTCGACGCCGTCTGAAGATCATCGTCCGCAAAGAATGTAGATGCAACCAACCCGAACAGGTTCGGCTCTGAACTCGGTCGCACCGATGACGAACCAATGTGCTTCAGATTAGAGCTCAACACCCAATTCCAATAATCAACAACAGACTCTGTTCAGAGAGAATTATTCTAGAAGTTTGTAACTACACAAGAACAACATCAAGAGCTCATCCAATAACTTCATCCTGAAACTCATCTTTGACAGGCTTTCTTGGCTTTCTCCTTCACAGAGAGGAATTGCGTTCTTTGCCTTTCTTTGCGGTAAGGGTAAGCCTTAATAAGAGGACTAGCGTTGTTCAGTATGCCTTCGCTGATCATATGGTCCACATCTTCTCTGGAAGTTGTACTCTCGTCAAACTCACGATCATCAACATCTTCAAAGGAATCAATATTGCCGTGTGTGTTAGAAGAAGTTGCAGTGGAAAGCAAAGCGTTTGACGACTTGGTCGAGCGAAGCGGTGCAGGCGGCTCTACTGCTGCAGAGGCGCCACCAGCACGGCCAAGTAGGGAAGCAAAGGCATGTTGCTGTTGAACTTGAATACTCTGCCCATGATGAAAACGTTCAAATATTCTTTGCCTCATGTTCTCGTCCAATTCCCTCTTCGACGTAGCGCACTTTTCCAGATTAAAGTCTTTTTCTCACTACCCATACTGGGTAAGTGGTGAGTGTTGAGGGCTTTCTTTCCGCTTGATTTCCCCTTCAAATCAAGCGGACTCCCACTCAGCAATCAGTCTCGGGATACCTCACACTGCTGGGTACTTGTTGTGGTGCGTGGAGCTGTTCTAACTAGAAGGAAAAACACAAAATATTAAATAAAGGAACAGATATATTATACATAGAAATAATAAAAAACTACCCTTAAGCAGAGAAGTCTTTTCTTTGCTCTCGAGCTCTCGGCTCCTCGTGTTCACCGCGGCAAGATCATCAAAATTTCGAGACCGCCGCATCCCGCTACTTCCCCCAGAACCAGAACTGGCGGCGCTGCTCCGCGTCTTGCGCCCGTTACCTTTACTCGTCCTACCCTCTGGCATCCTACACTTTCCCTGCACTTCACGCTCCGCTTCTTGCAAGGCATCCATAATGTCTTGCCCCATCACCATGGGGGGCCGCTCCAAACCGGACAGTCTCAGTCGAATCTGCTTTAGAAGAAGAGGACTAACACCTGCTCGTCGTGTATGAAGAGTACTAACAAATGCTTCCGAAGATCCACCTGGAGGGCCGCTGCAAGCACGAAGAGGGATGCTACAACTAAGTACTTAATTCTTATAAGTTGATAGATAAAAAACATAGCAAAAAAATAATTCTTATAAGTTGATAGATAAAAAACATAACAAAAAAAAAATCTATATTATTAATCTATATTATTAACCTATATCATTAATCTATATTATTCTATATTATTAATCTATATTATTAATCTATATTATTAATCCGGCCGTTTTCTTGTTGGGATTTACGTTGCGGCCCCGTGGCAGACCACCAGAAAAGAAGGCAGAAAAATGGCCGACGGGGGTGGGGGCGCAAGCTGCGGAGAAAAGTCCAAAGAGAGACAGCCAACGAAAGACCGCCCACCGAAAGGGCACAGACCTTGGACCAAGGACACATGGACCAAAGCCGATCTTTGGACCAAAGACGATCTTTGGACCAAGGGCGATCGTTGGACCAAGGGCGACTGTCGGACTAAAGGCGACCTTTGGACCAAAGGCAAAGACGACCTTTGGACCAAAGGCGATCTTTGACCCAGAGACGACCTTTGGCCAGAAGGCGATCTTTGACCCAGGGGCGACCTTTGGACCACAGGCGACCTTGGGACCTAAGACGACACTGGGACCAAAGACGACACTGGGACCAAAGACGACCTTGAAACCAAAGACGACCTTGAAACCAAAGACGACCTTGAAACCAAAGACGACCTTGAAACCAAAGACGACCTTGAAACCAAAGACGACCTTGGGACCGAAGACGACCGCGGGACCACAGGCGACCTCTGGACCAAAGTGCGACGACCTCTGGACCAAAGTAGGGCGACCTTTGGACCAAAGTAAGGCGACCTTTGGACCAAAGTAAGGCGACCTTTGGACCAAAGTAAGCCGACCTTTGGACCAAAGTAAGCCGACCTTTGGACCAAAGTAAGCCGACCTTTGGACCAAAGTAAGCCGACCTTTGGACCAAAGTAAGCCGACCTTTGGACCAAAGTGCGACGACCTCTGGACCAAAGTAAGCTGACTTTTGGACCAAAGTAAGGCGACCCTTCGACCTCTGGACCAAAGTAGGGCGACCTTTGGACCAAAGTAGGGCGACCTTTGGACCAAAGTAAGGCGACCTTTGGACCAAAGACGACCGCTGGACCAAAAACGACGTCTGGACCGCCGACGACCTTTGGACCAAAGCCGACCTTTGGACCGAAGACGACCTTTGGGCCACAGGCGACCTGTGGACCACCGGCGACATCTGGACCAAAGACGACCTTTGGACCCAAGACCTCCGACAAGACAAGAGTGAGACCCAGGACAGCAGACATCTGACGAACGACCTCCGCCAGAAAAGCTGACGCGAGGCCTCCCTGTGGCGCGAGACCCTTGAAGTTAGCGAAGACCTTTCGCGAAGGACGTCAGCCCGGCGAACGCGGTCAGTCTGGCGAAGCACGTCAGTCCGACGAACGAACAGAATCAATCTTACGAAGGAAAGACATCCGCAGCCCGAAGAAAGGCCCCGCTCAGCCTGTTCCGACGCAAGGCAGACGCCTGGCGAAGCATTGCGCCGGTCTGGCGAGAGGCCTCACCTGGCTGGCGAGTGCATCAGCCTGACGAACGGCGCCGAGCTGAAGCAGGCCATCAACCTGACCAAAGGCGTGAGTCTCGGCCCAGCGAGGAATGTCAGCCAGGCGAAGCGCTTCAGCCTGACGAGAGACGTCGCCCGACCCTGGCGAAAAGCCTCAGCCTGACCCAAGACGCCCGCCGAGGGGCGCCGGCCTGTCGTCCGACGAACGCCGCCAGCCTGGCGCAGAGCGTTGGTCTGACGAACGGCATCAGCCTGATAGAGGTCTCCAGCTTGTTGAAAGACGTCAGCCAGCCGAGAGGCTTCAGCCACAGCCCGAAGCGCGACGCCGCACGACCCCGCGAAGTGCGCCCGCCTGTTTCTGACGAAAAGCATCCCCCTGACGAAACAAAGAAGCCCCGCCAGGTGTAAGCGCGTAGAGAGACCCAAGCAGCGCGGCCCTGCGTTGCTTTGTCTTGTTTGGCCTATCAAGGTCGCCCCCCGTTCTTGCCTGGCGCCACCGCGAGGCGCTTGCGTGCGTTGGGGCTTGCGGATTCTTGTGCGTGTCTGGTGGCTCTCTTCTGGTTTTTTTGTTGGACTGCCGTGGGGGTCTTGCAAATTCTTAAGAATTTGCATGACCCCCCCGGCAATCTCAAAAAAAAACCGAAGGCAGCGCAATGCCCTGCACATGAGTCGACGCATCTGAGTCGGTCACCGCCGGCACTCGGCTCTTGTCGTAGTCAATTCGTAGGGTGCAACAGCTCACCCGCGGGCTGTCTCTACTCTAGCGGCTGTAGCCCGTGGGAGGCCGCAGGAAAGTGCTGAAGTAACTTGAAGCCGGGCGAAGCTTGTGGAGGCTAGTACACTTCTTCCTATAGTATAACAGAGCAATTTATTTAAGGTTTCACCGCTCGCACGGCATGGAGTGCATGGATCGCATGGAGTAGCATGGAGCTAAAGGGGGAGCTTCTTGCGCCCCTTCAAGCTCTGCGCTCCATGCACTCCATGCGCCATGCGTGCTATAAACTACTCTGGTATCTATAATACTGCCTTAATTTTTGCTCGTCGTCATCGTCGTCTCCCGATGGAACTAAATGTTGATTCGCCAGGGTCGACGCATCTCCCTGGCCGACAATCTTACGGTAGAACTTTTGGGCTTTGAGCTTGTCGATCGCGAGCTCGAACAAATTCCCTAATTTAGCGGTTCTTGCAGAATTACCTTCCTCAGAAGAACATCCCACCATTTTTTCAACGTACTAGGAAATCAAGAGCCAAAAAATATGCTCTAGTAGTTGTCCAAGGATGTACTGGGGCTGGGTCTAGTAGTCCAAGGAGGGATGTACTTTGAAGCTCGTGAACCTTAACTAAGAAATCCCCTACATCAGGGAATCCTTGATGGCCGAAGTCGGCAGCGATACGTTGCAGCTGTTCGTCAGCCGCGCTTGGGCCCCCGATGGAGGTACCGCTTGCGTCCAAGAATGAGCTGTCGCCATCCCTCATCATGCCTCCAGAACAAGAACTTACCCGCTTGATACTTAGAAAAACTCCGACCTAGTCGGACGTATCAACTACCGGTAAACATCAAAGTAGTGGCAGTAGTGCTTTTTCTACTTGCTTCGACTACGCACCACGAAGTAGTCTTCGTGGTGCGTAGTCGATGACAAAAGTAGATATAATCTACTTTTGCTTGGAACAAATCAGTTGTAAATATACAGTATGGATCATTCCAGAAAAAATGAGAATGTGAATGAGAAATCCAAATGATGTAAGTATACAAAGTGCTACTACTAACTTGTATCTGGATGGAGATTACAAGAACTACCCCTCATCATGTCCACGTCGGTAGGGTTAATTATTCTATCGGGATTTTCTCTTCATTTGATCCTCAAACAAGTAGGGTGCATAACATCATACTCGAACTTCGGTGACTACTTCGTAGACTGGCAACATCCACATCTCCAGCATCTGAAGGTGACTCGCCACCTCCGAGTGGAAGCCTCAGAGGAGACGTGTAAGCGTCCACTCCTCCTGGTGTCGAATCTTCGAGCATAGGCTGCTTTGCGCTCGGGTTTTCTCTTTGTCTCATCGTCATCGAGGCAACATTATCATCGTTCGTGGTCTCGAGTAAATCCGACGAGGACCTTGATGGACTTGCGTCCAACGAGGACAAGCCGTTAAAACTGGGGGTCGAAGAGGACAATCTGACTGTTGACGACGATGTCGCTAACGTCGATGACGAGGCTCTTCCGTCGGCGGTCGTAGGATATTCTTTAGGGCTAGCGGACGCACGAGTCACGTGGTCAGCATCAACTTCTTGCTGCTTTTTAGCAAGAAACTGCTTCTGCGGCTCCGGTGGAGTGCTAGAAGTACCTGCCATGCGGGTGACGAAACGCCCGATGCCCGCCAACAAACCTCCCGCAGATTGCGCTCGATCTTCCTCTGCATGAAGCACATGATCCCCGACGATCCCAGTTCTTTCAGGAGGATCTTCATCGTTCTGTTCACCAGCTGAAATCAAATCGCTAACTTAGCGCTCTCATCTTCAGCATTAATCTGCAGTTGTAGGTCGTAAATTATGAGTTCGTTGTCAAGTGAGCATTTGTTGATTCCTAAATTCAATTCCTTCTGCTCAGTGTTGGTGATTTCTTCACATGAGATAGTGGAGGTCTACGGTCTACGTTCGAGCCCCTTCCGCCATAAGAAATATCGTTCGGATCCTGTCCGAGGGCCTCCATCAATATTTCCTCGTTATCTTTGCCAGTTGTATTCTGAGAGCTCGGGCCGAGGAGATGATCCATCATGATGGAAGCGCTTGTTGCTGCAAACCTCTTCATCGGACCGTCGTGTAGTTGCCCAGCGCTATTAGAGCTCAACTTTATCCATCTTGAGGCGCATCCTGGGTCCGCTTGCCCCTTGAAAAGCCTGCTCAGGATGCCTCAGATGAAGATGGATAAGGGTAAGCCGTAACGTTATCCGGTGTCGAGGAAAATAACGTTGACGAGTCGCAACTAGAGGACGTACGAGATCCGGTCCCTGAATCCTGCTTCTGATCCCCACTAATGCTTGTGGTCGTGTACATCAATCTGCCTCCCTGCTTCTGTCCCACCTCCGCTCCAACAACATTATCCTGCTGCCCCGCAACAAAGGTAGAAGAAAGTGGCAGTTCAAGGCCACGTCGGAGAGTGGTCACATTTGCGTCTTCCAGCATTGGAGGAGGTGAGACCACCTCGAAGGGGTCAGCTGGTAATCCAGATGAAGTCCTGCTCGTGGGACCACGAGGATGACGAGAAGAAGAAGCGGCGGCAGAAGTACTGCTCGGATGCTCTTCTCCATCGACATCTCCAACGCTTGGTGTACTTCCACGTCCACCAGAGGACGGGGGAGCTAACATGCGTCGCGCAAAGCAGGAACGACAACGACTCATACCCAACGCCAATAACAAGCCGAGCATGGGGACCCTCTGAAGGAAAGGGAAAGGCACGACTACAACTGGCCCCACGACCGTCGAGCAAGAGATGATGGAGCCAAGTCGCCACATCGTGAGTGGTGCGTAGGCTGTTTTGTTTTTTTGTATTGTTGCGCTCCGGGAAACGCGTACGATCTCGCCGGATTTCTTTGTGCTTCGTGTGTTTTGCGCTATGGTCGCCGTTGCGACTATGTTGCGTCTAGCTTTGTTGTTCGCGCGTTGCCTTCTCGTCGCCGCCAGCTAGGGCGTGCCTGGCTATACAGGAGGCGGCGCACGCGGGTAGCGGCTGATGTGGGTAGCGGTGTAGCACGGTCGGGCTGCCTGGTGGCGGCCGACGTTTTTTCTACTCTTGATAGGTTGTAATTCTTGTAGAAATCATCTTGTGACGCCACAACAACAACTGGAAAATTATCTAAACGAGGTCGTTGAGATTTGGACTTAAGGCACGACTTATTTGCGCGCCTTGTCAAGGTGATGCAGCTTGTGCGAAATGAAGTTCTCTCGTCTGCCGATAGTGTCTTTGTTCTTTCTAACGCAGGTGCATGCTGAATGCATTTTAAATCACAAAAATAATTGAACTCAGTGCGCCAATTGACATAACATGCGAACCTTTTCTAAAAATTCTTTTACGTCTTAATATTTTCTTCTGTGAAACAACAAAAAAGAAATCGAAGACTGGTCTGTGATCTTCCGATTTCTACTAAGTCAGTCCGAAGTAGCTACTCGCATGTGCATCAAGGTCATAAAGTTAAAGATAACGATGAGAGCTGCTAATTTCTTGCATGACGATCGCTGCTTACTTCTAGTATGCTGTAACTCGGTTTATTCCTTCAATGTCGCTACTGTAGATGTCAGAGGGGAACCAACGTTCTTTTTCTAATCTTCCTAGTAAGTATAGCATTAGCTATTCCCTAGTAACCTGCTTCCAAAAATTCTTATTTTTGCCTCAACTACCGTTGGAAATTAGTACGTGCCCGCAGGCAGTTGCTGGTCCTAAAAAACTGGTGACTCATTCTACTAAGGATCATGGAAAAACAAAGCGGGTTGGCCTTCCAGCTTCTCCTTTGACCAACCACTGTAACCATGAAATCTTATAAGTAATCTTCCACTTGTTCATCAATATGGTTCAAATATTCGCGAGCAGTAAAACACGCTGGGTTGTTAGTGGTTTCCCGACTGTTCCTGATGGTCCTGCTGTTGTAGAACGACGATGGGCAGGCTTTTGCTTTACTATCTGTTCCTTGTTCTTGCATTAACTCATAACCCCGCGCACCTAGCACACGACGATGATGATGTACCTATAAAGCGGTTGACATGAGTCGAAGAGACCTCTTGATCCCAAGTTACAAACTACAAATTGATAAATTCTACCATGTTGATGTGGTTTCTATTCTGGTTCTGGTGCTGCACAACGTGTTGAAATAGTACTGAAAATGGCCACCTCTTCATCTCCTGTGTTTTGCTGTTGTTGGTAGAAGGCTGAGACTGAGAATCGTGCTTGAGCTTCGTTACTAAAAAGATCAATGAAACAGAGATGAAGCTTGAACAACGACAACCACGTTCTTAGGACGTACAACCAATACTAATGACATCACAGGTTATAACATCACGACAATTAATGACTTTTAGGTTGTGGTTCCTGACTTGCAGCAGTTATGAATTGATCTTAAAATAGCTTAAGAATATTTTCTTTTTAAGCAGATGATGTTTTTCTATTTGAAAGAATTTTCCCGGCAGCAAGGTCATTCGTTCTATGGGAATGGGTGTAGATCACGCGCTTTAAATCGCTGAAGTCACCAGCAGTGTGAGGTTCTGGAAGATGATCATGTTACTCCTCTAGTACAAGCAGCGAGCAGAGTACTGCTAGAAGTTCTACTTCCACCAGGTATCAGCATTAGAACCTCTTCTCTACATTGTGAAGATGGTCATCGTCATGCTCGTTTTCAGTTTCTACTCTGGAGGAGGCACGTTCACCGCATTTGGAGCAGCTCTTTTTAGAGCATTTTGCATCGCAGAGCCAGACTGCGACTTCGACTGCACAATAATACACCTCAAACAGATTCAATTCCAAAAAATAATAATGGCCGCCTTCCAGCACAGGTGGATCTCTGTGACAATCCGACTCGGATTGTGACGACTTGGCCAGCACTTCAGATAGATTCCATCCAACATTCGCGTCACATCTTGCAAAATATATCTGTTCTAGAAGATAGTTGGTAGTAGTTGTGACGACTGCGCAGACACGTAGCTGCTAGTCCCTCTAGTCGCCCATCAAGATGGGTCTCCTGACAAGGCAAGTGGCTGCTTCTTTGATCTTCTTAATTATAAGAGGAGGTGCTCGTTTACTGTTTACAACGAAACCCCATCGTGGATCTGGCAACTTCATCGAGGTGAGATGCATCCACAGGATACGAATTCTGCACATTATGATCATGGTTTTGGTCGTCACGAAAAGCTCGCCCGAAAGCTAGAGCTAGACCGTCATAGTGTGATTTCCTGCTCATCATGTTCGTGCTCTTTCTGCCTCCATGTATTGAATAATCATGGACTTGGACACTTCCACGTCTAATGGGCCGTTTTCTACTCAGTAGTCGACCCAGCCGTTTTATTAGTTCCTATCTTATCTTCCATGTTGAAGAAGGAATCAGCATCAGGTAGTTCGCACTTTTAATACGCGACTCTGCAACTACTGTCTACATTAGGTAACAAACATGATAATGGTTCGCGTTTATTTCGGCAGAAAAACTACTACACTGATAGTGCCGATGTGTTATGTAGTCTAGTCATCTTCAAGGGCACTTTACTGCTCTCATACACGTTGTAGCTCCACTAGAAATTATTCAACATCACACGCCTTCTAGAGCCGGTATGAAGATACAGGTTACACAGACGAGGAGCTTCTAGAAGAGCATCGAACTATCCAGATCCAGTGTCCTGGAGTATCTAACATGTAAATATTCTCGTATCCAGGACGATGACTTTGGCATCGTGGCATCAAAGCAAAATTATTCACGACTTAATCGCTTCATTGATTCTCAAGTAACTCTTTTTTACGCTTAACTGAATCTTATACATGAAAAAGTAAGCTGAAATTGAACAATCATGATGTTGGTACCACCTACTCCTCTCATAGATAAGATTCCATTCTATAATGTCATCTTTCAACTTACTATTGATCCAACATAAGTCAAGCTGAAAATGAAGAGATCAACGCGCTCTATCTTATAGGATTAGGATAGGATACGAGGAATCTGGATGTCTACTCGTCTTAATCTTGAAACCCCTAGTCCTACTATCATAAATTCCTGCGTTCATGTGAATCCATCTCCATCATGAAGGTTCCAGTACTAATTGATGTATTACTTATTCTATGAAGTTTTAGTAATTACTTCTTTTTGATCCAATCCAAGGTGACGCTGTTTGGTCGCTCGATCGGTACGCCCATGACCCTAGACCAGACGGCTTGTGCAGTGACACCCAAAACTCGAGAGACCGAGAAAACGACAGTGTAGTAGTCTGCTTCTTTTAGTCCGTAATTCAGCTTAGACGGCGGGATGGGAAATATAAGTAACAATGCAGAAGTGATGAAGCTGACGCTGAGTTGTACTCGCAGGCGGGAACAAGAACAAAAGTAACAGTATGCAGTACTTGAGTTAACATCTTCGTGAACTTCAACAATAAGGCAGAAAACTTAGACTAAGGATTGAAAATCTATTTTCATCTTGTTGTAATATTCACTTGTTGGGTCGTGGTGCTAATTCATTAATGACTCATAAATTTCATCACCGTTCCGCTAAGCGCGTCGACGTTCGGCCATGGGTTCTTGACCTTACCCGTTGCTTGCAGCACTGGCGGAATCGCTTGATAGCAAACGTCAGCCAGTTGGAATAGTGGGTCGTTCGCCAGGTTTCTGAGGTTGCAGACGTATTCTTGACAGAGGGAAGTAAGACGAGAGCCAAGTTCTTTTTAAGTAACTAAGTGGTAGAAGATCAAGGAAGACGTATCTTCTATTCGAAAGTAGGACTTAACATGACAGTACTTAAGAGAGAGAGAGTACTTCTGGCAAAATTCATGTTCCAAGACGTATCGCGCATCTGGCGCACGAAGCACAGCGTGGCCGAAGCCCGGCACGACTTTACCTGCTGCTAGCGTGTCCTTAGCATACTGCGTAATATTTTCCACAGTTGGCTTCTCACCTGGTTGTGGAGGATTTCGAAGTTCTGTCTAAGCCAAAAGTTCAAAGAGTCTCATTGAACAAAAGCTGCTGTACGTCGGTCCAAGAACTCCAGTATCTAAACCAAAATGTAGGATTTTCTTTGGGTTTGGACTACTCTACTATCCTACTGCAGTCGCCAAAAAAAAGCAAAGGACCATTCAAATGCTTCAGCGTCTTTTCTAGCCAGAGCAGGCATTCCTGGTTTGCAAGACCGTGGAGAGGGCCAGCGAGACCGCAGTTGCCAGCAGACCAAGCCAGGAACGGAGAGAATTAGAAGGCTAGGCTCGGTTAGGTTACTAGGTTAGGTTACGTTATGGATCCTGCACATGGAGCACCAGGATATTGGTTTCTTGCATGTGCAACATGTTATTATATTTATATAATTACATTCAAGTACTCGCTCTTGCTACAGAACAAGGACGAGATGTATATTTTCGGGCCATAATCAGAAAGGGCAGAGCTGGCAGTGTGCGTGATGTGACTGGAGACATTGCCACCCTCGTGGTCAGCATGGAGCATCAGGTATAGACGGGTCACCTTCTTGGGAGTTTCTTTGACAGATTCGTTGTCTTCTTCTAATTACATCGATTGAAGCTAGACGGTCGTTTTGTCGTGAAGCAACCCAGACGCTACACCTACAGAAATACGTACTTACGTTCTCCTCCTTAATATCATCCCCCAAACATTAGTGTCAGAGTTCTACTTCTACCTCTCTAAACTCCTCTTCTTTTCCAGCATGCGCGCACTGTAGCATATCCGCATAGTTCCCAGCCCAGTCCATCTTGGGGTTCCAATCTACCATTTTTCCATCTGCAAAGACACGTCGATAGATGTACGCAAGAATTAGAAGACTGAATCAGACGGGTGACCAGGAAACAGTTGTAAGTCAGTTGAGAATTGGAAGCCCGAATGATCAGACCAGGAACAACAACAAAGAGTTATTCATTGCAAGTTATAGTTGTAGTATGTTTTTGGAAAGTGTTTCTTCTTCAAGACTTGTGTTACTCTATTATTCCGATGCAAGAAGTAAGGAGGTGCCAGCTTGCTAAGTACATTCTTCACCATAAGGAAACGATGGGAATCTGCGCGATGAGTGAGACACTGTCATCCAAGACGTACTGCCAGTAATCTGCTTTTTTTATTCCTTCCCGATACCCTTTTGCAAATTTACTGTCTGCTTGCAATGCCAACAAAGCGATACTAAGCTGCGTCATGGGATGCGTGGTGACTGGAACTGAGTCCAGTGTGTTGAAAACATGCTTCGGAATTTTTGTCGCCCTCAGAGTCAATTCCTCGTTCAACGCTTTCACCTCTGCATCACTCGGGATGTCACCTGTCAGCAAAAGCCACCATGCTGCTTCTGGTAAACCGCTCTTACCGCCCGGCGCTTTTGGTAACCTAAAAGTTTCTTTGTTTGGAATATTCTCGTATGGTTCTTGGATCGAGGAGGAGTCTCGAGGATCAAACTGACCGCAGGTTTTTTATGTTTCTTCATCAGGAATTATAGGAATCAATCCTTTCTGGTGATCGTGATTTAACCTATAAAAACATAGAACTGAAGTTGATAGTACTTTTCATTCGCCTCTTTGAGTGAGTATCCGCGGTAGGTGATGCCTTCTACCGGGTCTAAGTCGCTCGTTTCCGTAATCATTCCGGGCATGCCGCGCATACCCCCGAAGACTTGGCTGGCCTTCACCTCCGCCACTACTTTGTCTGACTTCTTGATCTCAGCGATGGCCTCTTTCTTTGGCTCCAAATGTGCCAGTATCTTCTTTTGTAGCGTGCCCATTATTGGCGATGTGCTCAGCGAGGAAAACCCTCGAGCAGAGCTGTGGACGAAAACAGGTGGAGGTGTGCGCGACGACGATCGCTGACTCAAAGACTGGATTGACCTGGAAGACAAGCTGCGCATTCGGCCGCGCCGTGCGGGCGCCGCAAGAATACTTGCTGCGCTCATACTGGGTAATGGAGGAATACGAATTTATGCTGCAGTGGACACCTGTTCGTTTATCAAGGTTTTCTTTAGTAGTAGTTTTCTTGATCTTGAAGAATTATGTACTTACTTAGCTGCTTATGTTGACATGCACAGGAGCAGAGAGAGGTCATGTGTCCAGGGGCCGCATTCTGTTTCTGGCATGATAAGATCGCAAATATAATTCTGGCTGAAGCTTGTCCATTAAATGAATTCAACACTCAGCGCCCCTCTGCCTCTCCCCACCACCACCAGCTGCACTTGACATCTTCTCTACTAGCTCGTCCAATTTTCTGCTTAGTCATCCCTCTCGCCACTCTTCGTGTCACTCCTGCAACTCCGACTCTTGCCCACGCATTTAGCAATTTTGCTATCTCTATGCACAGACTCATCCACTGGATCTCACCGAACCAGAAGAACACGCGTTTGAGTTCTTCGTATGCGTCTGGGGGTGATAAAGACAAACTCAAGCTCATTTTCACATGAGGATGAGCACTAAGAAGCAGACAGTTGAGAGAGAGGGAGAAAGTTGTCCAGTCGTTGTCCCTGATCTTCGATGTAGAGGAGGAGAGGCTTCTTGAAGGTATAGGCCGTACTCTCTCACTCTCAGCACTCACGAGCAGAAAGCGAGGTTGAACTTAACTAGAGATATTTTAAATATTTAATATCTAGTAGACAGGTGCATACAGCCCATGGCGTCCTACCCCCGGTCCTTAGGCGCAAGGAACAAGAGGGGGTAGGTGCTCGCGCTAACTCTAGGTCGCCAAAACTGTCAGGGCCATGGGTACCGGTTCACCAAGACAGAAACTAGAGTTAGCCGCACCCTAATCGTTAAAAAGGACGGACCAGCACCATTCGGCCCTCGAAAGGCCGTCCGAGTGCATCCAATATTAAGAAGGAGAAGTAGCAGGAAAGAAGCGCGATGTCTCTCTTACGATTCGCAGAAACGCATTCTCTCGTGGGACGAAGCGATGAATCAAACTATCGATGTCTTCAAAACTAAATTATGTTACTCTTTAACCATCGATCGGACCTCCAGAATAAGACCGAGGCAGCAGAACGGAAACCATTTTACCGATGTTCAAAGATCCGATCAAGGTATTGCTTCTGCACGTGCATGTGTCTGACAGAATTTCTTTGACAATTCTTTATCTGATATTATCAATGACCAACACAAATAGATCTTTATAATGCTTAATAAAAAGCAAGTATCGACGTAGGTTACTCTCCTACACCGTCGGAAACGAGGACAATTACCTACTTAAAATATGTATTTAAAATATAGTAGAGTTGTCACTTAAGTGTAGAGTAGGGGAGTATTAAGTTATAGTCTGCTCCTCGCCAAGAGTATGCAAGACTAGTCAGTACACGTAGCACATGCCTGACAGTGAAGGGTGAGCACAACTTCATGTGATGAACACTACGTTTAAAGAATGCCTGAACCAAGCATCCTTATGACACTAGGGGCTCTAAACTAGTGTTGGGGATGTTAGTTTAAAAAAAGCAGGAACCGTGGGCAGGTGCTTAACCGTTTTTTGTATCTGGCTTTGTTCTTGCTGTGGAGGTTGGGCTTGCAATAGCTTCTGGATCTTGCGGCTCTGGCACCTTGAGGTATAGGTTGTTCTTCTGTTTCGGATACCCGGGCATCCGGTTCGCTCTTGTTATCCGTGTCGAGACTTGGCGCCTGATGTGAAAGTTGTTCTTCTGGTTCGTGTGCGCGGACGTCTGGTATGTTCTTGTGGACAATGTTGAGGCTTGGTTTATATTTATCCACCCAGTATGACACGGCTTCGTATAGCTAGCTTTCGTACTCGGTTCTTCGCTATCTAGTATTCTAATCTTCTGTTTCTATCACGACAGTCTTTACCTAAACGGACTACTTACTTGTTTTTTGGGGTTAGGAGCCAGTTGTGCTGACAGAACACATGCACTCGCTGGCTCCCTATTTTTACTGGATATAAGTGTATTTTCTCGCTTGAAGCAGTTTCCTCTTGTCGTAAAAGAGTTAGCGGGACCTTGGTAAACTTCTAGTCTCTCCTTGTTGGGGGCGAGACAGTCGAAGCCAGTTCCTGACAACTTTCGTTGTTTCTTTGTTCCAAAGTTAGTCTAAGTTTAGCTACAGCAACTTTATGCTACCTTACTTCCGGTCGAGCAAGTAAGCTCCAGAGGGTGTTCGTAAGTATTTGGCTCGAAAGCTGTTAACGTCCTTACACTAACCCTCTTCTTCTTTAGCTCTGAGTTCAAGTTTCACTAATTTCTGGATTTAGTGTCAGCTTGTACTCTTTCCGTGCTCCTTTTTGCCCCCTTTCTTACCAAGACAGTTGAGAAATAAACAACTTTCATGTGTGGCAATATACTTACTTACGAAAATCATCGATGCCTGCGAATTAAGGAGTACGGGAGGGGGATGTAGTGGTCTAGGACACGAGATCCTCTTCTGGGATTTCGACTTGTTCAAGTTTGCCACCCTCTCTGGCATTTTCACTGGTTTGCCCTGATGTGACCGCCAGAAATCGACTAAGAGAAGTATGGAACATGCAGGTAGAGGTAGAACGGGCGAGTCCTTTCCTCTTATGCAGTGGTCTGCGTATGCACTTGCAAGAAAAGTTCCGGCTTGTGCTTTGCATCGAGCGGCCTGTGGGGTGGGCTTGTGACCGCTTGTGGGGTGGGCTTGTGGAGTGGGTACGCGTTCGCTTGACTGCTCTACGAAGCGCCGCGCGATGACTTCTTCGCGTTACATCACAGTGCTCCTCCTGGTTGTGCTCCAGCTCCTTCGAAAATTTTCATGTGTCGTGAACGAGGTGCTACCACCAGCGGTTTAGAGACGACTGTGCAGAGCTGCCGAATCCCTGCCGTGCAAGATCCTTCAGCAAGTGGAGCGCGCTTTTCGTGGTCCTGCGTGTGCTGTTCTGCGCTGCTAGAACACTTGTTGTACCTACTGATCCAGTGAGTAAGCCCTCCTTGAAATCCGAGACTGAAGAGTTGTAGACTTGCACTCTGTTCACATTACAACTGGTCACCTTACCACGGTCGGGTGCAGAACAGGAGTCAACTGGATACCTTGATGTTGCATCATGTTAGAGCTTGCCCAAATTCATCTTGGAAATCATCTTTGACGTATTTCCCCCTTGAAAAGGTGTCAGAGATGCCTCTGAAGATGAATTACGGCAAGCATTAATCATGTAGGGCTGTTGTTGCGGTCCTCCTGCGTAGGGACTTGGCGGTCCCATTTGAGCGATCGATCCCGGTGGCCCTTGCATTTGAATCATCCCTCCAGGTGCTCCAATTTGTGTTTGCGGCATGCCACCTCGTCCCAGTTCTTAGAGCGTCCGATTACTAAATCTACATGTACTAGAGCAGCGAAAATTATACGGCACTAAAACTACGGAAGCGGAGCTAGAAGTGCAGTTTTCCTCGTCTCTAACACGACTGTGCAGTTGTAGGATTCATTAGGATTACTAGGAAGTAACTAGTACAAGTGGCCGTAAGTTTGATATGACGGTCTGCCCATTCCTCCACCGAGACCGCCTGCCATTGCCATCTGATTGTTGCTCATTACTCTGAAATCTTGTTGTTTGATGTAAGCGCTTAGGCGGCTGTTCTGCATACAAAGCCAAATGCATGCTCCTATGCTGAAAGCACCGTTGAGGACCAAATTAGAGGCTGTCCAATAACAATTGTAGCTCTCTTCAGCTGCGGAACCTGGTCATAGATGATCATCATGAAGTAGAACACGACTTATTTCCCGAAAAGATTTGGAAAAACGTCGAGAATCCAAGAATAGCTGTGTAGCAGTGCCAGACCATAACCAATAGCACGCCGAAAAATATAGTCCCGCCGTTTTGATCAAGAAAGATCACATCGCCGGCTGCTGGAAAAACACTTGCAGCGTCATAATCTCGCGTGACCTCTATTAGATGAATCGCATGCAGCCCATGTGCAAAAATGAGAAATTGAAGTAGTTGAACAAGTAGGGAGCACGTGAGCAGTAGTAAACGAGACTTGCCAGACTTTTGAACTACTTGCAGATGATATGCGTATAACTGGAACCTTACACGTTGATGATCATGATAAATATTGTGCCCAACAAGCACCAGTGGTATCAATAAATATAGTAGTGCTTAAAGGAGACAACTAGTACAATTGATTAAACATGACTGCATGTATTTTGTGTTTTTCTGCATAAAAGTGGAGCCATTTCTTGGGCAGGGGGTATTGCTCCCTCCGCAAAACCAAGCCCTTCCTTCTCATTTTTCCATTTCACAAATGTCTTCTTTTCTTTGGACCACTTCCAACGCTCGTCGTCCTTTTCTTCCTCGAATTGGCAATGTTGGTATCGTACAGCTGGCAGATCAAGTAGTGTTTATTCAGTTGAGTTTGAGTTGTGTTCTTTCAGATGAAGATCAAGATGATGAATGAAGTTATGCTACGTATGCTACCATGTCTTGGTCATGGGAGGGACTAACGACCTAGGATTTATGAGGAAAAGTTAACCGGTTATCTATGTATCCTAGTATGGAGATGTGAGTGTACCAGAGACTACACCAGAAGAGCTGCATGCTATAATTGCTATCGTAGTAATATACTAGCTTAGCAAGTACGTGAATGCCAGAGACACCAGAGTTTGTCGTCGAATGGCTCTTTGCGATAAATGCGAGCCCACTCCCAGGTCCGGTCATCTTTGTCCTCAATTTGCGAGAAGGTGACCATCAGCGGATTTTGTTTTGCCGACACACCGAATTGTGCTGCGACCTTTCCATTTTCAGCAAGTAGCACAGGTTCGTAACCAGTAAAAATATAATCTGCACTATTCTGTCCTGCAGGTACTTGCCGCGCCACGGTGATGTTGCGATATCGATTCTCCGCGCTATTAGAGGAAATATTAAATTAAAGTCAGGCCGTAGAAAACTAGAAAAGAAGAAATATTGAAGATGAGTATGCTGCACCTGCAATGCTCCAAATTCGAAGACAAATTCAAATTGTAAACACTGGAACTGGGTGAACTAGACGATACGTCTATCTTGTTGTAAAGACGTGTAGTCGGCAAATCGATCTTTTTATTTTCTTACATATGGAAATGGAGAAGGCTACCAACATCATAAAATTTTCGATTTGCAACGGAAATTCTGTGCTTTCTGGGTAGGTAGCGGAGATAAACGTCATGACCATCCAAAAGAAGATCAGCGGTATGTGGCAAAAATACCAACAGAATATCGTTCGCATTGCGCCACTGGAGTCATGATTAGTAGAAGTAGCGTGAGAAGTTTCTCTTTTTGGTGTTGGAAGAAATTGCTCAACATTCGCGCTTGGCGAGGCAATCGAAATCTCAAGCAAAAAAAAAACGAAACCATCGACGCCATCCAAAGCAAAAAGAATCTTCATAAAAAATCTTCATATTCATTTTTCGAAATCATACATCGGATAGTACTGAACAGCTTTGAATTTCTCTCGTTGCTGCGCGTAGGATGCGCCAGGTCTCCCTACTCCAAATTGCGTGTCACCCATTTGAAGCGCACTACTTGTTGGTTCCACACCCTGTTCCTTGCAGCCCAGATAGCAGTAACATGGTCCGAGACACAGACAACTGCAGCAACAGCACCCACAGCAAAATCCAAGCATGAGAAATTAGACTGACGACCTTGACGTTGCTTCTCCTGCTTGGTCTTTAAACTACTATTCTTGTTGCGTAGTACTCCGCGTCCGCCCTTGTTTGCAACATGATAGTCCTCGCACACATTCATGAGTGTCGGTTATGATAGTCACACATATTAGCGTCGGTCATGATCAGAGAAGTGCTCAGTTTCCATAAACATGAAGGGTGGACCACGCTCGCACTTCGTCTCCCATGCGATCGACGTCCCCTGGCTGTTGGCCCAGTGGCTGGACCTGCTGATGCTGCCCCATCATAGGTGACTGACCATTGTAGGTACTCGCTCCGAACGTCGTAAGCGGAGGGCCAACAACCATGTTGGAGCCACCTACTGTTGAGATGACATTGGAAAGTTCTTGTAGAATTATTCTTATTGATCATGGTCTTGCTGAATTATTCTTATATATTGATCATGATCTTCGATTCATGTGCTTCTATCTACCATACAACTAAGCACGGAACAAATCATAATTGATGGAGATAGTCGTGGTGGTCTTTATCTATGCCGATCTGGTTGTATCATGCTGAAGGAGTCGTGTTCGAAAATAGTTCTGGTCAGCGAAATAAGCCAGAATTTCGTATACCTCCATGCGATGCCCTGTCAACCGGCTGCAAGCCACCAACACTTCCGATCGGTACCATATTGAAACCCCCTCCACTGGACTGGTAAGTATTCTGCATCGGGGACCCAGTGTCGCTCGCTACAATTGGTGCAGCGACCGCCATCTTTTATTGGTTTTTTAATGTTGCCCGAGGACGATAAACAGGGAAACGTTTCAACTCTAATTCTGTCACTGCCGAACCAAACAACTAAGTTGTGCCAGGACTGAGCATAGTGATACAACTACGAAACAAAAGCTGAAACGACGCGTACTCTTCTAAATGAATGTAGTCTACACGACTACAACATCAATGATCTGACAAAACAGACGTCGTAAGAAATTTACATCATTTGATTTAATTCCAAATGCATGCGGCAAGACTGGCTTTACCTCGCATAAGGAGGGCGCCATCTCAATGTTTAATCCATGTATGGCGAGCGCAAGTATATATTTTTTAAGTGTATAAAAATTTTTGATGTATAAGCATTTGGGAGGAGGAAAGCGGAGCGAAATTTTCAGCGGCGAAACGGGGTGTCCGGTGGCGGCAGGTAAGTGCCTGATATGAGTAGATATTCTTTAAACTAGCTAGTTTATTAAACTAGACGAAACTGAGATGAGGCGAAGGGGAATCTGCGACACGGGAGAGCGTGGAGTCCTCACGTCTCATCTCGAAGTCGAAGCGGAGCCGTCTCGCAGGGCCGTGGCTTGGGGACTGCAAGCCATGCAGCTACGAGCCGCGTCTGCCCCGGGAGTCGTCGTTTTATCATGATGTGGCTGGCTCTCCCGTGTCCGTCGCCTCCTTTCGCCTCTCAGTTTCAAGAATATCTAATTTAAGTAGCTAGTTTACGCTACAAATGAGTCACCACCTTACCAGGTCCTTCGCATCGGCATCGGCTTCGGAAATCAGCCAGGCAATCCCCTTGGAGAGCTTTTTACATGAAGAAGAGTCTTTATATAGTTTGAAAATATATACTTACGCTCGCCATACCATGGCACGATGCTTCTACATCACATGAAACAAATACGCGATGGAATCATGATCTTCATGAAGGTCATTCCTGTCGTTTTGGGATTATTATTTATTAAGTCCTTAATCAATATTTCAGACCAGATATTGGGAAACTGTACTGAACTAAAGTTACAGTACTCTAATTCCAAAGGCGCGTGAGAAATATCATATATATGCGTCGGTTTTGCAAAAGAGACCAGAAAAATATTGAATACTCATAATCTGGGTGCTGGGGTCGCGGGTGGGTCCGGGGTATCTCTCGCTGTCTCACGCTTTTTCGAGACATAGAAGATGACAAACACTCACTCTTAAGGACGCTCGCGCCAATTTCATGATAGTACCTCGTCCCATTGCAATTGTGCCTTCACAAATAAGATCATGGCTGTAGTGCCACGTGTTATTGAATGGAAACCGAAACAGCTCGTCAATATATTCCCATAGGCATAAGCTGCTTTGACTACTGTTGTAGTTTAATCACATCTCACCGAAGATTGCGGTTTTTGGACAGAAAAATTTAGAAGTAGGTAGCCACAACAGCGACATGATGATGAACGATCTTCCAACGTATTCAACAAATTCAAATTGTTCATCAATCTTACGTTAGTATCTATCAATTCTTCCTTGTTGATGTTCTTTGCCGCTTACAGAGACAAGAAAGTGAACAATAACCCGTCAGGAGGGGGCGGAATCCGGAATACCAGGTGAGGTTGCTACTTTTTTCGCCTTATAGTATATGGAATGGAGAATCCCAGTGAAATTCAAAGCGACGACGCAGGGGTCCTAGAAGGAAATAGAAAGGGCAAGGGCGACGTTTGGAGTTGGGCATGTTATCTTTAGTAAGGTGGGAGCGAGAGGGAATCTTCAATTTTTAAGTGGTTGTAAAAATTTTGACTATTATGAGTGACAACATGACTTTTCACTCCTTTTATTGCAATTTCTTACAACTCATCATCAAATTCGCCGAAGTCGATTTTCGCCTTCTTTGCGGCAAAACTCGACTGTCGGTCGAGAGAGCTCCCGGAATCGAGTGCACCACGCTTCGTTCCGTTTTCAGCACCGTGGTCACTGACACTTTTACTACCACGACCATGATTTAAATTTGAAACACCAGCTCCGTTCTTCCTACTCGCTTCTGAAGAGAGGGGCTCAACATTTCTTTGGCCGAATGAAGGAGAACTTATGCTGCTGCTTGCTTTGGCTTGAAGGCTTTGGTGATTTATTTGTTCCATAGCAGTCGTGCTACTTGATGGGCCTCCAGAGGACGTGTATGCCGGTGGTGCGCCTCTACTTACGCTTGCAAGTCTTAAAGACGATGATGATGCTGTTGCATTGTTCCCACTAGTGTTGTTGTTCTCCAATACTAGGCCAGAATTCGCATTATCGACAACTTCGAGGAGACCGCTGTTGCTTCGTAGCGATGGTGGTGCGTTTATGCCGATCGGAAGCTGTAGGCCGCCATTCGGACTTCCTCGTGGAGACCCGGACATTTGTCCTCGTGAATCTAGCGAGGAGGCGGCTCGAACTACGCTGCGCGCAGATTTTGGTGCAGCAGCAGACATGACATCGTCGACCTGCTGTTGCGCTGCACTTCTTACCTCATCCTTGATTCCGACCAGATTAATGCCCAGGTTGCCTCTAGCACCCGTTCCCGTATCAGCATTACGACTAATATTTGCATCAACTACAGCATTTGTCCCATGATGCTCAGTTGTTCCTCCAGTAGCGACTAGCTTCATCTTCTTCTCCAGAAGGCTCAATTCCTCATTGACATTCTTGTCTACGTCAACGCCGTCGATTTCGAGCTGCTCTTTCTTCTTGCGCAGTCGTTGCCTCTCTTCTAGCACCTGGACCTCGGCTTCCAAACCTTTGCATTTCCTTTCGTACTCTACGATCTTGTCCGTTAGCTCTCGGAACGCCTTCGCTTGAATAGCCGACAAACCGCGCGTCACCCTGGAAAAGAGACGTGATTTACTTGATTCATCATTTGTTTCACGAGTTTCAAGAAAACCTAGAAGAAAATTCTACTTCCTGTTCCTTGTAAGTAAGATCATCAAAAAAATACAAACAATTTTTACAACAAAGATCAAAAAGTACACGAAGATGTTATCAGTACTCTTCAAAAGACGTCTGTTCCGCTAGCATTTTCTCCTTTCGAGAATCGTAATCGCAAAATTCCATATTGCAAGGCCTCACTTCTTCGTGTTTATCCTCTGCGCTTGGCGGGACAAATCCCAGGTAACGGGTGCCCCAGAGGGAGAGTGCAGCCTATGTCGTGAGTGAGAAAACGAGATTTAGCATCCATAAGGATGAGGAAATTCCGCACTCGCGCTATCATCAATCTCTCTAATATTCGTAAGTTCGACAAGAAAAACATGAAAATGCAGATGTCGCGCGATGAGTTGTACCTGCTGCATCACTTCTTTCCTCGCAAATTTGACGACTAGCATCATCGTGCGATCTTGGCGAAAGATCATCTCTGCTTTTTCGACTACGCCCCATTGTCGGAAAAACGATTCAAACTTCGAACCAGGCAGAAGCCTCAGTGTTGGTCGAGTCGGCTTGTACTGGGGATCTGGAATAACCCACGTCAAAGGCAAAGGTCCCAACACTATGGCGTTTGGAGTCTGTGAGTTGAAGATTGAAGATTGATGTTGATGACGTTGAGCCCATTCCAGTCCCATCGTTGGAGGCGCGTTCCAACACGGTGTAGAATAGACGATTGTTGAAAAAAAGTTGTTGCAGATAAGTAATCAAAAAGACTGTCGAAACAGCACAAGAAGCACGACAAGTAACAACAAGTTCCATTTCCAATTTCATAAAAAAAAAATACTTTATCTGCTCCCGCCAAGTCCGTTGCTACGTGGTCGAAACGCTCATCATCGTCAATATCAGCGTCTAGCTGAAATTCTTCCTCAGTGAAGAATTCATCTTCTTCGTCGCACAATGTCGCCACTAAGGTCTGATCCTTACCCTTTGACTCCGAATATAGCCACGGAGGTTTGGAAACTATGAAGGCGAACGGCCACAGGAAAGGATCAGGATAACGACTCTACTAGCTCTACTCAATTATTAATGACGGAATGGTATTAGTGTTGTTGGCGTCACTGCTGAGTCTGTTGAGCCTGGTGAAAAACTAGATCGTCCCTGGGAATTATCAGTCAGTTGTAGAACCAGACGCGCCTCCTCGATAAATTTATCTTTCCTGTTTCACGTATTTCAGATGAATATGATGTCAAAGACAGTTAGAACATGCGTCCTACAATAGTCCGTCGACTCATTTCAACAATGCTCGAGGTCGAAGGTAAAGACACTAGCAGTAACACTAGCACTAGCATATACTATGTATCAATATTAATAGCAATAGCTCCTGAACCACCATAAAATTGCTGCTTGTCGATGTGCTTGGCGTACTGTTTTGCTGAAATTGCGCCAGAACTTCCTGGACCCTTGCGTTCGATAGTATGGCGATTTTTGGGCATATGATTCGTGGCATGCCAGCCCTCTTCGATGATATCTCGCGGTCTCCTCGCAGAAAGGAGCTCTTCTCTCCGAAAGGATTTAGCCGTATCTTAGGAACAGCACTGGTAGATGACGAGGTCGCGCCACCTACTTGTTGACTTGTCCTGCTCGCTGTTTTCCCCGATCCGCCACCTGCACTCGTTTGTTTGGCCCTCACCTCATTTGCGCTTGAGTCGCTACTTCTAGGAGTCGGGTTTGACACCTGTTTCTCGCCATCTGAAGTGCCATTCGCACGAGGAGAGGAAGCCACCGTGGTCGTCATCCTTTTTTATCATGTATTTTTGTAGTGCTAATAGTACACGGGATTGGAGGGATCGATGAAGTCCACGAGCAAGAAGTAAAAGCAAAATTATATCAATCGGTGGAATGAACATCAATTAATATCAACATAACAAACAAGAAGATTATGCTCATGCAACTAGCGTGAAAAGGAAATAAAAAGCGATGGAAAGAATGTTTTTTCCTGTCGAAAGTAAGTCTAAGTCAGTGTGATAACCACGAGCGATGAAGCAAAGTAAGATAGATGTCACCTACAACTCGAACTATGAGAGGACAGCAAAAACAAGGCTGACTCCTCATCTTCATCAACGAAGCCTTGCCCAAGGAGGAGGAGAGAGCCATAAAACTATCTCGAAGCTTTGTTTATCATCATGGTTAATATGTGTTTTTCTGTACAGTAGTACTTAAATGTGCTGGTGGCTGTAGTAGTATGAGAGGAAGAGTAACGCGACGACATCCATCATTCCCACAGATCATTGGTGACCTTTTTGGTCCTCCAAGAGTCGTCGGCGCCTTTCAATACATTCTATCCAAGAAGTGGATCGTCTTCCAATTATTTCGTCCACGAGAAGATGCACGACACCAGTCGCTTCCAGCATAATATGCGAACAAGATACTTACATGGAAGAAGCGAAACCAGGAAGAAGGGCTTTTGGAATCATAGAACACGGAACAACAGCACTGAGGCCAATGCTTTGCGGTTAAGGACACTTTGAAGATATCATTCTTGATGTCTCGAACTCGATGAAGAAATGTCCGACACTATACATTTGAATTTCACATGCAAATATAGATGTTGTAAAGGATTTGAATTTATTGCATTCTGCAGCACGTTGAAGATCTGCTGCCTTTCCCTGTAATTAAAATCGTGACTTGCCTCAGCGTGTGCGAATCTACATTTGAGTATTTTTCTTTGAAGTCAGATCTGCACGATTACCCTCACTTGTTTCGATTTTGCTTGAAGAAGTAGATGAAAAGCCCGTATGTAAGATTAAGATTAATGATTAAGAAACACTTAGGATAAGCTTAAAATCAATATTTTGATAATGAAGAACCAGTTGTATGTAAGATTAAGATTAAGACCTTAGGACAAGACCAATGAATACGGATGAAGAGCAAACAAGAAAAAGAATCAATTAGGCATAACAAGAACTCAAACAAGTACCACGTTTCAATCGGAACTATCTACTTATCTCGCCGGTAAACCCCAGTAACTATGTAGTATCTGATATCAATACTTCTATGGCGTCATCGCAAATGTCAAACAGTACACTTTAATGATGTTGAAAAAAACATGCACCATGATGAAGATGTAGTACTGGAAGTTATCATATATCCGAACACCATGGAGTCATGCTATTTACTTCCGCAACGCCGGCACCTCCACTCAACACACATGAATTAATAAATTAATAAATACGTATCAACATACATTCATAATCATATGCATGGATTCATCGTATTCACCAGCTCCATCCTTTACCTTTTTGCGCGGTCAGGGTCGCCGGTCCGTGGACGGCCGCTAGAAGATTCGACGGAGCCCAATTTGTTATGTCATGGGGATTTCTGTTGTACATGAATTCGGTTTCGCAGGTTTGGATGACCGTACAGATCTCACTGATTTCGATCAAGATTCTTATTATTGTGCGAACCAGAACAGCCACGATGATGGTGAAAATAATTGCCATGACAAGAGCGAGATAGTCCGTGCGTTCGTGACAACCAGCTTTACCGTCCTCACGCTTGCAGCGAGCTCTCCCGTTAATTAGACCTCTCCCTTATTCATCCCGGTGGAAATCCTAATCCCTCAAGCGTTGTATGCGTCACTATTAATTCCCCTTGTTTGTATAATTTTGGCGCATACGGTTGAGGGATCCCTCCTTTATATAGAAGAGATGGATCATCAGGGGAAGCCTTAAGTTAAACCGCAAAACGCGATTGTGGAACTGGCTGTGCTTCCGGTGCATGAGGCCCACCGACATATCGTGTGCGGTTCGGTAGAACTTCTTTTCCAGTTTCACGTCGCTCTCCTCTTCCGCTTTCATGGTCACGTCGGAAACTGGAACAAATTCCAAAAAAAAAGGTCGGTAGTTGTAAACAAGAATATAACAAATTGTGTTCTATGCTATGATGTAGAATCTACCGTAATCTTCTCCCAGGTAATGGAGATAGAGGAAGAACAAAGTTTTCTTGCATGAGAGACTCGCTACGTATTCGATTCACTCGTTCATTATTGCCTCAGTTTTACTTCACATGATAATCAAAAATGAAATGATGTACAACTGTACTAACCCTGTACTTGAAGTAAGTCGTGTAGTTGGAGAAGGGTACATCACAGACGTATTCCAAAAAAAATTTCTATCAAGTCTATTAGACTCTAAGTACATTTGTCCGATCGATATTGCGTTGGGAGGAGGGCAAGTCGGTAGTCTGCATCCATAAACCATGGGTCCCACCAGCCGATCTGGTCCGTTTCATCATCGTAGAAAAACTGACTGTCGGATAAGCCTCTAACGTTAGAAGAGCAATACAATTACGATGTCAGAGTGAAAAAAGGTGCTGTTTTCGTAATCTACCAGTACTACACTCATCCCTATGAAGAGGACATGATATTGACATCAGGAAGTAAAGCCAAGTAGTTATATTTTTAGTGAATGGTTCTGGTATTTGGTAACCTGAATTTGATCCTAAGGGAAAACAAGAAGAGAACCCTTAGGATCCAATTCAGGTTACCAAATACCAGAGCCATACATTTAGGAGTTGGAGTACTTATATATTTATATATAATATAACAAATTGTCGAAGTTACTTACAGGTGAAATGAAATGGAAACCATCGTGGTGAAACCATAACTAGGGGCCAAAACGAGTTGCATCTGGCTAAGCGCACCGGGTAAATCTGATTGTACCCCTTGTCTTTATCCTTGAAGACGCCGGCAAACGTGTAAGCGAGAGCTCGATTCACGGCTACGCACGTCTTATAAAAATTTTGTGGATAGTGCGGATCTCCGGCTCCTTTGTCGTCCTTACCAAAAAAGGTATCCCGAAACCAGTGCGCAGGAGTCACGTAGTCCAGCAGCGGTTTCATACGAAATTAGAATCTTCATAATATCGAAAAGGAGCGTATCAACTACTACAGTAAGAAAGATGGACTCTTATTGTATTTCATGTTTGCTGATGTCTGTAGTTAAAAAATGTTTACGAATGTAGATTCAGACGTTCATGACGAATAGATTCTAGCAACGAGTCTTTCATCCTGGCTATCAACTATCGTGGATTATTTTCTGTCCAGCTCCAGCTTATGAAAATCGGCTTATTAAATTTGAATTTTGCCGGCGAGTCTCACGTACTATGGACTTTTCTATGAATGTCTATAATGAAGAATGTCAATGTCTGTGGGAATAATCATGTAGGCCTTCAGAGTGCAAGAAAGGAAGAGATATTACTTACTCATTAGCCTTAGTCTTGCTCCATTGGGGACAGCGCGTGATCCATCACGGCCAGCTGCGTCACTGCAAACGACTCCATCAATACCCAGTCGGAACCACCTGGAAAAGTGAAGATGATTGTTATAGTAGAAGTTGCATGTGCTCCATGCACCACTCCATGCGCTATGCGTGCCTAAATCCTATACAGTGTCGTGAAGAAGATTCGGATGGTGCTTATGAATGACTATGGATCGAACATGTGCAAGTGGATGATCCGACTTCGACTTGGGACATTTTGGGACGTGTGCGCTTGTAAGTACTATGGATGTGCACGACCCAATGAAGAAGACCTTTTCATTCATTCATTCATTTACCTGTTCTGGATGTATCTTTTGACGCCAGGGCGACTGTGAGCTTAATTGTTGTATTTCTTGCTCTATATTGAGGCCCCTCTAAACCAAGAACAACTCAGTGACGCGTTGGGTAGGGCGGCGTGGTTGGTAGCATGAAAGAAGTTCGTCCTACTTATAAGACTTGCATCATCTCGCTACTCATGGTGTGTATTTCTCTCTTTGTTAAGCACTTACTCATTCTAGTCAATTTCATCGTTACTCAATTATGAGTCAAATAATCTTTTATATTTATTCGTGCCAGAGCGTTCTTCCTTATCAATGTTTATTACGAACATACGAACGTGCTATCCTACTTAAGACTTGCATCATCATTTTCCTGACTGAGAACTATGTGAACATTCTAAATCTGATCTAGTTTATCTTTTTACCTCCCAAATATCCTCCTTGGATTTGTGGCCTGATGCGTAGAGTCGCTTCGATGTCGAACATGACCCGATCCTTTCGGTGGCTTTCGTGAGGTCTCTGGGAGCGCACGTAGTAGTCGCCTGGATCGTCGTTGACCCAGTTGTCTACTTGCCCAGGATTCTTGGTATGATCTGGACCGTAGACGCGTCGAAGCTGAATAATCTGAACGCCCAGGGTGAATCCGCCTGTTGTAAGTCCCTGCCCTGGCGAAAGGACCGCTGTTCCGTCTGCTATGTGACCCTGACCGGCGGTCGCGGTGTAGGAATTCAGATCAGGCTTAGAGTGTCGAGCCAGTGGCTGGCAGTGGGTGTGCTGGGAGGACATAATACATTTCGGGCAGTCAGTAACTAATCATGTCTTAAAGTTAAGCTTAACAAAAAGTCCGAGAAACAAGAACATCTTCATCTTGTTTGGATTTCGTAGATACTTGCTATACACATACAGAAACAGACCAAATCAAATTACGAGTTGTGGTGCGTAATTATGATTATTAGTATCATGCTGTTACTCGTAATCCTGAATCTTCGTCTAATAGAATGCTTTCGCTTTATCAAATTCATGTATCTATAATTCGTACATAAAGTAGGACGCGGCATTAGTATTACGACCGAAATAATGAGACTATTCACGAATTCATCTGATGAAGACTTGTATAAAGGTAAATGTCTCTACTAATGTCCTCCATGCATGATGTCTCTTATGGTTATGTCTCTTATGTAAATAATGTCCTCTCTTATGTCCTCCTACGATGTTGCCATAAGTGAGGTAGTCAGATTTCCAATCCAGTAGTGATCCTTCCGGATATCGGTCGGATCATAATCTTCGATAGATAAAGCGCGATTCCCTAGCCCTTGGTCTGCTCCTCCAATTCTATCCTGTAGAAGCTCGTTCATCTCGTCTACTGATCCTGCACCGGCAGCGCCGTCCTCTCGTCGTGGAGCTCTATTCCCATACTCCTCTGGTGGTCCTCGTAGTCTTATTTCCATATTCTTGGATATCTTTTCTTTCAGCTCTCTGGACGGTGCTGACGTCGTCGTCGTCGTCGTGGGTGGCTCCATCGTCGTGGTTGTTGTTGTTGACGTAGAGCGCGCAGGGTAAGGAACACGGAAGCATGGTACTTGCGGATTTACAAAATTGAAACCATAATACTTGCCGGCTAATGATTAGAGCTTGTGGGCGACTAGATGACTCACGTCTTTGTCTTTCATGATCTCAAGCATCTTCATATCTTTGACCTTCACGTGTTTTTCCCTTCTATGATAAAAAAAAGTGCTGGTGGGGGTCTCTCTCAAATAAGGGAAAGACAATGCAAGGCGCTTGCTTCTGCTCGTCAAGAACAAGGTCAAGGAAGTACGTGGTCAGATAATCAATCAGGATGCACCCGCAGGGCACCGACTTGCTCCCCGCAGGCTCTACGCTCGCCGCACATCTACGCTCGGGAGCGATATGAGGTCAAAGAAGTGCGTGAAGATGTTAAATAATGATGAATGGACTGCTTAGTATTGTAGGTTGTGTAACTCACTGTAAGTGTAACTAATGTCACTTGCGTAAGTAAGTATGCGTTGTACCCTGCATTAACATAATCAAAACAAAAGCCTTAAAATGAGGTAGCCTCTTTGAACCAGGGTGGGAAGTCGAACTCTTGCTCCACTATCGGAATGTGGGCCCTCAGCGTCGGTCGCGCTCCAAGGTCAGCTGCGTGCTGTCCCTCGATATTTTCCCCACAAATTTGATAAATCCGCTTTACGTTGTAACGCTGTTGAGCGGAGTAAATTCAACTTCAAATAGGAGTAGTCTTCTTGATGATTCAATTCAATTTTTATTGGGCGAATCAGTCAGTTGGTACAACTTTCTTCATTGATTTAAGTACTGAGCGAATAAGCTCGAACAACCTAGCAATGTTGATTTTGGGCCTGTCCCTGTGTATGTGTGACGAACTTGTTGTACGAGAATGCTATCTCACCGTCCTCCACTTACAGCCCGAGTTAGTAAGTACAAGAAAACGAGGGGAAAAAACAATGATGAAAGGATTTGTCGTGACAGTGAAAGAAACTTTGAAGCGGAGAGTAAAGTGCTCGAACACGACTCGTTTACTAGTAGAACAGACTAATTTATAAGGTTTGCCCGCTCGCATGGCATGGAGTGCATGGATCGCATGGAGCTAAAGGGGACGCCTCTTGCGTCCCTTAGAGATCTGCGCTCCATGCCGCCCTCCATGCTACTCCATGCACCATGCGTGCTATAAACTACTCTGCTAGAATTACACCACGACCTATCAAAGGTGGAAAATATTACCGAAAAGATCGGTGGCCGTTCGGTGCGAAGCAGCTTTTGCATCTGCATCATCCTCTCTATTTTCGGCTGTTCGATGCCCACAGTCGGCGGAACGTGCCAGTGTTTGGCCGCCGCACGGTCGTCCACCAACGGATTGCGCTCATCCACTGGGTTTGTGACACCCTGCGCTTGCATCCTTTCTGTAATATGGGCAGCGCGATCGATTTCCTCCCACCGCAAAGGATCGATAGCGCCGCTGGTGACTTAGAGCTTCCCCCTATTCATTGTTCATCCTACTTGTGAGGATCCCGCAAGAACTGTACATATTGCCCGGCCACTATCTCGTCCCTTGGATTGGGTTCTTGCATACTGTTCTTGAGGGACATAGAGATGTATACTTACCTCTACTATGAAAGAGTTGTAGATGGATAATTAGAGGATGAAGCCGTAAGTGACATTCATATACAGCACAGCCGGGAGTGCTCTTAGATCCGACGCGTGCTCGAACTGCGAATCCAGACTGAAAGGTGCTCCGTCCTCCTTGTCATCCCTCTCATCGGTGAAGTCCCAGAGCCGCTCGACTTCCCTTGCCGGATTGGTCCACGAGGTTTGTAGGTACTCAACTCCCACGGAAAAAGATGGGAGATAACTGAGGACCTGGAGTGGAGCAATGGTCTCGTAGGACGCGTCGCGGCCGCTCTCTTTAAGGTCTCGCAAAACGAGAGTAACTTGGTTACTCGCTGTCGAAGGCAGCGAGGAATAATCAGGCCTGACAAACATCGGATACGCAGGAAGCGAATCACTCCCCTTGACCAGATCTGGTGCCGTATTGTCCTCATGCTTGATCTGAAACGACACTCTTTCTTCTGCTGTTGCTGCCGGAGGGAAATTCGGTTGCCGGTAGAGGTCTCCAAGCCTGTGGCCTACAGTAGTACTGCCTGCGGCGACTGGGGATGCGGCGTCGTTCCCTTTCGCTGGTGTATCCTCGAGCATTGCGACCTGTTGCGAAGTCCACTCCCAGCGCCGGCCGCTGATTTTATCGTAAGCAGCGCATACCTCACACTTACTTTCCTCATAATCATCACCATCAGGTTTGCACTGCTCTGTGGTTTTGTCATCGTTTCCTACTTTGGCCAGCTTATTGATTTGCGACGCAGGTAGACTCTCCTCCGTATACAACACTGGAGTGTCTACACCTCCTGGAGTAATATACGAATTGAAAAAGTCCCGTACCTCATTCGCGCGGGCCGCGTCCTCATTGTCAGACAATTTTGGGAACCGAGTCGGTGACCCCTCCGGGCGGTAGTAGTTTGAGAGTCGCCGCCTTGCATAGTGCACTCTATCCAGTTGTGAGCACTGCAAGGAGGAGAGGTAGCGCGGCGATCGTTGCCACTGTTGCACACCCAGAAGAACCCGCTTCTCGCTGTTGGCGAGTGGAAAACATAACAGCCAGGTTGCATACGCGAGCACAAGCGGCAGTAGAAACAGTGCCATGAAGAAAAAGAGCAAGCGGAGCCAGCGTGCCCGATTCGAGAACGCCTCGAAGGCTATCTGTTTTCGAAAACTGTCGTACACATTTCCACCTGTGTTCCAAAAATTGTCGGACCCCGCAAAGATCCCTCGCCCGTGCCTGGAGCGGCGAAAAGCGTACGCCAACAAAGCGAGTGGGACGCCGCCACAACAGAGCAACGGCAAAAACGCGACGAGCGATACGAAGATGACGGTCACTGCGCCCACCGCAAGGTCATCGTCCAATCCGTTGTAGACTCCCAGGAGCAAAAGAAGACACAGCACCCACGCGAGAAGCGGCAGGAAACAGAGACAGGTAGCGCCCGTACACGCCACGCGGTGCGTTCTGCGGCTTATGCTTCGCGCGATTAGCTTCGCTTCCGGCAAGAAGGTTCCGTCATCCGCACTCTGGGTGGCGCTGAAGTGGTGATTTGCGCGCAACTGCCTCGTCCTCTCGCGCGCGGCTGCGGTGTCGCCTCCAACGTGCATCAGAGTCGCGGTTGCCGATGTGTTGTAGCCGGCCTGTCCCGACACTAAAATCGACGTTTGCACACCACCTGCCGCATAGCCCTGACCCTTAAACGCGCCCTTCTTTCCGCCGCCCTTCGCCCCCACCACTCCCAAGAACGGTCCTTTCCGCATCCTCAAAGAGGACCTGGTGCTGGGGTCGGACCAACTAGGAGTGCTGCTGCAATACGTGACGGTGCTGGGGTGGGATAATAAAACTAGTACAATTGTGCTATCAATGACGCTTACTAGGCGTGCACCTAGTACAACTGCTCCTGTGGTGCAATCAATATCAACGTAGTACAACCAACAATGACGCTTCGGTCACGTGTTCCTGCTGGAATCAATGACGCTTAATTATTAAGGGCGTGTAAGTTATTCATTTCAAGGGGAGGATACAACCAAAATGGCGACTTTCAAGAACAATAACAGCAAAAGAACGCGATACCAAATGGGTTAGTCGCAACTCCACTTTCTGAATGTAGTAATTCATTCACTCATCACGCTGCCATCAATACGATTGATAGTAATGTAATGCAACACAGTAAATCGAAATCATCAAGGAGAGTGCAAAGGGGGGGAGTACAAAGATCGAAGAATCTTCATAAGCCTGGTCGTAATATCATATCATATACATATCAGTGGTGGAGAACTAAAAACTCAGTTTATTTTCCGTATCAGAAGAAAAAAGATATCATCTGCCAACAGGAGAGTACACTCACAATCATGATCTGCCAACAGAGTACACTCACACACACTTATTCCTTCACCATGGATAGAGGATTTTGACTTGAAAATCGACAGAAGTAGTCTTCATGGAGCTCACAGCGCTGACGCTGATCTCAAAATCAAACCTCCAACTCCAAGCACTACCACTTCTCATCTCACGAAACCAGAAGACAAAATTTTTCTAAACTCCTCTCACAACAGATCTGATATTACTGATTCTTCATCACCGCCTTATATGTGATGAAGATGTGAATCTATTTCATCTATTCGGCATTGGATCGATGTGGAGACTAATTAGCTGCAACTCTATCTCTATCAAGCTGCCACTCTCTACGAGCCGGCTGGATCTGATGCTCAATCTTCGTTTGCATGTTTTTTTGTGATCTTTCAAAGCAGTGCAGTGAGATTTTTCGAAAGCATCTTGCGACTTTCATCCAGCACATCAGGGCATTCAAGAGTAGGTTTAGCAAGCGACAAACAGGAACGAAATGCCACGAGACAGGAAGGACGCCTAACCTGTCAGCTATAGCACACCAAGTAGATGGACGACCGAGGACTACCTCAAAAGAAGTAACAACCAAGTAGTTACTTCTATAAACAAGCAACAAGAGAGAAAAATGGGAGGGCAACTGGGAGGCCTAGCAAGCAAGCATTGAGCAAATATTAGACGGCGATAAATCATGGAGATAGACTAAGAGCTAGCCCTGCACTAGAAAATGAATAATCTAAACAGGCGGAAGATCAAAGAAAGAAAGTAGTCAGGTCGACCTGAACAGATAAAAACGAGGACGAGACCAACGGGAGTACTAAATGCGTTTCGAAGTTAATTACTGAATAAGACGAGGAAAAAAGATCATGGTTGTAGTGGTCTTCTTCTTCTTCTTCTTCTTCTTCTTCATAATTTTCATTTTGCGCTTCTTCTTCTTGTCTGAAGGTTGTATAAGAACTAAGAGGATTCAAACTCGAAGAGGGTGCTACTCGTCTGGTCTTGATACAAATGGCACGCATGTGTGCTTGTGCATCCCTGTTGCCCTCTTTCTTCATAGCCGGAGAGACAAGATCCGCGAGTGTGCCACTTGTTACTGAGACTCATCGATCACTCGTCATGGAGGTGGATTCATCATCTTGCAAGTTGTTTTTCGCTCTTTTACCTACCGCCTATAACTTCAACTACTTGGAAAAGAAAGAGTGGTGCTCACAAGTATTGCCAGATACAAATACGATGAAGAACTAATTCAGTACATACTACTTATACTCCTTAACTACATACAAGTCGAAAAAAGTTCTGTTAAGATGTCAGTATGTGGCAGTCGTTTCTCGTCGTACTAAGGCAAACAAAAGGGCTCAAACTGACACGAGTGAAAAGAGAAAGATTGAGCATGTATTCTTATAGCGTATCGCAGAGGACCGCAAATGGAGCATAGCTCATCTAGTTGTCTTTCTTTCGAACGAAGCGACTCAACAGACACTTTCATGCCAAACGCTTAGGTTTTTGGTAATACGCAATTGCGTGATCAGAGACTCAAATACGTCCCACGGAGCAAGGGCTTCAAGCAGGAAGTGCTAGCGCACTAGAGTATTCTTCAGGTGTTCCACCGGAGGAGCATTAGTCAGTAAGCCTAGTGGCTAGATCCATCTATCGGCTATAGAGTCAGATCTCTAAGCTTACGGTCGAGGGTACCGAGAGACGCTTCAAAGAACTATTTCATCAAACACAAGAATAAAAATGATCATGAGCGTCTAGATGATCCTCCTCGACGTTTATTGCTTAGTACAAGAATAATGATCATGAGAGTCTAGATGATCCTCCTCGACGTTTATTGCTTAGTAGAAAAAGTATCCCCTGGCTGCATCTGAATAAAAATCATGAAAATTATGCGTCGAGCAAGATATCTAATGAGTATCAATATTGAAAGCAAAAAGACTCGAAGATGATCATTCAAAATCGATTTTCGTACAGAGAATAGTCTGACTGCAAATGAGTATGAAGAAGCAGAATAAACAGACGTCTGAGAACTTTGAAATACTGTTAACGGAACTGGTGTCGACACTCGGCCGACCACGTCTGAGAACATGATGAATCTCAATTTTTAAAAAGAAGACTTTGACTTTCTTGGTTCTTATAGTACTTCTAGTGGTGTTTTTAAGTAATTTGAATTTCTTTATAGCCCCACTTGCGAGAGTCCCAGGCTCTGACGTGACTGTTCATCATTGGTCTGGTGTTCTTTAACATGACTGTTTCGTCTGCTCGTGCTCGTGTTCTTTAACAATTTCAAAATACTAAATTACTTTGTAGTTGTGCAACATCAAGTCCAACATAATAAATTATTCTAGTTTTCTCTTCTTCGACGTTGGCACCAAGTAGTCCATGATCCACCTGTCAGTCGTTGGTAGGAATAGGAAAAGCTTCGATGGTTACTTAGGCGATAATATAATCGCTCCAGAAGGCAGTGTCCTCCCATAATTCTCCTTAAATATGAAAGGAAAAAGTGCATCTGCTGTGGTCACACTCAAGATGAAATTCACTATTTGAAATAAGACTTAAACAAATTAGTAATTTACTACTAGTACTACTACTAACTTTCCGACTTAAAAACAAATTGAATCCTACTAACTGATCCTGATTTCTTCTTGAGTACTAAGTATGAGAGAGTGCACTTTTTACTTTCATACTCAACATGATCATCCGCAGACGAATTCCATCCTCCAAAATTGTGGATGAAGAAATCGAGGAAAGAACTACTGCTCGACCTGCTGCTACTACTTCTATTAGAGCTATCTTCGTTGAGAGTCATCTTCGTTGCAAGTTGTCATGATTATATTCTCCTTGAAGAGGGTTTCTTTTTCAAGTAGAAAAAGGGTCAACTACAAGGATTAAAAGCTGCTGAAGATGCGGCCTCTGCTGAGCAGGTAGAACAAGCCTTAATACTAGTACTAATTCTTGTATGAGGACTAGGAGTAGCAGGTGTAGCCTCGTTCTTGTCCACCTTAGATTGGTCGCCATCCTCATCCGCGGCCACTCTCTTTTCCACTTGGCCTATGTCGTTCTCCATCATTGCGTCAGCAGCGCTCAGGGCCATCGGATGGATTTCATTTACCGCTCCTTTCCTTAACGCGAGTCTGTGACTATGCTTGCCTGCTTGAGTGCCTTTATTTCCGGGTCTCCCCTATTTTCCCCGTTAAATCGAGGAGGAGTATGCCCTTTTGTTCTTCCCCTTAATATTCCCCCCGTTAAATCAAGGAGGACTCCACTCAGACAGCAGCATAGTCCACGCGGGATAGTCGTGCAAAACTAGCCTTAATTTCCACGCATCGAGTATCGCCGTCGTTTCTCGATTGAGCGCGAGTCGATCTCCAACCACTGGATCGGCGCAATTTTTAGAAAAAACTACTTGTTAGGCATAAGCACTAGGCACCATATTAAGTGTACTCGAGGAGCACGAGCACTCATGATACACATACTACAGTAGTAACTAATTGTTATTCAGTAATTTTTGATTGATTGTTTGGCATCCCGAGTAGTTATTTTGATTGTTTGGCGTCCCGAGTAGTTATTTATATTATAAGGTTCGCCATGCGCACCATGGCATGGAGTGCATGGAACACATAAGTAGAATAGCATAGCGCAGGTGCTCCATGCACTCCATCCTTCGGGCGCCTCTCTGTCAGAGTGCACACGCCTCCAGCTCGGTATTCCGGGAAGGCACCTCAGACGCCTAACCCACCAACCCCAGCTCCGACTGCCACGCAGAGCCCCTCGGCCGACGCCCTCACTCGTTGCCCGGGCCCGGTGCCCTCAGGGCGCTCACGCAGCAAAGCAGCGCAGCGCCGCAAGCGACGTCGCGACCCCTTGGCGTCTTACGTCCAAGACCGTGCCCCCCATGCGTTTGGCCTGTCAACCAACCCTGACAGCGAAGACTCCCAGGCCAGCCACTCACCCGCGGGCGGGGGCCTTTAAGGCGGCCAAGGCCTCAGCCTCAGCACCGCCGGCTGCACCCCTCGACGCATGGATTGCCCATGGTTGCAGGGGCTAGTACTCCCCGCCTACGCTACAACCCCCCGACGGCTACAACTCCCAGCCCACTCACTCGTAAGCCGGTTCCCTTAGCTCAGGGCCCCCCACAAACCAGCTCCAGCGCCGCTGGTAACGTCAGCGTCACCCCTCGACACATCACCAAGCCAAGCACCCCCAAGGGCGTCTAGCCTATCAGACCCAACTTCGGCGGGGCATGCTCCACGCGTGCCCGTCCTTTACACGCTTGCGATGCACTCCATGCACTCCAGGCGTGGGCAGGCTGCAGGTGCTCCATGCACTCCATGCTAGAAGTACTCCATGCACCACGCGTGCTATAAAGCACTACTACATTAAATATTACTGCGATGGAGAATACACTTTACACTACATACTTCTACTATGCACGGAGACTGGAGACCGAATGACAGTAAACGGTCCAGGGCATCAGCTTCGAGAAGATGCGGAGCCTTCTCCTTAATTAATCTCTCTTCATCGTAATTATAATATACTACAAAGGAGGAAGGCTTCTCATCTTCTCGTTCCCGATAGTAGGCGCCGTTTGTTCCCTGAGTGAAATAGCGCCTCATGCAGGCGGATGAAAGGGCATCAAGTAGACGACCGCCCCCTCATTTGATTTGTTGTTCCTTTGTAAAAATAGCATTTGCAAGCTCAGCTTGTGAAGTAACGAGAGAGCTACTCTAATAGACAACCTACAACTACAACAACTTCTCGTAGTAATCTCATATTTATATTCATCTAACTATGGCGGGAAGTAGATGAAGAAAAAGGTAGTTGTAGCGAAGAGAGGTTCTTGAGATCGAGATGAAAGATGGCCGAAGTAAGTATTGGTACTGTCGTTTTCTTGAGTTTTCTGAACATAAAACCAGTCTCGCGGAAGATGTTGAGACCTCTCTCCTTCTTTTCTGCGAGGCTACTTGCTGTGTCCTCTTCGGAAGGTTGAGTGACGCCAAGCTTCGCCACTAGTGTGCTTGCGCGATCTTCTATTCCAGTAGCAAGCCCTGTATTAGAACAAGGAAGAGAAATCTGTCCTCGGAGGACTCATCTTGGTCCTCCCTGTAGAGTTAGCTGTAGAAGCGCTGTAGCATACAATTCACTGCAGAAGTAATTATATTAGTTACGCCATAACTGTACAAGTAGCATTTTTATCAAAATTTAAACTTCCTTGCTCCTGTCAAAAATTTTTTAACGTGTAGAAGTAGAAGTATATTTGAGTCTTAACTGTAGAAGTAGTTCTTGTGGTGATCACGTCCTTGACGGCGTTGGTGCTGCAAGCGTGTGGAAGCGGCTCTTGGCGGCAAAAACGCTTGATGCATTCGGATCCCGAATTTAGAACGGGATGCAGGTTCTTGACCGATCTAGCAACAGCTACGGGAAAGCAACAGGAAAAAGAAAATAAATAGCTTGATAGGGGAGCAGCTCAATACAATACAAAAAATCTCGCACAAAGTACAGTGCAGACTGCCATAAGGGCGTTGCAGTATTTCGGCCCCAACATATCAATCTATGTATTCTTTTTCCCGTTGTTGAAAAGGTCCTCATAGATTTTTATTTTATTAGATTTAAGTAGAACTTCCTCCAAGCCTTAACCCACGTACTAAATCCAGCCAGGTTGTGGCTGCCGTCCACGTTGCGACGGAGTAAAAATCCTCCTTCACCCTATGGATTGTTTCCTCATCCTCGTAACATTTCCAGATTGAAGTTCTCCGTTTCCATGGTAGTCGAGGGACGGTTACGACCTCATCTTCTGTGCTCGAATCCTCTGCAACATCAGGCTCCTGCTTCATGATACCCACGAGTCTCTCCCCAGGCCCAGGAGATGCGGAGTCGCCAACTATGAATGGCGTTTTTTTCATCTAGGCAGACCATTGAGGAGCCCCCTTTAGCTATACAGTTATACGGGGAAAAAGGATGGAATAAACATCATCCATACCTCCAAGGGCGGCTTGTCTTCCGTCGTCTGTCTCCTCGTCGTCTTTCATCTCGGCGGCTTTCTCGGCATACGGAGATGGAACCCACAACTTACACTGCCACTCGGCTCCTCTTCCCTTTGTTAGAGCTCTTTAGATGAGGACGGAACGATGTAGATTAGATGAGACCCCTGCTCAAGCGTATGTTGCCCTAGGATCTCCCCTGTATTAGGGTCTATTAAGGTAGTTACGATCATCATCATCTTCCCTTAGGGACCCTATAATAAGTAAGAAGAGCAAGAGATGGGTTAGTAGGGGACGAAGGCTTAACATTGCACTTGTCGATCGCAACACCAACTCCTCGGACTTCGCTAGGTGCCTCTTCACACCAATTGCCGAGTTACAATCTTCGCCCTTCAGATACATCAGATAATTGCGGCGAAAGCTTTGAGATGCGTAATGCCCCATCCAGTAATACTCGCGCTGGTCTCCATTGGAGCTACCGCATTACCATCCTTGGGAGCGTCGTTTGTTGGCATGATCTTTTCCAAGTCTAGAAAAGAGCAGCCAAGGATCCATCAGGTCATGATGCTGAGGTGGATGCTTTCGCGGTAGCCTTAACTCCACGATGCTCCCGAAAAATACGCCAGAACTCTGTCCGTCTGCGCCCGATCTCTTCAACCACAGCTACGCCGAAACTGATCAGCTTTTGGCATTTCTTTGATTATAAGATCGAGAGTTAACAACGTCGGCGGAGCAGACGGACCTAGCTAGAAAAACAAAAAACCGAAAAAAAGGAAATTAAGATCGATCAAGAGTTAATAACAGTAGTCATGTTGATCATGATCTTGATGAGGATGATAATGATAATGATAATGATGATCATAAGACCGGAGTTCACGGGTTAGGTGTGTAGCTGGTAATTCACGTGTGTTGTGTCATGTCATCTCTTGGTTGTGCGTGTCCCCGTCATGATTCAACATGATAAAGGAATTCTAGTGAGAGCCAGCAAGCATCACATAGAAAAAGCAGCTTCTGAGTATGAACAAGGATGACGTGCATATCAGAGTGTGAAGGGCTAGCGAACTAGTAAAATCTAGTACTCACCAGTCCAAGAGGTATACGAGATTGCTCGCTTAACTGAAAACTTTTTCAGGACTGACGACGCCAAGTCCTCCAGGTAATTCGTTCGCTACTTAGAGGCTGCGCAATAGTTGCATTCTTTCGGAAATTATCTTCCCTGCATGGAGATCTCAAATAATAAATACTTTCTGACTGTTAGTATGCACCAGTAACATATAATTACATATAATGAGTTTCGCAGCGGGAGATGAACATCTTCACCTCCAACTACTGAGTACGACAAACTACAACTAGCCCCTTGTACTTGAAGTAAGTAGTGCCGTGCAATAAGTAGTTTCAAGTCCTGCCTCTTATTTCCTACAAAGGTCACTTGTCAAGATCCCAGGAGATCATTGTGTATTGTATGATCTGATCTACTGAATCATACATATGGAAATATATTAAATAAGTAATTAGATTGTTATTGTTAAGTAACCTGGTCACGCTAGTACCTTGACCACCTTAGATCAGAAGTCGAGAGAGGATATAACTTCATCTTATATTGGTAAACAAACAAAAACGAGAGAAATTATCAGGGATACTTGATCTTGAAGAAGATCGTATCGCAACTATGCTTATATTATGCGCATGCCCTTAATGTAGGGTCCCACGACAGTCCTTTCGCCTCTTAACCCACGCCAGAGCCTCTATATCACCACGCATGTCCGCGCCGAGGCCCCGAGGAGAACAACAAAACTCTTTTACTTCTCTTAGGCCTTACTTCTATTCGTCTAGAGAAGCGTCTTGCTTGGCACGCTTTCCCCTTATAAAAACAGGACCGCAGATGCTTCTCGGGATGAATTACTGTAACCCTTAATTCTCTTAAGGTAGCCTCATCCCTTAACCCCCCCCAATGGAGACGATCTCCGAACGCGATCCTCGAGCCAGTTTTAATATGAAGAGCGGACTTTATATTTTAGGTTGGGTTAGGTTAGGGATCCTTCACATTGAGCCCTCCGGACTCCATGTCATGTCATGGTGCCTCTTTTGTAGCTATAACTGTCTACCTTTGAGGCCACCCAATACCAAGCTTTGTTCATCGATTATACATCAATACAATGAATCTCGCACAAAGATCTGTGCAGCCTGCCATAGTCCCACAAAGACCTGGGCAGACTGCCATAGAAATTATAAAGACCCACCCTCGTGCATCAGCCTAATGGGGAACATAAGTAGTACTTCTGAAGATCAAGATAAACCAGAAGAGCAACAAGTATTCTGAAGATTGTCCACAACATAGGTACTTCTGAAGATTTCCCAGAAGAGCAAGTATCTATCCGGCAAAAATGCTTGACGCAGATTTTATCTCGGACAAGGTGATGCCCATCTGTTAGGAAAGGATCTTCCTAGAAAAAGGAAAAACTTGCACAAGAACATCCATAATGCCAGGATTTTTCACAAGTCGCTTCCGGTCCCACCTTAGGCATGATAGTGCTGGCGCAACATTGCCTGTCAGTCCAAGACATATCTGAGTCAAATGCCAAGCGGGTAACAACTTTGAGCAGCGACGCATAGTTATCTGACAGCTGAACCACCGAGTACAAGAGGTTATACCTCTCGGGACAAGTGAGATCGTTAGGAAATGAGGACACGACAGCAAGCGCTTCCTTTGTCTGTGGCAGTGCCGCGCCCTCCGCCACTTCGAGGGGCAGCGCCCCTTGGCTAGTACTAGAAGAAGGCGAAGATGTTGACGGGTGTGCTACATCCTCTACAATTGTCCCTGCTGCTGCCCGCTCCTTGTTGAACGTATACGTCCTTCTGTTGTAGGAAAGCGAGAGCGGACGAGCTTTTTCTTCTTCTTCTTCTTGCGTACTCGTACCTGATGACCCACTACTCGGTCCCGATTCTTTCGTCACCCAAGTCCGCGCGCGGGATCCCTGTTGTAGATCCTTTTCAACACCGTCTTCTTCTACTAAGGCGCTTCGCAAAGCTGCTATCATCTCTGGCAACTGTTAGAAGAAGACCTCATCTTCAAGATCTTCAAGTACGACTAGGACGAGTAGCATCTTCTATTTTCTTACGCGGTAACCTGAACAATGAGTAGAGGCCGCACAAGTAGACTGACACTGAGAAGTCTCTCGAGGCGCCACCTCTGGAATAAGTGACCTACTTCAGTTAGAATTACGAGGCATATGACCTCTCCAGCAGCGCCTCGGGTCCCCCTTCCCTCTAAAAACGGGACCAAGATGCCCGTGAAGATAGATCTCTTGTAGCCCACTTGGTTCACATATGTAAGATGAGTGTCTGTGTCCCTCCCTCGCTCCTAAAGTAAACCTTTTCTTACTTCAACAGCTCCAGGTAATTACTCTGATACCAATTGAAGACTTCGTCTTCATCGAGCAGTAACAACTCTTCAAAAAGTTCGACTTTATAATTGTCGCACGCTACCCAGTCTGAAGACAAGATCCTGCACAACGCTGCTCATTTCATTACCAGATTCATCCTTCATTCTTGTCTATTCAACTACTATTTTCTGCACATTTATCGAGCTTTGCTACAAAAATCAGCGGCCACGGCTGAAAGTTATTGCGTCGAAAAATGGCGACTTTAGTGAAATTGCCAGCTTGTTTGCTGTTGCTCTATATTTTATAATATCAAATAATCATAATTGCATAAGTACTTACAACTAGATGAATACCCTCACAAAAAGAAAAGTCTTCTTCTCGTCTTAAACTACCTCCGATACTCGCGTTGTGCGGGTATTTACTTCCACGTCCAAGTTCAGCGGCTCTGAAGGTGGCACAGGTGGAGGCGACGTGTCATGTTTGTATCCCTGATGATTCTGTCCTTTTGGCGTGTTGTGTTCGCTCCACCTAGCCTCTATGCTTCTCAAAATCTCAGCAACGTTGATCAGGACCTCCCTGTAATCGTAATCCTCGCCCTCGGACATCATCCACGTAGCACCAGGGTCATCGGGCAGTGCCGTCTCGTCCTCGGCGCCGCTCCTTCCCTCTATTTTTAGGGCTATCTAGGAATGCTCAGAATGGTCTTCTTTGGCCCGCATGGCCTCGCCTCTGCGAGTAACGAGGATGCTACAAATAGTGTCACTATCTATACATAGACGTACGCGCTTCCGGTTTAAGGAAGTCGCGCCCTCGTATCTCGTAGCCATGCAATCCAGCACGCAATGCATTGTAATAAATCCTGTAGCCTAGTACGCAGCTTTATTTCATTTCAGCACCATCTTCAGTTGTAAAGACGCAACAGTCTTCAATGAAGAAGTTATAAATATTTATGATGATGATTGGATTAGATTGTAGGTTGTTTAACTTCACAGACCCTGCAGTTAGAAATATTTGCATACATACGTCTATCTATTTACTCTTGTTTCCTTAAGTTGCGGCCCTGCCTCAACGCTGATTCCAAGAACTCATAGTTCGCGAATCCTTTCGCGCAATCCCTGACAATGACCCCCATCTCAAAAACAGTTTTTGGGGTCCAATGCTGAAGCACTGACTGAACTACACTCTCCGGACCTTCAGCAACCAAGATCCCACGACTGTCGAAAAGCTTGCTCCCTGGATCCTCATTAGAGACCCGACTCCTCCACCATTGTGGCGTCTCAAGAAGCGGTCCTCCTAGATGAGAGCTGGCAACACGAAACTGATTCAGGAGCAACGGAAGTTGACCTATCTAACTTGATCTTCTCGCATAGTACAACTTATCTTTTATGCGGCCTGCTCTTCGTAATATTCTCGGAAGCATAGGCCCCCTTCTAGATCATATGCCCCCTTAAATATGGAAGACTTCTAGATCAACATAGGCCCCCTTTTCGAAGCGCATCAAAACAAGTAGTCATTTTCTTGCAACCTCCCGTAAGCTTAGAACAAACAGTGGCAGACCCGACTTGCTGCTCAGCGGGGTCGGCACCGGTTCGACTGGCGTGTTTTATCAGGAAGCTGATTTCTCCCCTAATTTAGTGCTACCCTCAATGAGACTCCCGTTAAAATGTACCCCGTTAAAGTACTGGAGAGAGTACGGGACTCAGTACAGCTGCCTGCCCGAGACTGGCAGCCAATCACTACCAGCGCAGTACTTCAACGGGATCCACGTCCGTGGAGTCGGGTTCTGTTGCGCCTTAACTAGTAATGCTGGCAGTAGGGAGACCAATGTAACTCCTCGGATTGGGATTCAACACGATAGTTTCTATTAGACCTTCCTTATAAATATTCATCCTGAAAAGCATCTTTGATGGAGCGCTTTCCCGCATTAGAAAAGGCGGGGCCAAAGATGCGATGCTCCTTACGATGCACTCTTCTTGCTGTAGTTAGTCTTAATTCTACAAGCTTTTTTGCAGATGGCGTCGAGGAGAAGAACTCCTCTCTGGTGGAGTATTGGATAAAGCCGCAAAAATTCCGCAACCGCTGTTCCCGATCGTCCGACACTCTCGCAGCCAGTGTAGCAAAATGAGCCCACAGTGCCTGTGTACCAACAAGCTCGGCGGCCGACATCCACGCGTAGACGAGGCGAGTGACGAGATTTATAACCCGTCTTGCATCTATGCCGTCGTCCGCTGCACCACCTTGTTGATAATTTAGAAGAACTACTTCTACTAAGAGAAGTCGGTCCATCTTCAGAAGCACTCTGATCCTGATCATGCTTGTTAGTTTTCTTCCCTTATAAAAAGTACTTAAAAGCGGCACGAGGATGCTGGTGAAGATGGGTAATCATTTGTTGTATCCGTAATGGATGCTGCTGCTCCACCAGATGTGTTGTAGCACCTTCAGCTGGTGCAGCGCCTTCAGTTGCCGAAGCTGCACCAGCGCCAGTCAAAGCCCCTTGATGTTCATCCACCTCTTCTTGGAGCTTACAGGGACAACAATTCATGATCAACAGGATCTTGATGATCTAGATCTACTTCTATGTATCTTCAATCAACTTGTTCATCTCTTCAAATCCGCATCATGACTGAGCCGTAATTTTCAGCTGTTGCCTGCGTTGAAGGAGACGTCGAGGATGAAGCTGCTGGAGTATTTCCAGTACTAGCCTGCTCGTACTCTTCTTCTTCGTTTGAACTTGGTCGAGCAGCTCCTCCCGGAAAAGCACGACTCGTCTTCACGGTGCTGCTACTTGTTGATAAGGCAAGGAGAGCTTGCTTCGAAGCAGAAAGTCGCGCAAGGATGATTTCACAATGGTCATAGCCTGTTCCGGGATTGCGCAACGCAAATTAGCGCGTGATCTGTGATCATCTGAAGAAAGATGAACATTGAAAACATAATGATGACAGCCTTACTATTATCTAGTAGTCTGCGTAACTACTTGTTCTCACTCAGCACAGTGTAAAAAATCTGCAGAAAAACTGTATGCAGTTGGGACTCTGATACTCAGTAACAGTCACCAGGACCAGGACCAACACCAGTTGGCAATGAATTATAAAGCCTTTCTCAACGTGAAATTTCTCTGGAGGAGAAAAACAGTAAATCATGGAGTTGGAAACTACACCAATTAAGGAACAACCATTAGTGCTTTGTGTATATTAGATATAAGAGTGAACCTGTAAAGGTATGCGGCATATGAAAACTGTGTTAGCGCCAGCATATTTGGACAACAAGGACGAGGATTAATAAACAAGCTCAAAGACAGGTGGGAAACGACGGCTATCCCAGCCTGAAAAAATCCTGTTGCCACCTGTCAGCCCAGAAGGAAAATGCAGTCAACTCATCAGAACCGGCATAGGGAGGGTTGCGAATGCCTCCCTAAGAAGACCTTAAGCGTCGCTGGACCTAAGCCACTTATTTATTAGTAGCCAATCTTGATTTGCGGTCTACTATTGTGGTAGAGTTGGTGGAATCTTCTACACCAACTATTTTATCATCATTACCTAGTATGTAAGTGGGTCTATGTTATCTAGTAAGTACGTAAGTCCGTCATCTAGTAGAAGTAAGTTAAAAAAGACTTAAAATTAAAAATAGTGCTACTGCACTTAAGCAAAGGCATCCTGTGGGAGACGACCGACCTTCTCGTCTTCTTCTTCGTCGTATTCTATCGCATCGCAGCTGTTTTCGATGGACGAGGAAAAGGATGAAATCTCGATGCGAGTCGGCACTAACTTCTCCACCAAAGTCACCGCGGCAATCGCAGCTGTCCGACCTGCCTGATCATATCAATTTAGAGGCAGGCAGCACTACTATTTGCTTCTTCAGATCATCTCTCCGTTTGCCATTTCAAGAATAAACGGTAGCTCATTGGTGGACATAATCAAGAAGGACCAAATGGCACAAGGAAGGAAGCAGGACCGGTGTGATACTATGGCACGACAAGGAAGGGAGCAGGAGCAGGACCCTTCTTGTGATCATCAGTTACTAATTGTAGTTCTGTGGAGCAACTGAGCCTTAACAGAGGCCTGCGTCGACCAGGCAGTCCCTTTGGCTGCATTTCTTGCATCTCTGCTACTTTCTCCAGATACTCTAGGACAACGCCCACCGCATCCACTTTTTCATCTGGAAGAATCTGATGCTGCGCTTTCCATGCGAGATCTCTCGCCAACGAAGCCTCTCGCCATCCTAGCATCAGCGCCCCCTCTAGCTTAGCCCGAGATTCTTGTTGTGGATCCTGCTCATCGTTCTTTTCGTTGTCAAGGTCCTTGGACCAGGTCGTGCCCGTTTTTGCGGCCGCCTCTATTGAGGCCAGAACGTCAGGAAGCTGCTCTTCCAGTTCCACAACGGTCGGCACACGTTCCAAGGTGTCCAGCATGGCGGTTGCGATCTTTAGTTTTGGGATCTCGGTCGCGAAATGATCCAGGTTCTGCCCAGAGGGGAAGAAACCTGCACGAAAAAGCGCTTCCACGGCTCGCCTCCACGAGGCGCGAAGTCTCCATACCACTCCCCTTACGGTGTCAAGGCGTTTCACAAATTCTACCGAGTCGCGCTGCGCAGATGTGACAAGGTGGGATGAGTCACTACTTGGGAGCCGATCCAAATGTGAGGACATGCCCTCCTCGCCTTGGCTCTTCTCGTCCTCTTGTTCCTTAGAGGAGCTACCGCGATCTTCGCATCATCCTTGTTGAGAGAACGAATATCCTTGGCTTCTACTTTTCCCTTCAGTAGAAAAGGATGCTTCAGAGTACTATCGTTCTGAGGATGCGTTAGCCGCGGTTGGGCCTTAACTTCCTTCCCCTCGGTAATTCTGACGAGGTCGGGTAATGCTCCTGACGCGATTTTTATGTCGTCGATGTTAGCAGAGGCGCGGCCAGGTGTATCTGGAACGTCGGAATCCGATACATCGGAGCCTGCTGAGACAGACTCGACCCGTGATACTGCAGTAGCTTTCGCATCTTCTGCTATTCCTGTTTGCTGAGCAGCAGCAGGCATGTTAGCTTCTTTATCAGGAGCAGCAGGTGCCTTGTCTTGTAGTTGGTTCTCAACCACCTCGTTATTAGTCTTCCCGGCTCGGTTCGATTCATCTTCATCGTCTAGGGAGGCGGAGGCGCTTCTTGGGCTACACTTGTTTATCGGTGTCCTTACGCCAATGCGCCTCTTATTTTGAATGTCGCGCAGCATGACTACAGCTGTTGATGTTTCATGGAGCGACTTTGCCGCATTGTCCAATTCCTCCACATCTTTCTTTAGCTCTGTTAGCTCTGAGAGATATTCTGGCGCCTTAGCCTCTCTGGTTGCTCCTCCTGCTACTGTTTCTCTTGATGTTGTTGTTGATGAAGACATAGTAGTCTCAGCATCTATTTGTTGCTTCTGTATCTGTTGCACGAGTGGAAAAGGAGATGCAGCAGCAGCAGTTGCTGGGCCTGCCACTACTTCTGCTGCTTCGACTGGTGTTGCAGCTTGAGAGTCTCCTGCCTGATGCGTCAGACTTTTTTCTGCTTCTTCCAGGAAAGACGCAGGCAGTGCGGCCGTCGTGACATGGGAGCTGGTCCCATTTTTTAGAAGAGCGTCCTCCTGGGCAACCAGTATCCGAAGAGCGTCCTCTTCTTCTAGAAACGAAGCGCCACGACCTCCACGTTTCATCTCAGTGCCTACAACATTTCTACCATGACTAGATGTTGCGACATCTATTCTCGCCTCCGCAGCCGCAGCGCCGGTGGTTGAAGATCTTGCTCCCCCTGCAACTTCATCTCCCGACTTCGCAGTAGTTGCCGTGCTTAGCGGTACCGGCAGCCCATCGTTTGGGACTTCTTTTAGCACCTTCCAAGTTGAAACTGGCTAAGAGATGGCGCAAGAGATGGGTTGACGGTACCCGTAAAGCACTAGCAGATGATTTGTCTTCGGCATACGCCTCTTCGACTTCGGTTTTTTTCTGAGTCGGAAAGTGTGCAGGTGTTGCTTAGTAGACCTTACTGTTACTTCTGCCTCCTCCTGTGTTATATTATTCATCATCTACCTTGGGGCGAGGCGTTGCATGTAATGTTTTATCTTGAAGAGCATCTATTTCTTTGACCATACAATTCGTCCCCTTTCCTACGCATGAGATATTAAGGCGTTCCTCGTCCTAGCGATCTTCATTATATGAAGAATGATGAAGGTGCTAGCTGCTTGTAAATAGGTCTAGAAGATAGTCTTCATTATATACTATAAATATTATGATCAAGGTATTAAGCCCTAAGTTGCGTAGTCGACGAGGCTTCTCAGGTCCGTTGTCATCTCAGAAAAACGCCCGGCAACTTCGCGTCTGACGCTCCAATCCACGACTGCATTGTCGACTATATTTTAGAGTCGGCTTTTATTCAACGCCTCGGCCCCCTCATCTCAACCCCCTTGTTCCCATGAAATAAGTACAAAGGAAAAGGGAAAGGGTAACATTAACAAGAGGCCGAAGAGAAAGATGGATAAAAGCTGACCTTACATGTTTGTCAATAACACAAAAGCATAGTCCGTCAACGTTACGGCATAGTAGGGACTATACGTCTGTGTGTCCTCTCCTAGTACTGTCTTTGATGTGTGCTTTTGGTCCTTCATGCTCGTGTGCGCTCTGGTGTCTACTATTGAGGGCCCGTCTCCACCTCCTGTTTGGGCCACTGAATTTTCTATCAAAATCCCCAGGGGTTCCGACTTGTGTTTTTCCCGGAGATCGCTGTTGTTAGAGGTGTAGGAAAGTATTCATCTCGGGGATCACCCAACGAGTGCCTTTTTTCTCTTGTCTTGTTCTTCCGGATGACTTTGGCGATGAAAATGAATTCCGTAATGTTGAATTGGACTTTCGCTGCTTCGATCACCGCACCAAAATCGGCGAGATCGCTTTGGAGCTCGGTGCACGAACTTCCGTAGTCAACTCCCGACTCGTCGCGTGATTTTTTCCGCATTTTAGCTTTTGCCGCAGCATCTTTCGCAGTTTATTCTTAGATCTCTCCCCCACTCATCCCTGTGGAAATCCCTCCAAAATATGCGACAACGTCTTTCTTGTATAATTGAGGGACCCCTATAGAGATGGATTACTTAGGGGAAGTCTTAATTGGCCGCGATTTTCTTTTTCAGCCTCACTACTCCCCTTCTCAGAACTTCTACGGCCTTCTCATGCGTGGTTGCACCGAGCCGACCCCGGGCTTCGACAATCGTCCTGTCCGCTGGTTTATCCCCTGTTACATTAGAGCTAGAAGTACAACCTCCGACGTGCTTAACATGAACCTGGAGGTGACCCGTATAGTAAACGAATCCCGCCAAGAAACTATTGGAGCCAGCCGTGCCGATGCGGGACTCTCTCAGGTTAAAGTTCTTTTAAAACGGGATCGATTGATTCACGTGGAGTTGTCCTCACATTACAATTTTGAGCCTTAACGAGACTCGTGTCACGAATCTCCCAAGGTTTCAATCCAGGCGAAGACGAAGTAGCACCAGGTGCATCAGCCTTGACGTCCTCTTTTGGTTTCGTCTCATCAACTAGTACAGCCTCATCTACTTGTTCTTTTTCTGAATTTGTACTTGTACTTCCGCAAGAAGAACTTCCATGAGGACAAGGCACAGCTTCCACGATGACAGCAAGACGTAGAAGGGAAAGCAGAACCAGAAGGAGGAAAAGCTGCGTGCCTCTGGTTCTCCACATCGACGACCAAATGATCAAGAATGACCCTCCTGGTGGTGGTGGTGCTCCTTCTCTACTTCGTGTCTGTGAGGACCAGCACATGACCAGGAATGGCCCTGGTGCTGCTCCCTCTCTATTTGTTTGCGAGACAAGTTGTAGGCGTATGCCTGCTCCTTCTACTCTCTTCGCTTGTGAAGAGACAAGGTTTGTCTTTGTGAGACGCAGTCCCCACGTCGCACTCTTCTTGTTCATCTGGGCAACCCGTCCTCGTTCAGCTCTACTACAAGACATGACCGACGTGGGCTGTTGTACTATGACGGTCGTAGAAGCAGTTGGCAGACCTGGACCTCGTCTTCTACGACACATCATGATGAGCGTGTTGACCCGTGAAGAGTTGTCCTTGCCGTACTTCAAATGTACTAGAAGTGGGTTGTCGTCTAACGGTAGTAGTTGTTGTACTTCAAATGTACTAGAGGTGGGTTGTCGTATGACGGTAGTAGTTGTTGGACTTCAAAGGCACTAGGTATTCTGCCAAGGCAGAAGATTGGTACAGAAATGAGGCAGAAGATCTATGATCCGAGCACTTGGAATTGGGCCCTCAGAAGTGGAACTCGTTCCCGCTTCCGTCAAGAAGACGAAGAGGGAAACCTCCGTCAAGAAGACGACACTGCCCTGCTCAACGAGCATCGTAGTTGTGCCGAAACTCCCACATGATCCTGATTGTTTTTCGTAAATTCTTTGAACGACTTGGAGGAGTCGGATTTACATATATTTTTACTTGGAATCTTGCCCCTCTTGTTTAATTTATTATACGAATTTTTACAACTTGATGAAGACTGACATTACTATTTTTTAGACGAATACCCTTGGCACTCATAGTCACTCCTGATAAAAGTTGATTTCTGAGACTTCTCTCCATCTCACGTACTTTTCAGACAGAATTTGAAGCTTTCGGATAGATCAGACTGTTTCTTCATGGATCTCCGAGGAACCCGTCTCAAATGTTGAACAAGATGATCTCATCTTGTTGTTCTTGATAATCCTCAAAATAAATCATCGTACTAGTAAAAATTAAAATTATTGATATTCTACCACCTACAACTTAGAAGTCTCATGACCTGAGCAGGCTGGATTGTTCACGACACTAAGGAATCACCCACGACACTAAGGAATGACCCTGTGTTGAAGTATATAGAGCGTTCTTCAACAGAATTCTTGCGCATGCCTAAAGAAGAACCATCAACTTCTTATTGTCTCTTGAGGCCCTTTCACCTCCAGGACGAGACAATGGCTTAGTAGAAGGTCTGGTTGTAGGTTATATTATTGGTCTTGGTGTACGACTAAGTCGATCGAAGATATAATTGACAGGCATAGCAAATAAACATCAGCATCATGCATAAGCAGAGTAGTGAATACCTGTGAGTCTAGGTACTTTCAAACCCTTGCTGCCCATAGGTAGCAACTTACGTACTAAACTATAATAGATCGCCAGTAGCTCTTATTCACATTGGTCGTTTCAGTCATAGTAGATCATTCCAAGAGCCTCGTGTCACGTTTTAACTCACGTTATTGAGGCCGTTCAGCCGCCCTGTACCTTCTAACTAGAAGAGCAAGAAGACCGTGGTCTAAATCCACATGTGGTTCTAAATCCACACGTTCTGCAGTGGTTCTAAATCCACATGTGCGTGTCTGAACTCACGCCGAAACTGGTGCTCTACAGTGGTTCTAAATCCACATGTGCGTGTCTGAACTCACGCCGAAGCTCGTCCTTGATTGACTGTTCTACTCGTTTCAGTTCGCGTGTCAGTGCGACATAAAACTCTGCATCGCTCTCGATATTAGACGGGACTGCAGCAAGTTGACCTCTCTAGATCGAATATGATCTATGGCTTCCCTCATATCTGCTATGTGCATCTGATCTCTCGGAAAGCTTTCTCTAGTAGGAAAGCTGCGTATAGAGTGAGAGGTCAACTTCCAGCCCTTAACGATTATCAACTGCGCCAAAGCCTGCGTCGAACCACAACCATCTTGATCGTCTAGTACTACGGACAAAGATGATGTGCAGCCAGGACCATCTTCTTCGTGTCTAATCCCTTCGGACATTTCGATTTTTTCTGAGGGTATAAATTCAAATCCTGCATCCGCACCGCTTCCACTTGCTGCACCACTGGTGGCACTTGTAGACAAGGAAGAAGGACGAGTAGTATTTCGGTTTTCACCTCCGATATGGAAGTAGTTCAGCACCTGAGCCTGTGTAAGCATGGCGTTCCGTTCCAAAATTCGTGCGGCGAAGTCTGTTCTTTTGTGCGCCGATACAGCTTCTGGATTAAACCGGACTTCGGCTTTGAACCTCACTGTGTCCGTGCCCAGAATTTCGGTTTTGATGTCGTAGATGTCAGCAATACTCGGGAATTCAGATACAACTTTGCGTACCAAGAGCCCAACAGTTCGCTCCGGCAGGGCTTGTCCTTTAAATTAGAAGAAGCTCCTCTAGTACTAAAAGTAGCATCAAGTGAAGCAGCAAACTACATCACATCATTTTCTCATGATCTTGATCTCATTTGTTCTCAAGCCTTAAAATGCATTGAAGTACTACACCTACTAACTCGCCTAAATCTAAACGTATACCATGTATAATACATTTAATTCATGATGCATTGAAGTACAAGTACTCACCCTATGTATAATGTATATATTTAGTGGATGACATAGTTCATCTTCAACATGAAGTAGAAGTCTCACGCCTTAAAATAAGGAAGTTGTCGTGCGCGTCAGGAGGAAATAAGATGTCGCGATGACCATTGAGGACATCATCAGGGAAGCATGGATATCGTATAGCGGATTCTGCGTGGCGTAGCTCATTAAAAGCCCTGTGATTAGAAGAAGAAGAAGAAGAAGAAGAAGAAGCACAGGCCCAAAACCGTGAAAATAGATGATAGATGATCAACATGATATTCACTGTTATAGATACGAAACACTAACACTTTTGAATTTGGCAAACGTGTGTGGAATGTTTCACCAACGACGAACCTAGTGTGCTTTTAGACGAAAGCATCGAAACAGCATATTTCTATCTTATATAAATATTACCTAGGTCAGAAAGGATAAGCCTAAGAATAGAGGGAAAGCTGACCGGTTGTTTTACTCAGTAGTTATCTCTCAGAGAAGTATATGCAGATAGCTCATAAATGGATTCCAACTGCGCAGCCGGTTACCCCAACTGAAGCTTCCAGGAAAGTCGCGGTGCTCATCACATCTGTCCCTGAAATAACGTAATTGTATTAGACCTCATATTTATAGATTCATCTTTAAACGCATCTTTTACGTCTTTTCCCCTTAGCAAATGCGTCCAAGATGCTTCCTAAGATGAGTTTATTCTTGTGGCCCTTAATTGTACACGCGCCGTGACCTTGGAAAGAGACTTTCGCTCAGAGCCGAAGCGAAAGGACTGAAATTAGAGGCGTCGGGAATTCATCTCAGGGATCATCTGGGTCCCCGTTTCCTCTTGTCTTTCTCTTCCCGATGACTTTCTTGAAGATGAATTCCCTACACCCGTAATCAAAGCACGCGATAACAGAGTCGAAGGGTCGCGCTGGGCATTGTAGCTGTGGAGGGTGGACCCAAAACTTGAATTCAAGTTCTTCTTTGATTCTCCTATAATTCTTGTGGTCCATGAAGAGGATCTTGATTCTACAGCCTCTCGCTGGTGTTGCTTTGTGGTAGTAGATCGTGGTGCTGCAGTCCGTAGAAAAGCGATGAAATTCTTGAAAATCTCTGTTGTACTTTTACGCAATCGGTGAGGATTCCCTTCCCCTTGCCCTTCATTTACAATTACATGATTGGCACCCGAGGCGTTACTACGGCGAGCAGATTTGTCATCAACTTTACGATGATTCTCGTTGCTTGTATACGCTCGGCTGGTCATGGTCTCCTGTTTGTTGGCCCAACTCCCGACGGTGCTCTGTGCTCCATCTACCTGTTCTTCTCTCCATCTGAGGCGTTTCGCCTCCTCTGCTTTTCGTCGGGATAAATCCGACCTACGCGCTAGGTTGTCAATCTCGGTGAATGCCACCTGCGCGGCTCGAAACTCAAGGCCTAGCGAGGCCGCGAGCACTAAAACAGCCGGCGCCACCGAACCGAGGCCGATTTCCCGAAGGTGAATCGCACCCGTGTCCCCACCTGCTGCAGTAGTGGACGACGCACCTTCACCATCAATAACTGGAGGCATTGTCGAGGACGTCGACAGAGCTGTGGTAGTCTCCACTTCTCCCGGACACAGAAGTTCTACATCGGCAATCGGAACAACAGGCATTTGCTGTAGAAGATCTGTGTGCAACTGCCACATCTCGGTCAAACCATGCAATAGGGGAAACACGCCACCAATGATTCCTAAGATGACGAAGCTGCGGTCAGCAGTGATGTATCGCAGAGGTGCGTAGCCATCGATTAGAAAGATGCACTAGAGGTGGACTAGTTCTAGGAGATGAGCAACGAATATTGATGCCACATCGAATGAGAGGAGCAGTAAGAATTGTAATTATCATTATGGGTCGTGCTGCTCGCGCAGCGTCGAGTTACCATAAAAACTGCTTGTGCTTCCTTGCATGATCATGATACTTTGAAACAAAGAAAGGACGACACTGAGACTGAGAACATCAACTAATAGACTAACACTAATCTTCTAACCACGCATCGGCATAGAGATGACGTGCTAGTAGACCGAAACCGGTAAGCTGACATTATTGTTTTAGCACAAGCATTAGACTAAAATCTAGTCGTTGGTCACTCCTGACTCAGTAACCGACGTCTTCACTAAATTCAATGCATGATCATAAATACGGGTGTAGTTGCGTTGGATGCGTCAGCTCGGATTGGCGGAGCATAAGCAAGCGATAGGAGTAATTCATGACATCAGCTATGCTTAGATCCTACCTAAATTCATCTGGCTAAGAGGCATCTTAGTTGGCCTCTTTTCCCCTTGAAAACGTGCTAAAGATGCCTCCTAAGATGAATTGCGGGAAGCCTTACTACGCTGTGCATCATCTCTGCGTAAATTGCTTGAGAACGGGTGCACAAAAAGGCCATGAACTTGATACCTAGAATGACGCTATTGCTCACCAGGCCCTGCCACACAGAGTCCGTACCGGAAGACACCGGAGCCGTGGTGCTAGAAGAAGTCGTGGTGCTGGAAGATCCTCGCCTGATAAATGCAGTCGAAGGCGATGAGGCTTCTCCGTGTCGCATTAGAGTCGAAAAGCAGACGGGAAGCGCATTGATGATACTGAACCACGAAATGGAAATACACGTACTATTAAGTACTAGTACCAGTACAATGTACTACGACCGTAGCTAAAGTTAGTAACTGCAACCGTTCGTAACTTCTTGTAGTTGTACTACCACTATGTATTAATCTAACTATGAAGATCAGTCATTCCTTGACTAACCGTATTAAAAGCCGTAATTCCGCATCAGCCCTTGTCGAGGATACGCCAGCACGGCCCTTCGGAGCTGGTCTTGCCGCATTTGGCAGCTTTGCGGTATCGGAGTACCAGCGTGTCTTGCGTGGCCATTTCGGTTCTCCGTCATCGGTATTCTTGTCCACTATGTACACAGACGCTAATACATCCCGACTGGCGCACATTGCTTTTTGCCAATGCTTCTTTAGTTGCTCCCCTAATATTACTTAGAGGTAGGTTTTTGGTGCTCGCTTACCCCGCTTTTTATGCCTTTCTCCCTTAGGAGAGGCATAAAAAGCGGTAAGAAAAGCACCTTTAACCTACCCTTAAATTACTTTGTCCTCGTGATCGTGAACAACCTGATCTGTACTAGATTCTGCGCAATGAAGATCGTCCCGACTGCTTGTTCTGCTGGGAAAGTCGTTCGGTGCTCCTGGGTGTGCGCTCCTGTCCTTCACTGTTGCGTCGGTGCTACCTAACCGCGTGGGGCCTTGGCCTGCTCTGTCCCCAAGTTGAGAACTAATATTACCTCCACGAACAAGTGGACACCCTTCAGTCCGTGCCACATGATCTTCGAAGTTCTTGGAACTCTTCGTGGCATTTGTTGAGACTCCCCCAGCATGGTCCTCCTGAACACCCTCGTCACCAGGCGTTCTTCTTCCTTGCCTGGAGGAAGATGTGCTTATGTCAACCTCAGCGACAGGATCGTAGCCAAACATCGCAGTCTCCGGTCGCAGCGTCGAGCTCGAGTATGGACGATGATGATTTTCCCATCTAGCCAGACCATCGAGGCCCCCCGTAACTGATATACTTATGCAGTTTTAAGGGGAAAAGGGGCAGCCTCGATGGTCTGAAAGATGGAAAAAACACCCTCCATATCGAGAGCAACTGCGCTTTGAAATGCGCCTCTAGTTTAGCCCTGCCATGACGCGCCAATGCTCGTGGTGCCACGTCGGAGAGCCAAAAACAGGTAGCTTTAGAGAGCACTAAAGAACTGCATTTCAAGCTGAAAGTGAAAACGGGGCTGCTCTAGAAGTACTGAGAAATAATTGGCGATGAATACTGTGCCTCTGGTGGTCAATCAAAATATCATCTTTGAAAAACAACACCAACTACAAATACAATGTCCTCAGCACAAGTATCACTATCACCCATGATATCAAAATCCATTATAAGTAATCGTTTTTCCGGTCCTACTAATGGTTTCCTCACTGCCCTGATCCCAGCTGGACTCGTATGGGTTTGCTTGCAGTACCCGTTCGATTTCTGGGTCTGTCAGGTCTACAGTTGGTTCTAGTATTAGAGCTGCCCCTAATCCATCCATGATGTAGAGAATATGTGTGGACTACTTCTTTCCTTTGTAAGTATAGATACGGTTTAGAAGGAATCCCTGTAGATGAGATGGAGATGGAGTACTAGGGGGTGCCTTAATAGTAGGTAGTACATTCTCACATCCTCTTCGGTTATTAGCACCCTGTCAGGCTCGGCTTCTAGAAGGCTCCGCTGAAAACTGCGGAACCTCTGCTCTTCATAGGCAGTCGAAAACTCATCCACCACAGCCTCTTCATTAGAATGTTTACTCGTACCGTAGAACCGTCGGCTTGTACTCCTGTAGAGCTGCGGGTTGTCGCACTGTCGTGGAGGTTCCAATCTCAGAGCCTCCGCTTTTTTGTCAGTTCGTAAACAAGTGGACGACGAGGAGCCTCCAATCTGCAAATTACCGATGAGGTTGCCTATTCCGACCCGATAATTCCGACCATGCTTCTGCGAATCCATGTTGACCAACTTCAGCGATTTCGCTTGGTTCCATCGACGATCGCCAGCTGCAAACCTTGGATAATGTCGGACGCGAACCTGGGAAGATAGCCGCTCCACCCCGCTCGGGACGACCCACGTGGTGACAAGTGAACGAGTTGCTAGCACCCGTTTTCTTTGGGATGAGCCGGAGCAACCCGAGGATGGAACGAATACTGCGCCTGCTGCCATGTTGATGTGTGCCATTCTGGACGCGTTGATGCAGTGTCAACTACGGTCAATCACGGAGGTGCCTTCGTACCGAAAATGAATAAAACAACAACAACTACTTACATCAACAGGCAGGATCCGTGATGAAGATGAAAGAAGGTAGCAATAAAAACTACTTATTCTTCACTTCTGGCTTACCTTAGTTTAAGTGGTGTTGGCAAAAAAATGAAGATTACTGACAAAATATGAGATCACGATATTTGTTCCGGGTGGAGAAGATGATTAAAGAGCAGCCAGATATTACACCAACTTCATACTTACTGCCATTTTAGAAAAATGCAACAAACTGAACACGTCTGAAAATGATAGTAGCGCAGACGGACTCAGCAAACGCTGATGCTCAAGTTTCTGGTTTAGCGCATTTGCAGAGTGCAACATGCTTGCTCTACTTTACCCTTATGCGTCGTCAAGCAAAACGTACCGGTACCAGGACCCAGTCAAAATTTTGAGGCATCAGCCCGCATGTGAAAATATTTTTCGGTCGTGGACCACCGATTCTCTCATAGAAATTGTGAAGTACGGTGAGCAAAATGATGTAGATAAACTCGTCAGGCTTATCTAGTATTCTTGGGGATTCTCTTTTCATTCTCATCTTCATGTTCATGCATAATCGTTAGCGGGAGCTACAACATTACTTACTCAGAAAGAGACATTGGTGTATCGATGTAGATCTGGAAGGTAGGATCTAGGATACTATCATAGAGTCTATTTTTTTTTCCAGTAGAGCACTGCAACCATGCATGAACGATTTACGGGGACCCAAATAGTCTGTTCTTACTTGATGAGGTTCTCGTTTTGATGATAGAGATAGAGTTCTCTCGTATGTTCGAAGTTGACGTTGTATTCGCGAGCGCGAGCAAAAATTCAAATAAAAGGCAGCCAAGAAGTATTCACTTAGTTACAAAGTCTGTCATCCAATGGCGCTCTCACTTCGCCAGTGCTAGCACTTCGTCCATGATTCGCCGTCAGCAAATGACGAAAGTCGCCTCTCTACTTCGCCGCCTTTCGGAGGCACGCGATCGCGATCGCGAAAAGGACGCTTAATCTTAGAGATAGGGTTTCGGTTTTCATGTTGCATCCCGTTTGTTCTGCCTTTCTCCCTTAAGAGAGGCAAAAGAAACGGTAACAGACACACCTTCAAGCTACTTACCCTTAATAATCTCCTCATTCCCTTTTGCACTTGAGGTTAATGGGGCGAAGGCTGATGCGAAGAACTGCGGCGGAGCAGATGCCATTTTCTGCTGTATCGGTGCTCCCCTGACAAGTGGTGCCTCAAAGGACGACGTGCGAATATAAGATGCATGGCCTGGTGGTCCTCGATAGGGACCATAATTATCTGTTCTTGATGTGGACGATTTACTAGTGCCTCCACTTGAATTTGTTCTGACCTGTCTTTTACTTCTGCTTTCGTGTTGATTGGAGATCATATGCTTATGCAGCATGTCAGATGACTGGTGATCCTGAACAAGATCCCATGACTTGTTCTTTTTCGACGTAGTAAGATGAGAATCCTGCGGTATATGACCGTCGAGGTCCTTCTTTGAACAAGAAGGTCCTGTTCTCGATAATGTCCCTCGTCCAGTGTTCTTGTAGTGAGTGTAGTTCTTGTTTCCCCCTACACTTCTAGCAGCAGAGGCTGAAGAATTTGATGGTGTTGTCGCTGTCGACGAGGAGACTGAGGAACAGCACGCTCCTCCACCTGGTGCTTCATCTACTACGAATCGAGGTCCACCTTGTTTTTTCAACATTTCTTGTAATCGAGTCGTTTGTCGTTCGAGCTCTGATTGGTAGTCGTCCAGAAATTGAACGACGTGCTCGTGTCGCTCCCTTGCAGCCTCACTACACGGCGTGTGACCTTCTTCATTCGGAGGCCTGTCAGGCTCTGCGCCAAGCAAAATCAAGTCGATCACCGAGTGCAACTGCCCGAAAGCAGCAGCCCATCCAAGAGGTTCCGAATCGTACCAATCCGTCAACTTTTCATTCGGGTCCCGACTGGAGGTACTCTTGAAGTCATTTTCCTCCTTGTTGCTTGCAAGATGATAGCTTAGAATGTCAATTGTGCTCACGACGAAAACAGAAAACAGATCCTCCAGAAGATGAAAAGTAAGATCACTCTTTTTACGGTAAAGAAACAAGATCCACAAGTACTTGTAGTAGTATTTTGCATGAAGGGATAGAGCTACAGTAAAGAGGTGAAAACTAACCGGTTGCTTTGCTTAGTGCTTTAGGCGTCGCTGGACCTACGCCCCATCCTTATAAAAAAGGAAGGAGCCAATCAAGATTTGCAGTACACCTCTAAGCCAAGGGAGGGATCCGCAAGTAGTTGTCATAGTATCCCAAAAGTCTTCTCGTTATATCGTAACTTCGAAATCATTGCTGCAATCATGAACAGAGCATCACCTGCTGGATCATCATCTCCGACTAGAAGATGCTGTTTCATTTCTTTACTGTGCCCAAGAACGCACGCCGTAAGCTGCGCAGGTGGTGCGCCGGTTATCGCCGCATAGTGTAATGGCCACTTTGCTTCCCAACCCATTGATTTGAACCATGTTACTCTCTCCGCCTGGTCTCTCCGTGGTCCACCATTGGGCCGCTTTGCGCGCTGCTCCAGCAACCACTGACGCATGCTGTGACTGGTTTTTACGTCGTCAGGAACCTGATTTAGAAGTGGCACCACTATGTCTATGAGGACCTACTAGATCGGTGAGGAAAATACGGTAAGACCTACTATAAATGAGGATAATGAATACAACAGCTGCCCAAACGCTGCTCATACGTACCTCTTATGCCCATCATGATCATCTGTATCGCTAAGCGTATTAAGAAGGTACAACTTCCTATAAATTATAATCTGTATACTTGTTGTTCTAGGCGTAAGGAGGTACTACAAATCCTGTCGAGAAGATGAAGACCCTAACTTGATCGCCCGCGTATGTCTTTCCCACGCAGAGAGGAAACGAACTACGTGTACGTGCCGCTCACGGCGTGCGTCCGATAAGCTGTCGTTCCCGCTCTTATTTTTTCGGAAAGGAGCACCACCGGAGCGAATTAGTGCCCGCAATGTCCCCAAATGGCCAAAGCTTAACGCCAGTCGATCACTTCTATCCGTATTTCTTTATAAGTGGTTCCTGGTTGAGTATGAGTTTCTTCCTCAAAGGTTCTTTCCTTTTGAAATTAATCAACGGGATTGATTCTACTCAGGATCTGCCTAGTAACACTAACACTCACACAAAGACAAAACAAGGGGGTTCCATTCTCAGTAATAAACCTCTATTTCACACCAGATAGTGACCGACTAGCCTTAAGAAGCCACTTGCCCACCCCATGGGATCTCCGTCAAACCAACAGCGTAATTTCGAATTCGGATTCGCTCCACAGCCGAGCATGCAACGCACGCAGGGAGTACAGCCACACATAGCGCTGCTTGATATTTTGATGTTTCAGTCAGTAGCAATCTCAAAGATGAAGAAGTCAAAAAAGTTGTTAGTCAACAACATGGTTACTCAATTATCCGTTACAAAATACTATGTTGATGTCATTATCCTGCTTCTTGTTATCAATAACAACTTGAAATACCGATATTTGATACCAGTGATGCAGCGGATGACAACATATCCACGGGATGCAGAGGTAAACGAAAGGCAGACAGAGTGCCTGATCGGGTCTGCAGTTGTTGTCGCAACAGCCAACAGGGTAGTTGTCAAGAAAAGCGAGGTCTTCCGCGCTGCGCGGTTCGCGTCGTGCTGTTGGTGCCGCCAGAGTAGATAGAACTTGTTCGTCCTGCTGTTGCTTCATCTTCTGCATGGGGTGCTTTTCGGAAGAAGTCGCTGGAAAGCAACAAGGAGGACGTGGGACTGGGATTGTTTTTCTAAGTAGAACGTTTTGTCACGAGTAACTAACGAGCAGCAGCAGTTTCCTAGAAGATCGTAAACAAATTAATACATAGTCTAGTACTTGATTATGTAATTCTATCTCATCTAGTTTTGTACAGTGAGAAAGTCGTGCTTCTCCGTTCCAAATGCCTCAGACTCACACTGAGTCCTTCGCTGGCTTACTTACTCGTCCTGGCTATCTTTGCGCTTATGTTTTGACTTTCACCCAAGATGGACTTCTTGAAGGTCCATTGACTTCTTGTAGCTGAATCGGCAAACAGAAACACGCGCAATTTCAAAACTACAATGCCTAGCAATGCGTATCCTGGATATCACACAGGAGAACTAGAGGATCGAAGTCGACTGGCTACTTCTATCTCTGCAAAACTTCAGCATATCCTTGATACAAATCCCTGCGTCCTCTGTGCAGTATCCACTAGCATCTGTCCAAGAAACTACACAAAAATCTGTAGAAACAACTGATCTCTCTCTACAACACCGTTGTAACTTCTACATTTCCGACCCCCCTAGATTCCCGTCAATACCTCCTTCAGATGATCGGCGGTCGCGGGGCCGGCACGTCGGGATTCAGCATAAACTGTGCATGGTAGTTCGCCGCCGACGCTTGAGCCGCATAAAGTGGCAGAGACTCCGTGATTCTTTCTGCGACTTCGAAGAATTAGAAGTGGGAATTCATACTCAAAACAACTTTTAACTGTTCTAGTCTTAAAAACACTTGTATCATCTGCAAAATAACTATCGGATTTTGGACGATGAATAAACAATCACAATATAGCATAGCATGCTCAACTTGATGAACAATAAACTACTCGTCCTACGATGAACAATGAAAAATCTTCACTCAATATAAAAAAAAACTACAAGCCTTACTATAGATTCTGCGCTGTGCCAGTGAGGCCTCCCGCTTGCTCCATCATGAACTTCGCATGTGCCATTTGCCTCTCCGCTTCATACGTCTTCCCCAGTAGTGATAGCTGATTCGCGTTGTTCACCGCTAGAGCTGTGAAACATCAGGAAAATATCAAGATGAATGTGTGCGCATGTTGAAGTTGAACCACAAAGATGGTGACGAAGATAAAAAAGATATAGTTAGAAGAAGAATCTCGAGAATATTAAGACAAAATTTCATCAAAACAAAACTATGTCCAAGTAAGTTCAAATTTTTCTACATCTAGTCGTGTGACATCGACATGAACATCAACATTGTCCGAAGCATCTGAGCAGGATTCCAATTATTCGAAAAACTGAAATAAGCAAGTAACTGATCAGAATAACCGAGATACTGATGAGAAGGAAGAGTAGCCTTGACGCTATAAGCTAGTGCCTCCCTTATTTCAGTCAGTAACTCGGTTATTTTGAGTTTTCGAATAATACTTGACTCCTGCTGCCATTGGTTGCTAAGCGCAGCAAATTCATCTCCGCGCTTTTGATATTCAGCTGCTCGGTCGGCTGCTCGAGTTTGCGCATCTACATACGCCTGCGATGCTTTGTCACCTTCCGCAGCAGCTTTACCTACCATCTCGTCTTTGGTTTTCGCCGCCTTCTCCTCCGCGGTTTTCTTCTCCTCTCGCAATGACTGGGCTCAAAATTAGAGATGACAATCGGAAACTACGGGATCAAATGCGCATGGTCGTTGGTGGACTTGCATGTACTTCAGTAGTTCTGCATAATATGCTCACGTTGATCTTCTTACGGCCCTTTGCACCAGGATACACTCGTAAAATCGTCCTTATCTATCAGGTATATCTGAAGATTGGGACCAAACCTATCCACCCTTTCCGTTTCCCTATGTATCTATCAATCCATATCCAAATGTGTATTTCTTTTTATACCATAATCAACGTCCTCTAAAGTACCGGTGACTTGGTCTGCTGCCGCCTCCTCCGCGGCCTCCGAAACGGCAGTTGACAGTTTGCGGACTTCGCGCACGGCCCTCCCTGCACCCACCTGTGCGTTTTGAACTTCTAGGAGTAACGCAGGAAGACTCGACTCCGCTGCTTCGCGATTCTTCTCACGGGCAGCCTCAACAAGCGCCGCGTCCTTCTTCGCACGCTGCTCAGCAGCCACAGTCTGTTGCTCCAGTCGCTCAGCGTTCTGGGCCACGGCCTTGCCTTTCTCTAGCAAGCCTTCGAGCGCTTTCGTAAATGCGCTAGAAGCTTGTGTGGAACATTAGAAGAGGTAGAGGTGGTCGTGTTGGGTGGACGAGCAGAAGGCTCAGATATTATGTGCAAGTGCAAGGAGCACACAAGCAGACAACAAGATCCTGAAGTTGTAGGTCTATAGAAACTGTTATTTGTGTTTCTTTTGAATTGTAGTTTCAACTTTCTTCAAATCAAAATGAAAATTGAAAGTGGAAGTTCTTTGCTATCTTCAGCAAGCACAAGAAAGATCATGGAAAGAGTAGGAGAATGCGAAGCGATAACGTTCAATTATGAAATAGAAAACCATCCCTAAGAAGCAGCTGTGCGTTGCTCATTCTTCCTTTCTTGGGATACTAGAGAAACTCCTTCTTTCGCAGCTTTTCGCTTCGCAGCGAAATGCACAAATGCCCTCTGGTGTGCGCTACGTTCTGAATTCAGCCGTCGCTTGCACTCTCCTCCCTGCTTGGCCTCCGCGGGTTCACATTCGGCGCGACAAAACCTAAGTAATTGATTCGAACGTTCTTGAGGTGGGTGCTGAGTTGTTGCTGAGTTGTAGGTGCTGAATTTGTAGCAGCATAAGAATAGTAATGCTTGAACAACTAGGAAGTAAGTTATTTTGGTAGCTGTATGTTGATTCAATTAAGTAGCTTGCTGTTGAAACTACTGCAAGTCATTCATTTTCAAGATAGAATACCCATTTTCCACATATCCATGTCGTACCTTGCCAAGTCCAACAGCGCTGCTTCCCCGGCATCTAGAATCAGGTCTCCTGCTGGAGGCAAGCATTTGGATTGACGGCATGATGAAATGCGCTTTTTCTGTAGAAAATATTTCGCCTCCTTGACATCAGCCGGTGTGATAACCCTCGCGTCGCACTCAATCTCGATCACATCGCTTTCGCCTGGTCGACCGTCCAGTTGCTTGGAGAGTTAGCGGTAGACCACGTTCTTGGTTATGATGGAACAGAAAATCTAAATCTATCAACTTGTTCTGAGAACCTCGATATCTCTCCGCTTTACGTGGACTCCACGGAGGTAACTTATCAACATCACAGCGCAAATCATTCAAAAGTTCATCAGTATCAAAGAGCCAAGAAACCATCAACCTTAAGACAACAAAGCGGCGTTTTCCGCAGCACGCTCTACATTACAGCAATCGCATCGGCAATCCGGGACTCCCGCATTTTGGCTTTCCTCGGAGTCCTCACCCTCTCCGTTCACTATATCGTATCCCGACGTTTTGCTTTTCGACGCACCCGCAGCAGAAATTTTGGACGTTGACGCTGTGCTTGTTTTACTAGTACTACGAGCGCCATTTGCAGCAGTAGAAAACAAGGTGGGTGCACACACAATGGCGATTCGCAAGACAGGATGACCCACTTGAGTGCGCCTGGATTCTGTACAGGCGGGAGGCCTTCGTCCTATTGCTCCTGTTGCTCTTTTCACCATCCTACCCATCTGGTGAAAATCGGGGAAGTCGTGCGTTGTTTTCTTCTCGGCATGGGTGTTTTTTGACCTTGCAGCGGCCGAGTCACTCAATATTACATCACTTGTTCACCTATCGTGAGTTGCAATGATCATCAAGTTTTTTATACAGCGCGGTCACTTGTTCACCCATCGTGAGTTGCAATGATTAAGTTTTTTATGCCCACCACTCGATCCTAGCCCGTCTCCCTTCGTCGAAGCCATTTTTTTACTTACTTTTTTCCCGACATTCGCCGTCTCACATGCTGTCATATCCCTATGGAAACACAAATCTTTCTCGACGTACTCACTAGGAGTGTCAGGCGTAATGTGGCAAACCTTCTTTGGTGTGGGGAAACTTAAGCGAGGAATGGAATTCAGCTCACGTGGGTGCGCAAATTTCATAGCAGTTCGGAAGTTTCAGTTTGTCGTGGGGAAGCATGGGTGAGGGGGGTTACTTCTTTGCTGCATCAATTTGGGCTTGGATAGGGTAGTAAGGCTCTTCTCTCGGGTTGGGGAAACCTCTAAATAACGATCATCACTTAGCTATCGGAATGGAAACCTTGTTTGGGATTGTTGCTAGTTGTAAATATCCTTCGGTATTTGTTTGCTCTTCTTCATCACTTGAATTAAACTCGTTTTGCTTGTGTTAAGAATCAGACACACGTTAGGTTGGTCGTTTTAATTTCAAAGAGCGTTTCTGCGTCAGCTATAGCAAATTATTCAGAATCACAGGGATACAACGGTCTGCAGTCATAACTTCTACTTACCCTTACTATATTCTACTCCTTGAGCTACTTCTTTGGTGCGAAACTTGAACGGAAACAATAATCTTGAAGGACGAAGCTCAGTATGATAAATGAGTCGAAGTTCTGCGTTAGAACACGAAAATATTTAAGTAGACTGGTTGGTTACATTTTTGAGTCGTCGTACTATGATCAAAATATGGCTTGGCATGCATAACTATATGTTCCTCCGTGTATAAGTCCGCTGACTCTGCTTCTAGATTCTAGAACCAATCAGTGGAGGTCCTAACATCATGTCACATCATCATATGTCAGCTAAAGGAGCATGAGACCAAAATCTATCTTCAATGTTGTGCTACTTAATTCTCACATATGTCCTCGGTCTCGGATTCGGAAAAGCCACTTTCATAACATTCAGGAAACGACCATACCAGTCATGCCAGTCGTATATTTGTGCTTAATCGCGTTAGGGGGTTGTCGGAAGGGTAAAACTCCGGATGCAGCGTTCCGGTGGGTGGAGGGGAATAGAAAGATTGATACCAGCGTCGTATCTATTTCTCTGAACGTCTTCTAGCCCGGAGGTGCTGGTGGCGGAGGGACTCCTGAGTCCGCAGCTGCTGCGGGTTTTTCGTCATAGACACTATCTAGATTATCTAGACCCTGTTGTCGACTATCCTTGTTCATGAAGCCACGCAACGCTGCCATCGAACCGCGCCTGAGATCGCCAAACCTGTCGAAGAAAACAAGTTTTCCGATTTATCAAAGGTTGGATGCTACTTGTTTTTTCCAATCAAAAGGAGCTCGTCTGTCTGCGGTTACATGTTGTCAGGAACAGGATAAACTAACAGGATCAGCAGTCTAGTTTAGTAAGTGGCAAATGAATTATGGCAAGTGACAAACAAACAAATAGAAATTCTGAAATTGTACTCTTCAGGTATTCGGTAACCTGAATTCGATCCCAAGGATTCTCTTCTTGCTTGCCATTGTGATCAAATTCAGGTTACCAAATCCCAGAACCATTCAGAAATAAAAATATTTCGTACGCAGTTCCTTCTTTCTCCTTTTTCTCTGTTTCTTCTTCTTGGTCCATCGCGCCTCTTCTCTGTGCAATATGTCTGCCAGCCGCAGCGACGGCCCCAAGAATTGAGACTGGCTTTCCAGTGGTAGCCCTCTCTTCCACGTCGTCCTCCTCATGCCTCTTGGGTTTCTTAGATTGGTCGTGTCGGAAGTACTGCTTCTCGAGATCGTACAATCTGGGATTTAGAAGTGGTAGTCGTGGTATGAATCTTGATAGAAGTAGTAAGTATGCATAATGGTATCATGAGGTTCGTACGGATCATCGTTATGTTGACGTTGAGTTCCTTCATGACAAGAACAAGAATAGAAACCAATAACAGCAACTGCAAGAAGATAAAACAAATATAATATGAACAATTGGCGACAACTTAGTTAGATGAAGTAGTAGTTTGTTAGATCAGTATACTCATAGTCACAACTATGAATTAAGCCATCATTGAGTTGGGCAATGAATGGGAAAGTTACGCAATCAATCTCAATGAAGTAAGAAATCAACGTGAAGAATAGGAAAATTGAAATCTAAACTACCTGTTGTATATTTTCTTGAGTGTTCTATTTTGGTCCTCCATTGCGTCCTGCATGTCGTCCAAATTGCTGTTGTAGGTCGAAACATGGACTGCGAGTTTGATCATTTCTCGGCTCTTTGCTGTTCCCTGTAACTTGAGACACCCTTTCCTGAACTCCTCGATTGTGATCTCCCCACTGCCATCGCTATCCAACAGATCAAACAACATCCTCAAATCCTCCGGCGGGACGTCAATCAACTCTAACTTTTGTTTCACCTGAGAAGTAGTAGTAGTAGTAGTAGTAGTAGTACTAGTAGTGTACCCAATCATGGGGTATGTAAGACACTTTAATTAGTTTGTTGCTATGTATGCACTTCCTTTATCCCTCCATCTTTTCCCAATTCTAGTACTTATAATTGGTGTAGTCTTGTCATGTCATGGACATGGTGTAGTCTGTTGTACTTGTAAAAACTTCAAATTTTCGACGTAACAAGTACAAGATCTCACGTTTGCTGATGATACATCATCAACTCTGAAGATGTAAGAGATAAACATCATGGTATTTGTACTACGTTGGATTCTTGAACGAATTACAAGAACTTGAACTTGAACTTATAAACTTTCGAAATTCCAGAATACCAAAACCCTTGTTCTACGATGGGCATGGGGTGGGTCCAGTAAAATGAATGCACCTCCTAATGGGTGTCCAATAAAATAAACGCACCTAAATCAAGCACTACGGGGTGGTCCTCGTCCTCGAGGTCGTTTTAATAGAGGTACCGCTTTCTTGCTAAGGGCCTCGTCGAATTCCTCTTTCGAGAGTTCGCCGCTTCCATCTGTATCTGCCGCTTCGAAAATGGCCGTTATTGAGTTTATCACCAACTGCTGGTGCCGCAGAACTATCTTCTGCATGTTCTCGGTGTTTTTACTAGCTGCGTAGATCGCGTTCTCGCATATGACACCCAGCACGATGTTCATCAACCCAAAGGAGATGAGGAAAATGAACACCAGAAAAAATATGGTGTACGCAGGATACTCCTTCACCTGTCAACATCATGAGCTGGTCGTTGTAGTTGTGGTTTTCGTTTTCTACTTAGGGATATACGGACTAATATACTAATTTGAGGTTTAATACCGAGAAGGAGACTTCAAATTCTATATTAATGAGAGAAGACTTGGACAATAGGCAATATAGAAGAAGTGGAAGGTTGTAGGTAACTCCGATTCGGTCGTTGTAGCACAAAGGGCAGCTAAGATGTTCGCTAATATCATTTGATTTCTAATAGACCAGCACAGTTGTTCTATCTTCTTAGAAAATAAGTGGAGTCAATGGTGTTGGAGGTCAAAACGATCAGCGTCAGTGTACTAGTTAGACGACTTGTATTCATCAACATCGCAAATTGGTACGATTGGTCGTGCGATCCTGCTGCCCCAAGAGTCGCCTGTTGTCACTTGAAAGAGAGTATACATCGACCGAGGAACACTGCCCCAATAATCGTCCTTTGACCACGCCCCCGTATACTTTAGCGCAGGGTCCGTGTTTTGCCCAATCAAGATGGTGAAAATTATACCAATCACATACCTGATATTGGCGGGTTTTAATGTTCCCTGGAGACGAAGAAAATAAAAATAGGATATCTACTCCAACCACAATTGATAGTAGCGGAAAAAAGAAAAACTTCTCGTGTGAAAATGAAAGTTAAAGACGACAAAGCACGACAAGAACTTTTCTTGAAAAACAAGAAGGAAAGTAGTACAGTATGACAAGCAGCAGGCATGCAACCCAGACTAATGTCTTGCACGCTTCGACCATACCGTTCACGAGAAGGTAGAGTTCTTTAAACTGCCGAAGTAATTTTACCAGTCGCACTAGGCGAAAGGCTCGTAACACACGAAGCACCGAGAAGATCTTCAGGCCTCCGCCACCACCTCCCACAATTGCCATAACCCACGTATCGATAATTGCCATCGAAATCAGGAAAAAATCAAACTTGTTCCTGAAAGAGTCATGGAGTGGTTCCAATTCTTGCCATCATGAACATGAACATGTTGTTGATCCAGTGTCAGCGTCTGTCGTGTTGATTATAGTATACCTCCACATAAATCCGAGGAAGCGAAATCTTATCATTGTTGAAAGATAGACATAGAGCCAGCCAAAAACAGGAGGAGAAACAATAATACCAATCGTCTCCCCAGTAATTTGGCCAGCCCATCGCTATGATTTTCAGGACCATCTCTGCTACGAAGATGATTAAGAAAACGTATTCGAATACTTGCCATATGACAAATTCTGAGGGTTCGCAATTTGTCGTCGAGTGGCAACTGTAATCGGTCTCAAGCCCGATGACCACAGCATTCACCGCAATCGTTAAATTGATGAAAATCGTAAACCACTTGCTCTTTACCTGTATAAAGTAAAATGGTGAGAAGATCGATGTCTCAAGAAAAAGATGTGGAGATATTCATGGAGCCAAGAAAGAACTTATCTTTCGACTTTGATGGACCCGAAACAAATTAGACAATTAGATCAAAAAACACTAGCACTACTGTGCAAACAGTTAGTTACGATCTCTCCATCTTGCACCCAGTAGCGGAAGCCCGTATGTATCGAGGCTTCCGAGGCTGTCTCTGTGCTGGCGTCAGAGTAATCGTCGTGGTTCTCCTGATCAGAACCTTCCTCTTCTTCCTCTTCCTCTTCTTCGGTCCGAAACGTAGACGCCATTGTTGTAGCGCTTTGCTTACTACCCGCACGGGCACTCATCCTTTCTTATTTCGCCGACGTCGTCGATGTCGAGTTCTAAAAAGCCAGAAGATGAGCAAGGGGAAGATGCGTGGCACTGAATATCCCGAGAGATCCGCTGTCTCCTGGAAATGGAAAAAAGGTCGCTGAAGTCGTCAGCCGGCCCCAGCAGAGGTCCCCGATGTGGTAGGAATAAGCCTAGTTGTCTTTGTGGATCGCCCTTGTTGCAGGATCTACGCCGAGGAACAACGTCGAAATAATTGTTGTCTACTTGTTGTAAAAGAATTCATAGTGATTTTTCGTCTACAGCTATTCGGGTGAGTTGCCGGCACTTCTGCGCAGTACTGATACACGTCGTCCTGAAATTCTGTATCGAAAGTAAACGTCCGTCTCGGTAGCGCTATGTTGATCGTGCCTCAGTGCAATCTATGCAATTGCAATGCGACGGAAAGCTGCGGTCTCTATGTCGTCGCGCAGAGAGGTCGTGGCGGAAGAAGCAACTTTATGCGAAATCCTCACGCGCGGACCTCCACTACTGCGATCTGCGTGCCCCAGGACCAGGCGGGGCCCTGTTTCGATGACACATCGCGGTCATTCGTTCTCTTCTTAATGAAGTCTACCTATCGCTATCTTCAGTGATGACTGAGACAAGGACTGGTCAATTTATCTTATACTGTGAATATCTTAGACTACCTAGTCGTATTCTTGTTTTTCTGGTCCTCTCACGTCGGATTTTAGGTCGATGCCAGATGCCTCTTTATATTTCGTAATGCCCTTCACCTAGTGTCGATTTCGACCTGCCAATTCCTGAATGTCTGCAAATTTCGATTTTCGATTTTCGATTTTTTGCGAATCTTCACAACTATAATTTCCATCAACATTCAGTAGGTCCTTCAAGTCTGAGGGAGGCGGAGGGGGTTGGTTGAGAGGCTCTCTGCAGTGTTCTCTTTCTCTCTCTCTCTCTAGCAGTGGCGTATTCATTCATTCATTCATTTACCTAGCAAGAGGTCGTTCGCAGGACTTAATTGTTGCAGTTGGCTTTTTACTTTCTAACCTTTTTTATGCACTTTTCTTTGTGGCTTCTATATAAGTCAATCCTTTTTGCTCTAGCCTGCATTGACATCTCCGCATCTTGAAACTCAATCTTCCACTTCTTGCAGTTTAGACATCGCAGATAGTCCTTCGCTTTCCATTTCCAGCGTAGCTCATCTGGTATCCTAAACGAGTCAAGGCGAACTCCTGGTCCCGGATAATGTGATCCCGTTCGCGGGTGTATGGCGTGCTGTTCAGGGCGGTATTTGATCCCACTTATGCTGGGGCCTGGGCTGCTTTGCTTCTTACTACCAAATTCCACCACTCTGTAGACCTTGGCCGGATCCTGCTTCTTGTGTTCCTGGTCATGTTGCACCATCGCTCCGTAAGATGTAGAGTAGGAGACTTTGCAAATCCTACACCAGTATCGCTCCGCATATTTCTTCTTGCCCTTTCTCTTCGGCCCTACTGACCGGAGACGCCAGAAATCACAGCCCTCCACGTTCCTCCTCTGCTGCTCTTTTTTTAAGACCTTGTACTCGTCGCTACTGTCCTTTTTCGCTTCCTCCATAAGCCTTCTTGCTAATTGCGTGGGCTGATGCCCTGGCGTGGTGTGCTGCTGTAGGATGTGGAGCTTTAGCGCCTCAGCTCTTGACCTGGTGGCGCCTATCTCCCAACAGCAATCATCGCCTATTGCTTTCCAGCTACATGCAGGGCAGATCCCTGTAGCATGAGGGTCAAGACTCGCTTGAATCTCTGCGTTCCCTACCATTGGCGCTAACTCGATCATCATCAGTGGCGCGCGATCTCTCAGGCTTACTGAAAGCTCCGTAGTGGACGGGCTCTCGTCGTTCTCTCTTGCAGTGGCGAAGATAATCGCAACGCAACACGATAAAGAGGGCAAACCAAGTTAGGGATGGTTCGAATGTCATGCAAGGTCATGCCTACATCTTCTACTCTCATCATCCGTTTACCGCTCTTTTCAAGGACTCGACACATTTCTCTGGGTCTTGTACGATAGTTTTGAGGTAACGTTACGAGAAGAGTAGAAACAACTACGCTCTTTTTCGTGGTATTAGTGGTGAACAGTCACAATCAAACTACGACCGTGCTATATCTTCAGATTCAGCGGAGAAAGAAGGATCTACACGATAGTGATCCGAGTCCAAGCTTCTCAGACGAGAAGCTAAAACAGTCGGTGGGCTATATTATGAATCGTCGGTGGGTGATACTGATAGATAGGTATCAAGGTCTTCACGATCCAAGAATTTGTCGATTACGATTTTCAAAGGACGTTCATCTTTATCGATGTCCCTACGTTCCTGTTTTCAGTTTTCATCTCACTTTTTTGAAAAATGAATCGATGACGGTCATCTTCGATTTTTTAGTGGTATTTCTTGAAGACTTTGAGGAGGCACGCACGCGCGCATGTCGATATCGAAATCGATAATCACAATGAAGTACACATTAATGAGAAAAGTCTAGACGGTGATTAATCATAGATTAAGAGCTAGCTCGGCACTAGAACAAATATGGGAGGTAGTCTTTCTCGGAAAGCGCCAAATATGTAAATATGTTCTATGTAAATATGTTCAACAAGGTACATGCGGAGATCGACCACAGACACAGATTATTAACAATATTAACGGAAGTGGAACCAACAGAACATATGGAAACATATTTATAAAGCGCTTCAATTTCGAATTTCAAACAGCAGCAAACAGAAGAAAGGCTCGGCATTATTGGAAAGAATTGACCACGGTCATTTTTGAGGAGATTCATAGCATTCAAGTAGGAGCACACAACGAGAGCAAGACGCACACATTCATTCGGATTATTGCTGGCCAACATATCACAAGGGTCTTCTTATCTTTTTGGATCAACACCCATGGCCACTGAAAATGTTACGTAGGTGTTTGAAATACTTAGCCAATGTTTCTAGTTTGGCACCATGCACAAAAATAGCCAACTTCTTTTTCAATCAGTCTAGGCGAGTACTGTTGGGCAAGAAGTTCAGACACTAGTTTTTGAGCTGCTTCTGTAGGGATAACCAAAAAAACTGAAGTATTAGAAAGGAGCAAGATGGTTAGAAAGCTCTGCATTCATTCATTCACTCATTCATTCATTCATTTTTTACCTGTTCTGGAGGTATCTTTTGACGCCTACGCGGCATTTCTAACTTAATTATTGCTTGTTGAGTTCTTCTTTTCTCTTTGTCCCCGTAACTTTCTAGCGAATTCAGAAACAGAGACTAGAACGCTACTCTTTCAATTTATAGAAAAGAGTGGAAGACACTATTTACTCTTTATTTTTGCTTTTTTCTATATTTTCCTTCTGCTTTTTAGTTATTAGGTTAGGTTACTTTGGGATCTACCATCCAATGTGGCAGACTTCGACGGCTGCTGAAGAGCCTAGCAACGACGGTACCTAGATCAGAAAGCCTACTCTATCGTTCGATACGTCCCTACGCTAGACCGATCACCGCCACTGAAGGACCGTCTACACCGTGGCATCAAGTACAACTTCTCATGTCAACAATCAATTACTCAATTACTCGTTCGAATGCCTAGCCTCTACCTGTGACGTGTCAATTATTCACTTATTCCCATCAGCTTCTTCTTTCGCGCTCTTGTACTTGGATCTCCCATCCACATTACTCTTCCTTGTACGTCGTACGCCGAATTCTGGGAACGCGATTTTGATTTACTCACAATTTATTCACTTTCCTGCGAAGAACTATAATTTCTCGAATCAAACGAAGTACTCGACCCGCCCTCATCGATACTTCTTTTGCTCTAATTATTTGATTCTCTGCTTCGAACTCATTTTCTTCCTCTTTAAGGATACTGTAGTATGATCAACAACTTTTCATGTGCTCCCTGGGAGCACCTTCCTGAGAATTTCTTTACAACCACGGGCAAACAAAAGGAAAGAACGCCTATCCGCCGAGCAAAAGAACCAACTTACAAACAAATAAACCTAAAGTCAGCCCATTCAGATAATCTCATTGAAGCAGAGCTCACGCGTTAGGATGCAGATTGTGGAGGTCACTCGATTTACTTCCTTTTACTTTTATATTTATGAAATTTATTAACTCCCTTCTTACGTCATCTCATGTGCTTTCTCAATCGATCCACACGACTCGACAGTGATTGCAATGACGTTGCTGCTTCGATAAAAAGAATCTTCCAGCTGGCACCTGAGGCACTTCCTCCGTAAAAAAAAGGAATTTATCGGAACGTCTAACAGTATACCACCGGCCCTGATTTAGACATTCAAGAAAGGCACTGATTTAGACATCAGGTCGTTGAATATTGTGTAGCAAGAACATAGTCAAGACGGGTTACAACTTATCTTTATTTTTCTGCTGCGTAGACAGTGTGTAATACAGTACGACCAGCAAGCCGTTTTGCATATAGACTCTAAAACTAAACTCCACGACTTTACAGACTGCACACAAGAGTTTAGATGAGCTGAAGTAAACTCGTAAACAGAGCACCGAAAGTCTGAATCTCTGCGAACCACGTGTAAAGAATATGATGATGATGATATACCCAGTCCAAAAGACGGGTATGCATTTTACTGTTTAATTATATGTGTCCTTTTTTGCACTTCTCTTCATGTTTTCTCCATGTTCATATTAATACAGTACGACCAGCAAGCCGTTTTGCATATAGGCTTAAAACTCCACTTTACAGACTGCACACAAGAGTTTAGATGAGCTGAACAAGTAGACTAGTAAACAGAGCACCGAAAGTTTGGATCTTTGCGCACAGTGTAAAAAGAATATTAGTCCTCCGGTTCTGGTTCCGGTTCGAGGCTCAGATTAATAGTTCTTCTCTTGTACTTTAGATATCTGATGATACTCAACTCCTCCCACACGTGTGAGCCGGAGTGGGTACTTTCATGGCTAACAGTGAATAGTTGCTTCAAATGTGCGAGGGTAAAGATCATTTTGTCTTTCAGTTCGTAGTCAAAGCGGCTCTGCGTTGTCACATGAAAAACCAAAAAATCATCGATCAGAGAACCAACGGCGAGGACTGGGTGAATGCCACTGAGTAGAATCTCAGAAAAAAATAGAAATAGTATGGTACTAATTCAGGAAGTCTTTGATTCCAATACTGTTGAAACCAAATTCCCAGTTGAGCATGATGAGGAAACCATAATAATCTAGTGTATCGTTGTCTTGGGGTTATAAGTTAGGTGATTGACTGATGTACCCTCTCGCGGGGTGTAGCGTCTCTAATTAAATGCAAGGCTATCTTCTTCTATTTCTTCTTTCCTTTGTAACGAAGTTTTATTCATCTTCATGCAGTGGTTGTATAGATGGTGGCGATGTTGTATAGAATTGTTCTTCAGGGGTTGTACAGAATTTTTGTGCTGATTCCCAAGCCGCGGAGAAAAAAGTCGAGGGCTTTCGTATCCTTTACGACGATCACCAAGGAAGGCGCATTCTCGATGAATTAGCGCTACCCTGCTTAACCCATCCCGTGAATGGGTCCCGTTAAAATACTTGCCCCAGTACTTGCCTCAGTACATCAGCCCGAGAATCCACGAGGCACCACCAGCGCAGTACTTTAACAGGATCACCGTGGGGTCGGGTTTTATTGTGGAGCCTTAAATGAAGCAAACACTCTCTCCTCCTTCACGATCGTCCGTTAGGGTACTTGTAGTACGACTCCGATAATCGTACGCTTCTCGCGATCCGTCGTCCATATCTGAGGAGGACCAGCTACCTGCTCCACGACCTCCACGATTGCTGTTGTTGTTGTGGTTGTCAAAGTGGAAGATTTTTGAATTTCCACTTCCACCAACACGACCGGAATATCCATGTCCTTGTGCCCTACCAGTACCGTTATAGGAATCGTTGTTGATGTTGTAACCATGTTGATTGACAGGGGTTATTATGGCCGTACTAGAGTCGCAACTGCCTGGCCAGCTCTCTTTTCTGGTCGAAGAGGCCGGGCTACCGGAAGACATGCGTGAGTCTACACTCCTACGACTTGGGCACCACGTTCCTCTCCCACCGCTACCGAACGTCGAGCGCCAGCCTTTTTGCGTGCCTCCACTTGGCATGCCGTTTGAGCCACATCCTGTCGCATGATTATGCGGCAGGTCGTCTGCTCCCCCGCCCTCGGCACGCCAGGTCGATCCAATATTCGCATGCGCATTCTTAGGAGCGGCGAGGTTCTCACTTCCAATGTGAGTATTTCCCCAGGAAAAGAAATAGGAAAGAACTGAATCCGGCTTCTCTTCGAGTTGCGCAACCGCACCGGCCTTCAGGTTGGACGCGACGCGCCTCACAAAGTCGGACGCAGCGGCGGCTGGCCCAGCTCCTGCGGGAGAGTTCTCAGGGCTCATATCTTCTACCCACGGGGAACTAGCCGGGCGAAGCGAGCCTGTGTCCTGATGAATGCGTATTCCAGTGGGCTTCTCGTCAGGCGTCCCGATGTTGAGCTGGTGGCAAGCCGCGCGCGCTTCATTATGCCCACGAGCCTCCTCTCCAGGTGAACCAGAAAAAGAATGGCTGAACCAGCTGACCGCAGATTGTGCTTGGTTCATAATCCACCCCGCAGCAGACTCGGCTGAGGAGCCCCTCATGGAGGGAAAGTCTTCCAGTAGAAAGCTTGATCCACCTTCAACGTCATCTTCTCCCTGCTTGTCGATGCAATCGCCGTCGATGGAGAATAGGTCTTCTATGGTGCAACTCCTTGCCCTGCCACCACGTCGTGAAGATGCCGGATGAACTTCCTCGTAGGTGGATAAGCCCTCAACAACTTCCTGATCTGCAAACGCTGCTGAGCTTGGAGAGCGGGCTTTTGGGGTCGTCAAAGAAATAGTGGTAGCCACTCTTGAATCTAGATCTAAAGTCATCGAAGGCATAGTACTGTCCTCCACCTCTACTTGAACCCCGTGCTGTTGCGCACAAACAGCAGTGCTGCTGAACCACTCGTTTTGAGCACGTAGATGTGGCGCAGCGGGCTCGTCCTCGTCCTTTTTGAACAAACTACAGTGCTCGTGAGCATCCGCGGCGTAAGTGTCCATAGCAGCCACAGCTTCATTAGGTTCCTCTCCCCTTTGCTCCTTCGCCTGAACACCGTCTCCGAAGGGCCCTTGTTGGTCGCTCCTGCCGCATGTCTCTTGGTGTTGGTTCTGAACCTGACGATCCGCATCCGTTACTGCAGTATGATCATCATGCAGCTCCTGGGTCTTCACATCACACGGAAAGAGAAAGTGTTCACTTGCGTAATCATCGGAGGAAGATAACGCGGGCATGGGCATCGGCATCCCGTCTTCTGAAACTGGGAACAACTTCTGTGCCTGCGGAATAGCGCCCTTTGTAGAAAATGGACCTCCGAGTTGTTCTTCACCTTCATTGGTCTTGCAGAAGCCCTCTCGGCCACTCCTCGTCAACGGGAACGCAGTCGTGCTAGAATTGCCAGTCCATTCGGCCGGCAGCGAGGAGGAATTATCAAGTCGGTCACTGTCAACGCTCCCACCATGCGTCATCATCCCCTGGAGAACGCCACCCCGCGGCGTCGACATAACGACGGTCAGCTGCGAACGCATTGGCATCTCACCATCTTCTTCTTCATCCACCATAGTAGATCCTTTCAAGTTAGAGTAAAGCTTTGCTGCCTGGTGTTAACTTAATATAATGCCGTTCTAGCTAAATGCCTTTCCCCCTGTTGAGAAAGGTAAAACTTCTAAAAGCGGTAAAAGCAGGAACACCACCTCGACAAGAAACATAGTATACAACAGAAACAACTACTGCGACCTAGTACCCTTAATCTTCAATTTCTTCTTGCCCTCGTCAGCAGCATCTTCATCTTCGTCTTCACTGGAAGTGATCGCTTCCATCTCATAGTCGTCGTCAACCTCTAGTTCGTCCTCATCGTCCTCAATCAGCTCCATCTCGTAATCGTCCTTGACTGGGCTCTCTTCTACCATTCCTTCTCCTCCAGCTCCTGCTCCACTTGCTGTTGCTTCTTCAGCAGCTTCTTTTAGCGCAAGCTCACTACAAGAATATGAATAATTCATCTTTTGCCTTACTAGGATCCACGACCCAGAAAAAGGAAGAACCTCCCAAGAAAGAACAAAGATGTTGACAATCTAGATGTAGTTGTACTGCGGAGCCTTAATTCTTCCGCAGACAATATACTCAAGCCAACTTCTTCGTCAAGTCCGTAGTACAGCACGCACCCTCCGGTTGAATCATTCGCAGGCGATCCGTCGTAGAGACTCAGGAGATCCTCCTTCGACATTTGCCCGCGACCTGAACCTGCTACTTCCTGTTGGTGCGTCTGGTCTACCAATCGTCGCATCGGGAATGCAGCCACCGAAGACGCGGACGAGGACCGCGGGATGCCAGCCGCTCGACCTGATAGAAAACTCAGAATGATCTTCTAGTACTTACGCAAAATTTTTTTAACACCACGCTGCTAGTGCTGTAGAGTCTGATACTACGGCACTCAAAACAATGAAGATGAAGGTAGAGACATAATAAATTAAGCAATGAATCCTATTAAATATTTCGGTTCCTCAAATGAAGATCATCAAAGTCATAATGTTATTGATCATCATAATGCAAAAGGTTGCTATTTCCCATCCCCTAAATACCACTACCACCACGGCTAAAATTAAGTCGTGTCATGATCCACCAACATCAAATAGCAACTACGTAGCCGACATGAAATTTTTGGTACGCTGTAAACGGGCAGGCGGTCTGTGGCTTCTACATCGTTGGCGACCCCACGAGGCGAGACTGGCTGCTTTGGCGCCCTCAGGGCCGCAGATATGCTTATTGTGCTTTGTGTTTCCCTTTGTCAGGAGTTTCAACGTCTTTGGTGTGAAGTTAACGAAAGGGCTACTGCGGGAATCACTGGCATTGAGGCTCCTAGGCAATTCATGGAGCATACTCCTAGTTGCACTCGCAGTTTGTTGCGCCGGTTGTCCTTGAAGAGGGGGTATTGGGAGTGTGACTTCAGAACGCTCCTCCTTCCTGCCTCCTTGTACTAGTTCAGCGCTGTCGTGAACGAGGTTTACTTGGTTGATATCAACACTGGATACGTAAAAATGTTCTGCAGGAGTCGTAGTGGTAGGTGTCGCGGAGATTTGTTCTCTTACGAATGCGCGGGTGTTGTATCGAAAATTAGTGCTGTTGCTAGAAGCAGCACTACACGTCTCGACTCCGTCCTCATCGAACACGTATCCGGTTTCACGTGGTTTCTTAGTCCTCACACCGACGGAAAAAACGGAAGGGGAGATCTCTGTCTGTGTCTCTGACTCGCACTGAATGAAGCGAGGAACTCCTCCAATACCAATATTCGTGTTAATGATCATGTTTCCTTCTCCTGCCGCTCCTTGGTAATCTTCTCCGCGAGACGAGCAGTGGTCATCGTAGTAGCTTGCATGCAAATCTAATGGTTCCAAAGCACCTGATGCAGTAGAGGAGCAATCGTCTTCTTCTTCTTCGTGTACTTCAGTCACAGTATCTACCTGCTGCATTTCTTTAGATGAAGCATCAGAACGTTCTTCCACCCCGCAGTCTTCGACTGGACCTTCTGTGTTTATTTTCATCTTGTTGCTGTGGTCGTAGTCTTTGTCCACGTTAATATTGTTGCTAGATTTCTTGGAGTCTTCATCTTCACCATTTATAGTTTGCAGGTGTTCAGCACTAAAAAATGGCGCAGGCTCTTCATTAAGTGGAGCAGGTGGTTGATTTTTCTTGCTGTCCTCGTTGACCTCAACGAGGCCAAGTGATGCACAACTCGAGAATAGTATCTTATTGTCTACTTCAAGCTGTTCAGGAGAGGCCTTGTGGTCTTCATCCGCATTTTGGAAGTAACGAGGTTGATAGGCTACGCCACGGTTACGACTTGTTCGCAGAATCGAAACCACGGATGTCCCTCGCGCCGCATCTCCTGCCGTCAAGGACCGCGGTCGTCGTGCCCGCTCTTTCTGGCATTTGTTTTTATATGATGGGATAGCTATTTGTGTATTAGTAGAGACGTCCTAAAAATGCAGGTATTTAATACCTAGAACATGCACGCGCACCTCTCCTGACTACGCATCCCTCTGGTCCCGTGTTGAGACAAATTTTTCGAGAAATTCTATGTATCTATAAATATCCTTCGAAAAATGGCGGGGCGTCGAAGATGATGGGGATACTTCTATGCGTGATTAAAGATGCTGGATGTGCACCATCTTAACTTTCTGAGAGACTTCAGGAGCCGGCTTGTTATCGGCCGACGCTTCAACAGTATGACCCTCGGTGAGTGCCCGCGGACGACCGGTACTAGTGCTCCCAGACGACCGGCTCCTCCTCGTTTCTGCAGCGCTGTACTTGTCGTGAATGTCCTTGCCTCGTCCCATAGGTGTCATATCCGATGCACGTTGACGGTATCTCGATCTGCCTCGGGAGGAAGGGGACTCGTCGATGCAGTTATCAGATGTGGTTGTTGCAGTAAAGGTGGAGGATTTCTTGTAGTTGCTATTTCCACGCCCTTGACCACCAGCGTAATCAGCTACTACCTGCCCAGGACTACAGCGAGAAACTTCATCGTCGAGGGAACGAGATGTGGCTACAGGAACTGGAACTCCTGCCGATCGCGCACTACTACCCACTGCATGTCCTCCAGCTTGATTACGCAGACGAAGACGTTGATCTCTCGTCTTTGAATCCTGAGACTGAGAGGATTTCTTGATGTTGTTCATTATGGTCTCATCATTTGCGTTATCCTCGTTGAAGCTGGCGCGTGGTGTTCCTAAATGCTCTTGGACGTTGTCGACGTCACGTCCTAGGCGAATAAAGCTGTCGACGTCGTCTTCGTCTCTCTCGTCTCTGTTGCAGAAGTTGCTTCTCATTGTCCCATGTTGTAAAGATAGTCTCCGCAAGGGATTCAGCTGGAGTTGCACGGCAACTTGTTGCTCGCGCACCCAAGCGGGGGCGCTCTTCGCCGGCTTCCCGCCGAGCGGCAGCAAAAGGGCCACCTGCCACACAGCCAGAGCGGCACAAAGTAACAAAATGGGAATTACGATTGCCATTCCAATTGCAAATGGACGACGACTACGCCAATAATGCTGTCGAACATTCTCTTGACGGCGTTCTGCTAGTGGCGCCACAACGAGGGAGAAGTAAGCTTCCAACTCCGAGGCTCCGATTCCCAGCACATCGTGATTCCTACTACCGCCTCGTCCACGAGAAGGCGTGGACCACGTTGCAGTTGCAGAGGAAGATGACGTTGACGAAGAAGATACCAAGTGCAATGAGCTCGAGGGAACTGCTCCTGCAGTTGTGAGAGGAGAGGGCGTGGGTAGAACCTTGAAAAAAATAGGTGACTTCTCTGGAGTCGTCCTCGATGATGTTGATGACAGGCCGCCTCCACTAGCACCATGATTTAGATGAACTCTCTCCACCAACTGAAGAGCTGACACCTTGTGCAGCTCCTCACGGTGCAGCAACATCTCCAACTCCGTAGGCTCAGCAACACGTTCGCTCCCTCCGTCAGCACGAGGATGGCGCCCTTGGACGAGAAGATATTGATAAATATGTTCTTGCGGTTTACCAAAACGCTTCGACGTTGTAAAGAAGTTATATTACTTAGACTGATGTCAAGCCTCAGATTATGACAGAGATCAATCGTAAAGACCGTACTAGGACTTCTATCGACAGGAGCTACTTGTAATCATTCGACTTGATCATGTGATCATGTAGTTCCTCTGAAATACAAAAGTAGAAGTTCTTGTACTTGTTGCTTTCTTGATTCTACAGTACTTCAACTTCAGCATTTTAGTACCACCTGTGGTTTCTGTAGTTTCTACGCTGCGGCTCGGACACGACAAAATATCCTCCCACTCTTCGGCGTCGTCCGCACTGGGAGTGGTGAGACGCAGAAACCTAGTGCTTTGCTGGGAGATCGTTTGTTTCTCACAGCGGCGGATGCGTTCATGGCTATTCTGAGAGTGCACCTCGCGCGTGATGCGCATCTGTTGAGCTTCACGTGACACTTGCTCCTGTAGATCCTCCGCCTCCAGCCAACGTTGGTGTCGTTCGATTGCCTTCGCAGTCAATCGAGGAAAAGCTTTTTCTTTTGGCCTACAACTTGAAGAGGAAGATAAGGAAGATCCTCCTTCTCGATCTTTGGTCTCAAGATGATCCGTTCTTTCAGGCGAATTGTGGCTGTGCTCGTCACCGTCAGGTTGCTCTACCCCCGGTCCTGATGAGTTGTTTGGAACGACGATAATAGGTTCCATTACCATTATCACCTCCTGCCCCCGCGTTGATTGTTCCTCGACAGGAGGTGAAGACGCACTTTCTCCGGTTCGTCCTGCTTCCGCTCCTGTCGTTGCAAAAACTGGTGTTGGAGGTTCAGGAGGAATTGGAATAGGAGGTGTACTATCTTCAACAATATGATGAGTATGATTTGCAGGTGGAGGAGCAGCAACATCCGCAGTAGCTACTTCCTGTACTTCACAGGAGTCAACCCGGGGTGGCGGCCCAACTACAGTCACTTGTTCAATCTGTTCTTCCTCCTGCGCTTGCTTCTCCGAATCCACCTGTTCAACTACAGTATTGGAAACAGCAGAGCCGCTCTCTGCCCGCGATCCTTCGCCCAATCTGCCTCCGCTGGTTGCTTCCATGCCACTGCCGGCCTCACGAAGTGCATCCTCTTTAGTTCTATCCGTGCCTGTTGCTGGCGCTGATTCAATGACCCCTGTCTGTTCACCACATTCTGGAGGTGCATTTTCTCCCACAGAGACGAGGGTGATGCACTCAGGTACAGACGATGAAGGATTCTGTACGACAGAAGCTCCAATAATTCCTTCCTCTTTCTCCTCTTCGACAAAACCAGTTGTAATTGCTCCAGCCTCTGCACCTGCTGTGGCAGACGTACTTGTCGCAGCCGCATCTGTTGCCGCCGAACTTATCGCAGCCGCACTTGTAGCAGGTGTGCATTTCACATCCGTACTGGTCACATCCGTACTTGTCGCAGCCGCATTCGTCCCAGGCGTTCCCGTCGCAGATGTAGGAGCTGTTGCCTCTTCAGCACTCGCATGTGAGTGGCGATCTTGTTGGCTTGCGGCGGCCTTTGCAATGTTGAAGAGCTGATCGATCATGCTAGCATCTCGAAGATTCTTGTCGTTTGCCGCAGGCTTTGTGGCGAAAACAACTCCTTCTTTTCTCATCATTGATGTGGTTGATTTCCTGGCTTCATTACCGAGGTCCATGATCAAAGCACTGCGCAATTTGTGTCGCATTCGATGCCCTTCATTTTCTGCATTCGTTGTCGCCAGACGCGCGGATCGATGTGGTGCACTCGGAGGTATAGAGGAAAGCATCCTCCCTTTTTCAAAAAAACCAGATGCAGCAGCAACAACATCGTCATCGAACATGCGCACTAGCAAGTTGCACCACTGAGTCTGGAGCACAACAGGGTCACTTTTTCCGAGAGGCACGGAGCTCAGCAGACAGCTACTGCGAACTCCCTCGATGACGACTTGTTCGACCTTGTAGACTCGTCGCGACGCTGCGGGATCACCAGGGAGCCGCACGATATCACCAGGACTGAAGTATCGAAAACCTCCTAACAAAGCTAAAGCCGGCTTTTCAATAATTTCATCCTCCTCCAATTCCTGGTCATCTAAAACATCTAGTTCTTGATCCAACGATGGCGGGAACGCAGCAGAAGTCGCTGGAGCAGTGGCGGCGGAAGCGAGGTTGTTCTCACCTCCCAACCCCACAAGAATCATGGTCATAAACAACATTACAGCATTCTTGAAAAACCCCAACATTATTATTGTAGTCCTTGAGTTCCTTGTCGTCGACACGGCGGTACCTTGGCACATGATCCGTAGCTTGGCATACACCACGCAATTTATTTCGAACATGCTACGCTGTAGACGTAGTTACTATAACTATCCCATGTGTTAGAACTTCTACTATCAAAATCAACAATCTCAAACAAATTCTCGTCAAGTTAACAACTATAGGCAAAATGCAATACAATGCAATATAATCGCGCACAGAGTAGTTCAGCGCAGACTGCCCTAAGGGCGTCGTAGTGTTTCATCGTCACGATGTTACTAAAAAGTAACAGTTACTTCACACAAGAGATTAAGCTACTAACCCGAAGCGGCACGGAACTGAGACGGGAAGTGATAATTTCTTGGAACGCTACACTTTCACTTAAACAGTATCTTTGGCTTAAACACCACAAACGCTTTCGAGACGTCTAGAAGCGAGCCACAGCTTTAAACCTAGCCTACTAAACGGCACCAACTTGGGAGACAGAAAACTAACAACTTAAACACTTACCTTGATGGACAGAAAAGGATTAAGACAAAGATTCGAGAGACCACCTTTACTTTACAAACCAGCGGACAAGTCCTGGAGAGCTTGACTAACTACTTCCAGTTACAAACTAGTCTTCACTTGGGCAAACCTTTAAAAAGAAAACCCACACACCAATCGCCTACTACTTACCAGCTACCTTGGGCTCAGCTGCGTGCTTTCTTTCGTTGGACTTGTAATACAATTGGTCTAGACGATAGCGGAATTATCAAATTTCATTAGATTTAGATTAACTTCCTGGCTTAACACTACCCAGTTACTCTCGAACGCTTCCTAAAGTTTTGATTGTGGGATGTACGGTAGAGGAAAGAGGGGGAGGAATGATCGGAGGTAGTAAATAGTAGAAACCTTCTTGTGAGAAAAGAAGAAGACAAGGATAGATTGGACTTGTAAGAAAAGAAGAAGACAAAGCTATGTACGAAGTAGAGTGTAACAAGTGGACGCGGAGAAAGCTTTGCGATAAAATTGTAAGACTTTTGTAAGAAGAGTGCCTCTGAAGCTTTACTGTTTTAATTGGCGTTCTTCTTCTTTCCTAAGTAAGTTCGAGTTCCTTGATTGTGACTAACTTTCTACATTATAATATCATCTCTACTCGACGACGTTAAACAAGCCACCACTCTAACTCCGTCGGTTACCCTGCTGGCCACCCTTGGCCCCCCCAACTCGACCCCCGCCCCCCTTTCTGTCTACCACAGAAAAAGAGAGGGAGAAAAAGTAGAGTGACTTAGATTACCACCAGTGCTTCACTTTCACTTCAGCCGAATAAACTGATGCAACCAGAACAAGCGGTTTCTTTCAACAGTGAAACGAAAGTGAATGTGTCAACACCATAGGAACCTTGACGCCGTGGCTGCGGAGGACGAGATCCAAAATACAACACAATGGCACTTTCACAGAAAAAGTCTGTGCCAAGCAAAAGAAAAATAAGCGGCCACACAACAAGACACTTGTTCTTGCTCTCACGAGATGCATCGGTCTTTCAGGTGGTTCGTGTTCATCTTAGAATCAAGAAAAGACTTTAATATGTTGACTTTATGTTTCAGGGAGTTCATGTTGACAACTTCTCTGACAACAAAAAGTGCTTTAGTAGAATCAGGATGAACAAGATGCGTTTTTCAGAACACTTTTTCTTTTTCCCAACATCTTGATCTTCGATCATACTGCAATATCTTCCGCTAGCTTAACCCTGAATCGCAGAAAGCGTGTTTCTTTTCCTTCTATTACACACATTCCCAAACCTCTTCACGATGCTGCCATTTGACACGCACACGGGAAATGGTGACTGTCGTGACCACAAGGTTTTCCTATTATGTGATGCGTGTGGTTCTCCAATCATTGAATCAATCCACTCACAAGACATGCATTTTGTGAGAATAAGCACCACGACTTCTGGTTTTCCAATTCCATAATTGATGAAGAAGATAAAAATAATATAATAAATAAGTATTCTGAAAAGGAAACTGGTCAGATCAGAGCCTGCAAAGATGTGCTGTGTGAATGACGCAACACGCAATGGATTACACTAGCTGGTAAGGAGTACAAAATAGGCCTGGGGACCGGTGCGGATTATCATTATATTTCTTTTACTCGTCAAGTAAAAACGACTTATCTTCGGTATCAAAAGTGCTGGCATTGATTACTTCATAATATTCGCGTTCTACGTTCGAGAAACATGAGAATTTATCATACAGATACAGTGCCGGGCGAATGCGCGTGCCCATCCCGCACGGCCGCCAGGCCCCATAACTGTCTGGGTGATTTCATATTCGTCTGGCTTGTGTGATGTATTCTCTATCTCTTGCTCTTCCTATACAAATAAATCCATGCCCCTCCTTCCCCTGTACAAGAAGCCTATCTTCATGTACATTGTTTGACTGATGTGAACTTCCTGGCGGCCACTTCCTCTGGATGTGTTGGACCTTTCATCTTTACCCTTATGATTTTTGCTATGTTCATGTTGGGCATGCCATATCTTCTATTCAAACAAATGCCGTTTTTTAGTACATTCAAATTAGTAGAAGTTGCATATACAAGAAGCAAGTCAGCTGCTCAGTCTTGGCCTTGGGCCTAAAGCTAAATCAGCCCCGAAAACGATCTTGGTTAGGTTTCGGATGCCTGGCCTGTGAAAACTTCACGGGATGGCACCTGTACGAGATAGCAGTAAGATTATCAGTCAACTTATAGTAGGTGATAGCTTTCCGTTGCAAACAGACAAATGACAGAACATTTACCGTAGAACATGGGCTCCGCACCATCCATTCACTTAGAAAACTTACACTAACCAAGTCATCCGACGGTCTTCTTTAGAAAAAATAGTAAGACTACAGTTCAAATGTTGACAGTGAGATAGTGAGAAGTGCACTTCACAGGTCGAAGTCGTGTGGCTCGACTCAACGTTTCTAATGATGAGGTCTTAATCCAAATATCACGATGATGTTGTTGATGGGCATCAAAAATAAATTTGCTCGTGACCTAAACTCAAGTAGACCAGCCACTCTACAATAAAAAAATGAGAGAACCTCAAAGTACCAGAAAAATATGTATCCATACGATCTCATCTTCAGGCTTATCCCGTGTCAGGAGCGAAGGCGGCCCTCGCGTCTCTTGCGCTCAGCGTCTGCCTGCTGGTCTATAGGCCGTGGCCTACAGCACACACGCACTACACTGTCACTGTCGTACTTCTGTACTTCGGCTAGCAACGTCGATGCCAGCAGCAGTGCGCGGTCCTTCATTTTGCTCTTTTCAGGGCAATACAGTTACGAATTAGAGTACCATAATTGTTCGTGGGAGTAGAAGTTGACGAGAGCGACCGCGTCTTTCACAATCAAGAAGCTCGGTAAAGGTATCTACACATAAAAATGAAACAAGAAGCACAATTTGTACTTTTCGACGAATTATTGCTCATTCACATTTACTTATCCATCATTACAACATTGGATCAACATCAACAACATGTTGATGTAGATGTTGATGTTCATTGATATGAAGACCATAAGAAACGTCTGGAATCGTGGTTTCTGAGTGGCTCCGGAATCTGTTCCTGTCCTGTTTTGCACTGCTGCAGTTGAGTCTCCGGATCTGTTTTTCAGTGTTGTTCGTTCTCCCGTGGTTCTGTTGTTTGAGTTTGCCACGACGGCTCCTCGCACCACTCTGGTGTTATTCGCGTTATTCGCGGATTGGTCTAAATCTTAACGCTAGTTAATCACTACCCGTGGTTGAGTGAGTTACCGTTTTCCCTTGAATTCAGAGAAGACTCAACGAACTCAGCATCCATAGTCCACATGGGAGTGGGAGAGCTGTATAAATATAACTGGCCTTAAAAATTTCCCCTCTCGACCACACGATCATCGTCGTCCATGTGTCGAGCCTCTTTGATCATCTCCCCAAGTTCGACGCCGTTCTCATCCATTATTTCATGCGTCACCTCAGGTATCTCGCAATAACTCCCGTTCTGATAAAGCGACGCTGACAGAGTGTACCGCAGCTCATTACATCGTTAGAGAATTAAAGCAATATTATAATGTCAGCACGAAGAGGAGCGTGCACCTACAAGAACGAGCGATTATGAAAATTGTCAGTCTTCTCCGCGACAGTTGCGGGACCTCTTACTCTTGTTAGACACATCTTATATTCCGGTTCCCTTACAACCCTCCTTTCATAATTTGCATTGTAGATCTCGTGGTAGAGTCCACAGCATTGAACGTGATCCTGCACGTAACCGATATATTCTGGTCCACCCGTGATTACGTCACCCGTTGAAACCTGTGGTCATGGGTTCGAAGAACATTAAGCGTCATGCCCATATTCATGCAGCGTAGTGTATCTAGTAGCGATTGTTTTGCCATCTTCCGTAGCGCCGAAGTATTATATTTCTTCTGTCTGTTAGTGTTCAAACATGGTTTTAGAAGACTTCTATAAATGCAGGAGGATTATAGATACCACGAGCACGACTCTTGTCACAGAATAATCAACCAGCAGGTCTAGTTCGTCTTCAAAAAAAATTTAAGTAAATATGAAGTTGAAGTACGTGCATTTTCGGCATGCAAATGGTGGATGAGAAGGAGTAGAAGAAGGGACAACAGCACTTGCACGTATATGGAATGCAAAGGTGTCATTAGAGGAAGACATTACGAGCTGTACCATTGACATGGACAGCTAGGTTGTCGGACGACGTCAGTCCGTTCACATGATGTAATACTGAAACACTACTCAAGAACATGATGTCATTCATTCGCATCCCTGGTAGTGCTCCCTACCTCTACGGGCGGGATGATATGTTGATTAAACCATAATCGGGATTATATCATCTCCATCTACTTTCTATAGAGATGCTGCAATTGTTTATATCCTTCAATATGGATGCAGAGGATACAATCGAGGAAATGTAGCAATAACCGAATGGGCACAGGCATTGACACCATTCGCATGCGAATTCTTTGTCGAGCGTCAAAACGGAATCGTCCAGTTCCGGCAGATCTGTATTGGGGTCGTGTAGATCTGTGTCATCACTGCGCTCAGTGCCTCCAATACGTTAGAAACTCAATCTGAGCAACTCGAAAGATCCGTTTTCGCTGGAAATAACCCCGCCCGAAGAACTTACAGCAGTTACGTGTATCAATATACCTTGATACGTCTTTCCTTTTTTCAGTCTGTCTACTAAAAAAAACAAAAAGGATGTACTCCTGTCCATAAAAAGATCCCTGAGCCTGTTGTCCTTCGAGTACATCATCGAGATTCTTGACGTGCACGTACAAACGCGTAGGTCGTTGTCCACGGCAGAAAAACTTGTGGCACATCGACGCATCTTCGTACACCCTCATTGGGAGCTCCAACATGCCAGACGATGCCTCTGCAGTGACCATTAGCGCATCACGGTAATGTGTAATTTCTTGTTAGCCATTTTTGTTGTATAAAAAGCTTTGAAGCAGAAAGAACAGTTGTAAAAAAATTGAGAACCATAGCATCTTTCATCAATAAACCTGCAAAATTGATCCACTTTCGCATTCCATAACATTAGTTGCTGCAACATTGGGGCAACTTCCGCTTGTGTGAAGTGCGACTTCATTGCTTGTATGGCCGCCCTCCGTTTTTGCGCCGCGTCGCTTCCACCAATGTTCTCCATGCATGAAAAAAGGGAAGGACAGTGATAAAAAGGCTATCTACTTCCTACTTGTGGTGCTAATCATTTCTATAAGGTGCTATACAGTACTGGCGGTAATTCAAACGACATCGAAAAATACTAACTACATAGAAGAAACTCATCGCCCGCCGCCATTTTCGCGGAGAGACCTCGTCCTTGTAGATACTTGCGGTGTCTTTATCATCCGTTCTACCACTCCTTTCTACTAACTTCGTTCTTGCCATAAAATCGTGTATCGGTTGGGCGCGACCCAATTACAGCGAAAGCAGCAATCGTGAGCGTCAAGTACTTGCGGTATCTGTGTGATCTTGAGTTGTCGTTCGAATGCCAGCATAATTTGCTGCGGCGGCGCGGCGAGAAGATTCCCCTTCTCCGCATCATTCTCATCTGCGCCATCGGTAATTGATCCATAAATTGAACTTAGCATGTTCATCGGGAACCTCCCCACCCTTGTAGTCTACTAATAGACTACTAACTTCTGAGAGGTGACTACCAATACATAGTAGACTACTTCTGAGAGATCGTGAAGGTAATGTTCGACGACCATGACAGTTGAAGTACGCTCATGATAGTCCTACTACGGTTATTCCCTCATTTGAGATTCAAACACCTCTGACCGTGTCTTCAATTATTATTGCTGGGTGATGAGTAGTATTACATCTCTTTACTCCTTTTTCTACCTTGTTTTCGAATTTCCGAGTCTTTAGCGACGTGGAAATAGGGATTTGGATAAACAATCTCCCGACAGTTATCTACTGGCAGGACGAGGACGCTACTGGCAGGTGGCGTCCTCGTCGATCAGGACTGGTCTTTGCGTCCAGTCGATATCTCGGAAATGGGGAGGCAGTTCCAAAGAAATCGTGCTCGCACGCCGCAAAGAAATCGCGCTGCGCTCGCCTGACATTGAAGTTGATGTCGTGGTGGTGGAGGACTCTAGCTTATTGTTGCTGTTCACACTTGTTGCACCAGTGGTCTCTTCGACTCTCGCGTTGGAACTCATCTTGTTTTCGGCTCTAAAGAGGAGTGAAAGAAGCGCTTGGAACAAGAACGAGGAGATAATCGAGATCATCAAGGAATAAAGGACTTACATTATATCAGGACATTTTCTCTCATCGCCTCTCAACTTGCAGAGAGGACCATCGTGTCGCAGTAGCCCATCTCCCCGTTTTTGGCAGAAGCAAAATCTCGGAGTAAATCGGCAGATGACTGGCTGCTCTGAAATAAATTCCAATATGGCATGCTGCTCGATCACACCTTTTCTGCCGTGAAGCGTGGTTTCATATAAAACATGACAAGAAGATATGCCACCAAATGCGCAGCGGGGGGGCATCTGTGCAGGAAGAGACGCTTCTGAAGTCGGTAGCACAGTCGAGGTAGATGCGGGTGGTCGTTATGAGGCCATAAGCAATGGATGACATGGATGTGCCACCCCGATTTTTTCACTTAGTGCGAAAGAACGAAAGAATCAACGAACGGGTAGAAACTATGCTGGAAGGAGTAGTACATGTGTTGATGTTAAAGTAGTAATAAAAGGAATTATGCATCATGGTGTTTTGTAGATATGAGAGTAAAAAGTACTTATACATGCTGTTGCTGATGTTCTTACTATGCACAACGAATTCTTGCGGGGGAACCCGGGGCTAATTATGATAATGAGTGGACTACTAGATTGGTGTGGCCAGCACATGATAAAATATGTTCAATATGGTGGTGTTTATGAGAATTATTGCAACTAATTTCTTTGTGACTTCTTGGAAAATCGTCTGTCATCTTTGTCAATCACTGTGCGACAAGAAAAAGAGAAAAAAAGTAATAACTCCTGTATTTGTGCTGTATACAACTGAAACTCTAACTGAAGGAATTCGAAACTGTATAACTGTATTAACACCTGTAGTTGCGTTGGTTACTGTCCACAAGCGAGACCTTTGGTTCGATTGATTCTTGAAAAAAGTCCGGCTTGCAGCATTAACACATTATCTTCGACAGAAACTGTAAATCGTTTTAGGCTAAAAAATCGAATAAACTGTAAATCAACAACAAACAGCTATGTATCAGTAAACAGATGCTCTGAACAAGGAAGTGACAAGAAAACGACAAAGAAACTGATAGATGCGAAAGAAACTAGTACTATTGTGAAAAAGAATTGATGGTCTGATCAACAGTAAAACGAATCATAACCAACCGATTTCGAGCAATAAAACAGAGAACTATAATTGACATGTTGTACTATCCATCTTTAAATCTCCAAGAAGATGCTCCAATTGCAGCCAACTCCTCACCTATGGGACGCTGGCAGCATACTGAGCTTTGAGAACGAGACTTGCTGCGTCGATGGTCCTCCTCCAACACGACTAGCTGGTGATTTTATCTCGGCGCTAACATCGAGTATCTTCTGCCTCCTCGACGCTCTCTTGCTGCCGACATCATGTGCGGCAATCCTTTCCGGCGCGTTGAGTGGTTCCCTTCGGTCGTCTTGTAAAGCGAAACCCTCGTCGGGTCGTGCAACTACATCAGATGATTGCCCTTCTACCTCGTTGGCATCACTCGCCGACCTCGCTGTAGCGTCCATGATCATTTTTGCTGGTGAAGATGTTCCCATCTCCGACTCTACTCTTGACGAAGTAGACCTGTGTATTAAGTCGTAGTTGTCCTCTTCTAGATGTACCGTTTCTACATCAGAAGACCCATCTGCTACAAGGCGAGCTCGAGGTTCCTCGTCTACCAATGAAACGACACGACCTTCACTTTTTGATTTTGAAGATGCCAGGGAAGATGCTACTTCAACTTCTTCTGGCTGCTGCTTGCCTCCAAGCTCATTTTTATGCTCAACGACTACATCTACATCCTCCAGCTCCACACCCTGATTAACTCTACTAGTAGATGAATCAGTGTTCTGACTTTCCTCTTCTTCTACACTTTGATCTCTACTAGACTCAGTGTTATGTGTTTCTGCCTCGGAGAGTTGTGAAGTAATGAAAGCTACTCCTGCTGGGTCAGCTACTTCGTCAGAAGATGCCACGGACTCACTGCCTTCCTCTGCCCCATTTGTACCTGACGCCGACAAAGAGGATGCTCCTGTATCTTCGCTATTTCTGCCACTCTTCCCTATTTCTGGCGTGACAGGAGCTACATGATCCCTACTACTGCGCGTCTCGTCTTCTGTCTCTTCTGTCCTCTCCCGACGATTCAACTCAGTGAGCCATATGCGTGTGTCTGTTGGTTGTACTACCGTAGTGCTGTGCGCCAGTTCTAGACGCCTGAATTCGAGAGGCATATCGTCGTAGTTGCTCATTTCGCTAGGCTTCATTTTCAGCCCTGCAAGATTGCACTTGGTCCATCCCCGTCCGTCAGCGTCCTTGTCCCACACTATCTTACATGCCTTGTCCATCGTACACTCAGCAGCAGCATCGAAATAGTCCGCGTATTCCTGGAAAAAGTAAGTAAGGTTGGTGTACATAGTGTACATCTGATTGCTTCATCATTGAAAAAAGAAGTCCTCGTGCTGGTCTTAATATTAAGAGCAATAAAACTTTGCAAACACATCCCTTCGGAAACCTCAACCTCCAACACCCAAACCCAAAACACCCAAACCCAAAACACCCAAACCCAAAACCTCCGACACAAAAACAAACAAACCCCAAACCCATGAACCCATGAACCCATGAACCCATGAACCCATGAACCCATGAACCCATGAACCCATGAACCCATGAACCCATGAACCCATGAACCCATGAACCCACGAAACCACGAAACCAGGAAACCATGAAACCATGAAACCATGAAACCACGAAACCACGAAACCATGAAACCATGAAACCATGAAACCATGAAACCATGAAACCATGAAACCATGAAACCATGAAACCACGAAACCATGAAACCATGAAACCATGAAACCATGAAACCATGAAACCATGAAACCATGAAACCATGAAACCACGAAACCACGAAACCACGAAACCACGAAACCACGAAACCACGAAACCAGGAAACCACGAAACCAGGAAACCACGAAACCAGGAAACCACGAAGCCATGGAATTGAATTTCGGGGGAAAGGGCTTAAAATCAAAAATTTTGGGATCTTAGCAGTTCAAACCCTCGAGATTCACTCTCAAAATGGCGAAAAATGTGGAAAATGGCGAAAAATGTGGAAAATTTTCGAAATTTGAAAAAACACGAATCCAAGGAATTAAATTCCAAGTAAAGGGCTTAAAATCAAAAATTTTCGGATCTTAGCATTTCAAATTCTCGAGATTCACCCTCAAAATGGGGAAAAATGTCGAAAATTTTCGAAATTTGAAAAAAAACGAATCCAAGGAATTAAATTCCAGGCAAAGGGCTTAAAATCAAAAATTTTGGGATCTTAGCGCTTTAAACTCTCGAGGTTCACTCTCAAAATGGCGAAAAATGTCGAAAATTTTCGAAATTTGAAAAAACGCGAATCCAAGGAATTAAATTCCAGGCAAAGGGCTTAAAATCAAAAATTTTGGGATCTTAGCACTTCAAACCCTCGAGATTCACTCTCAAAATGGCGAAAAATGTGGAAAATTTTCGAAATTTGAAAAAACGCGAACCCAAGGAATTAAATTCCAAGCAAAGGGCTTAAAATCAAAAATTTTGGGATCTTAGCGCTTCAGACTCACGGGATTCACTCTCAAAATGGCGAAAAGTGTGGAAAATTTTCGAAATTTGAAAGACGTGAATCCAAGGAATTAAATTCCAGACAAAGGCCGCAAAGTCAAAAGTTTTGGGATCTTAGCACTTCAGACCCACGGGATTCACTCTCAAAATGGCGAAAAATGTGGAAAATTTTCGAAATTTGAAAGAACGCGAATCCAAGGGATTAAATTCCGGAGAAAGTGCTTAAAATCAAAAATTTTGGGATTTTAGCGCTTCAAACGCACGGGCTTCACTTTCAAAATGGCGAAAAATGTGGAAAATTTTCGAAATTTGAAAAAACGCGAATCCAAGGAATTAAATTTCAGAGAAAGGGCTTAAACTCAAAAACTTTAGGATCTTAGCCCTTCAAAATCAAAGGGCCCACTCTCAAAATGACGAAAAAGGTGGAAAACTTTCGAAATTTGAAAAACGCGAAGCCAAGAGATTGAATCTCACGGAAAGGGCTTAAAGTCAAAAGCTTTGGGGTCTTAACGCTTCAAACTCCTGCGCCCCAATCTCAAAACGGCGACAAAATTTGGAAAATTTTCGAAATTTGAAAAACGCGAAGCCAAGGCATTGAATTTCGGGGGCAAGGGCTTAAAGTCAAAAGCTTTGGGATCTTAAGGCTTCAAACTCACGGGATTCACTCCCAAAACGACGAAAAACGTGGAAAATTATCGAAATTGGAAAAACGCGAAGCCAAGAGAGTTTTGGGATCTTAGCCCTTGACTTCAAACGCACGAGATCCAATCCCAAAACGATGGCAAAACGTGGAAAATTCTCGAAATTTGAAAACGCATATCGCTTACGTCTTTGCCTTGCTTAGTTTCTTATTTTGGGGAGGGGGGGGATCCTAGTGGGAGGGATGTTGTCGGACGCTCCAAGCTAGTATTATACTTTGGCTCTTTGCCTCACCTTGTACTTCAACATGGATCACCATGATGTTGCTAGAGCAGTCAGTATAAAAGCTACAAGTGCAGCAGCCTCAATTCTCAAAGCGAAACTCTTCTATTCTCGTTCAGTGCAATATACATGGGTACCTTCTGATCATATCCGCAGTTGAGTTCGGTGGCGCGGTTGACCCAAGGTGCAGGAACTGCGTGGACACTGCCCATCTTCGGAATCATTTCCGGCGTTGTCGTCTTAGAGCTTACCCAAATCCATCTACTTTGGATTCATCATCTTGGAACTGCTTCTTTCCCCTTGTGAGAAAGCTCCACGATGCTTTCTTGGAAGATGGATTCGGGTAAGTCGTAATTGTCGTCGTCGTGCTGGATATTGGCGTTGCTACATCCGATCGCTTCCGATACACCATTGTTAGTGCTTGTTCCGTCAAGTTGCCCACCATAGTACCCAAAAGCGAATCATTATTTTAGATGGTGTCGCGGCCACTTTTTGTTGACTTTCTTATAGTATTCATTGTGAATGGACGACAAGAGTCATGGTTGTAGTTTGGTAGACAGTCATACCCCGCACGTAAACTGCATTCATGCATGCGTCTCTGTTGCCAACTTTCCTGATGACCGTACTAAAGACATTCAACAGCTGAAAGAATAAGAAAGTGCTTTATACTAACAACTACCTAAATTTCTATTTCAAAGCCATGCCATAGTTGTAGCTTTCCTGGTATTCTTCTGGGGAAAAGCGCTCCCCGAATAGCAGTTCCTTCCGCGGCAACAAATGCTGCTCTTTCGGGTCGCCGACACCGATGCAGCCCAGAGATACCCAAGCTTTTCTTCCCGGTGTATAGTTGTCTTCGAAAATCACGAGATTAGAGCTGTACAAAAAAACTTACTCACGTGGTCCAACACGACTTTGTGGATCCCCCAACACCTTGTCTTTCCTTGTTCAGCTCGTTGCTCGTTGTTCATCTTCATGTCCCAGTCCCACGGAGAGGAGCAAACTGTAACGCCAAGGAAAAGGATGGATCGTGGATGATTTAATGTTAAAGATAGTATGAGCAATGAGTTGTTCCCCAGATGTGAGAGTACTAATCATTATCAGCCTCTGCAATCGAGTCTCGTGTTCTCGCCGCAATTATGCTTTGCGCTGTGGGAACTTGGGTTGAGAATGTGAAAGTACTATTAGTATGCTGACCTGGAAAATAGATTGTTATTGAAAACAGAGTAAATAAAAGAAAGAAAGTATATTAGCGAAGATTGTCAATAACAGGTTGCCATCCTTAACGACATGTGTGCACTGCGAATGAATCAGGCATGCCTCGTTGCACTTCGCTATGCTAGGGGCAACACCGGACAAACTGAAGCTCGTACGGTCGCTTGTCGGCCGTTTTCCTGGACCACCGCCTGGCGCCTCCGTACTAGTAGTTGTCTCGTTCTCGCTCGTCAGATTTTTAGAAGTAGTTCTCGGAGAACAAAAACCTATAAATAACAGGTACTACTCCTACCTGTAGTTCTTCTCAAGCTCAACATAATTTCCTAGGTGGGTATAATTTCAAAAATCTATTTTGTGTTTTTAGTTACTGTAGTTATAAAAAAATTTGATTCTTCTGGTATTATGTTCGTTCCTTCACCCGATTCCTCTCATAGCATTGCTATTATTGAGCGCGTCCATGCTGGTCCCTTCTTCAGACTCGATGATTTGCCCGGGTTCGAAGTAGAGACCGCGAAAGTCGAAAATTCTAGGCCTTGTGCACGGATTCGCAACGTCGGCAGCGAACCCAAGGTCGAAGTACGCATTTGTCGTGTCATCGAGTCCGCAACTACCTCCCCGCCGCACATACTTGTCGAAATGGGAACCATCCAGAGACATGTAAGTTGCTGTGGTTGGATGATCATTGTCACGAATCTCTGAAGATGAAACAATTTATTAGAATTATGCCAATCACGAGAAGCAGTTTCTGTTTTTTACCATTCATCTTCTTGTTCATCTTCATGTGAGAGGAATCAATGAATTTGAATTTCCAAGTTGCCAAGTGAGAACAACCAAAACAAAAGTGAGAAGATTAGGTAATGATACACTTACCTGGTCTTGTAGAGTACGAGCTTTTGCGGAAAAAGAGCGTTTCCTTTGCATATTGCCGATCGACTTCACCAGGTCGGTAAGCGCACCCTACACAGAAACGGATATTAGAGCCTACTTACACCAATAATTAGTACCTTTTAGATAAACTGCTTGTAGTTGTTGCTGGTAGCAGCCAGAGGTGAACAGCATGGTCGCTCTAGTACTACCCAAACGCAAGTGAAAACTCATCCATGTTCATGTTATTGCTTGGACGTACGGCTTCCACGCAGAACGCAGACGCAGAAGATAATGATAAAGCCTATTCAATTTATACTATAATTAATACTATAAATTCATTTTTAGCTTTACGGTGATATAATAGCCTTAATGACGTCAGTTTCTACGTCCTTCGTGGGGTCCATCGCATTCACGAATGCCATGCCAATGCACTTTTTGCTCGAAATCATCGTTGGGTCACTACACATCTTCATGCAGGTTCCCATACTCGGCGAAGAGCCCTGATAATACACCATCTCACCCGGAAGCTCCAAGAAATGAAAAAGAGCACTTAAGGGCTTAGGATTTTCGTGGGCGAGATTAATATTGGGTTTGGGAGTGCACTATGCTGGGTACTAAAAATAAACTGGCGCTGTTTGTGGACAAGAACTAGTACCAAGAACAGCTCGTTTCTTAGAAGCAGGTGGAGTTTCTTCGTTCGCTGATCGAAAAAAAGAGTACTAGGAGATAGGAGTACCTAGTTACTATAAATAAAAAGCAGTTTGCTCCTTCAAAAACAAAAATATCCACGAGCACGTCCCATTCAACATAATTGCGAGGGCCAATACGTAGGATTCCATCATCTGCATCGGAGTAGGCACAGCGCATACCAGCTCCAGATGGTGACGCTAGCATCTGTGGACCGGATGGCAGTCTGTATTAGAGCTGCTCGCCCTGACCCTGATCTTCCATCTTATAGATACAATAGACATAGAGAAACCTGGATCGCCCTAATTGACTCGTCTTGAGATGGTACATCCTGGAGCAGGGTGTCAATCTTGCTTCCGTCTTATAAAATTGGTGATAGTGCATGCTGGAGGGTCGTGTCTTTTTCCCTTGAACGGTGTCTTTCTCTTGAAGAGTCTCTTCTCCAGGATGACTCTTCCGAAGATCGATGGATTACAGGAAGACCTAACTATAAAACGACCTCTTCGCGAAGGTTATTGCGGGAGTGCCGTCATTACCCGTCTTGATCGTAGGACGCACTCGACAGCCAGCACAGTAACGCAAACCCTGACTCCCATCCACGTAGCCTATTGTCGAGTAACGACAGTCCGGAATCTTCTCACAGAGAGCGACACAGTGCTCAAAATTCACATTCAAACCAGTCGCATGCACCACCCGGTTGCAGGCACCAAAACGCCAACGAATCTATCGAAAATCGGGATGAAAATGTAAATGCAGCAAGCATAAAGAGAACTATATGTACATGTACATGATTGACAATGAATTTGAATTAAAAATGAGGCATCGCTCGCGGAAGAAGAAATAGCCTCTATATTTGTAAAAAGTACTCAAAGAAACAGCTTTATTTGCTCAAGGTAGCACTAGTGGAAACAAAAACGCAAGTCGGAATAATTGAAATGTACAATGCCATCCCGCAGTTTATCTGGTGGGGTGACGAAGGGCTGATTTGAGTGCACCATGCGGTCTTTGTCGAGTGCGCAGTTGTTAGGGCACACCATGCCTGATAGACTGTCGTCTGGGTGCATCACGTACGTGCTGCTAGGTGCTAATGTTCGCCGGCACAAGTCGTTCATGTGCACCGTCACCATGCCCTCCGCTCCACCTTTTACGATCGTGCTTAGAAGTGGTAGACAACCTCTTCATTAGACAGCACGGTGATGCAGAGGGGACAATCATTGTCCAAGATGTAAGAAGTCTAAGTTAAGATAAGTTCAAGTTGTTTCGACTTGTCATCAAACAGCATCAATCGCGAGTGACTCGCAGTGGATTTTCTCTGTTACAACTAGAACTGCCGGTTTGTTTTTACACAAAAACGATAAACCAGGAGAGATATATGAGCTTGTCAACATCTTTTTCTTTACTAAGTGTTTGTAGTGAAATAAGAAGGGTTCTCTAAGAACAGCCTAAGAATCAGAACTACAAGCGTAGAAAGTACTACTCGGACTAGAGATTCAAATCAAATTTCATAACCTCCGATCAGAGGGGAAGATCGCCGACTTGAGAAAGCAATCCTTCGTGTGCATGTCGTACGTTACGGCTGTGCAGTCTGGCGTATTCGCGCAGATTTTATAGCAATGCATCGGCTTCAACTTGTCTTGCGCCAACGCCACTGGCTGCGCTACTATCGAGCCATTCGTGCGTGACATCCAGAGGTTGTTTCGAAGATTAGAGGCACTAGGTTCTTGGTCGGTGTTAGTCCCTAGTTTACCCCGTTTCATCCGTTAATTCTGCGCATTCTCCCCTGTGAAGGAGAGAGGCAAGGCTATAACGGGAACTACAGAAACATCAAAAACCTACCCGTAAGAGAAGTTTCCGGCAAATACGCGACGTCCCGCTCGTAATCACAGACGTAAGGAAGGCCTCCGGTTGGTGCCGAAACTACGGACGACATAAATGGATGCTTTTTCTTCTTGGGCCTCCTTCCGCCGAATGAAAGAGGCAGTATGGACAACACGTTGATTTGTTTTGTCGAAGATATCAATGGTCATGATGTCAAGTAGTGCATCTTCTAGGCTTAGGATTTATTTAGTAAAAACATAATCTAAATTGCGTAGGCTATATTTTCTTGTATTGTAATCATTTTTGTTATCCTTGTTGTACCCGAAGTGGTGCCAGTACTGGTACGAGCAGATCATAACTCGGCTGTTCCTTGGATGCCTCCGCTAATGAGTTCCTTGAAAAGAGCTTCTGAGTGTTTCCCGACAGAGAGCCCGCCCACCATGGCAATATGTTGAAAGGTGCTCCGACACTTGGCTGACATCTCACCTTAGAGGCCCACCTTCCCTACAGTATACAATATTCATCTTGAAGCGCTGCATCTTTGATCATTTTGGAAGAGTGTCAAAAGCGATGCTGATGCTTCTACCTAAGATGAAAACGAGTTTGAGGATGAACCCTTAATCAACTGAAGCGTAGTTCGCTGCTAGAGCGCTCTGCGTATCCCTCCTCAAATTCGCCCACACACCCGTTTTCAAGACGCAGTTGCTCCCTTCAGATGCAAGGTCCAGCTTTCGACCTGGCATATTGGCTAGCCGTCTCAGCGCAGCATCCCGCAGCAGAGTTTACATGAAAGGAGGGATTAGGGAGTTCTTTAGCACTCTACTTAGGGATAGCAGGGGGGTCCAAGAAGTAGCACAAATGATTGAATTTTGCTAAGTACTAAGTAGTTCAAGTTTTAGAGAAGCTTCCTGCTTCTTTCTTGAATTAAACGAAATCTGATTCTAAAGGAACAAATTGGTGCTAGTAGTCTCTTGCACCGGCATCCTATACTTGTAAATATCACTTCTCACGATTAAACTACGAAAAGGAAACTGTAGCTATTCCTCACAGATGCCATACGTTGTTGGTCTACAACGTGTGGTGTCACCTCAATGAAAGCACCAGTATCGTTGAAGGCCTTCCAATTCAGCTCTCCAGGCCCACCATTCTTAATCGGCGTCGTGTCGTTATCACCAGGTGCAGGGAAGCGGAACTTAGATTCGGTGCTAGGAACGGTACTACGAAGACCGCTGTGTAATCATCATGACCATGCTGCTCCAAATAGTACAATCGCCATGCAAATGGCATCACCCGGTCTCATATGTTCAGAATCTTCTGTAAAAAATTTTCGGACGCGCTAGTAGAAGTAGAAGTTCCACTAGTAGTTCCACTAACGAGCTCTGGAAGTAGCTGGTACCAGAGAAAGAGGATAAAGTTGTACAAGTACAACTACTAAGAACTACTAACTACAATGAGCAAGATTGACACTGGTCTTCCAATAAAACGGCTCATAACAACCCCATTCGAGTACATGGCCTGAAATTCGGCTGCAGGAAGTTCGCCGTGATAGAGCTCCCCTCGCCACACCCATCGAAATGGCGCTGTCTTGTGACGCGCAAAAGCTACGCCGGAGCAGCCTGGTGTGAACGCGCAGACTGCAGCGCACTGATCTACAGTCAGCAGGCCCGGATGGAAGTTGATACCGGCTTCGGCTGTATCCTCGAGACTACTACCAAGATCGACCAGATTTCCGTCCACTATCATCGTCGTTTCCTCTATCACACACGCATTTGGAAGCTCCGCCAAAACGCCTATCATGGAAAAATCGCTGTAAAGGTGTAAGAAGAGGTAGTATGGAAGATGATACGCCAAAATTCCGACGAGAAGAAGCACAAGGTCGAAGACTGGTGAAACGACGTCCCACAACGGCCGCAGATGACTAGACGCTGCTGTAATTGTTGATGTAAAAGTGAGGTGTCTCCTCATCTTCTTCTTCGGTCCTGGTTTACTTCTTCTGGAAGCATTTTTGCATGCTATTCTCTGTTTCTTCGGTCGGGAGCCTCCTTTCGTATCGCTGCATAGCCATAGCCACGCACTAGAGACACCAACGCGCCAACTACTGTGGAGTCCCTCGTCATCTGGGGGTTTTTTTCTGCGACGAGGACACCGCCTCACTAAGATCGGATACCCAAAAGCGTTTGAGCATTTTTCGGAGTCCGTGTCCAACGCTCCTGTAGTAAGGGCTATTTCCTCCTCTTCTTCCGCCTCCAGACTCTGAGAGAGTGTTGGCGAGGACATCCACTTTTTTCTCCTCCGTCTTCTAGAGCGAGCCACCCACATGCATTCCAGCGTTGCTGCTCCAGCGTTGCTGCCGCTTGAACACCGAGACGATGCCAGCAAAGCTGCGCTCGTCCCATCATCTTGAGACCTTTCCTCTCTACACTCTTCGGCAACTCCTGTCCGTGACCGTATTCCGCTGAAGGGTCGCCACCGGCCCCACCCCATTGCCGTCCTTCTTTGCCTCCGTATCATCTTTACAGGAGGAGATAATTCCACCGACAGTAGAGTGGAGGGCGACATCAGACCCTTGTTCATGACAAACGATGCCTTGCCTCCTGCACGTAGTACGGATAGCTGCTGCTGCACAAGACATCGATTTGAATCATCGGCTCTGTCGAGCCTCCAAAACCTAGTAATTCTCTCAATCAGAACATACAAAAGATTAGTAGTTTTTTCTGCCAAGGATTTACAAGCACGTTTTATATTTTTGTTCCTGGACGTATTTACGGGCACGTTGTTTTTCGGTGGTACTTCTAGACTACTTCTGCCTCTACTACATTTTTTCAAAGTTGTCATTTATCATCTGCAGGTATCTGGGTCATCTTTTTCCGTCTTCTAAATCGCGATTACATTCTCTCTATTGCTTCATAGTGGAGTCTGACTCTTTTCATTTTTTTTGTCAAGGTTCTTATTTTCTCGGCTGCTTTGTGTGAATGCAGGAAATGTTGTGACTGGTATTGCACGGTTTTTCCTGCGGCCACCTCACGCAGTCACACGACGAGCGTTGGTTTTCCTACTCCTCTATCTCCGTGTACCAATGGTAATTTACCTCGTCGATGTTTGTCGATGACAAAGAAATGTCAATGGTCTTTTATGAGTACGGGTCTGCCATCGGGGGGTACGTTCAGGTTCACAGATTACGACCAACTTCATTTCTCATGTGGGTTTTCTAGCTATAACTGTTGAGGCTTTCCCGTATTTACCAGCAAGCTTATATTATAAGGATAGAAAGTACTTAGCACAATATTTTTGCAAGGAATGGTGACATGCGAATTATGTTCATGACCAATAGAATGACATTGCGAATTGGCTGACCCTGTAACCAATTTTGACAAAACGAGAGAAAAATGTTGAAGATGTTGATTCGTTCCATGTTGGCAATGTATTACAAAACAAACCCACAAAAAAACGAACTAACCTCAAATTTCAGCATTGATTTTTATGTGGAGATAGGTGGATAGAATAAAACAATTGATTCAATTGCGCAAAAAAAGGAACGTCTTCTAAGCAGGGTTTCCGTGTCGTGGAAAAAGAACAAAAAGTGACCCTTCTGCTGGCAACAGATACTCGAACGAGGAAATGGCTCCATTGTCCTCCATCACGACTAGGATGCTGGAGTGACACGAAGACCCAAGAGTTCATTCTTCACTTGGAAAAGCTCTGCACGAATCTGCTGTACCTCGTCCTTTCGCTTCACGCGCTCCTGCTGCACGATCCCGGCAAGCTCAGCACGTAACGCCGTTATCTCCTCTTCCTGTTGCTGAGCAAGCGTCTCGGCAGCTGCCTGATAGGACGTTCGTGATCTGATGATAATCTTGATCAGAAGGAGGATATTAAGAATGAGGACAGATCAGAGCCCCGATACACGTTCGAAATTGCCGTTTCTGCACTGATGTTGAGCCCGCAACAAAGACATTCACGTCCTATCAAACACGATAAATTTGAAATCTTTCAAGCACAATCAATTTCTAGGACCTTCTCTTTCTTGAGTTTCGCCTCTCGATCTTTTACGGAAGCCATCTCACTCGCGATCTCATGCCTTCGTGCGACTTCGGTTTCCAGGTGTTTTTCTAAGACCGATACGGCCTCTTGTTCACTGTTTTCGCGTAGACTTTGTTCCCGTGACGAGCGGCCCGAGCGCGAGCCGGATTTGTTTCCTCTACTTCTACCAGTTGAAGAACGACTTTTTGACAAGCTCGACTTGCGACTACTTGATTTATTAGGAGGAAAATCTTCATCCTCGTTGACGTTCCTGTGAAGATCGTTGTCCGCTGGATACACGTTCGAAGCAGGCGTTTCCGCACTGTTCACGACTAACGCTGAGAGACCGTCTTCCATCGCCTGTAATTTCATCTTCACAGCTGCAATGCTATTTGCTCCACCTGCAGTGCCAGTACTAGTAGGATCTCCACTAGGACTTAGACTACTTGCGAAAGATGCTCCAACTCCAGGTAATGGAGCATCTATCAAAGTCTCTGCTAATTTCCCTTCCCTTCCCTGGAGCAGCTGCATCGTACTCTCAGCCACCGCCTGAACTTCTTGGCTTAGGTCACGCACGACCTTTTTAGTCATTTCCGCACGGTGGGCCTCCAGACCCTCGAGTCTAACATTATCCGCAAGAAGCTCAGCGTTTTGCGCGCGAAGCTCAGCGATTTCATCTTGGTATCGGATCGTCTCCTGCTGCGACAATGACAGCTGCTCCTGCAGCGCCCCCGCGTGTTCGTCCCCGGCTTTCAACAACTCAAACAATGAAGGGACAAAAATTGCAGGAACTACTGAGGGGAGGTGATAATCTGATCCTCTGGAAATGGTACCTGTAGTCGTGCTCTGATCTTCTGGAAAGTACCTATAGTAATAAAACTATCAGCAAGTGCTGTAAAAGCTAGCTGACAAACCTTCAGGAGTCGTCACCTTGTAAATAATACAAAAAATTGCATACCTTTCCCAGCAGCTCCTGGCATTTTTTTACCTCATGCGCAAGTCTGTAGCTATACTCCTCTTCTGATTTCGCCGCTTCGTCCTGCGAATCTTGTTGCATTCGCCGAATCACTTCACCCGTCTGCAATTGGAGTTCTTGCAATTTCCTCTCGCCTTCAGTCCGAACAGAAACTACCTCCTCTTGCAACTTCGAAAGTTCACTGCGGAGCAACGCTGATCATGTTCGTCTTGTATTTGATTTTGATATCAAAGAAAAAAGTTCTTGAGCAGTAACAAACTTTTTATGTAGCGAAAACGAGTACATAGTTTTGGTTCTTAGGTGCTGGTGCTTCCTGATAAAAGATTAAAAAAATACCAGGCGGAGGAAATTCATTCTCCCTTTACCAAACACAAACCACCAGAAACCAAAACATATTGAATCTGTATAAAAATCCTACGTATTCGTATTCCAACTAGACCTCACTTCAAAAAATATACCGATTTCTTGATTCCTTTCCTGTTCGACCTTGTCTTTTTCCGCAGCTAATCGGGCTCTTTCTTGGTCCCACCCTGATTCCTGCTCTCGAAACTTCTTTCGGAGATCGAGAGAATCGTGAAGAATTTTTCGGCTTTCCCGCACAGCATTTGCGCGAGCTTTCGCGAGCTCCCTCATCTCTGCCAGTAAGTGCGCATCTGCCTCATCTGGAGGTGCTGCAACTTGTTCTTGATTTCGTTCCAGCTGTGGTCGTAGTTGTTGCTTGTTATGGTAATGTTCCTCTTCCGACGTCGAGGCAAGGGCTGATGCCTGCACCGAGGGACTACGAGATCGTCCACGCGTCGACGAAGGCCCTCTCCGTAGCTTAGTTGCTGTTGCTTTGGCTGCCCCAGTGCTTACCGCAGTGGGTGGAGGTGGATGATGACTGGATATTAAAGATGAAACTACGTTCGCAGCTGTTGGTGAAGTGAGTGTGGCAATGGGTGCGGCATTCCCAGGAGAAGTTGAAGCTGAAGCCACACCGGCGCCAACAAGATAATTTTTGTCCACAACTTGTTCCCCTTGATGTGATTGTTTCATCTCTTGCTGGTTCGCAGCAGAAGGTATAGACGTAACTTCTACTGCAGTTGTCTCAGTACTTGATGGCGCTAAAGCGGAAGCCTGCTGTTGTTTATCACTTGCCAATGAAGGAGTCTGAATCTCTTGAGACGAAACCGCGCCTGCTGCTGTTGTGCTAGCCGAAGTAGAGTCTGCGGTCCAGTCAGGACGCACAACGCCTGCTGATGGCGCCCTACCGCGACTCTCAATCGAGGTTGTCAACTCTACTTCCCGAGCGCTCGGTGTGAAAGAAAAACCTTGTCCGGGTACTAATGCAGTTGCAGTTGGTCCTCGATGATTGTTGCTCAAGGATGCGAGATACGCTACGTTTTGAGGTGTCGCGAGTTTTGGGGAGGTCGTGGGCGAACCGGCCGATGTTGATTTCGGCACGCCGAACGTGGGTGCTATCGGCGAGCCGCTCCGTCGCAAAATTTCCAGCACTTTGTCCCGGTTTACTTGGCTTACTTCTTCAGGACAGTTGCGACCTCCGCCAAAGGGCGACGCTGCTCGCGGAGCCTCCCCTAGACCTCGGGGACTATTCTTTGCTGACACAGGTGACGTCGGTGCAGCAACATTGATCGCCGCACTGGTACGACCCGCGTCGAGATTTACAGCTGTGTCCCTCTTACTTCTGCGGGGTGTCCAGCTAAAACGAACTGAATCCTGGGGCTCCACCTCAAAATCTCGCAATTTGCGCAGAAGGGAGGATTTGGTCTGAGGAATGTGCACAGGTTTTCTTAGCATCTGGGATACACGAGCGGGGTCGACCACTCCCCCGGAGGACCCGCCGGCCTCGGCTGCAAACTGTTGTGGTCCACCCCCACTCGCTGAAGATGTAGTTGGTTCGCCTGAAGATGCGCCACTACTCACGCGTTGTAGCACTGCTCTTTGTTCGGAGACTGAAACGGACCGACTCGCCGCGGGTGAAGAATGCCCGGAGACACGACCGCTAACTACAGATTTCGTATGCCGTTCTGGGCTGTATGCCCTGTAATCACTACGTCGATTACCCGATGTCGCCGCGTGTAGTAGTTCTTGCTTTCTATCGTCCTTTGGTCTTACAACTACATTTGAAGACACTGAGTTTGAGGTTCTGGAGTTGTGTGTTGGCATTCCTCCTTTACCACCGGTCGACAAGGTTCCTCCCGAAGTTGCAGCTGTACTAGTACTATTGTTCGTTGCGGGCGGCCCCGGCCGTGTCGCATTGCTTCTTTTCCCGGACGATGATTTTTCTTTTCTTGAAGGCAGTTGTTTCGTCAGCAACAACGGTCGTTCACCCTCATGCCGTGGTACGCCGTTGCTGCCGACAATCCACTTTGGTTGCTGCTGTTGTTGAGCACCAGTAGAAGCCCTGGTCGCGCCTCGTCCACGGACACTAGCAGACCTAGCACTTGATGAGGAAACGCTCTCGTCCTCTCCTCTCACATGCGGATTTGGTGCTGCGTAGCTCCGCCTGCTACTTGTTGGCGACATGAATCTTTTCTCTGAAGTTGAAAAATCATTTCTTCTTGCAACACTATCTTTGGCTTTCTTGCTTCTTGGCGGAGTATTCCCGCTCGTCCGGCCGCTGGTGCCACTCGCCAGATCTTCTGTCGTCTTGGCTTCGGACTGCGCGGCTCGAGTTGCCGCGGCCCGCTCCAGTTCGCGAGTGACCTGTACTGAAAGCGGATTCTTCCCGCTCGTACCGAACGGTAGACCAAGATCAGCTGGAACGTCCGGCGCAAGCGGATTCTTCCGTTCCAGCTGATCTTGGTCTACCGTAGCCGTGGAGCCCTTCGAGGCGGCGGTCGACGCCTTGGATCCTTGCTTATTCGTCACGACACTTCTGTTGCTGGTGACGGACATGTCTTCGTCCGCCCGGGAGCCAAGGCCGAAACCGGCAGTGCCGAAACTAGGCACTCTAATTAGAAGATGACCTTACCAATATGCATCTTGACGCACATCTCTGTGACCGTTTTCCCATTGAAAACACGCCAAAGATGCTTCTTCAGATGAATACTTATGTGGAAGAGACGTAATTTCGCGACGCAATACGGTGCCCTGTCCTGCGGAGAGGAGGTGGACGACGGCGACCCATGGAGATCTGCTCTCCCAAGCAAAAGCTCCTGCAGCCTCGATGTTTTCATTTTCTCCGCTATGTTTTGCAGACACCCCACAGATTCCGCCTCTTTGCTCTTCTGCCCCTGCAACTTGGCATCCTGTTGAGCAAGGACTTGATCTTCGTCTACTATTCTTTCACCTCTTGCACTTCTTCTAGCAACGTCGAGAGGATGACGCTCAAATTTCCGATCTTCGTAAAAAGCGAAAGGACCTGCATTCTCCGCTTCTATCAGGGTCGGAATAAATGGGGCGGCCTCTGCCAAAATCTTATTCTGAAAAAGTCCGCCTCCACTACTCCTTTTCGAGCGTTCTTCAGGACTCTGACTAGTACTTCATTATAGAGCCACAAAAATCTGAGACGGACCTCATATAGACAGGAGAGTCTCTGTAGGATATCAATCTTGTTACGCGAGGATCATCTTATGACACAACCAAGACTAATTACACACTCACTACTTCATGATCGACTAGATACACACAGCATATATTAGAGCAGTTTATAGGGGTGCCAGATCCGGGATGGGATGGATCGGATGGATCGGATGGAACGGATGGACTTTCCACCATTTCAAGTAGGATCGGAAGAATCAGGGGGGTCCATCCGATCCATCCGATCCATCCAAGTCCATCCTACATCCGTTCTATAAACTACTCTAATATATTCATACTGATTTTGGTGATAAACTGATGAATGTGAAGGCTGCCCCGCCATAAACTACTTCCCCGCTGCTTCAAAAGCGCCTGGGCACGGGGAGACAACTGATTCTTTTCCCGCCAGGAAGTTAGAGCACTGGCACTGTCCTGCTTTTTTCCTCCAGAATGTAAGAGTCGGAGAAACTGATCCTCCACCTGCTCCCGCTCTCTGGGCGACGACGACCTAGACTCGGTGGACTTCTTCATTTCTCTGGTGCAACCGCGTGGTACTGGTATTGTTCTACTAAACAAGAACGGGGAACAGGAAAGCTTGATGGGCTTGATGGTCTCAAGTTGCTACTGCTTAGTAGTGGTCTACTAACTCGAGTTCTTTCTACTACTTCATCTTGGTAAACAAAAACAAAGTTTCCTTCCTAAAATTTTGCCGCTACTGATCCCGTGTTTGTCTAGTTCTGGATGCGAGCAAAAATGACCCTCTCAATCATGCTAAGGAGTGATCCTATAGTATACAGTTACAGAGTATAGCCTACGCACATCAAATGGAAGCAACAACAAACGGTGATATCTACAATAATCTTCTAGTTCGAGTACTTTTTTGAAATTGAGAACTTCTGAAGCAGATGCAAACAAGACTGATTTAGTTATGTCGCAGAAAAAGAGCTCGCAAGTAGGAAGACTCAAATAAAGGGCGATCAAATACATGTACTAGGGCGGCGCGGGGATTCCCTTTCAATTCATCCCAGGCGGGAAAATTATAAATCGTGCTTCATTGATGCACTTGAGTTCAAAGCACAAGACGACATTATACTCATCAACAGCGGGAAGATTAGCAGTACAAGCATTACAGAGCTATACAACTGCTTTAATGATGTTTACGGACACCGAATGAACAACCGACTGACTGATTTTTCTGAACAAGACTCATGTCCAATGTAAAGAAAAACAGACAAAACATGTCCGTGTCCACCGACTTGATGATGTTGGTAGTGCCTATGCGTATGCCTTGCATACAGTTTGCTACTACAGAGCACGGGAAATGTAGACCGACACGACTAAAGCTTTATCGCGATCACAAGGTTGAGGTTGTTATCACCGCTTGCCACAGCCATAGAACAAAACGCGCAACGCAAGCATCAGGATGCTTTGGTATTGTTGCGTCGAAATTAGTCCTGCGAAGAAGTTGAATAACTGGTTCATAATCACATTCATACTTGGAAAAATCTTGTTGATCCACATCTTATAACTCTACTTTATTGGGCTTTCCATTTCTTGGTCCAAGGTACGTTTTTATTGGTATAAACTACGGGTGTGTTAGGTAGGTGACGACTGTAACGACTATCGTGTGTGTCGTCATCTATTCTGGTAATCGCAGCCTCTTCATTTCGTTGTGTTGTTCACGATTGTTCTTGTCTACTAGTTAAGTATTCATTCAAAGAAGTCATTTCACATCTGTTGCGCGCGAAGACGATCAAACTAACCGTTGTACTTGTATTCATTTTCTCGTAGATAGATCTTATTGATTCATCTGAAGGATTCATGATCATGTAGTACTCATAACTGGAGGCAACATAGTTTGGGTTTCAAACTCTGCAACAGGAAGATTATTTTTGATAAGAACCCGAAAATTTGCTAGCTTGTTTTGCAACAGTTGCTATCATGACCGATAAGATTACTCTACGACCTCGTGCGCGTGGACCAACTGTCCATTTTCCCATACACCGTCCACTGATGCAACTAATTTCTCTCCCGCATCAGCTGCAAACATCGCCTCCGCTGAAATACTTGCCCTAGATGCTCGTAAACCTTCTCCTCCTGCGGATTTTTTTGTACTGCTATCAATGTCAACACCAGAGTCATTCCCGCCGCCTTGCTGTGGTTCAACAAGATCATTGGATGCAACTCCTTGTTCTTCATCAAGACCTCGTCCTGTTCCGCTGAGAAAGAGCATGCGACCGGGTCCGTGTCTGAGACCCATTTCAAAACTGCCTTCGTAGCGCACGTTTTTCTCGCTCAGCACGCCATGACCATGCATGATGTCGTTCTCGAAATCACCTGCATAATACGCGTCGTCGCGTCCCCAGAGAGCCAGTCCGTGGCCGTGTCGGACGCCGTGGTCGTGCTCGCCGAAATAGAAGTCGAAATCGCTCAATCTCGCGTCAGACACCAAACTATGGGATGTGTGCTCTTCCAGCTGATGCAGAAAAGCATTCTCGGAATACAGATCGTCGACTCCTTGCTTGGCTAAGAACCGGGTCACACGTCCACCTGCCGTCTTGCTTTTTCGAGAGCGATTGAAGGAACTCTTCATCGAGATCGATTTCTTCGTCCCCCGGATGGATACTACAGTACTTTTCTTGCTCTTGCCGAGCCCTCCAGCTCCGATGCTTTCGTTTGAAGACAGGTCGTCCTCCTCCTCCAAACACTCCAGCCACAACTCCAGACCTAAGCCCTCTTTCTTGCCCTCTCGCCAGTAGCCGAGGTAACACGGGGCGTCGCCTAGATACCAGAGCTTGGGACGGTAGAAGCCGAGTCCATCTGGAATCGGTTTTTTCGCGTCGATTCCCTTATTCCCAGTCACAGCTTGAGTTGATATCTTCCCATAGTCATCGTTATCATCATCTTCGTCGTTTGTTGAGGTTCCTGAGCTGTAATCACCCCCTCCGCTTAGGGATTCGCGACCCATTTTCAATTCGCCCCAATAGTGCCCTTCCATCCACCTCGTGGCAGTGAGCTGACCGTGCCGTCCAACAGCCGATACCGAGCGCTGCTTGCCTCCATCTTCAGTAGAAGTTTTCTGGTTCTGATCTAGATCTCCACCACCCTTGTTGTTGTTGTTGTTGTTTTTGTGCAAGAGCTTCACGTACTTGGACAGCATGCTCAGCAAAGCGCCACGCATTACACGCTGCGCATACAGCGGGTCGCTGAAGTTGCCAGGCGCATCTTTGCTAGTGGAGAGCTGCTTCACACTCGTTCGGAGCTCTATCTCTTCCTCGTCGCTTGGGAGTGCCCCATGAGGGTCGCAATCGAAGTCGGACTCGACTGCTCCGAAGCGACTGCTCCGAAGGCGGACTTGTTCCAGCTTCTCCAGAACCAAACGAAGTACACCTGGCGCATAGCGTTGAAACACGCGAACAGGACTTAACGCCGTTTCTACTACATCGTCATCTTCTTCATCTCCTTCCGAAACTATGGTGGCACCGCTTTCCCTTTCTGCGACATTCATCGCGGCACTTTCTCTCGTCATCTCGAAGACGTCAAGAACGCCAGTATCATCCCGCTTGCTCGCCGATACTCTTGGTCTTGCCTCCTGAGCAGCAGCACCACCACCTTAAAAATAGAGTAGCAGCGTGGGAGGACGTTTTGGTTGTACTTACTTTCAGCAAAGTTAGAAATATAAAGTTTTGCTTTCCATCGGTACTTGTTCAGACTGAGTTCAATTGATGAAGTTTCCATGGCTACATTACAAATATTCGACTCAATGAAACTACGTACAGATATCAACGTTCAGTCGCTAGAGGTAATTGATTTGACTTTGCAATTATGATTGGTAAAAGTATACCTCCAAACGCTCCGTTGTGATCAGCGTCTGGTTTCGCGTCTGTCCTTTCGCTGGGTGTTGGTGAAGCCTCACCTTCATTGTGAAAGGTCCCTGAACGACTGAAAGTAGATCCTTGCTTGCTACCTGCTGCATCTCCTCCGTAAGATGAAATCTTGGCAGAAACACAAGCTCTTTCGCCACGAGTTGGCGAAGATGAAGATTCCTCAGGAGTTGTGGCCTGCTGCACTCGAGGTTCATTGCTAGTACCATTTTTTGGCATTGTAGTTGCAGGCAAGGATCGTCGCTGTTCCGCAGAGGCTCTCTCTAGCGTCGGCATTACTGGTAGGGATCGTCCTCCATCTTTTTCGAGGATATCTTGCAATCTGGAGAGGCGAGCCATAGATTCCGCACAGTCACTGAAGGCAGCTCCCTCGAAATCCGAGACAGCGTCCGGAGAAACAAATTCCAGGAGGCGCTCCCTGATGTGTGTCATCCGGTTTCTGATGCTTCTCCTCCCTTGCTCATCTTCAGTGACCTTTATAAAAACCTCGTCTACTTCCCGAATCCTCGTGGTGGAAGATGCAAGGGACTCTTCTACCCGTGTGACGAAGACCTCGTCGGAAATCGTGGGGTCAGCTCGCAGGAAACGCCGTAGTTGCTTTAAAGTCTCTACCTCGTCAACCCCAGACGAGCTCTTTCCGCTGCTAATACGGCACAGGGCTGCCAATCGGACAGCGACATCCTGCAAGGCCATAAAGTCGGCCCTCGTCTTCACTCTCTCTTGCGCTCGCCTTGTCTCTTGTGTTTGCCTTGTTTCTTGTTCTTCCGCTTGCCTCGTCTCTTGCTTTTGCTCTGTCCTGTTTTGTTTTTGCCTGTTCTCCTGTGTTTGCCAGTTCTCTTCTGTTTGCATTGGTCCTTGGCCAACGTCCCGCAAGAGCATAGAAACTGCATGAGCATCGCTCTTGCTGCGCCAAGCAGTCTGATCTTCTTCACTTACCACAGCTACAGTTGATTGTCGCGCTGGTACTAAGCTCCCAGGAGGCGCGTGCAGCACATCGGACTTCGTCACATGGTACTCCCCCACTATCAACTCGCTAGAAGTAGAGACGTGACCTGTGTCTGTCCGTCTAGTAGTCGTGGATTCCTCGACCGGTGGAGAAGTTGCACTTTTGCGAGGAGGTGCGATGCCTGCGGGAGCTTTCATAGATGGTAAACGCGAAGCTGAACCTGGCATATGCGCAGAATCTTGATCTACTTCCTCGTGACCCAAGCTAGGCTCTGGCGACACTGCGGAAGATCTGTTGACCTTTATTCCTCGGTTATCCTCTTGAGAAGTGCTAAGTCCGTTGGTTGGCGGCGTCGGTGGGACCTGTTGCGTCGCCCTTGAGTCGTCCCGGTGATCGCCGTCGGCAGTAATAATTCCTCGTGCGGGGACGTCGTATACCGCCGGAGCCTCAGCAAAGTGAACGGCCGTCGCACGAGCCGCTCCTGCCGCCGTACTCTTCTTGGACTCACTGCGTAAGTCGTCCGTCATCCTCGGAACCGGAAACTGTTCTGTCCCCCTAGGGTCGACAGGCATCGTAGATTGTTCCATCCCCCGAGGATCGACAGGCACCGGAAACTGTTGCGCTCCCCTAGGATCGACAGGCATCGGAAACTGTTGCGTCGCCCTCTGCTCATCCGTCGGTCGCATGGAAACGTTGTAGACCATCGGCGCGGCCGCAAAGTGGACGCCGGGGGTCGCCCCCGCGCGCGAGGACACTCTTGAGGTGGCCGCACTTCTCCTTCTTGTCGTAGATGTCGTACTCATCATGTTGCCGTTTTCGGGATGGAGAGGTTCTCCTGTTCGGTCTAGCTGCAGACCCCGTGGACTTGCGTTCGCATTTTCACTTCGCTCCCCCTCTTCCTCATCTACCAGGCGTTCATCGAGCATGGTCATCGATTTTCTTTCACGATTCGACTTTCTTGCCGCGTGCCCTTGTTGATCTTGTTGTTCGGCAGCCACTTCGCTTGATACACTGTCGCTTCGCTTGACTGGCGTGATGGTGAGATACGCGCCGTCCGTAGAGTTCTTGCTCGTCAAGTCTTCTTGTTGTACACAAGTAGATGCAGAAGTCGATCTTCGCTTCCGTTGATCCAGAGTAGAAGTACCCCCGTTTAGAACACGCGGCCCAACGTCATCAAGAGCAGACAAACCAAATGCAGACTCGGAATCCAGTCCCCGGGACGCATCTTCAGTGGTTCGTATCTGCGGCATCGCAAGCCCTCTGGTCGGCGGCCTCTTGGATGAGGAGGTCGCAACTTCGTCTTCATCTTGGGTGGTCGAGGAGGAGCACGCATTGAGGGATGAATTTAAACTCATCTTCTTGTTTTGCAAGGAAGTAGTAGAGGACTTGCGAATACTCAGAAGTACAGGTCGTGCTTTCTTCGGACCATCCGCTTCGAGCTGCTGAGAGTGACGAGACCGAGCAAAGTCCTGGTCAGAAAAACCGGTACCGCCGTCAGCAGGAGATGAATCCTCCCGTGAAAGACCTGAGGCAAGAGAAGTGTAGTTGGAGAACTCCAGAACCGCTGTCCCTCCAAACGAGACGCCACGAGGTTGTTCGAATGCACCTTTGCTAGCACCGAGTTCCATCTCTGCTACTAGCACAGGATTTGCTGTTTCGCGGAGCTGCAAGTTCTTCTTGCTTCTCCCCCGGTGTTTCACCACACGACTACCCGTAGATGTTCGTTCTTTCTGCAGACCTCCTCCTACAATCGACGCTCTTACTGCAATAGGAGTAGGCAGCTCCGGGTCGTCTTCTCCGACGTTATCCGCAACGTGACCACTGGTCCTCTGTGCGTCGCGGACTTCCTCTGCAGCGCTTCTAGTACTTATTCGCGTCGTGTCAAACTCACCCGGCGTCGGTGACAACATCGGAGAGGACGACAACTTTACTCTTTTCGTATCCTCCCGAGAAGTGGTCAAAGATTCACGGCCCAGAGCTCCTTCTGTAATTCTTGTTGTACTAGAGGTCGTAGTAGTAGCAGTGACAACGTGTTCTTCTTCTTTGTACTCGAACTCGTCTTTAGCAATCCTTATCCTTGACTCAGTCTCATCATGCTCGTCTTGCTTCCACGACTCGAGAATTGCAGGCGTCGTTGCAGAAACACTACGCGTCGTTCGGTCGCCGGGAGCTAGCCTTGAAGCGCTTCCCGTAGTTCTCGCCTGATCTTCGACAGAAGGTGTCCTCAATGTCGATTCTGGTGCTATAGGTATGGGTATCGCCGGTGTCGTTGCGCTACTAGCGGTAATAGTTGCAGTGCCTGAAGATTGGGCGCCGCTCCCGAACATGCAGTTAGCCACCTTGTGCAAAAATGAGGGGAGCTCTGTCGACAGCGTTCTGATGCTAGCAGTTGCGTTCTCGTCTTGACTCTCAGCAGCACCTTGACCTTCTTAGAGCAGGTTGCAGAATTACATCCCTCAGAACATCCCTGGCGCCTTTTTCAAGTAGAAAAAGAGCCAAGGATTGCGGTGCGGGATGTAATTCGGTAACCCTTAACCTTCAGCAGTCTTTCCTCGTGACTCCAGACCGACCCCGCGCGATTCCCTACCACGTCTATCGATAGAGTTTTGATGAAAATCAATCTGCAGGTCAGGTTGTTGCAAAAAATGGGGTTGTAAAACCTTGACCCTTTGCTCGCGCTGCTGAAGGCCGAGGCTCTGCATCTCATTCGAGAATTCCAAATTCCGTGTGTTATTCGTAAGCGTCCGATGGTGCTTCCGCAGATGCAGATGCGATCGAGCTAGCGGCCCCCGCGTGCCTTTCGAGTGCTGTACTACTGGCTTCGTAACGAAAGCGTAACTCTGCTGATCGTTTTTAACACGGCATCTGCTGTGGAGTGGACCGAAGCTGCCTCCTCCAGTGCGCGACGTAAGCATGTTGATATGCGGCGGTAGAAATCCACCAGCCAGCACTCGTTGCAGCATCGCTGGAAGCCGCAAGTGGTGTGACAGCGCAGGCGGCGATGAGAGGGCGCGCGCTTGCCGTTCTTCCTCTAAAACTATTTGGGTATTTGCTTCAACATCAGTTTCTGCTCCTGCTGTGCCTGTAGTGTCGTTGGACCTTATTGATGACCTCGGAAGCGTAGTGGGGGATTCGCGTCCACTTCTTCTCCGGTCTTCTATCAGCTTCATGTCCGCGGCTGCCATGATACGGCTCTTCTCCTTAAGCCGGAGGTGCAGTTGCTTACTCTGCGCCATTAGTTCTTCACTAAGACGAGGCGGCATTTTGTGGGAATCCCTGTTCGAAGCCAGCTTTTCGCTGAGTCGGGCGGACAGCCTCGTCAACACGGCGTCCGCCATTTTCTGGTCCACACGCTTTAGAGGTAGTTGCAGAATTACATTCCTCAGAACATCCCTGGCGCCTTTTTCAAGCAGAAAAACGGCCAAGGATGGCAGTGCGGGATGTAATTCGGTAACCCTTAACAACTCCTCCTCTTTCTCCTCATCGTTTTCGCCGGAGCCTTGTTGCAGGAGACTCAGCAGAAGCTGCAGTTGCACGCTCTGTTGTATCAGTTCTTCGCTGAGCCGCAGCGGCACTTCGGAACCCTCTTGAACGGTCAGCTCTTGACTCAACCGAGTTGAGAGCTGCGCTGCTGCGTCCGCCATCAGCTCATACTGACTGGGACGGTCGGAGGACGTCATGGCCACTTTGCTCAGCTCATGATCGTCATCGTTTATCTTTTTAGAGGAATCTCAAAGCAATTCAACATTTCTTAGGCTCATAATTCTTTCACTATCCTAAGGAGGAAACAGTAAAGAACGACACGTGGAACTGAATTGTAATATGGAGCCTTAAACTTAACTATCGACTCTTCGCTCAGCCGCAGCGGCAGTAACGCAGCGGGCACAGCCGCAGAAGGACGACTCACTTGAATAAGCGGAGTACCTTCATCTTCTTTGTTCCCAACATTAGAGGACGCCGCCTCCTCGAGGCTGAAACGCACTTGCGGAGATGGGTATGCCTGCAAAACAGGCACACTTGTGGCGGGTTCTGCTCCTCCGCTGCTCTCTGCTGTGTTGCTAGGGCCGTCTGTGCTTCGAGGAAGAGTAGGCTCATCACGACTCGAAACCGGGTTCAACCCTGAGGGAAAGAAGTCGGTTTTCGAGAACGAAACTACACTATTTTTATCCCTTGGACGCACTGGGACTGCTGATGGCCCTTCAGGCCACGGCAACTTCAGGCCTCCGTGATTCGTGAAGGACGCGCCAGCAATCAGGTGTTTTCGCTGTCCAAAACGAGTATCTCCCAACCGATCAGGGTGCTGCTCGGCTCTCGGCAGTCGAGCGGTTCCACCATACGAGTCATCGAGCAACGTCGATTCTGGATGATGCTCTTGGTGTGCACCAGCCCTTAGTACGCTACTAGGTGTAGATGAGCACGCTTGTAGAAGAGAATAAGCTCCATCTCTAGAAGAAACAGCATCGCGAAGAAAGCTGCTCTCTTGAACATTGAAGCCTGCGCGAGCTCCGTGTTGATCCATCTCCTTGACAACTTCACGCTGCCAATCTGCCAACCAACAGGAAAAACTTCGCTTTGGCGGTTCGACCGCAAAGTAATCTGGATACTGCTGCTCCTCAGGCTGAATGAGACCAGGCTCGTCCGTTCCTCCCGCGGCCACGATTTCGAGGGCTGCTAAAGCCCCCCGTCTGAGGAGGTCCGCAACGATTTCCCCTGCGGACTGCGGCCCAACCATGTCGCTTTCAACTACGGACTCAGGCCGCTGCGCGCGTCGAACCGCGAGTGTCATCCGAGGCACACGGTTCGCAAGAGTGGGTGGCGAAGCGGTTCTTGACCGTGATGAAGCTCCGACCACAGTGGTTTGTTGAACTTGATGTTGAGCCGCCTGAAGATCTCCTGCAGCAGGTGGAGATAGGTCAGATGGCTGATGGTGCGATGCAATGGTAGCGCGGCCAGCTGCATTCAGCCTGAACAGTCGCGACGTAGTGTTGTGAAGCTTTTGCGCGTCCTTTGGGGACGCCGCCGCACTCACGTCGATTACCGGTATGTGAGGCGCAGTGTTCCGACCCTCAATCGAAGACCTGGATGAACTTCTGCGATTTATTTGATGTTCAACACTTGTTCTACTAGAGGGCACTAGTACAGGTGGTTGTCTGGGGCTTCCACTCGTCGAAGATGGCCGGCGCAACTGGTGTCGTCCAGCGCTCAAATTATTGGTTGTAACTACAGGCTCCTGGTGGAGGTCCTTAACCGCAGTTTTAGGCCGTTCCATCACACTGGGAAGAGGCTTCTTCACAAGATCTTTAGGTTCTGTGACAATCGCATGCGACTGCGCTGAAAAATGAGTCGCGTAGGTCACTGTTTCCCGCTCTTGTTGTATCTTTTTCCCCGGTCGTGGTCCAACTATCGTTTTCCCCCGGTCGTGCTCTATGATCTGTTGTTCAACTGGCTGCACTGCATTTTCACCCCGTTGCACCGCATTCAGAACAAGTTGTAGAGCATCCATCCTAGAGAAAGACTCATCACTCTGCTGCGCTGCCGACACGTCTTGTGGCAGCCCATTTCCTTTCGAAACTTCCTCGTCCCCCCGTATTTTCACCCTCTTTATTGCAGGAGATGAAAGCTTCTCCTTCTCAGCTCCACCGCCCTCCATCGAGCTAGGTTCTCCTCGACGAATGCGTACACCTGGTGTCCGCGTGGTCTCTCGTCCCGCATCCTCCTCGGAAAGAACGCTAATCGTGCTCATTTGCTCTTTTCCTCCTTCTTTATCTTTAACTTTTACATAGTCAGTAACAGAAATACTTCTTACTTCATGATTTTCCTGCACTTCTCCTGTCCCATCAGCACTCGTCGTATCCGGCTTTTCATTCTTGTCAGATCGGCTAGCGGCGCGTTTCTCGTGCTTTACTGCAACTTGGGTCTCCTCTCCTCTGTCAGCGCCATCATCCTTCGTCGTGGTCTCCTTCTCCTCAGCCTGACCTATCTTTTTCAAGTCCTGAGGAACAAGGTTGTCCTCCTTAGGCTTAGCGGGCCTATCACCTCCTTCGGAGTCTCCATTGCTCATCTGCACCTCTCTTCCTTCCGTGTCACTCTCGCCAAATCTCAGCTGGTCCGATTCGCTGTCAGTATCCTTCTGACTCTCCCCTGGCAGCTTTCCTCGTTCACTAAGGCTCTCGTCAGTAAGGCTCTCTGCGAAAGCCGGTGCTGGAACGTTCTCGTCGCCCCTAGTTTTCCGAAGGAGTCCCTCTTGGTGTGGACTCGCACCTCCTCCACGGCTCGCTGGAGATTGCAGCCTTGCAGGGCCAATGTGAAACTTCTCGGGATCGTCGTGGTCCATATCGTCTTCTTCCTCCGAGGAGATTTCGCTATCTCCTTCATGTAAATGCGTCGGTGTATCCGCTCCCCCATGGCTCGCTTCATTTACGCTAAAAACACCCGGCTCGCTCGTTGCTCGGCCGGTCGCCGCCAGCGAATCATGGGGAACCTCTCTCGGCGACCCCGGCAACGAGGACTGCTCGGCCCCCACATCAGACGCGGCTCCCACATCAGAGCCACCTCTGAGACCTTCTGACTCCTCCGCGTCTGACACCCCCACATCAGGCACTCCGACATTAGACAGCACTGCATCAGCCTCCCCTATATCAGGCACTCCGACATTAGACAGCACTGCATCCTCAGATCCCTCCGCATCAGACTGGGCGAAAGCGACATTACCCGGAGACAACTCCTCCTGTGCCGTGTCTTGAGCAGGCATGGTTGTTCCCAAGTCGCTCTTCTGAACATGCGTATTTTCACGATAGCTCGAGTTCACCTGGGAGTTAGTTCTTCTGCGGAAGTTCACTGCACGTTGGACGCCTCTGCGAATTTTGTTTTGCAGTTAGTTCTTCTGCGGAAGTTCACTGCACGTTGCTTCGTAGTCCGCTGTTCAGTAGGGATGCTCGCGATGGCACAACGACGAGTTCCGGCGCACGGGGACGATGACACGAGCGGGCGTCTTTCCGCAACGAAGGTTGAGAGATAGAATCTGAATGCATCGATTTTCGCACCGTTTTTAACCCATTTTTGTAACAAGAACAAAGCACCATTATTCAAACGGAATTTGGGAAAACGGCGGTCATCGAAATCGATTGATCTTAGTACAGCAAATAAAGCGAATTCAACAAGCAACAGAGTGCGGGTAAGACCTATAATATGGTAGTGAGTGTGGGTAAGACAAATAAAAATCAAAATTTTCTGAATCATCAGCCCGAACCCTCTCGTGATTATTGGGCAATCGTATCAATCAAAACAAGGGCATCCTCTCGGGTGACTGGGAATCTTACGCAGGGGGGGAACAAGGAAAAGGCTGTCAACATTTATGTTTGTCTGCTTCGCTATGTAATACTGGAATGAATCATATTAAACTAAGCATTAACCCTCTTGTATAGACATTCACTCAATCATGTGTGATCAAATACCAAATCGGTAGGTGCCTGTAGTTGCATGCATCCATTGTGATTGTATTGGAAATCGATAAAAAGTAAAAGAATTAATGATACTCAGTATTAATAATGACTTGCTCATCTCGGTGAAGTCTCAATACAGAATGCGCTTCACTCAACGCAGAATGAATGCTTTCTCAAGAGCGTTTCACTCAGACAGACAGAGTTCAAATTGTAGTTGTACTAACTAAGTGGTTTTCGCTAGCAATCTCTCATCAAGTGGTTTTCGCTAGCAATCTCTCATCAAGTGGTTTTCGCTTTATATATAAATAACCAGACACCGACCCTTTTTCTCTTAACTGCATCTACAGATCTATTCACTCATCATCCAGCCGGTTCAATTGTGTGCTTTTTCTCTGAAATAACGCGCACCGCTAAGGATCGTTCTCTAACTTCTGACAGAGATCAACGACAACATACTATACAACATGGGGCTTCGTTCCATTCCATTGAGTCTATCCCTGGCGAGCATACCAGCCCCTAGACTCGTTTGTTCTCTCATATTAGATATTAACCAGAAAATTAATAGGGATTCGTTTCTCTCAAAAACAGAAGGGATTCATGAAGACATAGACGACAAACGCGTCAGGAATGCAAGCAAACCTGGGCCGTGAGATAACGTTTTATCTCTCTAGTGATTCGCGCCCATGCGAGACGTGCGCAGGCGCACGACGATTATCATATTCATACATTCTCAATCGACGGTTGCTATCTGGTTATATGCTATAATACACGACAAGGAGATCAAGACACTGCATCCTTTTCGATAGAGAAGCCGACGGGCTAGGACCTAGACTTGAATATTTTTCAATAAGAACCCGTGCAGAAGGACCCCAAGAACTGTAATTTTTATTGAACACTCTCCCTTCTCTTTCTCATGCATCAGAATACGGAAAAACCGAGAGAGAAAGAAAGAAAACAGATGAGCTTTTTCATCAAAAGAAAGATACCGAGAGGTGTCTCCTCAGTTTCTTCACCAACATCCACCTGTCAGTTCTATTTCATCAAATATACTCCTTACACTATAGATACCTGCTGAGAGTGTAGTACTCTTGTTTCTTAGAAGTACCGCACAGCGCCAGTGCGAGGATTCAGGCCGAAAGGAACCTTAGCAGGTAAATTTCCCGGCTTTTTGCATTCCTTTTTGTGTCCTCCTTCGCGGAAATGCTGTGCCTGGCACTCGCGACCGCAATACCAGGACAGCTGGCACCGGCTGCATCGGGAGAGCGCCTTCACGGATCCACCTTGCGTCTTCGAACACTTGGGGTTCGCGCAGGTCTGCTCTTGTCGCTTCAGCACAGAGTTCTCAAGAAACCCAACAACATTTTCTAGGTTCACGACGTCCCTGCTCTTGTTCATCTTCATAGTTGTTCCCTCTCTATTCCTCACCACGCTTGGCGGTCGATGGACAGAGGATGCTTGTTCTGCTGCGCGTAAGTAGTCGACAGCACTGTAGCCGTCATTGTTTCGACCCAGCCGGAAGTGACGCAACTTGGATAGCGCAGTGTACACTTCAAGCATTTTCTCTACCTCGTTACGCTTGCCAGGAATAGCGCACACTTCGGCCGCCGTGTGCCCGCGCGTCCACTCCCGCGCATTCACTATCTCGTCAACCAAGCGACTGGCTTCCTCGCGCGACTTATTTGAGGAGATCTTCTCCTGTGGGTCACTCTTTTCAGGTACTAGTTCCGCAGATGCAGACGAGCCCGACGACGTAACTTGCGAGCAGCAGGAAGCTAACGATTTCTTGTCCAGCGGTAACGATTTCTCCTGCAGCAAGGCCTCTTGTCCAGCAAGGACCTTGTCATCTTCATCACCCTCATCTTGCTCAAGAGGCAGCAGGGTCTCAACGACGATCTCGACTAGTTTAGCATGAGCGGAGTAGCTTGCCATATGCAATGGCGTCCACCCGTCTTCATCGGTTGCTAGAAGTAGATCACGCAGAATTTGCAGATGGACCGAGTTGCCTGGCAAGGAACCAGATTCAGGCGCCAGCATATCTCGTATTCGCTGCTCAATGCGCTTGTCCGCCTCGAGCATCTCCCTTTTTTGCGCCGGAGAGGGTTGGGCGAACGGCAGTGGAGCGACCTGATAGGCTTCAATTAGCTGGGAAAGTTTCGCGTACGTGGCACGCTCCTGCCTTTGGGATCGTGGAAACTTTACGCCCAGCTCTCGAGCGCAGTCGCGATGCGTCTTCATTCCCTCCAGTGGCGTATTTTTTAATCGCGCCTTCACTTCGTCTTCATCTGAAGAGGAGCGCTTTCTACAACTATCGTCCTTTCTACTATCGTCCTCCTTAGAAGCAGTTTTTTGCCTGTCATCGTGTGTGTCTTGATGTGGTGCAGACCAATCACGCTCAGAGTTGATGTTGTCTCCGACGCTCCCTTTAGACAAATTCAAATTGTTCCTGTGCTGATGTGCAGCTCTCTTACCCCGTGATCCTTTCTTCGCAGCCTTTGAGGTCCTCGCGTCTACTGCTCTCTCCGGTGGAGCAAAGGAGCCACCTTTTCCTTTCCCTTTGTTGCATTTGCGACTCTGCCCGCCCTTGCCTGTAGTATCTTGAGCAGTTGTCCCCGTCGTCGAGGTGTCATCATGCGTGTTGTCAGTATTCGCCTCATCAGTGGTTCGACGATGAACCTGAGATGTCCTCTGTGCGTCCTGTTGCGCTCGCTTTCGCGCTTCCGCTTGCTTCTGCTTCCTCATCCTTGTGAAGAATTAGAGGTAGGGTCTTGGTATTTCTGTACGTTTGTTACATCTGTCTCCCTTAGGAGAGCCATAACAAACGGCAACAGTGCGTCGTGTGTGCGCCTCTGATATGGCCATTCGCGACCAGCGTAGAGACAAGATGGCAGCCGACTTCAAGGCCGACTCCCATATTAGCCTAAAGCCTACCCTTAAAAGAAGTTGCTCCCGCCGCCGCAAACCTGTTTCATCATCTCTTCCATTGCTTTATCTTCTTCGGACATGTGACCTGTCAGCAAAGCCTGATCCTCGGTGTAAGCCTCCAGCAGCGACCGCTTTTGCAGCGCCGCCGAGGTATGAGCCTTCCAACACAGTTGAGATCGAAAAGTCCGCGCCCATTCCTTGTTTTCTCCCTTCCCAGCGAAGTGTTTTTGCAAACCTGTCAATAGCGGGTCGTGCGTTAGTCCCTCGGTGCTGACGTTGAAGCCTTGGACCAATAGATCTGCTAGCGTGCGTCGCGTACTCAAAGTTCCACCGACCACCGGTTGGCTGCACGACAGCGGCTCCCCACCATGGCCAAGGGCAGTGCTGAAAAATGTGTACTGGAGTGCAGAGTCTATCCCTTTCTGCTCCCGATGCGGCAAACGGCGGCCATCGAGCGTTACCATGCAGGGATTGGCCGGGGTCCCAATAAAATGAGCCTCTTGGATCACGAGCGCAGCCAAAGCCTTCGATTCGCGTGCTTCTTCTAGAACGTGGGGCAAAGCGGACGACAGTGCTTCTTCCGCATTCCCTAACCGCAGCGAGAGGAGACGCACGCGTGGCTCGCCACAGTCCTTCCTTAGAGGTAGTCAATCACTCGTCCCCGTAATTGTCGAGTGGATTCCCCCCTTACCCTGCCCTTCAAATGAATCTGAGGGATGGAACCCGCTCAGAAAAGTCCACCACGCGGGGCAATGATAGGATGTAGATAAACTACTAATCCCCAGTTGTTGAAGTTGAGGTAGAACATCTAGTTGCAAATGCAATGATCTACAGTTACTCCTTAACTTCCTTTTGCTCGGACTCGGAGGAGGAAGGGGCAACAGCAACACCACGAAAGTTTCCAATGGGTCGTCTAGGCTTTCATCGGTAAAACCGTCTCTAACTCGTTCAGTGATGTTATTGAAGTTCTTCTATCCTTATCCGTGGTTTTCACTTGGGAAGAGTGTGGGAGTCCTGTGCTTGGGATGAACGCACGTCTACACTCATCTCGCGAGTGTTTTAAAAGGAGGCTTCCGTCGCGACACAGCGGGATCACTTCCACGCCGGGCGGAGGCCCACGCTGCATCTGGAGCGGACCCATCGCGCACATCGGGGGCATTTTCTTGATTGCGAAAAACAAACTATTAACTAATTTTCTGATGCTGGTGAAAATTTTCTGATGCTGGTGAAAATTTAGTTTTCACATGGAGGAGATACAACATCGAAACTTCTACATGTCGTAACAACCAACACTCTACTTACTCGGTTACATACTTAACTATGAGCTAAGCTATAATTGACGAAAAAACTACATCGCTCTAGCGAACAACGTAAACTTATACATAGATACCATCTTAAAAAATAAATCAAAGTTAAACTCTGACAAACTAGACCATCAAAGAACAATGACAAGAGTGGGCGACTTCGTCGTGGGGTTCGTTTGTACTAAAAACTCTTCTCAATGATATTGTTGGAGAAACGACACCCGAAAATGCAGGTTCACTAAATGAAAAAAGGTTGAAACACAAGTCATCTTGCATCGGTCGTAACCTTCTTCTCCTGTTTTTTCGGAAGTTAAGAACTTACACCCGAAGTATCTAGTTCGATATCTTTCTCATCTGTTTTTATCATATTGTGAATCAGGCCTAAGAACTACATCCGGCTTCACTTGTTTTATTTTATCATAGAAAAAAAACGACAATCATGCATTCTGACAGATTCAAAACATTTCCGCCAAAAAACGAGTTCTGATGGATCCAAATGAATTCCGATGAGAAAAACTCAAAGAATATCGTCCTCAAATATCCATATTAACGTTCCATATGGACAGGCAAGAGGATCCTCCATTGCCATATGGTTCGTTAAAGAACAAGAAAAAACTCAAGGCCAAGGCCGCGTCGAAAAAATACTTTGATATTCACGGACGCTTATCTATGGACATCCTTCCTAAACTCATTTTTTCTTCTTGTGTTCTTTTTTTCCGAAACTTTTGTTCGTTTACAAGAAAATAAAGAGCAGATCATTTATGAAAAGAATCTGCACTCACACGACCATGGTGGAAACGACCAGAGAGAATGGACTTTACGAAACTATCCATGCAGTTCCTCACACTTTCTTAGGTCGCAGCCGAAAGCTTCCGTTTCAAAAATGCTGGCTTTCCCTTATTTGGTATAATTGAAGACGACGACGACGATAGGCGAGAAAATGAGAATCGTTGTGCACGCGATGAATAGCGATGAAGTAGACCCGCCCCAACGCCAAATATGACGCCAGCGAGGTGAGCTGTGTGGGCCACGGAATACGCTGGCGGCTCTACTGCCGTGGCGGCTCGGGTCTCACACGACTGGAGTTCGAGTAGCTGCTCGCCAGTAGCACTAGAGCTTCGCCGGACAGGAGCCACGTCTTCACCAGGCGCAGCCGAACGAGACGAAACTGATACTGAAGAGACTGAAGAAATAGTTCTATCTTCAACTTCATTAAGGTCGTCCTGCTCGGTTAGTACTACTTCTTTCTTTTAAAGGTTGCCGAATTCAAGTTGCATCCTTCAGAACATCCTTGGCCTATTTTCCCCTTGAACAGGAGCCGAGGATGGCAGTGAGGGATGTAATTCGGAAGCCCTTAATTCTTACTCTTGTTTTCCAGAAGATGTCTCTTCTCAATGTGAGAAGTGTTTCCGTTGAGCAAAAAGCGTTCTAGTTGAGGACACAAGAGCGGCAGCGCGACATCCGCCGAAACCAGTAGGGTCAGGCACACCCAGAGCGGAATGGGCACGAAGCCGCACCAGCTTAAAGGTAAATAATAGTCGATCACTCTTCGCGGTTCTTTGGTGATGTACTGTTCCTTCCCCTCAAAAAAGAAATCTTCATCTTCTTGATCTTCCTAAACAAGATTAAGTATCCCCCTCAAATCAAAGACTACCCACTCAGCACAGCCCCTACCCAATAATGATTGGATGAAGGGGCTAACCTAGTTTTTAACAGTCTCGTAGGCCTTGGAATTCAAGTGAAGCTATTCTTCTATAAAAAAACGAAAGGACTTTCTTGTATCTTAACAAGATTTTATGCTTATAGATAATCTAAATCTTACGCAGAAAAAACCGCATCGACAGTCCCTACCCAATAATACGGCACGTCGATCAACTACGATTATGTTCTTTAGTATTGAAAGCAGAGCCACGAGCACTTGCGGTTAGCCTCTACTATCTGATAGAAGTAGCCTTAACCAGTAAATGACAGCAGTTGGAGCAACCACGGCTGCGAAAGCCAGCAAGGAACAAACACCGCCACTGGAGCCGAGACAGCGTGTGCCACGCTCGTTAGCAACGAGACCCAAGTACAAGACTTGTGCGGCTGACGATGCGGTGGCTGACCCTGCTGAATCGATCATGGTATATAGTTGTTCTTTCAAATTAATAGGCATGATGTAGACCTTAGAATATTATCAAGCAATGCAAAAAAAATTCAAGGTAATAAATTGGATGGAAAAGGAAACGTAGAAGCCGGTTGTTCTCTTAGTGCGTGACGCGTCGCAATTAGACCTAAGCCTCTAGCTCTACCCTAGCAAAATTCAAGATACTAAAGTTGAGTCAGGAGGAAAAACACGAGATTCGTACTTTTAAAAGAAACTTTTCACAAAAAGCAGAGGAAGTACAAGCGCAACTACGTTCCAGAATTGGACCTAATATGAAATTATATTCATACTCGTCGTATCTATCAAAACGAATTGAAGAACATCACCCAATACTAAGGCTGTACATGCATGGAACTAGTCCGTCGTGTCTAGTATTAGAGGTAGGTTTTTGGTGTTCGTTTATCCCGTTTGTTATGGCCGTCCCCCTTAGGAGAGCCATAACAAACGGTAACAAAAGCACCTTTGACCTACCCTTAATAGTATAATTACATTGTTGCGTGGGATAGGCCTAAGATTGTGGAGGTGAAAACTAGCCGGTTGCTTTACTTAGTGCTTTGAGCGTCGCGGGGCCTTAATAGTATAATTACAAAACAAATGAACACCAAGTACAAGACGTACCCAAAAAGAGTCCTAAGAATCGTTGCGGCCCCAGGATGAACTCGACGTCGCGGCCCAGGAAGAGGAGCGTGAGCACGTTGAACCCGAAGTGGGTAAGCGTCGCGTGCATGAAGTTACACGTTGCAAGTGTGTAACAACGCCCTTTCTTGCGTCTCTCCTCCTCCTCGCTCCTTGCAATAGTTACGGGGCGGAAGTCGATAGAGGAAGTCATCGTCGAACCTGCACAAACAGGCATGCTCTGATCCTGTTCCGCAGTGCTCGCACAGCAGCTCGCAGTCCTCTGCATGCAAGCAGGATCAGGAATCATACTTAGAAGTAATACCAGTACAGCATCAATATCCGTCATTAATATCCGTCGTGGCTGAGTGACAGTGAGCTGCTGCCTTCCTCCTTGGATCATTCCTCTTGACGTCTAAAAATGATATTAAGGATGTACTACTAGTACTCAGAAGGCTTCCAAACGTGATTTATCTAGGATCATTTAGTAATTGCCACACAGAAGAGATGATGGAGCTGCACGAGTTCTGTCCTAATGAAAATGTGTGAGTACTATGAAATTAGAGAGCAGGACTACGACTACGATTCTGCTATTCATCCACCGGGCTGTGTGATTATTCAGGTGGCTGCCTGATTGGATTGGATTTGGAAGTTCTACATAGAATGGTGGTGTTCGTCCTGGCTTCAAAGAATGGCGCTACGTCACTAAAAGTCGCGGTGAAATGCACATCCCACCACTGCCGTGACATGAGAGCTTGTCGGAGGTTCGCCACGCGCCGACATAATGATTAGACGCACCCCAATAAAATAGTCACATCTAGCAACAAGCTTTCACCTATAGCAAGACCAGTGATAAGCAGGCATATTTAGCAACAAGCTCTCAAACTAATATAACAAGACCAGTGACGAGTGAGATAGAAGAAGACAAGATAAAAACGAGGTCTATAAGTAAATCAACTGAATTCCAGCACAACCGCAAATCCATCTGCAGGAGCTTGATAATACTGGAGCCTTAAAATGAGTCTGCTGTTTTCGTGCCCTCAGACAAGGAGCCCTCAGAGTGGAAAACCTTGTCGTTCTCGTTTCCATGGGTGTTGAAAACAGTTGGAGAAGTGGCAAAAAAAGTGCCACCTCGTCGTGCTGGTGCTCCTGGCGGCAACGTTGGCAACTGCTCGCATGTTGAGCAAGTCTCGCTCGTCCGTGCAGGAGCTTCGGTGACTTTCTGATGTTCTTAGAGGTAGGATTTTGGAGTTCCTGTTTCCCGTTTGCTCTGCCTTTCTCCCTTAGGACAGGCAAAACAAACGGTAACAGGAACACCTTTAGCCTACCCTTAATGTGTGTTCCCATCTCCTTGAGTGGTTGCACTTGCAGAACTACTTGTTGATGATGATGCTGTAGTCTGCTTATTCTCTGCAGCGCTCTCTCGATGTCGAACGAGGAAGAGGGCCTCCGCCGGGCGGTCCGCCGATTTATTCTTAATATTTCCCGCCTTTGAGATTGAGGAGGAAATAGTTGCACTAGCACCTCGTCGTTCATGATCATCAGACCAGCCGTCTTCAAACCGGTACGAGCTCAGTGAATGCAGTGAAAAAACGGCTGTGTTTACTGCAACAAGGGCATATGTCGCGAACGGGCCCCCGGACGCCGCATGACTCATAGTACTTCTGGACGGGTCTACTACTCTTATCCCCAAGCACGCCTATCATTCCGTTAGAAATTTATTACTATTGCTTCCTGGTGCAGGTAGTGAAATTGTCCGCGCTGTCAGTCTTTCGTCCTCTTCGGGCGTATACTTAGAGGCCTCCCTCTATTACAGATGGCTATCTCTCACTAGTCCCACGACTTGTAGGCACACTCCTCCGGTGAGCACCTCTATCAATAATACGTCGGGTGCTCCTCGCACTTAAGTAACCTAGTGCATCGAGCACTTGCAAATGTATACTATAACGTTGAGTCCTTGATTCTCTTCAGCTAAAACCTTACAATGTTTGGAAGGTCGAGGGTGTCATGAAACATTTCACTGCATGAATCTCCAATACAACACGTCTCCACTTGTGCCATCAGTTTCAAATGCTCCCGACGTCTTACGAGAGTAAACAAGCAGACAATCTCAGCCCCCCCTTGTTCTCTCGTCTCTTTTGTCACGACCATGACGACTACGACGAACTATATGACTCACCATTACTCTCCGTCCTACAACACTAGCAAAGTAGTCCTTGTGTGCTCTCGATGCTCTCGATCATATTCTACTGAAACGTCTCCCAACTCAGACAGAGACTGACCTAGCCACTTGGCTTACTCTAACCCAATGGCTATCCTCCTCCGGCATAGAACACTCACATAGCCGCCTAGTGCAGCTCTGCGCTTAATCCAGTGATATGACGCTCTTCACCCAGATCAACTAGTGGCCAAATCTCTTAAACTGAAGCCTACACGTTGGTGGGTGGTAATGTCGATGAAAGGCTTCAGTTCATAGAAGCAACCACTTGCACGAGCTCAGTCTTATAATAGAACAGCCCATAAGGCTTCCCAACACGGCTAGGCTGATTACGCTGGGCACGCTGGGCCGCTGGGCGGCCCAAATGTGCCAGATCTACCGAATTCTGCGCCCGGCGCCACGCTGGGCGTCTCCAATTGCGCGGCGCCCTTCGGGCGCCCGCTTCCTTGAGAACCCCACCTCACCAGCAGGGCTGGGCTAGCGTAGGCCAAGGCCAACACCGCTGGCGAGTTTACCGTTGTGCACAGGAGCGGCGCAGCATTGCACGCACCGAGCAGCGCAGCGCAGCGCAGCGCGACGCAGTGCAAGCCTGAACAGAGCAGGCGCAGCCCGCTACTGCGCAAACTGGCGCAGCACTGCGTCAGCGCTGCCCTGAACCTTGAGGGCGGCGCGCCGCCTTTGTTTGTGCTCACGGGACGCGCTGCACCGCGTACCCGCGGCGCAAGTAAATCCATCGGCCGCACGGGCTCGGCATGCCCAATGTGTGGCCCTCCAGTCCGCTAAGCGCTATCCAAGCGCCCGCCCAGCGTGCCCAGCGTTGCCACCCAGCGCGCCCCGCGTTGCCGCCCAGCGATGCCGCCCAGCCACCCAGCGTCTATAAACTACTCTATTATAAACGCAGTCTGCTGTTTGAAAATGTTCCGCTTTTCACTCGTGTCAAAATCGTAGCTCACATTTGCACGGTTTGCGATAGCGACACGAATGCCACTTAACCAGCGAAGATTGTACTCGCCTGCTTTCTGTCATACAGCAACCACCCTCCCTGGCAGTCGTTAACACACTACCTACTTATCTATCCGTGCTAATGAGCTAGACTTGACACCAGACACCCGCCAAAGGTAAGCAACACATTCACATCCTCCCTTAACGACTGCACACCAGCCCCTTAGTCGAGAGATAAGTAGACTCCAGCTAAAGTCCAAATGTCTAAGAGAGAAAAGGACAAGAACCTGAACTTAGCTTGAAAAAGATAGACATGCGAGCTAGAGGAGAAATGATTTAAAACTTTGAGAAGAAATAAGTTCATAGGCGAGCGATGTCGTGCGGAAAGATCCAAGTGGGGCAAAGAGAAGTAACTTCTAGGAGTGAAAAAAAACAGGACTAAAATATATTACCTTATTCTAGTCTATATGCTTTGAAAAGAAATAAGTTCATAGGCGAGCGATATCGTGCGGAAAGATCCAAGTGGGGCAACGAGAAGTAACTTCCAGGAGTGAAAAAAAACAAGTCTAAAATATATTACCTTATTCTAGTATATCATGCATATGACGTACATGGATTCTCATGAATAGAAACAAAAAGATCAAGTCCACTTGCTATGTTGTAACTTCTACTACTAAATTATTCCAGAACTAGTTTATTCATCCGTCCCGAATACACGCTCCCCCGCTCCACCACTCCTGCCAGAGGCTGCTTGTCCACTGCCTGCCGGCTTGTCGACACGCTCCCCCGCTCCACCACTCCTGCCAGAGGCTGCTTATTCACCGCCTGCCGGCTTGTCGACACGCTCCTCCGCTCCTGTTATTTTTTTCCACGCCGCTCCAAAGGCCCTTGAAGCCCAGGCAGAAGCCGTGCTAGCGAAAGCCTCCCCTGCAGCCGGTCGCCTCTGATGGCCTGTGCGCTGGTCGGCAGAGCCCCTGAAGGGAACCACTTCGAAGTTCGCATCTAACGGAACCGGCCTGAGTGCTTGCTTATTCAATGCGGTCGGAACAGGTACGTTGAAGTCATGGATGGTGAAATGTGTATTCATGAACAGCCCGCCCAGCTGCGTGAATGCCCGCCACGGGATCCAGAAGCGCTGGCTTTCTTGGTCTCTCGTATTTGCGGCCTCATCATAGAGCTCCAGGCATTCGCCCCGCTGAGCATTATTGAGCGAGATCTCCTGCAAATCGAAAAACTGATCCGGATTCAGAGCGCTTGATAGCGACTTCGGCTCTTTCCCCGGCAACACCTTTCCACCGCAGTCCATCCTCACCTTGTAAACGCCATGCTCTACTAGCGCCACATGGCGTAGCTTTACCGCCTCTGCAGAATATCGCCTCTTGATTTCTTGCTGCTCATCGGCATCCCACTCACCCCTGCCATCAGGGGCAAGGCCAACCGCGTTGAACGCGTGTAGGAGGGCATCGCCAGTAGAGCATTGATAGTCGTCTTTTGCGCTACGACTTTTGTCGCCACGATCCGGATAACAGGGATAATCCGTGCGAACGATGAGCTTGCGCGAAGAAGACACCTGTGGCCTAGCGTCTGGTGATCCCCGAGGAGAAAGATTAGAATTGGAGTTAGACAAGGAATAATAATAACACATAAACATAATAAAGCACGAGTAAGGCGTTGAAAAAATTGAATACTTTCACTCACTCATAGAAAATTCGCTACCATTTTCAATGTGAGCGCAAATAAAGATGATCATGAACGTGCTAACATGCCCGCCAGCCACTAAGAGTAGTACCTGACCATTGCTATCGGATCCCCTCGACCCTTCTCCACGAATGACCTCGTTCGCCGCAGGCGCCTTCGACTTTGCGTTGTGAGGCGTAAAAAATGCATTGAAGACACCCGAGGCAGGCATGCCATAAGGGTTCCGGACCTGGATGCCATACACGAGAAGAAATTTGGCGTCCTGCACGTCATTTTGATCAGATGATGGCTCGGCAGGATTTTCCACGCCCTTTGATCTGAAGGGAATAGCAAAAACTTCCAGCGCCTCAACCGTGTATCCATGCGCTGAGAACATTCCAAAAAAATCCGTTGTGCCTTCTTTGCATAACGCTCTACGTCGGCCCTCGTGATCATTATCTGCAGCACAACTCCAAGAAACCACAGTTAAATGTAGAGACTTGTACTTGCCCACGGTCTGTGGTGTTTGTTGGTGTTGTCCCTCCACGGGTGGTGGGCCGCTCTCTAGCGCCGTTTCTTCATCCAGGTTCTCGAATCGTGACCTCAATCGGAAATAGGCACACTTCCGGAGCCCGTCTCGATTTTCGCCACGGTGAAGGACGGTGAAACTGGGATCCTCTATGATTTTTTGCAGCATCTCGTCCGTAGCTTCTGCACTATTGCCGTAAAGTTCCTTATGCAGCTGGCCCAGAACAACTTTTACCAACGTTGCGTCCCTGGTCCTGCTCCTGTCCTCCGCGTTCGCGATCTTACGCATCTCCTCGTGTTCACCCGTCGCCTGTCCAACAGGTACTAGGTCTAACAATTTTTTCACCGTTGCTATGGTGCCCCGCCCTAGTGTGAAGGGCTCTCTTCCCGCAGCGTCTTGCCAAGCGGCCAAAAACGAATTCCTGCCAGCCTCGCCCTTCTTCCATATCCGCCGCACGAGCTTCAACACCAGCCACTGTACGCGATCGAGCGGGGACACCCACAATCTACAGACACGCGGGTCGATTGCTTGCTTCTCCGGATTACTTACCTCGAAAATCTGCTCGTGTTCCAGCGATTTCACCCCGATGTCCTTTTCAGGAACTACGAGGCTAGGGGAGAACCTGAACACACGCTTCGAAAGCGGCGTCTCCGCATGGGCTGCTGCTTTCGCGTTCCAGACCCAGGTCTTGTATCGCATAGCTTCAAAAACGTTTCCGCGCGAGCGAGGCCCAAGTAGAGTCTGTGCGAGAACTGCAGGCACTGGAGCTTCAGCGGCAGTGTAGTCGCCGACAACCTTCGCATAAGCTTTAATCAACACCGTTACTGTTATCGAGCGAGAACCGCTCATCGCGTGGTCAAAACAACCGCAGCTGCCAGTGACGCGAATAAGTAGCCGCTTTAGCATAGCCACCTCATCTTGCATCAGCATCTCTGGTATCCGATCGTCGACGATGATATCGCGCCACTTTCCTTTGATGAAGAGAGGGACCTTGTAGAGACCCACCGGCGAAACTGCTTCAACCTCGCTCAACCAGCCCAGTCGGATTAAATTCTGAAGCAGTGCGTAGAAACCACAGATACCGAATCCCTCCTGCCTGATGTATCGGGCAGGTAAAACTGTCGCGAACTCCGGCGGCCTAGTCTTCGAAGGCTGGCTGCGCTTACACGTCGAGTGCTCTTTCATGTATTGGAAATAGAGTCGCGACGCACTGTGGTACCAGGAGTGGTGGTCGTGGTACAAAAACGGCATGCCCGTGTCCACTGCAATGATCTTGCCCGCCACATCGGTCGCTGGTAACTGTCCAGCGCCATCGACTCCACCAAGCTCGTACACGAAAATGCCCTGTTTCTGGGCGTCGAATTCAAGTTCTTCATCGACTGTCCAGTCTCGAATTTCGCCAGGCGTAGAAGGAGCATAATTCCGCCCTACTGCGCCAAGGCACATGGTCTCCCTCTCGAAAGCTCCGCATATTGTCTTGAACTGCAAACGCAAAGGTGGCGCCGGAGTCTGCCGCAAACTACCACTCGCGCCTGTTGGTTGCTCGAGGCCTTTATTGCTGGCACCAGCGATCATGCACTGTCGGAAAAGCCCGAGCCTCCTGCCCCGTAACCAGAGAGCTTCAAAATTAGATTAGCCTTAAGGTAGCTCAATGGCTACGGATTTGAGTGATGTCGTTCACCATTCTCAGCGATTCCTTGATCATGATGCTCGTAAGTCTTTAAGTTGTTGATTTCTGTACTGGTAGGATGATCTTCATGCTCATGCTTGAGATGATTCATAATGTGGGGATCGACAAGGGCGTGCTTCCGTTCCATAAAAGTCGACGGAGATACCAGGCCGGCGGCAGTGGCATTAGGGCTCTCCGGAGTTGCATCTCTTCCAGTTGGTGCGTCCTTAGCTAAAGAAGCCTGCGCAGCTGATTACTAGAAGCTGTAGATCTAGTGGCCACTGCTAACAACAAGTAAGCATCACGGAGAAACTACGGGGCCACACTTTTCAGGGATGCCTTAGTTAAAAAAAAAAGTGCGCTTTTTCTAATAAATAAATATACGAGCATGCTCAAGAACTTAAGGCAACAGCATTACATTACCCTCGTAGTGTCGTGGTAGGCGTGAGATAAGTGCCAGAGAAGATTGAGAGATAGAGAAGAGGAGAAGAAGAATCACTATAGTGATGCCGCTAGCCTTAAAAATAGTACGTGTGGTCGTCGAGGAGGAAACATTGGACCACAACGCAGGTGGTAGCTCTCGCAGCGGTCCATCGTCCCCGCTCGCCTCCGCAACGTAAGGTCCACCGTCGGCCTCTTCACGTGTAGTAGGAGTGCTAGTAGAGTTAGGGCATGGGTAGGATGCCCCACGCAAATTACGCTTAGAGCACGCCGAAGTTGATGCCATCAGTCCGTGTGAGATAATCCCACTCATCAATGGGGGACGGGGATCAAGGTGAACGAGCGCAAGTAGAACTCGCTCTTCTAGATAGAACAAGGCTGCTGCGCCACTGCTCGTACTGCACGCATCTTTTGCGGGAGCCGCGGGATCCAGGCAGTACCATCGCAGCAGCTGCAGAGCGGCGGCAACTAGCGCAGCAGTTCCGCAAAGAAGAAGAAACACGACTACAAAAGGCGAGGCAGATGAGCATGAGCAGCCGCTCTTACGCCACAAACCGAAGACGAAGCGCGTGCATGCACTTCTTTCTAGAAACGTTCTGCTACCCTTTGCTTTTCCTGCCTTCGTAGGCTTTTTTCTGCGCGAAGCCGTTTCTTGCTGAGTCGCTTCGTATTTCTGGGTCTTCTTCCTACACGGGCAACAGATGGAGGCGCTCCCCAGCACGCCTGTGGCCCCATTCTTGACAGCAAGACTCTGCGCGTGCAATTTCCTCCGCCGACGCGGTGTTGGGCCAACCAGAGCAGAAAGCTCTTCCCCGGACGTTGGTGACCCAGCGCTGCTACTGACACTGTCTGTGGGACTTGGTGACCCAGCAACTGCGTCCTTCAGATTGCGCTCAAGATCCCGTGCGAAGACCTAATACATAGTAAAAGCTGAAAGGAGACGAATTATACTCACACACAGCCTGACTGTTTGAACTGTATTTGAACCAGCAAAAACGGCGCTTATACTATTTAAATGCATCCATCTTCCTAATCATGTGCTACCACATAGATGCCAACCTATGTTGTCAATTGCGGCTCAAAGCCAGAAGCTAGGTATTACCATCCTGCAGAACAGGCCGCCGAAACCCACTTCTAAGGCCTTTCTCGTCTCGGGAGCCCACGTCTACTAACTAAGGTCTTTCTCGTCTCGGAAGCCCCCTTCTAAGGTATTATAATTTCTCGCCTTATTGCGTCAATTTCAGTTAACGCACTAACCGCCACGCGAACAGAGTGAAAGGGAATGGACGGCTATAGGTCCGTAGACCAATTTTTCCATGATGTCGTACGACTTGGCACAGCGCATCAAAATCTTCAAGAAGGACCTGCCTCCACGCCAGCGGTCATGCTTTCATAATCACGCACGAAGAACAAGTCGTCGCCATCCATCTTCATAGGCTAAGAACAGTTGTAACACTTCTAGCGGTGGCAACATTTTCATAATCATCTTCATCGCGTTCTATCGACTGACGTAAATAAGCTTTATTCAAAGGCAATAGCAATAGCAGCAAACGAGGATGAGTAGTAACCGTCTCGAATCGTCTTTGTGGCTCTCTCGCTCTGCCGCACGAGGAGATATCTCTACTCTCGTCTGGCTCTGGTGGCTCACCGGGTAATACTAGGAAAAAAAAGTAGTCATATGACGGACAACGCGATCCATATATACTCTCAACTCTCGCCAATATCCTCATGGCTTTTTTCTGAATTCGTCCAGTTCCTGCAACCCGTTAACTTTACAGACTTTAGCTTCACTATTTTGCACCAAGTCGAAAATTGTCTCAGCCACGTCGACGTAGTCTAAATTCAAATCATCAGTGGCACCCTCGGTTGCCCTCGAAAAGTAGGCTTGGACTTGCCGTGTGTCAATTGTCGCATGCAAGACGTCGTTCGCATCACGGTGTTTTTTTCTGTTACGTCAACATGGCGCCTCTTATGTAGCTATTAGTGTCTACTCGTGAGGCCAACCAGTTGGAAAGTACCTCCGATGGAGAGCCAACCTACCGGTATAATATTTCTTGAGTAGCAACCACAGTTCTTGTCTGCTGTAGCCATTCTCTTGACTTGTAGTGCAGCTGCAAAACATGATATATATTCGTGGTGGAGCCGACCTAACTAGAAAAAAGACAGACCAGAGGAAGATATAGAAGAGAAAAGTGTGTACTAACAAGCAACATCACGAAAAGTCTATGATTCGGTGGAGGGAGGTGGGGACGATGTTGTGCTACTTGTTCGTTTTCCGAGAATATGGAAATAATATCATCAGAAAGTAGATGAAGAAACAAGTTCGGAACTCTAAACTTCACTTTCACAAACGCAAACTCTGTCTATGTGGACGTCACGGTAGCTGGATCGTGTGACAAGAGTCTCAGGAAACAAGGGGGCCTGACAATAAAACGAACGCTGCAGAAGTTCAAATATGCGTATTATCTGAAAGAACGACTAATTAATCGAAATCGATTTATTGGACCGTTCTGATCTTGATTATTTTCGTCAACTATGTTGAGATATGAGGTTGAGATATAGTAAAGGGTCAGTAATTGAAATTCTGATCAAGAACGTATACATAGATACAGTCAACATCAAGAAGTATTTTCGATAGGAAAGAAGTTCCACTAATGCATAGTATGTGGCAGCCCATCGAGTGCAGGGCAATGCTCCTAGAGCCGAAATCAAAACCGATGAGACGTTTAGCACTGTGATGTATCAACTGCAAACGCAAAGAAGATACTTAGACGACCACGACGGTAACAAGCAATTGTGCTTGCGAGGACGGACAGTCTCCTGGTCCGCCACTGGCGAGATCTCTATCTAATAGTGGTGGAGCCCCCAACCTAACTACAACTAGGAAATGACCAAAAAAGAAGAAAATCAGAATCTACTTTGTTGGCTAGATCTCTATGTATACTATTATAGAGCTCCTTCGCACAGGCAGCTCCTTCTTACATTGGTGGGACTTTCATCATACTTCAATCGAGGGTTTTCTCGATGACGACCCTGCTAAAGAGCCCTCGTAAATATTTCTTCAGCGCTACATCAGGAACTGCCGAAACTCGCCATAGTCTGGTTGGTTATAAAATCGCGCACCGTGCTTGCCTATCCCTTTCACCATCCTCTCCAGAGTGTCCGGGATGTTCTGCTTCGCCCTTTTGTTAGCGGAACGAAGACCTAGTAACGAAACAAGACACAGTAGAAAAATGCGCTTTGATAGTGCTGCGAATCTATTCGGTAGATCACCTAAAATTTCCCTGAAGAGTACATGCTTTCTAAGCAAAAATATAATTCTTCTTTCACCGGAGCAGGAAATATTTCCGCTCGGGTTTGACGAACAGATGCTGAATGAGATGGTCCTCACAGCATCTTCATCTTCATTTTCGTTTTAATCATGTAGACGTAGAGTGAGTTTACAGTGATATAAAAAATCAAAAAATATGCCACCATAATGAGCAAAATATTCATCAGCTCACGCGGAAGTGCGGAAGACTTTGCTGAATACTCGAAGAATGTCAGCGCATTTCCGGTCCCCTCGGTCCCTCTCGATTTAGAGCTCAATATTTACAGGCCTACTCATCATCATGTTCATGCGTTTCAAGTGAACATTCTTGATCATCGACAAGACGATACAATTTATAATTCTAAACTCGATCACTTCGTGGTCAACATCTTGTAAGCGGCATGAGAGAACCAGATATGAGATGATCTGTGGATGAAATAGAAGAAGTGTTGACGTTCTTGAAGCTGCTCGAAAATACTTCTAACATCCGGTAGTGCCAGAATTACAAGCATGATGACGAATTGAAATTCAATTATACATTGATTCGTAATGGCGGTCCGGCCAATCCGATGAACGTAGTCGTCAGGCTCTGGCATCTCAAAATTTACTACGTGGGACACGTTCTCAATATCGATTCCACGCGATAGCACATCGGTCGTTATCAAGACCTTGTTGTAACAACGATCTTGCTCGGGATGGATAAAGCAAAAGTCATTGGTAAAAGTGTTCGAATCAGGACAAGAAGCTGAGAAGCAGCAATGAAGCAAGTTGAGAAGTAGCTATGAAAGCAAAAAAAGTAAGAGTGATAATTTTTGTTCGCTGTATTTATCACTAGAAAGATGTAGAGACGGTAAAGGACGACCGAGACAACTTTTGAATACGGAACGACCCTGACCTGGTGGGAAGTAAAAGAAAAAGGAGTAGAATGAACAGGAAATACTACTTCACCAGAACGCAATGAGTTATACCTTCACTGCACTTCACCAGAACGCAATGAGTTATACCTTCACTGCACTTCACCAGAACGCAATGAGTTATACCTTCACTGCACTTCACCAGAACGCAATGAGTTATACCTTCACTGCACTTCACCAGAACGCAATGAGTTATACCTTCACTGCCCCCGTCCTGAAACTGTGAACGATCCCAGTGCGCTGTGGCTGCGAAAGTCCCCCATGCATAATGTGAATATCGTGACAGTCCATGTACCGCATGAGTCGGTCGCGCAGACTCTCCGTATCCATCCGCGTGTTCACAAAAATCAGAATCTTACTCTCCGGCTCCAGTGCAAAACAGTTGCGAATATGCTTCACCTGCATCGAAGACAACAACTCAATTAAATAACAACGGAGTAGATCATTGCTGAAGAACAACGAGGAAGATATCATGATATCTTCGGGTGATGTTTTCGTCCATCTTCAAGCGGGTATTAAGCACTTGTCGTGTAATTTAGAATAAAAGATGACAGCACGGCGCACCACCAGAGGGCAAAAAAAAACATACTCTTGGACTTATCCACCTGCAAGCGTAGACATGCGAGTGGTCGTGACGGCCCCTTGACCGTCAAAAAAACTGTGATGCATGTGGTTCACGCAGGATGATTACATTCGGTCTTTTCATCATATACAGAAAAAGAGGACTCACCACTGCTTTTATTTTTCGATTTCGCCGACGATATTCCGGTGATATTTGCGCGTCGGAGGAGCCTGCCTTCGCCTCATTTGATACAAACAGGACTTCCTGAGTGACGTTTTCGTTCGCGTTCAGGGACTCTCCGCCAGCCTGGTCGCACCGCAACACAACCACAGTATTGGAACGCGAGTGCTTCTGCACCAATGGCTGAACCTAAGATATACAATCGGAGAAGATAGTCGGGAAACTTATTCTTCATCATCATAAGTCTTGGATGGTCATCCCCTGCCACAAGTGAGACAATGAATCACCATAAGAGGATTACTACTTGAAGCTATCACCCAACTGGTCTAACTGTATTCATAGTATCCTACAACGACGTTGAAGTCGCAATGAATTGTAGTAAAACAAGACAAAAAATGACATTTTAAATTCCTACCTTTCCTCCCCAGGTTGCACTGAAGTAACAGCACTGAAATTTCTTCGGGAAGCCACGAGTGATGAAGTAGAGGTCCTCCTCGAAACCTTGATCATCTAACATCCTGTCAGCCTCGTCCAAAACTAAGAAGGTAATATTGTAACATCCGATTTCCCCAGACTCGATGTAATCGCGTACGCGACCTGGCGTGCCAACCCACAAATTCGCTGTCTTTATGTACCTGAGCATTGATAATAGCTTGTGAAATCGGTACTGGCTGTCCTTGTGTACCTGAGCAAATAGTGGCACCATCACAAGGTAGTTTGCACCGCAAGCGATTGCTTCACACGCTTTGCGAGTCCAAGCAAGTGTAATAGCAACTAAAGAGACAAAAGGATTTAGCACGAACACGTGAGAGGGAATTGATACTCAAGGTCAAGGAAAGTCAAGAAAAGACCAGGTGTACTACTGGCCTGCGTCGTGAATAAATGCTTCTAAAATCTCATCATTGATTCGAACTACAGAAAGTAGTAGAACTACTTTCAATTCAAGTAGTTCTACTACTTTTTTTTTGTATCGCGAGCGAGTTCCGTGAAGGACCTGCCTGCGTATTTTCCGCGTGGATACCGGCATAGGGGGGAGTTCTTAATCTCCTTAACAAACTACGCTACTGCCCCTACGATTCTGTTTTTTTTTTTGTAGGGTTATATTCAGAATTCTACTACTTTCTGTAGTTTGTTGGGTTATATTCAGAATATTATAGTTCATTAAGAAGTATACGGTAGCTGCTTCTCTTTCTTTTCACCACCGAAGCAGATGCCCGTTCTGAGAGCTGGCCATGCCGAATGGCCTGTGTGCTGTATGCTCTGTGCCACCGCACCAATCTGCTGCACGAGCTCCCTCGTTGGCCCCATGACAAGAGCGCGACAGTTTGAGTTGATAGCGATGTGCGCCATCACCGGAACCAAAAATTAAAGGTCGACACTCATTCTTGGTCACCGACTCTGAACGGGAAGGGCCCCATGCCTCTCGTCCCCCTGTTTTCCCCTGTTCTCTCAAGGGGTCTCCTCTTCGGTGTCAGTGACCACTCTCAGTGACCAATAAAAGTTGAGCCTCAAAGAAAGGCTAGTGTCTTCCCCGAACCCGTCTTCGCCACTCCTACCACATCAGTGCCAGCCAGCAAAAACGGAATCGCGAACTTTTGAATTTTGTAGGCCTTGGTGTAGCCGACATACTGGAGCCGCTCTCCAAAAGCATGCAACAGAGCGTGCATCTCATCCGTAGTTAGAGCTCCCAATACAACTCCTAACTCCCTCGTGCTTTCGCCCTCCCGTAAGTAGAAACACAACTTTATTTATATAGTGTTGACCATTCTAAAAAGATTGATAGACTCATCGTTGGGCTTCTCAGAATGAATTCCAAAGGAGAGCAAAACAGAGGACGGAAGATTGGCTCCTCCTGATGTGAAGACGAATTTATTACCAGCTGCATCCTTAAAACGGACTCCGGCTCAGACGTCGCAGCACCCTTGATCTTGTACTTCGGAAAAAGGTGGAGAAACTTGTCGAAATAGCGCAGCCCCTCTGCTGCGGGCTGAAAACCCGACCCCCTTTCAGCAAAATTGCAAGACACTTGCAGCTCTGCGATTCAATGAAGCCACCTCCTATCTAAGTACGTGGAATACATCATAGTGGGTGTGGGATGAGTTTTACTAGATTCAATGACTCATTCACGTGTGAAGATACATTCATGGGCAATACAGGTTTCACATTCACTGCATCTTCATCTTTTCATCTGCAAATACCAATTTTAGCCGAAGAATACAGGGTGTAGAAAGCTGCATTGATAGTCCTTCTGGATCGATGAAAAGTGTCCATAAACTTCCTTCGTGTTGGCCACTCGACAAGGAAGGTTTACTTCCCGAAGAATGTTCCATACGATTTGTTCGCCGTCAAACGCTTCCGGTTGCAGATGCTGCGGGTGTCCCGGATAGAAATCGCCTACTTCAGACCCGCTCTCGCTGTTGTTGCTGCTGTTCAATAAAGAATCGCATATCTCTGGTTTGCGACGTACGCTAGTGTTCGCTGTCTTGATCGCTTCGCCCGCAGAATCACTACGCGACCGCGATTCTTCTAGACGGCCAACCGCCTTAGCGCTGTCAATCTAGTCTCTCAGATCTCATACTAGCTTATAAAAGAAACTGCAGCACGCATCTCAAACTAGTACCTATGTATAATGGTCTCACTATCCTGAGAAGTTCCGCATCGCGTGCTGAAAACCAGCATTCCAGCGAGCATATCTTACTTACCTACCAGTATCAGTGTTGATGGATTGATTCATTACGTGCGACTTCCAGATTGCAAACTACACGTAGATACTGGTGTGAATCAGATTCACAAGTTCCAATAAATATTAATCATAGAGGAAGTTGTAGCTGCCCGAGCCGCGACATGAGCTGCTGCCTCTGTCTGCGAAACGGCTTTCGAATAGGCGCGTGCATCGGGAACGATCCAAGTGCTGTCCACCGTCGCAGCCAGGGCATTGAGATCAGGCGATGGCGTCTCTGGCTGATGCTGATGATGCTGTCGCAACATGCATTCGTTAGTGCTGTATGCTTTCACTGCGCTGGTGCCCGCCAGCTGAAAACCAGCATTCACATCTTCATCTACATTTTTCATATTGACTCCAGCTCCCGTTTCTCCCGAGTCGGTTTCCTGATTGAGGTTGTTATTGTCCACCTCCATGTTGCTACGACCATGAAGATCTGCTGTAGCATGACCTTGATTTGCAGCATCACTGGAGAATGCCAAAATCCTTTCGTGCACGTCATTCCAATTAATATGGTCCCTTCTCTGACGATCCGATTCTGGCCCCTTAACCCAGTGGGCCCAGTCTGAGTGTGCAACTGGATCTTTTTGGCGACCCATACTTGTAGTAGTACACTCCCTTCTGCTAACTTTAATTGCCTCATTTTCAGACACGAGTTGCATCTCATCTTCAGGCTTCTGACATTCAGCGTGCACTTCAGAGGTGGGATCACCATCATCACCCTGTTGAGCACCCGCGCCTTCAGAACTACCCGTATCATCGTCGTCTTCCGATGCACTACCTTTGTCCCTATCATCAACTGCCTTATCCTCCTGCTGGGAGGCAAGAACATGATCGGCACCTATAATACCATGAGCGCCGGCGCCTGCAGACTCCGTAAAAAGAACATCGGCAACTTCTGGAGAAGAGACTTCGCCTTTTCCTTCACAAGCAGCGTGCTTTTTATCTTCGATGTGGTGCGCAGACACAGCACCGGCGACCTCGTCTTTATCATTTTCAACGACTACCTTGTCCTCCTCCTCCTCGACAATATCATGAGCATGACTATGAGAAGTAGGATTCTTGATAACGGTGGAAGAAGAGCCGTCTCCAACGGGACGCGTTCGCGAATCTCTTTGTACTTGCAACGGCCGGGCTGCTGCACGGATCTGCTTCCGAGTTCTCGAAGCAGCCATCTTCACATCGTAGCCGCTCTTCGTGTTCGTCCGCATTCCATCTGCTAATATGACATGATCCGCTCGAAAAGCTTCTGCTTCAGCAGTATCAGAGCTCACACTTCCCCGTCGCATTCCCCGACGTCGACGCAGCTGCAGCCGAGCTCGACTCCTATCTTCGAGTTTCATATTACCCATCAAAAGCGCAGGCCTGGAGGACGAAGCCGAGGACCCATCAGGTTGTTGTGATTGTGAAGATCCCTTGATGTTGACCTTGTAGTTCATCCTACCTTTCCTCACATTCGAGGCAAGAGTCTCCTGAACCGTTTCCACATCGTCCGAGAGCAGGGTTAGCTCCAGACCCGGCTCGGGACCGAAATCGATGTTGCTACGCAGTGTCACACGGTATTCATACACGATCACCATTTTGCTGATTTTTAGTACGTTTAGGCACTATGACTATCTACACGTTGTGTTAGTTTATCTTCAAAGAACCAGGAAAATTTCATACAAGGCAGTAGTCGTTACTGTTCGTCAGTTAGTCAAAATGATTGTCAATATTCATGGCTCCATGCATAAGAGGCAATTCAGGGCTTGTTAAACCTCTTATTTCATTCAACACGACAAATTAGAATACTAGGTGGTTGTAGGTAGCATATTTTGCGTCTGGTACTAGTTCTAGTATACTAGCAGGAGCTCAACAATATTTATAAAAATCACTTCTAACGAACCATCATCACATCATCAATATCATTCATTTCTAGCTCGAATATCGCTTCTACTCAGCTTTAAGGATACCAAACGACCACTTACACCCCAAGAAGCCTCTGCTGGAGTAAAGTAGTTCTTACAACGGGTTCCCGATATTGAACTGTTAAATACTAGTTATTCTTATATATAAATATATCTTGTTGGTCGGGAAGCCGGAGATCGTCTGGCTCTTTTACCAGCCACAGCTGTCCTCTATAACGAAAAGGAATTTGGACCTCGACTCAATCCCCGATCGTAGAGGCTCGAATATTAGGTGCTCCTGCAAAGAACACGATCGCTCATGGAAGGATGTGCGCAACCCTGAAGTGCTCCTACGGTAACATTCGTTTTCCCCTGTTCTCTCAAGGGGTCAAAGCATAAAAATACTACACTCTCCCCCATCCTGGAACTCATTTCAAGACAGATCAACAAGATAAAGCTTCCATTTTTCGGAGAGAAATCAAGAAAAAAACCATGAGATAAATTGCAGCAAAATCAGCAAGTCAAAAATTGCAGTTCATCGAATCTCCAAACTACTAGTATCTCGAGGAGTTCATGTTCTAGAGGTATCTATCGCAACATGATCATCCATTCAACACTGGAGGTGGTACTAGAACTAGATGCCGAAACCTGTCGGCGCAAACCTCCATCCAAGGTCTGTGACTTCTGTGTTGAACGAAGATTGCTTAAGATTATGCATCGCTAACAAATTCTACACTGTGCTCCACATCTCTATCGATTTTGGGGCTGCCTAGTGACCGCTTCCTCGCTTTCCGCCAGCCTCTGCCCTCCCCATCGGAATAGGTTACCGAAAACGAACCACCAGGAGGGCCTCTATCCGGGTTCCAATGTCCTCCTGTCTGCGCGTCCTTCCGTCCTCCTAATCCCTGTCGCATCAGCGTCAGGCTACGAAGATCCGATACGGTGCGTGACGCTGCCTGTGCCATGCTGTGCCGCTGTAGTGCAACGTCGCTCGGGTGGACCGCGCCAGCCGCCAGCATGCTCTCGCTCACACGACCACGCGAAAACGTAGATACAAACGCCGATGTTGGTGACAGACAGTGCTTACCTTGTAGTCGTGTCAAAAAAAGAGGGACCACTTCTACTCTATTTTTGAAAATGTGGAAAACTACAGTACGATAGTACTTTCCAGCGGATTCGTTCTCATTACTGTTCTTGGCGATACTCAATTGAAGTTGACTTGTTGTCTGCAGGAGTTAAGCCTGTCAATCAGACTTAGGTCTTGGTAAGTACCTTCCCGAGGAGGGCGCACAGCTATATGAGGTGGAGGCTCCTGTTCAGTGGCGGCTTGCTCCCCGGCGTCTTTAGGACCATCGCGTTGCTTTTTGTTCTTTTTTTTTCGCACACAAGCAGTTTTCTCCCTCTCCTCCACTGAGGAGGCACTCGCAGCTTGAGCGCGCATCAAGTTTCTAGCTCGCGCCTGGGCAATCAGCGACGTGTTCTTGGCCTTTGTCTCAGCCGGCGTTTTAGCGATTACAGGTGCGGCTTGCTGCAGCATCACCTTTATCTTGCTCTCACTGATCTGCGAAGTCCGCTGCTGCGCTGCTTCACTCCGACGCTGCTCTGGAGACAAGCTGCTACCTAAGGTTCCCCGCCGATCATAAACCGGGACCTCTCGCAGGAACGACAACGCTTCAGGAGGAAGAGCTTTGCTTTCCTCGGGATTCTCAACAGCTTGTTCGCGCTTTTTACGCCGATGTCCAGGGGCCTTTTCCACCTTAGAAATCCTGGTCTTCAGGTTCGGCGTGAAAGTGCAATTTGCGTTGCTGGTGAAGGCACCGTCAGGGCGTGGCAGCCTTGATGACGTCGCAGGCTTCTCTTTGGAAGAGGCTCTGCTGGTGATCGTTGTTGTGTTCATCTTTCGTACTGGCTGTTCTGCTTCTGTGCTCTTCTCGTCCGCAGGTACTATCAGGTTACTATTCACTGCATCTTCTGATGACGATGCCCGCGTTTTCGACTGCGTTCTCGTCGATACGAAACCGCCGTCTGTCTTTCGACCAGTTCTCTTTGGACACGCGAGCAGTTGCAAATGCCCAAGCGCAGGCGTCGCTGGATCTTCAGGCGTAAGGTTAATCACGTCATCGACAGGATTCAAAGTTCCCTGCTGGTCTCCTGAACGATTGTTCGCGGCATTATTGGAGGATATTCTATTCCTGCTCGTCCCTCCTGTTGATGTTCCCTCTCCTATAGTACGATCTTCATCAGCTCTTGACGAAGTCTTTCTTTTCGATGTACCTCCTCTGCTGGTACCAGCCAGCGTTTCTTGCGCTGCAAGTAAAGTCGTGAGCGTGTTGCGCAAGGGATTCGATGACTGCTCTCCGAAACTGCTCATAGCGGTGGTGCCCGCCGAAAAAGCAGTTCGCTTTCGCTGACCCACATCATCATGTTCTCGCTTCGCCCTTGTAGAAGGCTTACTAGAAGATGATAAGTGTGTATTTGTTGTAGTTCCACTTGACAAAACCTGAGTAGCAACATCCTGTTGAAGACTGCTTGCCGTAGTGCTGCTCCCAGAAGAGTGGCTCTGTGCACGGGCACCGGCATGCAACCTGGAAGAAGAAGTGCTAGCGGCCGTGGACTTGTGTCGGCCCCCTCCTCCTGTTCGATTACCTTTGGACTCACCGTTACCACTGCTTTTCCCAGGTACATTGTCTACAAACGTGTGGTCCGCGACTGCAAACTCCTCCCCGAACGCGTTGTACTCGCCACCGTTTACAGTACCACCAAAAATACGATTCATCTGCGACACTGTGAGGGTGCTCTTCAGCCCTCTCGGTGAAAAGGACGCCTGCCAACCCCCAACAGCAGCAGTTTTACTCACCTGATTGTTGTTAAAGGGAGGTGGATGTGGCTGTCCTGGCGCAGAAGGCGGGGGAGCCCACGCACTCGTGCCTGCTTGTTCGGGATCACCAGGCACTGAAGACTGACCTGCTCCGTTGCCACCGCCGCCGCCTCCTGGGACACTACCCAGCATGACCTTTTCTGGCGAGTTTACGTATGTCAGATATCCAGGAACGCTTGCGCTGAGTAGATTGTGCAATGGCAGGGCGGGAGCCATCGACGTGCCGGAAGATGATCCAGTTCCAGATGATGAGGCTCCACCGGGAGCCATCGACGTGCCGGAAGATGATCCAGTTCCAGATGATGAGGACACGGACTCCTTCGTGGGCATGCGGCTACTGAGTCGACTCGCACCGTGCCGACTCATGCGACTGTTCGGCCTTGACGAGAACAAATCCGTACCGCTGTGCGGCCCCGCAACAGAAGATCCCAGGTAGCCTAAGTGCTGGTCAAGAAACGTGCTTCCTGTGCATCCACGACTCCCTGGTCGACTTGCCGCTTGCTGCGAGCCAGGACGGCTTTGCTGGTGCGCTCCGCCACCAGCATGGCTTGCTGCACCTGAGCCACCTGGTCCGCCGCTTTTGCTGTCCAAGAACACTGTTGCCGCAGTCGCGTTTCCGATGATGTCATGGTCGCCGCTGATGATCTCGACTCCGAAGTTGTTGTCATTTAACGCCAGCAGTGCGGTTGTCGCGACGCTGCATCCGTTTGCGTCTGTCCTACCTCCCGCACCGGAGCCTGAGCCAATAGTACGGTCCTTGTCTTTATTCTCCTTAAAAATAGAAGAAGAGCCAGAGGAGCCGCTTCCACTGGCATGATTCATCGAAGAGGATCCTCCAGCACCGCTGCCTGATGCGCCATCGTAATCACCTCCAGGATGAAGAACGTTGTTCAACAGTTTGCCGCTGGTCTCCAATGACCCCTGTTCTACCGCGTCCTTCAGCAGGTTCCTGAAGATTTTTCGCTGCGCCGATGCCCCTTGTTAGAGTCCTATGGTCATATCATTCTGGTCCCCCATCTCGGTACCTCTTCCCTTCTATGGTCCTCCCTTCTATCTCTATGACCTTCATCCCTCCTATGATATCTCATCGGACGAGTGGGTACGTATCGAGATGCTGAGAAAGATGGATAAAAGCCGAGCATAACCTTGCATGGCTTTCTTCAACTGGTCATCTTCCTTCATTCTCTCCACCTCATCCAGTCTCGCCTGCAAGATCGCCGTACATCTTCTCGCGTCGGTTTTGTTGCACAGGGACAGCGCTTGACGGAGCAAAGTACGCGAATACACCTTCTTCGAGAGGAGCTCGCACAGATTCACGCGCTTAAATTGAACTGCGTAATCCAAGACGCTGTCGCCGCTATGGGGATGCAGCCACAGAACCGATGGCGAGTTCTTAGTATCGGTAGGATAAATGTGCGCCAGTATCGCGGAGACACGAGTCTTATCACCATCGATGATCGCATTGAAAATCTCCTGCCGGATCCGCCGCGCAAGGTTGTACCTTGAAAATTTTCTAACATCAATGTAAACACAAGATAGATAGACACTATAAAAATCAAGATTAGAAGGAAGATGGTGGAATACTCTTTTTTCGGATCGAGATCTTGCAAGAGTCTTGCGAGACTGGAGTAGAAGTTTTTGTCGTGCGCCGTTCCAGTTTCAAGATGTGCTAATTCGTGGCATAATTAGCACTAAGGGAGGTCCATCCTCAGCAGCATCTGGGGTGGTCCCATTTCGCCTTTCAAAACGGGACCAATATGCTTGTGAAGATGGATTTCTTGCAGCCTTAACACAAGGTGGCCAAAATTTCGGCAAATGGTAGCATTTGCTGTGGCGCTTCTGAATTCCGGAGTTTTAGGCTGATCGTGCGTTCCTGGATCGCGCAGTAGCCCAGATCTTCCGAATCATGTGGCAGTTCCCTTAGCACTGCTGGAAGCAAAAACGCACTCACTGCGGATGCTGTTGGCGCAGAGGAACTCGCGGAGCCACCCTGCTGCTCGTTAGGAGGAGCCTTACCGGTGGTAGAACGCCCATTCTTGTTACCATGATCTTTCTGCTCCTTCGCATACAGCTTCGGCGCATGGTTCAGCAAGTAGCCCTTCACGCGCGCGAGAAGCACTGTGGCGTCGTGCGTCTCTTGGTAAATGGGACAAGGGTAACACCACACCATAATGTCAAAGGAAAGGATGTCTTTAATTCCAAGGTAATATGACAACTGTACGTATTACGGATTACTCTTCACTCTTCAAACTCATCGATATTAGAAGCGCATCCGCGTCAGATCTTTCACTGTCGCCGCTTAGAACAAGCTTATGATTCAATGCAACCTCATTTCATTATACGTCCAGTGAGCAAGTACAAGGACTACCAGGAGTACTCAAGACATCAACATCCTACCAACAACAAACATATTCTGAAGTGGAATCTAATAGTAGTACTCAGTGAGAATTTGTTTTGGGAACCTGGGAATAAGATGCAACCTGGTTACAAAGTGGTCATACTTGGCATCAATCACATCACATTTCTAAGGGTATCTTCAAGAAATAATGAAAGCTGCCGAATATTGTCAACAACACACCGACTTCACTGATCAGACCGAGTCCACAGCGACATCTACCATCATGAAACCGAGAAAAGGAAGATAGATAGTTTTTTGTACCGATTGCAACTTTTCCTGGCTCTTCTTACGCGTTCGTTTCTGTGAGGACAAATGAGTAGAAGATACAAATGACTGATTGAAGACCTGTCTCACTTGAAGAGCTCCGATGGTCCGCACCGATGGATAATTGCGATATTCCAACTGTTGCGGCAATCCACTTGCTGCGGCGACTGGCAGCGGGGTCCTTTGTCCTCGGAACACTCAACATGCTGTAAGTCTCCGCTTCATTTGACGACGCTCCCACTTACCCTAGTCCTACAAGCAACCTAGGAGCAAAAATAATAGACGTAGAGCAAGCGCAAGAGGTGTAAATTGAAAAAGACTACTCTCACGTTGGAGAAAAAGCACCATCTTGAAAAAAGAAAGAGACGAATTTCAGTTTGCGCTGAGCCAAATCTGTGGACGGGGGCCGTCTCCGGTGTTGAATCGCTTTACGCAAACCCCGAGGTACCGGTAGCGTCGATGGCAGGTCTTCTGGTGGCATATCGCTCTTACCACCTTCTGCGCCGGTGTAGGTGTTTGACTTTTTCGAGCTACTAACATCGTTTGTACTACAAGAATGTTGAGGATCAGTAGTGGAGGCCAGTTGTCTCTGCTCCGCCTGCTCTGTCTCCTCTGACAGCAATACGTGTTCGACAATTTGATGAATTTTTCCACCATCTTCTTCGGTACAATTCATCCCGGGCAACTTTCTGTCAACATTCGGACTCTTCGTATCTGCCTGAGCATCGTCATCTGGTGCGAAAGCATTTAGGAGTCCCCAGAGACCACGCACGGTGCTAGTGCTAGTCGTCTGCGATTCTTTCGAGTGTCCTTGAGAATGAGAACATTCTTGAGCTGTTCCAAGAACCGTTGAGACGATAGGCGTGTCATTAATGCGCATCAAGAAAGCGCCGTCGAGGCGGTCCCGCAACTTTCGTCCGTGATCGCTGAGAAGCGCTTCCGAAGACGAGGAGGAAAAAGCTTTGTCTTCATCCTCGTCGCTCCTGGACCACGAGGATGAAGTCTTATCAGCCTCAACATGTTCACCAACATTATTTTCTTCTGCCACGACGCTCCGATGAATCTTCACCTTTTTCGTCGATGTTGCTGTTGTCCCTGCAGCCGAAGTGGCTGAAGATCGCGATTCTACCTCAGCGACGTTGTCACTTGCTCTTTGATCTAAAGAATTCATAGTAGTCCTTCTGTTGGCATCATCACCCGTGCTGGATGCGTGTGAGGAGGATTGGAGTTCAACCGCATCGAGATTGATCACCGTTGGTGCGGATCCTGGTGCTGTATGCTTCGACTCAGTTGTACCTCCCGACTTAGGACCTCCAGCTGCAAGACCAGCTTGTGACTTTTTCGCTGTATTATCTTTATCTTCGGCATCGCGATCGTGGCAGTAAGGGTATTTCCAAGCATCGAGGCCACTAGAGAGGTCCATAGCTGCTACGGCGCTCGAGACCCAAGCGTCGATATTCATTTCATCCAATGATTTAGGAAGCAAGGGAAGCAATACCTCGAGCAAGCTAGTTCTCGTTTCGGATTTCACGTGCAATGTCGGCGTTTGGAGGGTGTGACTTTTAGTTGTCGCTAGAGATGCTCGTTTTCTCCGACGGCGTTGGCGTGGGACGGCCGGACCAAAGCAAATCACGCCACGTGGCTCTTTCTCAAATATTGGCTCTTCTTGGTTAGCATCGCCAGCATCATTTTCTTTCAATCCCTCCGCTTCGGCAAGGCATTCCGCAATGAGTCTTGGCATCTCTGCCGCTAAAAAGGAAACGAGAGCGCTCTCCCCACTCGACACAGCACTTGTTCCCTCTGTTCGAGTTCCACCTTGTTGAGTGCCTTGAGCACCATCATCTAGCGGCCGAGCTGTTGCGGTGCTCATCTCCTTCCGACCATGATGACCAGCTAAAAGTCCACTAGTGGCAAGGTATGAGTCGACTAAGGCCGTCAAACGAGAACGGCGTGGCGACGTCTGCTCCACGACAACATCCTCTTCGATCTCGATTGTCGTTGTGGGTCGTATCTCCTCAGCAGCGCTCCGCAGTCCAGGTGAGCGAGGATTTCGAAAGTTGATTCGCGAAAGCGGACTTCTAGACCGGCCTCGTCCACTGCTTCTGCGGATGCGGTCTTCTTCATCCTCGCTATTGCTATTCTGGCCGCTTCCGTGTCGCTCCTTCCCCCTACCCTCGCGGCTTCTCCCTTTCAGCGGCTGCTGGCTCATCTTCACATCTGCAACAAACGGACTAGAAAACGATTTGCCTCCTGCGACATCACCGCCGTTAAAGGAATGATCATCTTCCAGGATAACACGACCTTGAGCTTTCGCAGCTTCTTTTCGCGTGTAGGGCAATACTGGTGGAACAAACCTGAATCGTGGCACAGCAGCCGCCTCAATTTCTCCTACTGAACCAGTGGTCGCGCAGAAGTTCTTGCTACTTTTGTTTGTACCACCGTCGTGATCGTCTGGCCTCGTCGCACCATTCTCGCCACTAGATGTGCCGGACTTTTGGTTCCTAGAAGTATTCTGGCAAGAGCTTAAAGACGAAGTCGGAAGCCTCAAGTTCGCACTTCTGCAAACCTTGCTCACTTCTGCAAATGATTGCCATGTATAGTTTGGCGGTAAAGTCCTGCTTTGCTTAGGGCTGTCCGATAATCATCCTTGATCTGCATCCTTGAACCGTATCCCGATGAATATACTCAGTCATACTTTTCAATGATGCTCTCAAAGATGAACTATCTCTAGCCTTAACTTGCGGTCTGATGAAGGCTTGGTAGACCTCTTCGTCATCGTGCAGGTCGTTCATCGCCTTCTTTCTCGAGACGCCGGCACCCGCTTTTTCTCCGTAGTTCTCGAACTCGTCTTCCTTGCGTAGCTCCTCTAAGTACGAATCTTCAGTCCCACAGGTCAGGAAGGTAGACGCCGTATTGTGCATGCCTTCCATCCAGGTTTGAGCAGTGGGCCTTGAAACTTGTGTTAGAGATGAACCAGCACGTCGTTGAAGACTATCATCTTCTGCGTCGTCGACAACTACATCAGAATTCCAATATTGTTGTAAGGGTACTGGCTCAGGTCTTCTGTGCAGGTTGAGATCCACATCCGAAACTCGAAATTTTTGAGTCGCGGTGAAAAGCCCATCGACTGGTCCGCACGGACGCACACGTACGGCATCTACGTCCTCCGACTCAGTTGCGGAAAAACCACTATTGGAGCTGCTCGTGGATGAAAATGAAGACGAAGATCGTTCCGCGGTGTAGTTTTTATCCTTGATCTTCTTCAGATCTCCTGGCACATTCGCATCCGAGCAGCCTGCAGAAGTTTGTCGTGCATGATATAGGGTTTGCCTTTCATGAAGCACCTTCTCTGTCTTCGACCGCATTTTCAAAAGCTTCTGCGTGATCTTAATGACTTCACGTCCAGCGCCTTGCCCTTCCGACCGCTCTAAAATCCTATCCAGAACCATGTTGATCAAGCCGTCCTGTTTTTCTCGTCTAGTACTTGCATGTCCATCTCCCGCCACGTCTTGAGCATGTAGAATCCCAAAAGCATTTCTCTCCTGTGCCAATAGATTTCCGTAAAAGGCATTGGAAGAAGCCCTTCCAGCGTGCAAGATCTCAAGAAAGGCGTCTGCTTCAGCCTTCAGGCTTTCAGCTTCGTCTAGAAACGGAACCGAGGGGAGGGAGCTACTGCTGCTGCTGCTACGACTACCACTATTACATCTACCAAACGACGCTGCTGAAGTCTTACTATCTTTCCTCGTAGTTGCAGCGCTTCTTGCAGACGGGGATCGACTATGATCACCTTGCCCTCCCACAGCACCATCTTCATCTGCCCCAATAGTCGAACAACCAGAGCAGGAGACCGCATCGCGACTAGTCCTACGCGGAACCGAAAAGTCTCCGTTTTCACCATAAAAATCGTCGTGGTTTCCTGAAACCTTATGTGGAAGCTCCGCCTCTCCAGCCAACATTTCTGCACTTAATGTGAGATCGACTCCACCGATTTTGCGGACCACTGCAGCATATACGTCCCGCACTACGACGTCGATCAGCTTTCGACGTTCTACTACTTTCTTGACTACAGCACGAGTCACTGCAGCAGCAACTTCCCGTTTTCGTTCTTCCTTTTCGTCATCCTCTACGCAGTTGGTGGTCACAAGTCGGACAATGTTTGCCACGACGTCCTTGGCGAGCTTGCGATCCGCCTTATACCTTCTTAAAAGGTGCAACGGCGAGTTCTCAGTTTGACCATCCCGGAAAGCACGGTAGGCAACGGACGGAGACAAAGATGATCGTGGAGGTGTGCTGGATTCAACGTCGCGTTTATCATTTTCAACAACCTTCCCCAGCGCTGGATTTGGTCCAGCTCGTCCCCGTCCAGCATGATCACCTACTTGATTATCATGCCGCGTCAGACTAGACGATTCAATCGTGTCCTCCAGAGATCCTCCTCGATTCTGTCGGACAATTTTTGCGACACGGAAACGCCCATTCTCCTCGAAAACGCGGAAGGGTAATTTCCGCACTTGTCCTGGCTCACAGAGCACCGGAAGCTCGTATAAGACTGGTCCACGCGGTGGTGGAGCAGCAACATTTGGCGCAGAGGGAAGCTTCATCGGTTGTCGCGGATCGTTTTCACTCATTGAGCCCGTGAGAAGCGTGTGCAAACTTTCGTCCTCCTCTTTCTGGTTACAGGTTTCGGCCTTCGTATCTACTACTCGTCGTTGAAGCAGCGCCTGTTGACGTTCGGCGTCACCGAACGCGAAAGGGTCGTCTACGCCATTCGAAGCAAACCCTGCTGCAGCGAGGATACCATTCGTAACATCACCTAAGAAGGAACTGCTGCGTTGCAAAGCGTCTAAACCAGTCCTCGAAACGCCTCTTCTCAGACTCTTCATCTTTGTATTCTGACATCCACCTCCTGCTCTACTATTTCTTGGTGGCGAATAGTGTTGTCCCTCTTTGATATAATCCGTTGTCCTGCCATCTGGTCCAAACCCAAGAGTATCTCCAACTGTGTCCTCACCTTTCTCAATTTTCGCAAACGTGTCGTGTTTTCCGACGCTTTTGTCGAAGAAGTCTTCTTTCTCTGTTTCTACCACTTCCCATTCCTGTTGACGTCGGTAGGCCTCAACCCAGGCCTCCAATCGGTCTGTGCCGGACGCGATACCGCTCTCGTGTTCTTCGCGGTTTCCAATCGTAGCATTCAAAGCCGCATCGAGGGCGATGGTCGCTGAACGCCTCAAAAAAGATTTTCCGCTACGAAACGCCGCATGATGTTCACCAGCAGAATCTCTGACGCGATGAACATGATCTTGGGACAGTCGGTTAGAACCATCAGTTTGTTCAGTACGCTTGGTGAGTGCTCGGAGCTTCTCAAACGCAGACCGCGGCCGTCTCGTTCGCATCGAGCGCCCACCGCGCAATCCGCTCCCCGTGCGCAAGTGCAGGGACTTTCCGCTAATCGTCCCACCTACAGGAGCCGGCGCTCGAGGAAACGGAGACGACCCCTTATCGGATGGGATCCCGCCTGATTGTTCGTAAAGCTCTGTACTAGCAACGCGAATGCCGTCTGGGATCCCGCCTGATTGTTCGTAAAGCTCTTCATCGTGATGCCTGTACGCAGCCGATCGCGGACGCAGAGTAGGCCTCTCAGGACGTGCCGTCGTTAGGCGGTCCTCTCTACTATGAAGACCCTTTGTACGACGAGCTGAAGAAAATGTCGCGGCTTTTCGCACTACATGGCCCTCGCCCACGACCTCGCGGAAAGCCGTAACTGGTTCGACCAGCACCTCTCGGTGCGCAAGATCATGCGCTACTTGCTTCTGCTTCTGCAGCTCCTTATCTTGCGCATCGGGCTCTATCAGCTTTCGGCGCCCGACGAACTCTGCGAAGCGGAGCCACTGAACGGCAGGACGATTGCGCTGTCGTGCTTGAACGTTTCTATCTTCTAATGACAAAGATGTGCGATACAAGCGATCAAAAAGACGCCAAGACGAACGCCGCCGTGTGTCCTGACCACTCATGATAGCAGAATTAGGTCGACGCTGTCGATCCCTTTTGTTTCTCCTCGTCGTGCTACGCGATGTTTCTTGATGATCGGACCCAGCTGCTGCTCCAGCTGCTTCTCCACCAGGTGATAAGATTTCGTCGAGGCTTGCCCAGCGCCGCTTGCGCCTTGGAATGAGTCGACGTGCGAAATTTAAACTGGGTTTCATGGGATCCTCATACAGGTGCGTGCCAATGCGTAGACTGTCAGCTTCCGCGAGCTGCTTTTGCAGATCCGGATCTGTCGTAACCTTGTTCACCGTCTGCAATGCCTCATGCGGTATGATACCACCGCCTTCCTCAGCTGTCAATGCATCTTTGCTCCGAACTTCAGTCGTAGTAGTCGGTGCATGTACATTATCAGTGAAAGAAGCAACATTTTTCACTCTTTTACGACAATCTTCCGAGCTCTCGTCAGGAATGAGTCCAGCAATATTACTCCCTTCAATTATCTCGTCTGGACCCGGTGGTTCGACAATGCGCACAGTTTCGATGCCCTGACGCAAACGAAAGCGCTTCACGTCTGGAATTCCTAGAGGGAACGAAGCCTCTCCTTCCGCCAGTGGATGCTCCAATTGCGATTTCACTCGCGCGGCTGCTTCTCGCGCTTCTTGCTCCGCCACTCGTCGTTTTTCGTTACCCAGCAAATCCAAATCTGCCTGACTCTCCAAGTCACCACGCGTAATCTGCTGGTCTGATGTCCTATTACTATCTTTAGTAGTTGTACCTCTACTACCTTCATCTGCATCTTCTGCTGAACTGGCAAGAGCAGCACTGCTCGAAGTAGCCCCCGGCGTACAAAATCTATCCCAGCCTTGATCTGCGAAGCGGAAACCGGTTCCTCGACCCACAAAAGTGGGAACGCTATCATCGGAGAGATGTCTGTTTTCCGGATGCGCGAGAAGCTCTTCACGACGAAGCTCGATCTCATTCGGATTCAACAGTGGATCCCGACGCAAGCGACGTTTCAGAAAGTAGCTGCGGGAAGGCAGCAAGGCACCACGACGCCCCCCGAGCGTTCTTGTCGCTCCTGCTTCTCGCCCCGGCCCCTCTCCAAAGTACAGCTGTTGAGAGGCTGTATTCGCAGTTGAGGAAGACAATAACTTTCTCACTCCTGGCATTGACAATGCCGCTGGCGCAACAGGCGCATGGATATCTTTGTCTTCGCTATCATCGGCATCAACGCTAGAGCGAATTGCAAGTTTGAGGTCCTCACCATGAAACAAATCACCGACAACGACAGGTGGAGCCATCGTTGACGGATCCGCGAGATAACCGCCTAGCGCAGGGTCAAAAATCTGACTCTTGGAACATACAGGAGCACTACTAGCTCTCTTTCTTCCTCTTCTTCCTCCAGGATGTCTTGAAGAAGTACCAGGTTGATCTCTCTGGCGCATGCGCACACCCCCCCCGCCTATCAGCAAGTTCCAGATGCTGCTCTTCGTTGTTTTGAATGCGTCACGCCCAGCTGTAGTAAGTACCGGATCTCTTGGCCGCTCACTCGAACGGCCTCTCCTGCTGTAGAAGTATTGCTTCGGTTGAGAACCTCCTTCTGATTCGCACAGCATAGTTTCACCATGCGCCTGCTCGTCAAGGCCTTTTGTTGGACGACCACCGTTCATGCTATAATCAGAATTCAAAATCAATTGTTCTACATCAACCGGCTCTCGGTCTGGTGCAGCGTCATTATCCTCAATCCTGATTGCCTCATCGAAGCCATCAGCGATTTGTCGCTCGTTCGCATCCGCATAGTCAGCATAAGCGAATCGTTCACTGTCGTTGACGCCTTGCGCGCAGTAGCGAACTGCAGAAGAGGGTCGTCGGAACAGTCGGCTAGCGCTACTTCGAAAATTCGCAATGTTTTCACGATATCGTCCGAGCGAGAACGGCAGCCGCATGCGATTCCGTATTGCGTAATCGCGTCGCCGCTTTTCCGCAAGTTCCCTCTGTACCTTCGTTCGTTCCATTTCGATCCGAGTAGCTTCCTCTGACTGCTTCTCAGCAGCTCTTTTGCTCTCTTCATCAGCCCCTCGCCAAAGCGAGGTCGAAAGAATCAGTCGGCCCTTTGCGTCGATGGGGATGGCGCTGGTGGAACCTACTTGCTCGTCGGATCCCGGTGATTTCATCGCTTTCCGCCCGATATCTTCGATTTCAGGAGAAAATTCGCCTCTCTGCCTCAATCCTCGCCCTCTATCAGGACTGGCATCAACGCCGATTGATGCTACTGACGGAGCGCAAGCTGGCAGTCCCACAGCCACCCGTTGCATTGCTTTCTCGAATTTCGTAGCGAAATTTTGCATTTTGGGCGACAACTGGGAATCAACCTTCGAAAAGTCCATGCTGGCAGCCGATGCATCGCCAAATCGCATCGCTACAGCGTCCAAACCAAAGTCTGAGCGTTTCACGAAGTCGCGTGCTTCCTCTAACTCTTTGAGGTCGAGGTCACTGCGATCTGGGTTCGCGTAAAAAGCAGCCTCCAGCCTCGCGATCTCGTGGGCACGGCGAGCCTGCGGATATTGAGTTGTTTCATAAGAGAATTTGAATGGCACATCTAACAGACTATCAAGATAACCAAAGTCACTACACCGACATTCATCTTCAGCTTATCGGATACATGCCGATACTAGGTGTTTCGCACTACGTACAGTACTTACGTTGTAAAAAATAGTGATAATAAATGTAAATGACCGACAGTCGTATGAAAAGAAGGCTATGAATTTACTTACCTCAATCTCTTTCTCCACCAGCTCCCGTGGACCACTTGGAAACAACTCCTTTACTCCAGCCGAACCCTCTACGTCTTCGATGTAGTCAAAGCGTAATCGGTCCATCACTTGCTGGATGCCTCCGGGTGATGCGACGTCTAGTGGATGAACAGAAACAACGCTCCGACTGTCATCTGAGCCCGCGTCATCCCAATGTCGATCCTCACCACGTTCTTTGTCATAAAGCCGCTTTTTCGAGCTGATCGCTGTATCTTTGGTAAAGGCAGCACCGTGATCAGGGTTACCCAGAAACACTGGGTGCTTCACCATGTGATCGAGCATTCTTGCGTTTGCCTGCGCGTCAGATTTCACGTTACCTAGCTGCAAAGGCGACGAGGGGCCTAGATAAGCTGTGTTGACAGCGCTCCTCGCTATGTGACGGGCTTTAAGCCACTCTGCGCGATCCGCAAGTTCGCGCTCAACGTCACGCTTTGCCTGCGTCTCGCACGCGCGTAAGCAGATATTGCCCACAAGCAGCGGGACGAGAGACGTCGCTGCTGATGCGATGGCGTCCAGCTCATCCTGAGACTCAGGTGGCCGAGATCGAGACACCAGGGGAATTCCGACTTCCAAACTTTGTTCCGCCTTTTGTTCCTCCTCCACAAAGCTTCTCCCAAGTAGCATTTCTGCAGCAGCAGCAGCAACTAAATTTTTGCGTGCCTGCAAAATAGAGCGTACTGTATGACGAAGCCGCGTAGGTCCTTCGACACCCGAACTGCCAGAGCCAGCGACTGCCACCGTTTCCTCTCCCAGACCCGCAGCCCTTGCGGTGAGTGAAAGCGCGTTTTCTTCTTCCCGTAGACGGTTGACATGTTGCAATAGCATACGTCGTCGTGTCCGGCCGAGCGTCCGGGCGATTACAGCCAGCTCATCGACTGTTTTATCTCCGTACTGGTCAACGATGGAAGGACGTTGTTCTTCTTGTGCAGCCTTTCCCGGTGATGTCTTCTCCACGCCTCCAGAAAGCCACTTTGCTGCAGTCGGAGACAGCGTAGCCACTGCTCTGCCCAATGGACTCCACGGTTTAGTGTCCTCCTTTGACGTCGTATTTCTATTTTGTGTCTCTTCTGGAGCAAACGCCGACGATCCCTCTCCCTCTTGTATCACATTGTCCACGTTTCTATTCTCTGCTTCAGCCGTGTGCTGTCGATCGTGGACAGGCAAAGGCTTGTCCATCATATGGAGACTCGCTTGCGACGTGCAAGAGGACGATTCGTCACCATACAAAAATTCAGCACCCGCATAATTTACCTGCGGCGCTTGCTTTGTTCGTTCATCACTGGTGCCCGCCTCTGCCGCAAAGGGACCGCCGCGGTGGCCAAGTTCAGCTACGCATGATCCTACTTGTGTTTGTGTTGCTGCTTTACGTTGCTCACTCAGAACGGATCCGACCTCCGTGTCGAGAGAGCCGATCTCCAAATCTACGTGGTCAATGTCTCCTCTGCCCGCACGCCACAAATTCCAGCTCACGTTGTCCCACATCATCGCCCACCAAGCGGCATAACCGCCGAACAACGCCGCAGCATCGGATCTGAGGGTCCTCGCTTGCGGCGCTGCGACGTTACTAGCCAACAAATCTTCAGATCCACTTCCACCTGCCTGCCCAAGATGGACATGACTATGTTGCAACGCGTCATGATTTCCACCTAGCAAATACGCGCGCCAGCCCTTGGCCCAGTCTTTAAACCGGTCCCACGCTTGTCGACGTTCTGCTTTGCCCTGCTGCCAATCCATCGCGCGCATCGCAAACTTTCCGGCTGCATCCACCTCGCGCGTGTCCCGAGAAAGTCGCGTGAGCCATATCCGCCGCACCCATGCTGCGGCTGCTCGCAAGCCATCGCCCGCCCAACCGCCTGTCGCGTAGTACTCAGGTCGGCGCACGCATACTTCCTCATAGCATGCGCACAATTCCTTGGAAAATAACCCGGCAATTCCTCCGCAAAGAAACAGCACAAAGAGTGCAGCTGGCAGCACCACTCGAGTCGCCCACCAGGGCCAGCTCGTGTCCGCTTCGTCGTTGCGTGTGCTCGGATGATTCGGCGCCGAGTAAAAGTAGAACGTGTCGTTCCCAACTTTAACTTCCCTTCGACCATCTTCAAAGATGTACGGCGGAATTTCGACAGCACGGAAGATGTTTGGCGGACTAGTGCCGGATCCTCCTGTACTATTGGCTGAACCAATATTGGCTCCACCAGATAAGGCTGAACTTGAAGCTGCATTCTGAATAGTGGTGGTCGACAGAGGCGTAGGACCGGACGAGTTAACAGCGAAAGACATCCACGGAAACGACCTAACTCTTCGAGCTTTACTGCCGCATTCGAAAAGAACACGGTCTCATCAAGAAGGTACTGCACCTTCCCTACCCACTAGAGTCAATCACTACAGTTTGTTACTCAGAGGTAGAGACGATATTTAGATCATACATTTCGAAGAAGAAAACCATTCGGAAAAATCAACACGAAAACATAAACATTTTTATGTATGAGCATAAAGTCGAGTAACGTACGCACTTTTACTTAGCAAACGATATCGAGAAATTGGTTACTTTGTCACGAAGCCTGTACCTATCATCGAGGTGGGTGAAAAGACGATAAATCCAAAAAAAACAAACGAACGAACAAGCCATAGAGTACCCAGTTACGTGTAGGCGCACCGCGAAGACAAAACGAATGCGAATCCTCCTGAATGACTGAAAAAAACCGTGCTTACTTCTTTGGTATCGTGCTATAAAACATCAAGGTCATCTATGACAACGACAAGAAAAAACGAAGACAAGGAACTCTACGAAGATGTCTCGTCATGTAGCGCGTGGTTGAATATATAAAGCCAGCTTGCACTTACGACCGTGAATTTCATGACCAAAAAGCATGAGAGTCGCAATCATTTCTAATGCAGTGGTGCCTTTTAGTTTTACGCTTGATGCTTTTACGAGGTTCCATTTCTGCCTCCGCTCTGCTAGAGTACCAAGCGACAACCATTCCTAAAAGTCCGACTCCGCTCTCGATCGGCATTGCATCTGGTCCCACAATTATAGGTAGTTCCGCTTTTGGCCTATTTTCTGGCGCTTTGCACACTGCCCATCCAAGCGCATCGCGGATCGGACCCTTGCCGTCCCGTAGGTACCACACTCCCTTTAGACATTGCAGAAATCCATCTTGGTGAGCATCTTCGTGCCTCTTTTGTTCCTTTCACAGAGAGGAATGCCAAGATACTGGGGAAGATGGATTTCCTCAAGCCTTAATCCCTGTTGGCCTGTAATGCCATCACAACCGGGCGTCGCGATGCAGACGCGCTCCGCCAACCCGCGCTCCATAATCGCACAGTCGCCGGGCAAGTTATGCCGCCCGATGGAGCTGCAACGTACTTCACCCTTCGTTGCGATCGCGACAGCAGGGTCGTTCCACGCAAAGCGCCGAAAAGGCCCTCGCTCCAAATACTTCCCCGCCGCACACTGCCACTCGGAAGGCCGGTCCTGCCGTATGCCGTCTTCTCGCGGCGCCGCCGGCTCGTTGTCCCGTGCATGCTCCTTCAACAAAGCTGCGCGGTCCGCTTCGGAGAGCGTCGGATCCTGAAGCTCTTCATCCGCAGCCAACGCCAAGCTCTCTGCCTTCATCGTCTCCTCTGCTGCAACAGGCTCTGCAACAGGCTCTGCTGGAGTGAGGCCGCGATCGATGGCTTCTGGTTCTGGGTCGCCAGGACCAAGCTTCATCTTAGAGTAAGTACATACCGCGTCGCATCTTGCTTGAAGAATGCTATATCCTTGGACGCTTCTTTTTCCCGTTGAGAAAGAAGTCAAGGATGACGCTGATCTCTGAGGATGCTCTCGGAGTAGCCTTAATCATCTCCGCTCTTGCCAAGATGCCATCACAACGACGACAAGCGGGTTGCCCCTCCTGCTCTTTCCCCAGACACATATCGACACAGTCTGCCTCGGTTTTCGCAAAAGCCTGCGTCAGTGTGCCTAGGCCTCGGACAAGCTGAGATCCCGAGAGGAGAAAAGATGTCCTGCCTGTAGACGGTGGCTTCCGGATCGTATTTGTGCTTAATAGCCGAGAGATGACGATTCCGGTTGAGGAAGCATCGACATGGAGATTCCGGTTGACACGACTTTGCGGAAATCGGCTGAGACCGCTTTCGTCCGGAGTTAAGTGCGGCTCTGCAAACTGCTCGGCTAACGCCTTCAAGGCTAACATTCCTTTTGGACATCAGGCTCAAACGCCGGTATCTAACAGGAAAAAGACGATAAACCTTGCATTAAAATACTTAACTTTTTTCTGAAACTGTTGATGAGTGTAATGTGGTGGCTCTGACTGTCAGAAGGGCTCGAATCAAATGTAAAAAATGTGAATGTTCTGGTTCTGCTGTGGTCGATATTCCGACGAGATACGGAGTCGTACAACGTGAATTCTCGAGCCATAGATTCGGAGCGAGCATCGTCTTCGATCCGTCCTCATATGGTCCGATGCAGTCGACGATGCGAGTAAGTAATCGAATTGACGAGAACGAGGTGGTCGACATAATACGAGATACGGACCCTGTTTCGCTGAACGCACGCAAGCAACCCAAAAACCGGTTTCTGAAATCAAAAAAGGACGTGGAGGAAGACGGACACTATGCTTGCATCTCCCTATAAAATCGCTGCAATGTTGAACTCAAATGTATAGCAGCCATGTAAGAAGGTCATCCTCCTCCATCGCTAGTTGAGTTCATCCTCCTCCGTCGCTCATGTCCATGCTTTCTGCTTGCGAAGCCGCACTCGGAAGGTCATCATCATCCTCGACCTTATGATTTTCAGAACCAGTTGCAGGCTTCCTTTAGAGCTGTATCGATAACCGACATTGTTCAACGTCTTCAATAAATCTACGTTGATGTACTTGTATCTTCATCACGTCAGAAACTCCTCTCAAAAATTTGATGCAGAACATGGAAACGACTTATCGAACTCGAAGATAAAAACCATGCATTAGGCATAACCTCTTGAAGAGTCTGCATCTTCTTCAGCGTCCCCACCAGGTATTTTTTCGCTACCTCCGATTTCTGCCGATAATTCCTCTACCAACTCCGCATCTTTTACTTTGCCTTGCAGTCTGCGCACCATCTCGTGCACACCCGCAGCAAAGGCTAAGACGCCTATGCTCGTAGCGTAGATGACCCCTTTAAAAAGCATATCTTGCATCGCGAGCCGATACTTGGCTCCGGCATTTCCGCGCGATGATTTCATCAAGATCGTACTAGCCTGGACCGCATAACTTTGTGGCAAAGCAAATTGCCCAGAGCGTTAGAAGTGGAGCAAGTAGCACTTGATCCAAAGTAGATCATGGAAGGTGGGGGAATCAAAACACTCCCAAGGACAAGGAAAAAAAAGAGAAGTCGACTGAGAAGACTACTGACTTCTACTACATTGATCTGTATCTTTTCTATACTAAATACTATCGTATCCAATCGCTGCGACAAATGATAATCCTATGCTCAACAGAACCCTTTCAATTGTTGTATTGAATCTCAAAGGAGCCATAATCTAGAAAGTCCTCGATCGGTGGTGCTAACGGTGGTCGCAAACCTCCGCCAGGCGCGGAATAAGGTCTCTGTGGTAGCCGGAAACTCAAATCTCGTTCCAGCGCGAGTTCATTTGGCGTCGGAGCTTCGCCATCGAGTCGAGGACTTGGCTGCGGTCCTCCAGCTCCAGGAACTACTCCTGGTAGTCCTCCAGAAGTGCTGGCAGCTGGTGAAGCCGTGGGATCTGCTTCTGGCGGAGGTATGTAGGGATCTGCAGGTTGGGACGTCGGAATAGCAGGAGGCATCCGAACAGGCGCGCGATGAAAATTTTCCCAAGAAAAAGCGGCTCCCGACGTATCGGAGTGCACGAAGCTAGTGGCTGACCTGCTTGAGCCGCTAATGAACATATTCTCCGGCTCATGTTGATGGTCGTGCACAAAGGCAGTCTTTAAAACATGAAGAAATGCCATCTTTGCACGTCGTAGTCTCCTAGTACTGACTCCGGATATGTTAGTACCCGAAGAAGAACCAGACTTACAAACGATGAGTAACGAGAACAGAGACAACTAGTAGTAGGCGTTATCATGGTCGTCTGAACAATAAGACGATCGTAGATAGACCTTTTAGTAGTACTTTTCCAAATCTATTTCAGTCTCCTGAAAATTTCAGGTAGAAATATTAAGAGCAATAAAACTTTGCAAACACATCCCTTCCGAAACCTCAACCTCCAACACCCAAACCCAAAACCTCCAACACCCGAACCCAAAACCTCCGACACAAAAACAAACAAACCCCAAACCC